AAAAAAAAGGTGGGCGAACCTCCACACGATGCTAGGGAGGCGCTAAACGTGAGGCTGGGCATGACGCCGATCCACCTCCTAGCCCACAGCCCTGTCCCACATCCATAGCCTTTCGGTTCTCTTACCCTAGCATCAGCTCAAAGACGAGACTCATGTCCGTCTTGCGCAGTGCTTCGCAGTCATAATCATCATGCTACGAGCTGGACTGAGCGAAGAGCTCGTCGGAAAACGATGCCGTTTCCAAGCTCAGCACCCTTTTAGAGCTGCAGCCCATGCACAGATGTCGTGTGTCGTCTCTGCCCTGCATGCCGCTGAATTACAATTTTATCTGACGGAATACAAACTTTCTAATGCGAAGCGCGTAGATTGACGTCAGATTGGACATGCTCCCGCTTTTCGGCACACCTGCCTTGCCCGGACGATCTGCCTCTTCCGCAACGTCGTCTGAATCGCTCTTCTCGCGATGGCAGCTTGCGCAGTCAGATGATGGCGAACGTGAGTATATGTTGAGGTATAGAGGAAGCATGCGAGGAGCGCATGGTTGGAGATGCGATTCTGATGGCGGGTTGGGAGCACCGCCACGAGGAGGCCCAAGAAATTTCGCCAAGACCCGCCGCCCATGGCCCAACGAGGCCTCCTTGGGGTCTGCACATGCTGACCTCTAGAGGAGTGGGAGGCTCGACCGCGGTCCATGCTCGCCTGATAGGGGTCTAACACGGTTCGTGTGGTCCCAGAGGAGCTCGACACTCTGTTGAGATCAGGCAGCAAGCAAGTGCTGGCTCAAAAGGTCTGCTGACATTCCCGCCTATCGCCGGACTGCGCCTCCGTTGGATCGCCGCGACGCAGAGGTGGGCGAGGACGAAGGCATGAAGATGGACGACAAGGCCGCCGGCGAGGCTCGCACTGTGCGAGCGTCTTGCGTCGACACATTACTGCTTGAATGTCTGATGGGTGTCGGTCTCGACATCGCGGCGATGCCATTCTGAGCCACCGACGACGTAGCCTTCTGAGGTCCACCCGTGTGCCCACTGCTCCTGTTGATGGTTGGCGCTGATGCGGAAGAGGACGGTGAGGGTGCCGATGGCGGTGAGCTTGCTCGCTCCTGCGTGCGTGCCCGTTTGGCTGACACCACTCGTACGCCGCCGCTGCCCGCCTTGCTCTGGAAGAACGAGGTTGCAGTTGGCGAGCTGTTCGGCGGAGAAGTGGCGGGTTTGGAGCTGCTACTCGCGCCGTTGGACCGCGACGACGAAGATGCCCCATCCACGCTTCTGCTACCGTTGCTGTGAGCCCGTTTCATGCCCCTCACCTCGACGCCCGAGGCGCTGCTTGATGCCGACGAGGATGCTTTGCCGAGCAGGCTGCTGCTTGTGCCGCCGGTCGATGGGGAGGGTGAGACTTTGGCTCCGCTTCCGAAGAAGTCCACTTTGCGTCGTTCCGTTCTGGCGATGTCGGGTGGTGGGGATGATGCTTCCTTTCGGCCGAAGCTGCTTGCTGATGGTGATGACGATCCAACACCGTTTGATCGATCCGTGTCCCGAGCAGCTATTGACGCCGACGTAAGAGAGGGTGCAGCTGCCACATCTCGCGGTTTGAGACGCGGCAATCCGGTGGCTTCGCCGTCTCGCACACCAACCGTGTCTGGCCATCGCGAGCTGTCCACCCTCCGCGAGACGGATGTCGAAGCTGATCCGTTATCGCCCGTCGAGTCCTCGCTCCCTGGCATGGGCCGCGAAAACTCCCGCATCTGGGCCAGTCCCTCACTCGCGCCACCCAACACCTTCCTCGGCGCAACCATCGGCCTCACCGTTTGCTTCACCACCACCCCCGCTGCCTCCGGTGCGATTTCCACGCCGACCGCCTTACTCCTTCCCTGGACCCTAAACGCGTTCGTCGGCCGCCCCGTCAGCTTTGCCTGTGCGGCACTGCCACTTCTGGCCTTATTGAGCAAAGTCTGCCCCTTACTCATCCCTCCCGTCCCTGGCATCGGTGCGCCAACCCTCCTTGTCCCCTTCCCCGTCTTATGCAACGACCGATCACTGACAACCAGTTTCTTGGCATCCTTCTCCGCCCGATGCTGTTCGTACTTGTCCTTGATCCGTTTGGCTGCATCCACTTTGGCCTGTTCCGTCTCGCCTTTGGTTCGAAAATACAACTTGCGCCAGCTCTTGGGCTCCTTCACCTCCGTGGTGTAGCGCCGTCGCAGGTCGATAAAATCCCGCAAAGCGTTGCGTTTCCAAATCTCTTCGGTGTGTTCGAGGAGGTGGGGAGAGTTTTCTTCGAGTAGGATGAGTTGGTCGATCCGACATTCTTCTAGGATGGGTTTGGCGTGACGGTAGGGGAGGACTCCGAGGTCTTGCACGGACGAGATGTTGCGAAGGATGACACGGAGGGCCATGCTGTAGAGAGAGCGGGTGGCAGAGAGGTGCGGAAGGGGCGCAGAGATGAAAGAAGGGGCGCGGGATGGGAGAGGTGCAGCAGGGTCAAAGTCGTCCGACGGAGGGCCCCAGGCTCCGTGCACCGCGTAGGACGTCTCTTTGAGACCCATCATGCCCGCCGGCTCGGGGGAGCGACGCCAGTCCTTCATACTGGTATCAAGCTGAGCGTCTGTCTGATAATGTGATGCAAGGGTATGATAGAGAGCAAGGCTCGATGGGGGGTCCGTGGCAGTCGTCGGCTGAGCCTGTCTATGAAGATTCCGGGTGCGGAGCTTGTGCGTGGGTCATCTCGTGTATGGGATCGCACGATGCCGAGAGGTCGGGTCCTGATGCGGGTCGATGAGATCCAGAATGCGGCGTCGAAAGATTGCCCTCCTTTGTCGAGGTCGTATGGGTAGGCGAAGATGGACGCGTTGGTGGACAACCACGGTGGGGCTTCGTGGTTGGTGTTGTGGAAAGCTCGGATGTCAAAAAATGGTGGCTTGAGCTTGTTTGCTGCAAGGCAACGATGCTCCAGTGGAAATTCCGCGGCAGGGTCTTGCTCCGTCCTCAAGACCCTTCAGACTCGCTCATCACTGATTGTCAGACATAAGCCAGCTTTCAAAGGCACGCTACAACCTTGTCCGGTAAAGAAAGTCCATAGTATTGATTGAGACGCTAGAGAGGTTGCGAGGGTGCGTGCTCTCTACGGTCCGACCGAGTCTTCGAGATGAGTTCGCCCCGTCGGTGACGCTAGAGCATCAAAGCAGCGGCCTCGCCACTCTGCACCTTGTCTCGATACTCCTCCCTCGCCCTCCGAATCGTGCTCTGCACGTCCTTGCGCTTCAGCGCCCTTTTGACCCACGAGAGCAGCGCGTCGTCATCCTCGGGCACAAAGAAGCTGCTGAGCGCGCTGAGGATCGTCTCGAAATCGGCCCTTGGCTCCAGTATCACGCCTCGGTGCGCCCAAATAATCGCCACTGCGACCAGCGTGATCACATCTTGACCGTCCAGCAGCCACGCATCCCACACCCTTAGCTGCGTCTCAAACGGAATTGAGTTGGAGAAGAGCGTGATGTACCACTTTGTCGCGTACGAGCTGGCGACTACCGTGTGCTCGTCCATCGCCGCCGCCAGCTCCGGCATGTACCGCCGCAACAGCTTGTCTTGGACGAACAGGTTTTCGACCAGACCGGGGAACCCGGGTGAGAAGGTCGAGTGCAGGTTGAGGTGGTTGTGCATGCTCACCATGGCAGCATAGGCGTGTTCGGGGCTGAAGTAGCAGAGCAGCGTCGCAGCGATAGGTCCCATGCCCTGACAGTAGCCGCATTGGTCGCAGAGCATAGAGATGGCATGAAGGACGTGAAACAGCGCTCGTTGACCCTGACCATAGCGAGTGTGGAACTGGATGTGACCAGAGATGGTGCGCGGAACATCGAGGTCGATTTGGACGTCGTGCGTGCTCGACATGTCCACCAGGGTCTCGAAGGTGGAAGTGCCGGACTTGTTGGGCGTATTGACAACAGCCGCCGCCGCTGCTGTTTGAATGTGTGGTTTGGCGAGGGAATACGATTGTCGGCCTTCTTCTGTCTTTTTGCGATCCTGTAGGAGTGCGAACCAGGCTGCCGATCGCCAACTGTCGGGGATACCCTTGTAGACTCTGCGCCGTACCTTGCGATCGATGCCGTTGACAAAGTCGAATTGGACGGCATTGTGACCCTGATCGCGTCCTTTGACGGTGAGCATGCGCGACCATTTGGCAATTCGTTCCTGCTCGCGTTGGCGGTGGACGGAATCGGCTGCCGAGCGAGCCTGCTGAACAGCCGGCGTTTTGGTGTGATCGTGACCGTTGATCTTTGGCGACGCGCTGGGAGAAGACAAGCTGGTAGGTGGTGGCGCACTCTGCGATGCAATGCCTTTGGTGCCCCTCTTTGGGAATGGCGCATCAAACAGACTGGACCGAAGCAAGACAGCCTTGTGGTGTACATTGCTGGGGCCCTCGGAGAAGAATCCGTATCGATCGACGCCGGCAATCATCTCCTCGCGCCTCTTCTGCGCCATCTCTTGACGCCGCCGCCTCTCGTTGGTAGAGAGGAACGTGTTGGTCGATCGCATCGTTTGTGCACTGACGGACGCTGTGAGAGTGGGTCTTGAGCCAGCACCGTCCACGTCGTCGTTGCTGGAGAAGAGCGACTCTTGAGTCATGACGCTTCCCGCACTTACGGTTGCGTTGAGAGGAGGCCGAAGTTGGCTAGCTGAGCCGTTTGCTGCATCGATGGCGGCAGCAATTGCGGTTGCAGAGGGCCCCGCGTGCCTGCCATTTGGCTCATCTACACTCTGGAGAGCTCTGCTGCTTTCGGCAGGCGAGAGTGCGGCCTCTTCCCATGGAGAGAGGCCGCTCTTCTCTCGAGTGTACTCCTTGCCGTCGGAGAAGCCATCGTCCGGGACGCCCGCTATGGAGAAGTGTGCATATGTCCTTCGTACAAACTCGGCATCGGACTCGGCAGGCGTCGTGAATTGGTTGGCCCGCGACTCTGGTCCTTGAGAGGTCTCGCCAGGTGCTGAAGCTCGACGTCTTCTCAGCAGGTCCAGAGGCGGAGGCGCTAGCTGTGAAGCGGTCGTAATATCGCCGTTTGTGTTTGTGCTGATTCCCATCTTGGGTCGGAGTCTGGAGGGCAGAGCGCGAAGAGATATTGACCTGGAGTGCGTCTTTGTATGCGTTTTGCTGCTTCCAGCCTCGGCGGCTGGTTCCTCTGCGGCCGTCGTCATGATGAAGCGACCCTGGTTGTGGCGCTACGATCGTCGATGGAATATAAAAAGGCTGAAAGGAGAGCGGTGTTTCGATCCGAGGCTGAGCAGCGCTCTGGTCGCAACAGCTCAGTTGGCCGTCATGCCTGTCAGGATGTGAAGGCGGGGGTGTGCGCGAAATAAAGGTGTGTGACGATGGTTGATGAGACTGACTGTTCGCCCACTCGTCGCCTTGTCCGCGATCGACCGGGTGGTCCCACGAGCCCTACTCGAGTGATGGCTGCAGCAGATGTATGCGAGTGATGGGTGTGGTGTGGAGGAGAGGTGATTTGATGCGCAACTGAGACAAGACCCCAGATAGACTTGACTCAGCTCGAGTGGTGACCGCAGGACGTCATGAACCCGAGGGCTGAGATCTCTTGCAGGATGTAGAGGTCAAGATCCGTGTTCATGCGTGAGATGTAATGTCGATGGCTATTGTCGAGAAGATAGCCTGCATTGCCAACACCGTTGGGGACCAGATCATGCAAAGCCACCACCCCGATGATCGACGCTGCATGCTGCCGCTTTGTTAGATCTGAGTGGCTTCATGCTGTGGGGAAATCGCCTCGGAGAGCCGGCTTTAACGCTTGAGGCACAGAGCGAAGACGCCATCCTGAGCTGAGTCGAGGCTGCCTGGCTGCCTTGGTTGCTCTCAGCCAACCAAAAAGCTGCGAATCTTTGGGCCTGTTTTATCAGATTTTTAGAAATCACGAATTCATGAGCAAGCGGACGAGCCAGCCAAAGAAACTTGTCACAGCGCAGTCGAAGCCCTTATATCTTTCTTCTTGATCATCATCACCGCTACTCGACTCAGTTCTTTACGTCACAGCATCTCAGCGCTTACTATAACGATCGATCACAGTGCATCGGCAGCACCTCACGCATCCAAACTCCCTCTCACTTGGTGTTCACCCTCGCCAGTCTACCCGCCACAATGTCCGCCGAAGCAGGGCCAAGCAACCTCGTCGAGGTCACCTCGCCCGAGCATTTTACCGAGATCATGCAGCAGGACTTGGGTCGTGTCTCGCTGCTCAACTTCTACGCACCATGGGCCGAGCCGTGCAAGCAGATGAACGAGGTGGTCAAGGAGATCGCCGTCAAGTACCCTCAAGTGCTTTGCCTCGTCATCGAAGCCGAGACTCTTCCCGACGTTTCCGAATCGTTCGACATTGAGGCAGTCCCCTCGTTTGTCCTCCTTCGCGGACACACTCTTCTCTCGCGCATCAGTGGTGCCAATGCGTCCGCCCTCTCCGCAGCTGTCGCAACCCACGTCGCTCCCACAAAGACATCCGGCGCTGGTAGCGTCTCCAAGACCTCGGCCGCTCCAAGGGCAGCCTCGGATGTCTATGAGGCAGGCTCCGCGCGCAACGGCGCTGCTGCCGGCTCCTATGCCGACGAGGAAGAGGAAGAGGAGGTGGTCCCCGAGACAGAAGACGAGATCTTTGCGCGATGCAAGAAGCTCATGGAGCAGAGCAAGGTGATGCTCTTCATGAAGGGCGACCCGGACACACCCCGATGCGGCTTCAGCCAGAAGACGGTCAACTTGTTCAGGCAGGAGAACGTCGAATTTGGCCACTACGATATTCTCAAGGACGAGAATGTACGACAAGGACTTAAGAAGCTCAACGAGTGGCCGACGTTCCCTCAGATCATCGTCAACGGCGAGCTCATTGGTGGTCTTGATATCCTCAAGGAGAGCATCGAGAGCGGAGAGTTCGCCGAGATGCTTCAGGACTGAGCCGCTGTGCGTCACGCACCTTCCTTGCCGGTCACAGCCTCAGCTGTGTTGTACACTACTTCTTTATTGCAAACCGAGATCTCTATTTCGATGCTACAGCTTCCAAATCTCGACACCGTCTCAATCGTCTCTGGACCATGTAGCACCGTCACCCAATGTGTCAAAGATCTTGCGAACACGCTTGACAGGGATCTGCTTGAACGGCAGATCGTACTCGTCACGAGCGACACGCAGAGCCTCGGTGACATGCGTGGGATCTCTCCGTTCCAACGCCAGCAGCACCGTCGGGCTGTGCCCGCTCCGACGCCGATAGAGGCGAGCGATGGTGGACAGCAAGGGTCGCACAATGGATGGCTCGTAGATCGTGTCTGCTGTGAGGATGAGGTCGAAGTGCTGTGGCTCTCGCATTTCAGTGTTGTCGGGGTATTCTCCCGCGCTAGGTGATCCAGAATCGAGGCACAGCTGCCAGTCTTCCGGTTGAATGGTCCAGTCAAGCTCGCACACCTCGATCTGACCCGGCACAGTCTGACCTGCAGCTTCCATCTGGTACATGGCAGCTTCGACGTTCGGCCGCAGCACTGAGTCCAGCACTGGCGGAATGTCGGTTGCCGTCACCTGCCATCCGAGTCGTGCCATTAGCAGCGACAGCAGCCCGGTTCCGGATCCCAGCTCGAGAACCTTGTTCCGCATCGATCCGACAGCGTCATGCTGACCTTTCGCATACGTATGAAGAAGATAGGACGAGAGCACCTGCGATGAAAGCCAGAGCGACGATCCGGTGCTGTTGGTGTCATTGCGCTGTATCAGACGAAACGAAGTGTCGATCGAAGGAAAGCGGTAGACGAGCTCTAGAAGGTGCTTCGTCTGATGAGCGGGCAGGTTGACTGCATCTGCATGAGAGTGGCTTTTCGAGAGCTCTGCATCACTGTCTGACCCTTCGATGTGGTCCTCGACGGCATCGTTTCCTGCTCTAACGGTGTCTTGTAAGCCTTGCCCCTTTCGAGGACCCTTGCGAGGCATGCTCTTCAAAGCGCTGTTATGGCGACATATCGGCAACCGTCACACTCGAGCCCTTTTACATGCAAAGACAGCAGACCATCTGTCGATTGCTCTCGTCCGAGGGTGTCGTTGGTGATGCAAGCGAAGAAGAAGTTCTGCATCATCCAGGCAAGCATGGCATGTCAAAAGGCTAATTTGATGTGGAGCCAGAGCAAGTCACGTGCTTTTAGCGTGTTGGTCTCGATTTTGGGCGGTAAACTCTCACAGAGCTGGAAAAATGGCATTTGCACGGCGCGAAAACGCGTCCTCAAGAGAGCAACACTGCCCACCCTCTGCCTCGAAATTCACAGCTGCAGGCTCAGCCTTTGAGAGAGAACAACACTGTTCCCGCCCGCATCACTGAGCGACACTTGCATCTTACCTCCCCATCACCATCACGATATCGCCATCTCACCAACCATCTTCAGCATCACACTTTATAGACGCACACACCACAATCTAGAGCTTGCGCGCACTCGACGGTGCACCATCCATACACGAGCATGACGTCGACGCTCAACCCCGTCTACCCAATGTCGTCGGCGCGCGTGCCCCCGGACGCAGTCAAGGGCAACCAGGAGGGCAACTACTCGTCCTTCCCCGTCGTCAAGATCGATGAGCTGCTCGGCGTACTGTCCGAGATGGGACTCTCGATCTCACCTGAAGACCTGCAGAAACCACAGGGTCACGTTGCGCACCGAGTCTTTGTCGCCTTCCTCGAATGCCTTTCGGGGACCACAACCGAGATGATGGACGGGCGGCGACACGAGGCGCTCGCACCAGCCGAGTACCGAGAGCTCTACGAGGATGGATTGCAGATGCTCATGTTCTTCCGCGAGGTCAAGGACATGATGAACGCAGCGACGCTGTACGATTTCACTCTGCAGGATCTCACACGGCCCAACCCCAAGCGCTTCCGACGTCAGATGTCGGCGCTGGTCAACTTCTACCGCTTCCGCTCGGATCGCATCGTCGAATTTGAAGAGCTCGTCACAGGGTCCGAGGATCTCGAGAACAAACGCAACGAGATCGAGGACGACATCGATCGCCAACGCTCCGAGCTAGCCCGCTTCAAAGCGGAGCGCGAGCTGGACGAGCCTAAAGTCAAAGAGCTTCAACGAATCAACGCCGAGATCACCGACGAGCTGCTTGCCGCACGCAATCAGCAGAAGGAGACCATGGAGGAGCTCGAGGAGCTCAAGAAGCGCAAAGACACGCTGGCCGTCAAACACGCCGAACTGGCGCAGGAAAAGTTCCAGATCTACGAAAAGATCACCTACCTCGAAGCGCGCGTCGTCTCGTCGCCGAGCAAGATGAAGAATAGCGTCCGCGAGCTCGGCGAGCAGTTGGACAAGGACACGATTTCGTTGTCCGAGACGTTGAAGAAGGTGGAGGAGTTCAAGCGCAATTTGGAGACGCTCGAGATTTTGAGCAACGACCTCGAGACGTGCATGAACGCGATGCACGAGGTCAACCTCGAAATCGTCAAGGGCAAAGAGGAGGTTCAGAATCAGACCGACCTGCAAGCCTTGTCCCAAGGCATCAACAACCAGCTCGCCTCGCTGAAGCACTCGCTCGAGATGACGCAGTACGAAATGAAGCGCTTGGAAGAAAAACAGACGCGCAATCGCAAGACGCTCATGGACATCACCGAGAAGCACACCAAGAAGATGGACAATCTGCAGATGGAGTTCGAGCAGGCCAAGGCGGAGAGGACGAGGAAGAACGCCATTGCCGAGGTCAAGAACGTCGAGAGCGAAAAGATCGAGGCTAAGATGGCCGAGTTGGAGGAGGCGTACGAGGGGTATCAGAAGAAGATGATTCGGCAGAAGGATGCCATTGAGACGGCGGTGAGGTTGTACATCAGTACGCTGACCAACTCGCTCGAGTTGGAACGCTTCAAGGCGTGATCGCGCCGTCATATACCACTGCTTCTTCGTCCATGTTGCCCCGTTGGTCCTCTCATCGGTTGTATTGCACTCCTGTCTCGCGTATGTACTTGTAATGTCTATTCTTCGTTCTCCATCCTGGACTGTGTTCATAAGATGCCGAACGCACACACACACGATCGTCTTGCAACACAGCATTGCCCTCTACGTCACCCTCAACCCCCTCACACTCCGTACCTCGGCCATGCTCAACCGCCAACTAATCCCACTCGCCACCGCATTCTGATACAAATCCCCCTCGTCCTCACCGCCATCCAGATTCAACACATAACTCACCTGCTGCAACCGCGTGAACTTGTCCCTGATCGGCAAACTCGTCTGATCCGTCAGGAAGCCGACCACCGCCCTCAGGTCTTTATCGAACTTGAGTGCTCCCAATTCCGTAAAGCGCATGCCCAGGACCATGCCCTCCCACGGTTTGAGCAGTGCATCCAGTGCCATGCTGAGATAGGTATTGAAGTTGGCATCCGTAAAGACGCCGCGAAAGTGATGAAAGAGGAGGTCCCAGGATTTGACGAAGCGCCGACGCACTAGATCGCGCGATTCGGCCGAGGAGTAGGCCTCGTCGTCCAGCATGTACGATACGTCTCGGTAAGTGTCCATGAGCAACGCGCGCAGACGGGGGGCCGTGAGCTGCGTGAACAGGTGTTCGATCTCGGTGCGCAGCGAGGAACGGAATCGCTGCACGAGAGAGGAGAGGCTCTGAACGCATGCTGACGCCTCATCCTGCTCTGACGGCTCGAAGAGCCGCGCGAGAGAGCTCTCGTGCCCCACCTCGAGCAGAACACGCGACATGTAGGTGGATGAGACATCGAGAACGTTGAGATACGTGATGAACACAGTCCGCATCTCGCGACTCGCCGCATCTTTGCGGGGCCCGTCCACCGTCATCGATCCCGAAATGGTTCGCCACAGCGTCTCCATCTTGCGAACGATGACTTCGATGTAGTCCTCCTCGACAATGGTCTTGACGACACGCGTCATCTCGGTGAGGGTCGCAAGGGACGAGGTGGACATGATGCGCGCGAGGACGATGCGGATGACGTAGAACGCGTCGTCCAGGATCGAGGACGTGTAGGGTCGAGAGATGGTATCGGGTTGATCGATGCGGAAGGCCTTCTCGAGGCTGTTTCGCAGAAACCACGTTTCCATCGGGATGTAGAGCGTCGACATCGACTCGAGCACTTCTTGGCCCAGCTTGGATTGCGTGGCGTGGTCGATGGAGTCTGCCAGCTCTTCGTCCTGTTCTGCGTCAATGGGGGGAGCATTGGCGCTGGAAGCGATGGAGCTGCGTCGATCAACAGATGTGCGACGGAAGTCTTTGAGCGCCTCGTCGGCCTGTGCTGCGCGTTCGTCTTCGAGCGTCTTCGGTCGATTGCCTCCGCCTGCGTCCGGACCGGACGAAAGTCGACTCTGCAGAAAGCGGCGGTAGTAGCCCCACCTCGACGACATGGCAGCTAGCTCGGTCAGGATCTTGCTTACCTCGCGCCCGTCCGGACCCGATGGCTCGTCGAACGAGCTATTGGCCGTCGACTCTGCGGCTGGACTCGCTGTTCGACCTGGAACGCCGAAGGACGCCTTGAACGTCGACGGCTGCGTGTGCTTCGCCGTGGCCGCACCTGTGAACCGATACGCCTGCACCTCGTCGAGCCTCCTGCGCACGCTCCGGTCCTCCCGCCACGAGTCCATGATGCGATGCCCCAACCGATCGCACTCATCCTGCAGCCCTGGCATAACACCATGGCTGAAATTGCCCAGCCCATAATGTCGATCCACGACTGGCTGGTGCATGTCGATTAGCGAAGCTAGGTGCTCGAACAACGACGTAAGCAGCAACGCAAAATGCGTCGGGTTCTGCGCCTTGCCTGACCCTAACGAGTCGGTGATGCTCCGTCCCTTCTCGCGCACCATCGATCGCGCGAAGCTGCTGTACACCTCCAGGCCTTCCTTCTTCCACCCCACCTGCGGGAAGAGCTTGAAGAAGCGCGATGCTTCCTTTTCGTCCTTGTTCTGCGTTGAGCGGATGAAGGCGTCGGTGAAGGCGGTGAGCATTGTCTTGCGCAGCTCGAGCAGGGTTGTCTCTGGGAGTTCGGGGAGGTCTGTGGATGGGACGACGGCGGCTGCAAATTGCGACGAGCGGATGGCGGGGTCGATGGCGAGGGCCCGACGGCAGTGCATGGTTGCCATGTCCCAGTCGCGATGCTCGACAGCAGAGGCGAGCAGGGAAAGAGACGATTTGAGCTCTGCTACTCGGACCGCCCATTCGGTGGCTAGCGCGATGCGCTTGCGCTCCTCGTCGAGAAGACGCACGCGTTCGGAGATGCGCTTGGCCACAGAGGCGGAGCTCTGCAGGCGTCGGTCGAGGACATCGGCTTCTTCCTGTATCAATTGGACTTGCGGAGCCAGAGCCGCTATTGACCGCCGGGCATCGGTGACGACGGGTTCTGATTCTTCGAAGAGCGAGACCAGCTCATCATCGAGGGACGCAGAGTAGGAAGAGAGGTCGGAGAGTGCCTGGACGACAGCAGACCGGCTGGTCAGCTTGGAAGGGTCGGCGAGCGCAGGTGTTTGTTTGGTCGGTGCATTGGCCTCCTTTGTAGGGAGGGGCGACAGCGTCACCTTGGAACTGGTGGCGTCAGAAGGCCCTGATATTGTCATGTTGAGGCTGGTGACATCGATGCCGCTGCCAGAGAAGATGAGGTGATGAACAAGGAAGAGAAGGTGGTGGTGAGGTGTTGCAGTTCAGTCGAGTGTTGGTCCGAGCTCGTTCTTCGCGCTGTCTGCTGAGCCAAATTTGGCTGCCTGTGCGCTGCCTACAATTTTGGCCGAGTGGATTTCGAGAAGAATTGCAATTTCGTCAAGGTCAGCCATCCAAGCCGTTCGTCGACATCTCCTTTCTGTCATCCACCATCATCCCCACCGAGGTCACCGTCCATCTATCAGCTACACACAAGCGATCACCGAGGATGGCGCAGATCTCTACTACCTCCGAGCACACCATCCAGACCCTCGAGCGCATCGGCGCGCACTCGCACGTCAAGGGTCTTGGCCTCGATGACCAGCTCGAGCCCCGCCCCTCGTCGCAGGGCATGGTCGGCCAGCGCGCTGCCAGAAAAGCGGCTGGTCTCATCGTCAAGATGGTGCAGGACGGTCGCATCGCCGGTCGCGCTATCCTCATGGCGGGTCCTCCCAGCACCGGCAAGACCGCCATCGCCATGGGAATGGCGCAAACCCTCGGCTCGGACGTACCCTTCACCATGCTTTCGGCATCCGAGGTCTTCTCGCTCGAGATGAGCAAGACAGAAGCGCTCATGCAGGCATTCCGACGATCCATCGGTGTTCGCATCCGAGAAGAGGCCGAGGTCGTCGAGGGTGAAGTCGTCGAGATTCAGATCGATCGATCGCTGACGGGCGCCACCAAGACGGGCAAGCTCACCATCAAGACGACCGATATGGAGACCATCTACGAGTTGGGCAACAAGATGATCGACTCGTTGCAGAAGGAGAAGATCACAGCCGGCGACGTGATCGCGATCGACAAGGCCAGCGGGCGCATCACCAAGCTTGGACGAAGTTTCACCCGTGCCCGCGACTACGACGCCATGGGCAGCGATACCAAGTTTGTCCAGTGTCCCGAAGGCGAGCTGCAATGCAGGAAGGATGTGGTCCACACCGTCTCCTTGCACGAGATTGACGTGATCAACTCGCGCACACAAGGCTTCCTGGCGCTGTTCTCGGGCGATACGGGCGAGATCAAGCCCGAGCTGCGCGACCAGATCAACACCAAGGTGGGCGAGTGGAGGGAAGAGGGCAAGGCCGAGATCGTGCCCGGTGTTCTCTTTATCGACGAAGTGCACATGCTCGACATTGAGTGCTTCTCGTTCCTCAACCGGGCGCTCGAGTCGGAGCTGGCGCCGCTGGTCATCATGGCATCGAATCGCGGCATCAGCCGCATCCGCGGCACGCGCTTCCGCTCGCCACACGGCATCCCCATCGACCTCCTCGACCGCGTGCTCATCATCAGCACCAAGCCGTACGAGCTGGAGGACCTCAAGCAGATCCTCACGATTCGCGCTACCGAGGAGGAGGTGTCGCTCAAACCCGAGGCGCTAGAGGTGCTGACGCGCATGGCATCGGAAACATCGCTTCGCTACGCCATCAACCTCATCACCACCGCCAACCTCGCCGCTAAGCGCAGAAAGGCGGATGCGGTCGAGGTCGCCGACGTGCGCAGGGTCTACAACCTCTTTGTCGACGAGAAGCGCAGTGTTCAGTACCTCAAGGAGCACGCCGAGCAGTTTATGAACGAGTCGGACGAGTACGGCGACATAGATGGGCTCGGCTCGGCTGCGCCTATCATCGGTCGACAAGGTGCTGCGGTTCAGGCTTGAGCTTGTATTGCACCTCAAGCCAAGCGCTGTCCAGCGAACCGTGTGCATATGACCTAGCACCAAGACATCCCACCTTGTATTTGTACTCTTCTGCTCTCCAAACCCTGCTACAACGTGCATCTGCCGTGTGTGCGAGACGACTCTTTCGTGAAATGGATCTCCTCCTGTGTATCGCGCTGGGCTTCCGGTGGCAGCAAGTCACAACAGTCAGCAACCCATGGCTGCTGTCCCTCGTCGAGCCCTCGAGCAAAGGTTGAAGGATAGCATTCTCAAAGCCTTTTCCAAAGCTCGAATTTCTTGAGCTTCGATCACCTTCTCGAGTTGCTCAGGCGAATCAGCGGGCTTGAATTGAGATTTTCACGTCATTGGCAGCCTTAACACCCTTGGGGCGAAAAATAAAAGCTCTTATCGGTGTGGCTTTGCGGTGTGTGATCTGCAAAAGACTGCGGTGACGAGCGAGCTGAGCTTTTCGCCGTCTCGCTTCAACACATCGACCGCCGTTATCACCGCTTTCCCTTCTCATCACCATCAGCAACACTTTGAACGCCACATCAGACGACATTGCACTCTTTCGTCGCATCGCATCGACTCGGACTTGACAGCGACAAGGATCGCCGGTGATACGAGGCGCGAGTCAAGATGCGCGGTCGCTCCATTCACGCCCGAGCCTTGCTCAGGCAAGTGAGTGCTCAGAAGAACGCCGTCGCAGCATCGATAGCCGGGCCTTCTGCCGCAGCCATCTCTCCAGCGAGGGCATTCAACTCGAGCTGTGGACCGCGATCGACCCGCTTGACCTCTCGCCGCGTCTCCTCGTCGGTGCTCTCGTCGTCCAAGTCGTCGAGCAACTCATCGGCCAACAGCGGCAACTCATCCTCTTCAGGTAGCAGCAACTCGGCCGCATCATCATCCTCGTCCGCGCCCAATGCCACAGCCACTGAGCAGCGCTCCAACTCGACCCCAGTCTCGCCCCTTGTCAAGGTCAAGGCCCACTCGTCCCGCCTCGCCAAGGCCGGCACCGCCCCTGCCAACCCGCCTCCGTCGTCCCTTGGCAACGTAGCATGGGAGAGCTTCTTCTCGAATGAACGCCCCTTGCTGCAGCACGAGATGCTGCCACCGCGACCCAAGCGTGCTGGCGGTTTCGGCTCTTCAACGTCGCCCTCGGGCGGCACGCTGACCGCCATCTTTACCTCCGACGGCTCTTTGGCCACCTTTGGCAACTTTGCAAGCGAATCGCAGCAGCAGTGGAGGCGAAGGATGCGTACCATTGCACCGGAACGATTCAACGAGCTGGTGGACGGTCTGGCGGGAGCCGAAGCGGAGGCGGAAGTGGCCGCGCAGGACGCAGCGACGCGTTGGCTCGTGTCGAGCTTCCATCCCGAATCGGATCGCGTCGCGGTCGAGTCCGCCAAGCTCGAGGAAGAGGAGCGAATCCGAGAAGAGGAGGACGAGGCGGTTCAGAACGCTCTGGACCGCGGAGAGGATCCCGAGACGGCACGCAAGTTGGGCGCAGAAGCGGATCTGATCATTCTGGGTGAGCCGCACGGCCCGTCTGCCGAGTGGTCGCGCGGAGTGGCCACCTACCTCGCCGAGAAGGGTCGTGCATACGAAGCGCCGCCTGCTCCCACCACGGGCGAGAAGGGTGACGTAGAGGCATCCGAGCCCCTCGAATCCCCGCACGTCGCTAGCAGCGTGTTTTTCACGGACGACGACCCGAACCTGATGCTCTCGCACGCGCTGGTGCAGTCGACGCTGCCGCTCGCGCTCAAGTGGGACAAGGTGGTGGCGCAGATGGACGCGGTCGCGCTCAACGACCCCACCCGGGCCGACGCTGTGGTGGACACGAGCAAGCTCGATGCACACCTCGAGGGCCACAGCCGACGCGTCAAGGTGAGCCCGCTGCTGGAGGCGCACAACATCATGATGGATAGCGTGCGCAGGAAGAGGAGGAAGAAGATCCGAAAGCACAAGTACAAGAAGCTGCGCAAGGCGCAGCGTGCCGAGCGACAGAGGATGAAGAAGTAGTCGTCTCGCATTGTATTTGTCTGGGATGAACGTAACATAGAATCCAGGTGGTGTTCGATGATGCGAAGCGGTGGTCTGTGAGGGGTCTAGTGAGATTAGAAGGATTGTTCTGAGACAAAGAAGTCGTCACAGCTAGGCGTGTCTTTTTCCGGAGATGGACATCCGACCCCTGAAATCGCTTCTAAGAGAGCTAAAAGGAGACGTTCCTGCTCTTCTTCTTGATCTGCTTTGTCCGCCTCGCCAACTGCAATTCCGCATCGCACTTCGGATAGCAACGTTGTAAGATCATGCTTGCTAGCGTCACTCTTCAAGATGACCCTGAATGCCAGCCGAATGGAGGCTAAAGCTGTTGTGGGTCACGGACGACAACCGCGAATTTTCTGCAGTTGACCCCTGCATGCTGCACAGTGGACGATCATGAACTCCTTACGCCGCCGCTTTCTGTACTTGAGCGGGTCATCCATCCGAGCATAGCCAGTCGGAAAATCGTGGCGAGCTCAGCACGGCCATGACCTATTGGAATGACAGTGATAGCATTGCAGCTCTGCAACACAGCCTGACACAGCTCAGACTCGGTGTTCTCCGTCCCGCTCTTCGCGAAGAAGAAGGGCGCTAACAAGCCAGCTGAAATTGCCCAAAGTGGAAATGCTCCTGACCGAGCCAGAAGACGAGGGCTGTGCGTGCGTGGATATTTGAATTTCGCGTCTGATTTTAGAAGTGCGTGTGTGTGTGGCCCAAGCTGTTGACTGCTGCTGGGCTGCCCTCGCGTGTGGCTTCGCCTCTCGGTCTCAGCTAGCTCGCCAACTCAACAGCCACAACCGTCAGAGCCGTCTCGCATCCACCACCGACCCTGTCTGTCGATTCAATCCGGTCGTCTCGATCATCCCTCCTTCTTCCTTCGCAATTACGCCCTCTCCATCCGCCATCTTCTTCTTGATAGCAACATCCGCCAGTCGACAGCGTGGATACGATACCGGACTCGGTTCGCCTCCCTACAATCCTCACTCGACACATCTCCGCATCGATCCAAGCGGCTCAGCGCGCATAGGCAACCATGGCGCGTGATCGTCTTGCGGCCATGAGGGTGAGTACTCAGACACATCGGAATGTCTTGCTGTTGCTTCCCATCAGCGGATGCGGATCGCAACGCTCTCGCGGCTTGGCCATCGTCCATGACTGAGTGACTGACCACCTTCTTTCATCTCTCCCTTGCAGGCCCAACAAGCCGGTGGATACGGAGGCTACGGCGGAGGCAACAACGGCTATGGAGACCACTCGTACCCAACACAGCAGCAGGGCGCTGCTCAGGCCGGTTACGGTCAACCTCAAGCAGGCTACGCTGCGCCACCTCAGCAGCAGCCCCAGCAGCAGGTCGCTTACGGATACGGCCAGCAGCAGCCAGGCTACGCTGCTCAGCCCCAGCCCGGTGCCTACGGCGCGCCTCAGCAGGGTGGCTACGCCGCTGTCCCCGTTGCAGGCCAGGACTCTTACGAGATGCAAAGCGTCGCCTCCGAAAAGCCCGCTGGCGACATGAACTCGTTCTTCACCGACATCTCCGAGATCCAGGACACCATCCGCCTCATCGACGAAAACGTCAACAAGATCTCCGACCTCCACTCGCGATCGCTCAACAACATGGACGAGGCCTCGGCGCAGTACGCCGAGCAGCAGCTCGCGTCGATCCAGCAGGAAACCTCTTCGCTCACCAACGCGGTCAAGAACCGCATCAAGCTGTTGGAAGCGCAGACCAAACGTGTGCCTGCGGGTGGGGACAAGAACGTGCGTAACACCCAGATCGGTGCGGTGAAGAACCGATTCAAGGAGACGATCCAGCGGTATCAGCAGGTGGAGCAGGGGTATCGGCAGAAGTACCGCGCGCGCGCCGAGCGTCAGTTCCGCATCGTCAAACCCGATGCTACGCAACAGGAAATCAAGGCTGCGCTGGATGACGACCAGAACGGCCAGATCTTCTCCCAGGCACTGCTCAACTCGAATCGACACGGCGAAGCCAAGGGCGCTCTGCGCGAGGTGCAGGAACGCCACGAGGACATCAAACGGATCGAACGTACGATTACCGAATTGGCTCAGCTGTTCAACGAGATGAGCATCCTCGTCGACGAACAGGACGACGCACTCAACGTCATCCAAGAACAAGGCCAGCAGGTCGAAACGGACATGAATCAGGGTCTGCAGCACACCAACAAGGCCGTCGATTCCGCCAGGAAGGCGAGGAAGAAGCGCTGGATCTGCTTCTGGGTCATCATCATCCTCATCATCGCCATCGCCGCCGTCGTCGTCGCAGTCATCTGCACCAGACCCGGCAACTGCGGTCAGAGCAATGGAAACAACAGGAGGAGTCTCGTCGCCAGGGCCGTGCTCTACGGCCAGGGTATGTGGATCGAAAAGATGGACAGCAGGGCCATGTTGCTCCCCGACTTGGGGATTTAGATTTTCATTGATAGGATTCTGCTTGCACGTCGCTGCCTTGAATGGGCGATGCTGTTCACACCCCACTGTCTTTCCGGTTTTCAATTGTTTATATCTTGGTTTGGTCTGGCATGTTGTCTGGCGGATCGTGATTCCTGACCTTGTGAGGACTCGGCGTGAGAAGTGAGGGTGTCGATACGGGCTGGGTGTGAGCGACGTGGTGGGATTTTGTGACCTCGATTTTGACTCCGCCTTTTTCGCCGTGTGGAGAGAACAACACCCTGGACGAACATCAATTTGGGGCCTCGGCAACGTTGCTCCTCGCTCTCGACCCATCCCGCTCTCTTGTCCTTCCACTTCCAACTGCCCCTCTCTACCGGGACTCGACGGGGCTCATCGACGAGCGCAGATCCAGCAAGAATGGCAGCTTCGCAACTCACGACCCTGTCCCGGACGCAGATCGCCTCGTCCCTCGAAGCGTATCCCTCGGCAATAGCACACAAGTCCTCCCTCACCCCGTCCAAGCCCAACACCGAGTCGCTCGTTGCCCTTGATGAGTGGTATCACTCCCTCCCAACCCTTTCGGGCTCCAAAGGAGAGGGTCGGATGCGGGGAAAGCAAGATCTGATCAAGTTGATGCAGTGGAAGTTGGCGAGGGAGAAGTTTCGTCCCACCCTTCTCTCGCTCATCTCGTCCAACGACGCCTCCATCTGCTCGGAGGTGCTCCAACGGGCTGCAACCCACCTCTCCTCCCACACCCCCTCATTCGAGCTGGATACCGAAGAGTCATTGAAGAGCGTAGAAAGCACGATGCGCATCCTTGCCGAGCTACGCGGTATTGGGCCCGCAACCAGCAGCGCCATTGTCGCCACCTGGTCCCCCATGGGCGTCTTTCAATCCGACGAATTGGCCCAGGCGTTGTTAGGGGATGTCAAGATCGAGTACACCTGGACGTTTTACAGAAAGTTCTACAGAGCCGCAATAGAGACGATGAAGAAGTGGCAAGGCGAGAGGGAGGGGAAGGTGCTCGAGAGGGTCGCTTGGAGCATGGCGCACACTCCCACTGAAGTCCCCTCTTCAGTCGCGGGGAAGGAGGTGAAGCAGAAGCTAGACGAGAGAGGCGAAATGCCAGCGAGCAAGCACAAAGACTCACAGTCGAATAGCAGCGTCAAGCTCGAACCGAAAGAGACGAGGTCGAAGCGCGAGGTCAAGGACGAGGCGAGTGCGGGAGAGGGGAGGGTGTCGAAGCGATTACGCAGTCGGTGACCATGCTGCCTTCAATGCAAAGTATACCCACGCACGAAAGCCGGTCGATACAAAGCGGCCAGGATGGAGGTCAACGAGCTTGTGACACGCTCTGTCCGACTGCGTCTGCCTTCGAGCCAAGGTGAGCGCAGAGCAGACGCAAGATGCTCCTCCACGTCAATTCCTATGCGTGACGCATTCGCTACGAATGCCCATCTCCAGACCATCACACACACCCTCGACCACGAGCAGAGCTCGCAACGTCTTTTGAGCAAAGCACACATTTCGAGCAAAGTCAAGGTTTGATTGCCAGCAAATCAAGAATCAGGCCGCCATCCACTCATCTCGCCATACTCCTGCTCCTCGTTCTCAGGTCCCCTCCCTGCGCCCTCCAAAATCTGCTTCTGCGTCATCTTACCAAACGCGCCCTTCTTCTCTTCCACCTTCCCCTCTCCCGCGTTGAACAGATCCAGAATCTGCTCGGTCTCCATACTGTCCATGCCGGCATTCTGCTGGTTGACGACGCTGTTCGCCACATTGAGTTTAAACCGTTGCAGACCCATGATCTTGGCCTCGAGCGTGTTCCTCGTGATCAGACGGTAGACGTTGACGACCTTTTTCTGACCCAGTCGGTGGGCGCGGTCCATGGCCTGAAGGTCCTTCATGGGGTTCCAGTCGTGTTCGACAAAGATCACCGTATCTGCGCCCGTCAGCGTTAGACCGAGACCGCCGACCTGGGTGGTGAGCAGCAACACATCGATCGACGGATCCGCATTGAACGTCTGGACAATCGAATGGCGTTTCTCTGCCGAAACGCTGCCGTCCAACCGCATGTACGAGACGCTCGGCATCAACGCCGCAAACAGATCCCGCTGGATGATGTCAATCATCTGCTTGAGTTGGCAAAAGATCAGCACACGGTGTTGCGACACCGCACTCTCCCCATCACCCGCCAGATCCCCACCACCCGGCGCAGCCGCCCCAATTCCACAATCCAACAACAGCTGTCGCAACGCCTGCAGCTTGGGCGAGTGCGAAATGTCGTTGAGATCGCCACCCGTTTTGGCGAGCTTCTGCTTGATAGCGACGTGCTTCGGATTATCGTCCGTCAGCACGAGCGATGGGTGGTTGACCAGCTTGCGCATGTACTGCAACGCTTTGAACACGTGCTGTTTGTCCCCGCCTTCCTTTGCTCCGCCACTCGTAGCTGTAGCACCGGCAAACGCCTCCGCCTCATCCTCGCTCTGCTCGCGCGAAAAATCGTCGTAGAGCTGCTTCTGGATCTCACCGAGATCGCACTCGATATCTTGGATGATCTTGGGAGGAAGATCGTCCAGCACATCCTCCTTGAGTCTGCGCAGCAGGAAGGGCAACACCTGCTTGTGCAGCGCCTCGAGCGCCAGCGCTGCCGCCTCCTGCTCTTTGGATGTGAGCTTCCCATCGCGCGAGGCGATGATGGGCTTGCCGAACCGCTCGTGGAAGCTACGTTCCGTTCCCAAAAAGCCCGGCATGAGAAAGTCGAACAGCGACCACAGCTCCAGCACGTTGTTTTGGATTGGCGTGCCGGACAGCAACAGCCGGTGGTTGGCCCGGATGAGCTTGACCGCTTTGGTGGTTTTGGTCTTGGCAGAGCGGATCACGTGCCCCTCGTCGAGGATGCAGTAGTTCCACGAGATCTGCGAGAGCGCAGCGATGTCGTTGCGCACCACGTCGTACGACATGACGACGGCGTCGTAGCGATGGATCTCGCCCTGCAGGCGGGCGCGTTCGGCGGGGAGACCCGAGTAGAGCAAAGGCCGCAAGTTGTTGGCGTACTGCTTGATCTCGTGGCACCAATGGCCCGTGAGGGTCGGAGGGCAGATGATGAGGCTTGGCAGCGGTTTGGCGTCGGCAGCCTTGGTGAGGCGATACCGTTCAGCGCGCTCGTGGTGCTTCGACGAGAGGATGCAGATCGACTGGAGCGTTTTGCCGAGACCCATGTCGTCGCAGAGAATGCCATGCAGCTGATACTTGGCCAGGAACGCCATCCAGTTGACACCATCTTGCTGATACTTGCGCAGCTTGGCGTTGATCTGAACGGGAATCTGGTACGGTTCGACTTTGGACCCGTCGAGCAGCTGCATGAGGAACTTGCGTTCGGTCTCGCGGCGCTGCAGAAGGTCCGCTGAGAAGCCAGGTGGGTCGGGCAGACCCGCTTCGAGCGGAACCATCTTGACGAGCGATGCAAAAGTGTTTGTGGCCACCAGTCGCACCTTTTCGTCATTGTCGCTCATGCGACCCAGCACGGGCACGATGAGGAAGATGACATAGGGCAAGATCTTGAGGTCGAGCTGCTGTACGGTGTGGTAGACGAGTTCAACGGCGCCTTGGCGGTTGGTAATGGAGGCTGCATCGCCGACGAGCGGCACGACTTGCTCGACGACGTGCTTGAGCGCCACTTCGGTGATGCAGCTGGCGACGACGGCGAAGCACTTGGCTGCTGCTGATCGGATCACGGCGAAGTCGCTCTGAATGGCCAGTGTCAATGCCGGGAGGAGCTCGATCACCTTGTCGCCGAGCGTGCCCTTGAGGCTGGGCATGTTGACGTCCAGCACCGCGCAAGCATCGAGAATGCTCTGACCCAGGTCGTCCTGCTTCGCGATGAGCGCATCCGCTTCGGCTGCGGTCGAGCTGAATGTGTTCAAAAGCGCTTTGCTCATGCATTGCCAAAGCATAGGCACAACGTCGAAAAGCCTGTCGCCAAACAGGTCGGCGAGCTGAGCAAGCGCCGCAGCAGCACCGCGGCGGATCAGCTTGCCTTGCAGCACCTCCTCCGACTCGACCGGCTCGTCCTTGGTGCTCGTCCTGCCCGGCCCCTTGGGGACGACCGCAGGCTCGTTCATGCTGAGAATCCCCTGCCGGACGTCTTTGCTCGCCGCAAAGATGGCCACGCGCGTCGTATCCTGGCAGACGAACGCGCACAGGTTTTTGACAATCTTGTCGCTCGGGTTCGTCTTGGCGGCTGGCGAGGAACAGTACTCGATGAGTTTGGCCACCGACCGAGCCGAACGGGTCTGGAGGTCCACGTTCTCCTCAAACTTGACGCTGTTCATGATGCTTCGGATGACGGGGTTGAGCTTGGCAGGGAGGACCTTGAGCGAGATGACGGCGCCTGCGATCGAGGCAAACACCTGCGTGTCTTGCTTCTCTTTGTTTGCCTGGTAGAAGCCAATGGCTGCGATGAGTTTGCGGCGGCGGTCTTCGAGCAGTGGTAGTGCTGCCTTCTTGGCTTTGGACCCGGCCTGCGAGAGCAGCGACTCGAATCCGTTTTGGGCGACGTCCTTGGCAGTGTCGATGGTGAACGCGTCGACCATCATGCCCAGAGGATCCACGGTGGTGGGCAGCGATGGGATCTTGGCTTTCGGCACCTTGGCGTCTCTTTGGAACGAGTTGTACAAACCCTGACACTCGGCTTGAATGCGTTGCAGCATGACCGTCATCTCGGCATACGTTGGAGGGGCAGGTGTTTCCAACACACCAATCAGGCGACCGGCGAGGTCATTGACAATTGGGCTCGTGTCCTTCAGATCACTGCCGAGGCCCGCACACGCCTGCGCCCATTCTTGGATGATGGCGGCGGCCAAACACTTTTGCAAAGCTGACGTCGACTCGAGATAGTCGCGGAGCACCTCGCCGAAGGTGGTCTCGTCCTCCGCCCGAGGGAAGCGGGCCATGGCGCTACCGAGCGCCTCTGCCGCACTGAGTCGACCGCGAATGACAGCATCGACGCCCACAAGCGACAGGTCCTGCGTCAGAATACCCTTGTCCACATTGTGTCGATTCGCATCGGTGTGCGTGCCACTGCCGATCAAGGCGCTGTAGAAGAGCTGGAAGTCGATGGGCGAGCCGAGCGGAGTCATAATGATCCGGAAGAAGTTGACCACGTAGGGACCGAGCAGCTTCTGGACGTTTGCGGCATCACTGGCGACGTGCGCGAGAGCGTGTCCCCAAGCGTCGGCACTGGCGCGGCGGATGGGCAGCTTCTCCTCCACGACAAGATTCTGGAAGAGAAGTCGCAGAACCCGCTCGTCGATCCAGTCCTTCGGCAGTGACGGCACTGTCAAGAAGACGCGCAACGCGTTGAGCACGGACAGTCGGACACTCGTGATGGTGTGGCGGAAGAAGGGGAAGAGGCGCGGGATGAGCAGAGACAGTGCGCGCTGCTCTTCCGCTTCGGCTCGGAGATGAATCACGATGCCGGGATGCTCGACGAGCTTGGCCAAGAGGTCCATTACACCACCGATACTGCTGGCGAGATCGTCCTTGAGATCGCCGAGGCAGTCCCAGAGCTGATCGAGAAGCCGCCGGACCTCGCCAGGAAGCTTTTGAAGGATAACGTCGACGATGGGAACCAGAGCGGAAGCAGCTACAGCGCGCACATCATCGTCGTCGTCTTTGAGGCCGAGGATGGCCACCTCGACCACATCTCGGAGCATCGCGCCCGCGTCGATCTCTGCGTCCCGACCAGAGAGGGATTTGCGGTCCTCCTCTTCCTTTTTGACCCCATCGAGCTCGCCTTTGACGACAGCTGAAGACATGAGCAAGTCCTTCTTGACGACGACCTCGTACTTGAGACCAAGCAGACCTGCATGGCGCACCTCCCAGACGTAGCCCTTCTTGCCTCGCTTGGCCGCAAATCCAGCTTTGAAGTCGGTCGCAGCGCCCTCGGCGGCGTGATCTTGACAAATCATCTGCAACAGCACATTGTGCACCGAGAGAATGGACGACTCGGGCATGTGAGGCATGAGACAGGCCAGCGTCTGACTCGCCGTCTCGCGAACGGGTGCGACGACTTGGTCAAAGACGAAATCGCCGAGACGGTCGAGCGCAAAGACGCAGAGGAGCTTGATCGACATGTCGTCGCACCACGCCTTGTGCATCTTGGCGTTGTCCTGAGGCGAAGAGAGCTCCACCTTGCCTCCGCCAAAACCTTGCGTCTTGAGCAGCTCACGAAGACCGAGAGCAGCACCGTGGCGTGTCTCCCACGTCGGACTGAAGAGATCGACGCTGAGCGTATCTACAACAAGGAGGAACGGCCACTCGCCCGGCCTGACCTGGAATGGATTCGCCGAGGAGGTGTAACCAGCCGACAAGGCACCGCTGGCAGCTGGCGATGATGCTGCGGCAGGTGAGCCTGGGACGTCCCCAATGGGTGTGGGCGTGGAAACGCTGCCGGTCACGGCAGGCGCCGATCCTGGGCCACCTGCGGGATGCTTGGGCGCAGGAGGAGGGCGAGCAGTGAGATAGTCACCCGCTGCTTCGGTGTTGACCGGAGTAGCAGGCGTCTGTGGGAGAGCACCGGTAGCAGTCTTGACGCGGAGCCCAGTAGCGATACCAGGTGAGCCTGCGTCAGAGCTATCGATGACTCGAGTCTTTGCTTCCGACGGACCCGTTTTGCCTTCCAATTTGCGCTTCCTCTTGAGAGCATTGCGCTCTCGGGCGCTGAGCTTGCTCATGTCAATGTCGTCGGCGGGCGTCTCGGAGCCGGACGGAGCGGGTGCCGGGGAGGGCGAGGGTGCTGAAGCTGCCGAGGGAGCGACGGGAGAGGGCGAAGGGGCGGAAGCGTTGCTGGCGAAGCGCGGAGGTGGTAGCGACGGTGCGCTGTTTGAGACAGCCGCCGCGAAGCGTGGAGCTGGCAGCTTGGATTTGGCGGCGCCTCCCGCCGCTGTCCTCCAGTCGACGCTGCCCTGCGAGGAAAGGGGTATGGAGGAGGCTGTCGTCGACTCTCCCGTCTTGAGCTCGGCCTCTACATCCATGCCGATGTCCATGGCATCCAGCCCAAACCCAAGGCCAAGCTTGCTGACGACATCCTTCTTTGCCTGCGCCAGACGGTCCGAGCCAGCAGCGAGCGAAGCTTGTTCGAACTCTTTGCCTGCAGACGAGAGCAGCTTGGTTCCGGTAGCGAGGACGGTTGGCAGTGAGAACGCATCGAAAGTAAGGAGCGAATCGTTTGCAAGCAGCTCGGAGACAACTGGCTTCGCCTCCTTGGTGTCATCCTCCTCAGCACCGAGGACGGACTTGGAGCTCTCGCCTGGTTTAGATGCTTGAATGTCTGGATCCCAGATGCCAGCAGCATGGCAGATGCTCTCGATGGCGAGGGAAGCAGCAACGCGAGTATCCCAGCTCTTGGAGCGGAGGAAAGGGACGACCCTAGCGAGGTACGATGTGATCTCGTCCCAGTCGCCATCGGTGCCTCGGTAGATGCCGACTTGCTCGTCGACGGAAGGTCCGGCAAAATGGTGCTGCTTATTGATCTGCTCGGATGTGCCGAATTTGCCGGATTGCTTGGCAGAGGATGAGGAAGACGGGTCTTCCGACTTGACGAGGCCATCGGCTTCGGCGTCAATGGCGGGCGTCGAAGTGCCCGAGCTGTGATACGTCGAGCGGGTCGAGGCTTCGGTCTTGTGTGGCCGTGAGTGAGCCGCGGCGTACTGCGCGGTGCTTTGACCCCGAATGCGTGCGGCTGCAATCTGACCGAGCTGCTTAGCGGCAGTGGCACGAATGGCGGGAGTCGAGCCCGTGTCGAGCAGCAAGACCAGGCGGTCTAGCCTTGTCGAAGCCATCTTGACGAGAAAGCGCCCACCTGTTCACTCGATGCAATGGTGCTGTTCGAGAACTACTCACACGAACGGGTCGGATCACCCTGCCAGCCACGCGTTGAAGACGGAGATCACCGAGCTTCGATCAATTGATCCCACTGCCTCTAGCAGGGCATCGAGACCGATCGGATGGCGACAACGATGCCACTGGCCGTGGTGTAGCGGAGAATTGGGATCCGGCTATGCGACGGCGAGTTGAAGCAATTGGCCTGATCGGTGCGCTCGTCAGGGTGTGTTTTTGGAAGAACCGATATTTTTTGGCGTTCAACTGCGGGGGCCAAGCGAGCGTTGCACGGCGAATATATAGAAATTGGACGTTTCTTCTTGGGTGTGTGCGGGATCGTCACAACGCGTTTTGGCCGAAGCAGATGAAAAGGTGGAGGCGAAATTCCGCAAAAAGCCTTGTCACAGGGCGGCGGGTCTCTATATACCCTTCTGCAGACCAATCAGCTCGTCCCGTGTGTGTGTGTTTTGTGCTGAGTCGGAACGGGAATCGCAGCAGAGAACACCGCGATCTTTTTTCATTTTCTCGTGAATTTTGCTCCAAAGACGGTATCGCCGATTAGGGTCGACCGATCCAGAAGATCTACGACGCTTCGCAGCAAGGGTGAAAAAGTTGACATCTCGAGAAGAACTGACCGCGAAGCACAGTCACTTTCGACATCACACGATCAGCTCGTCACTCGGGTCATCTGTATCTTTCCAACTACTCATCGCAATTCGGTATCGCCGTCACCACTCGCCATGTCGGCTGTATCCCTGACTCGCTCCTTGGCGAGGCTCAGCTTGGCTTCGACCTCCCAAGCTACCCGCATGGCGATCCGACAACCTGCTCGACTCGTCGCTCCCATCGCATCGTCCTCGCTCTCCATCTCCGCCCGTACTTACGCCACGCCAGCATCAGCAGCCATCCGCCTCGGCAACCTCTCTCCCGGTCAACCCACCAAGACACGCAAGCGACTCGGTCGAGGTCCCTCCTCTGGCCGTGGTGGCACCTCTACGCGCGGTCACAAGGGTCAGAAAGCGCGTGCGGGCAACGGCAAGCCCGTCCCTGGCTTCGAAGGTGGTCAGACTCCTCTCACCCGTCGCTACCCCAAGCGTGGCTTCACCAACGTCCACGGTCAGACCTTTGTCGCCGTCAACTTGGACAAGATTCAGCACTGGATTGACCGCGATCTGCTCGACCCCTCGCGGCCTATCACCGCCAAGGAGCTCTACGAAACGAGGTGCATTCATTCGCTCAAGGATGGCGTCAAGATTCTGGGCGAAGGGGCACAACATTTGGCGGATCCAGTCAATCTGGTGGTGTCGAGAGCCTCGCAGTCTGCCATCGAGGCGATCGAGAAGGCAGGAGGCAGCGTCGAATGCAGGTACTACACACCGCTCAGTTTGAGAGCACTCGTGAAGCCGCACAAGTTTGCCGGGAAGATCTTGCCAAGGAGTCCGGATCCCATCAACAAGAAGGACCTCGTGTGGTACTCAAGCCCGAGGAACAGGGGGTATCTGGCCAAGCGGGCGGCGTTGACAAGGGCCATGGCTGGCGAGGGATCCGCGGCAGAGGCGAGCGCTACCACGGCTTCCGCTTGAACGTACTCGCAATGCTTCAGCTCAACAACCCCTCATCATGTATTTTTACAGCTTACGAATGCATCGACCACCCAGTTCATTGTCCTTGATAACGGCCTTCTTTGATAACATCGATTCGAACACCGATGGCGATGACGTGGAGATGCCTAGGTCGGGCACCACCGGGATCAGCGTGGATAGTTGCTGTTTTGATCGAAGCTCATCAGGTCGGGGGACCGCCGCCGCAGCGGCCGGATCATCGTAGATGGCTCCTTCGCTCAGTCGTGATGGCCGACATCACTAATGCCAATGCACAAGGTCAGGAGACGTCGCCCGCTGAGACTGTGGGCCGCTTTTGAGAGGCATTCGCATCGTGTGGGTTTATTCCTGACACGGGATGCACCTGCTGTTGTAGGATCTGCTGACAGCGGTTCGCGCGGATGTGGTTCCGAAGCGGTCTCCTGCAAAGATAATGAAATGACGGCAATGGTCCGATTGTTGCTGTATCAAGGCACCGGTGCCGGACTCATCCTTCCGAATCGACCTCGGGACGAATGCGATATACGCTTTGTGGAGCACCTTTTGATTGCAGCGCCACATGCAGGACTGATTCGGCTCAAGCAATCACCCGGTCATGTCGTTCAACCACGGTCTGCAGATCGATGGCCTCTGTATAAGTAGACTTGCTGAGGCCGAACTTGGCACGCTCAGGACCCGGACCACGCCCTCCATACACGAAGAGTCAGGTCCCACTTTGCCAGCGACACGGGCATCATGTCCGAATTGCACTCGCAACATCTCACCCTCATCGACACGCACATCACCGCCATCCTGATCGGCATCGTCATGTGCGAGATCTTGTCGTTTGCATCTTTCGACCTGCGTCTCATCGCTGCGCTGATTCGCAAGCGAAGCTTTCGACCCGTGCCTGCTGCCTATCTCACTGCTCGCTTCACCACGCTGGTTGGCATGTCGATCCTCGCCGCCTTCACGCTCTCGTTTGCCGCGCAGAAGCCGCAAAGCGAGCTGGCACTGCACTGGGTGCGAGCCCTCGTGCTGCCCATCAACTTTGCCTCGACATCGGCGGTGCTGGGCTACCGAGCATTGGTGTTGCACTTCAACCGACGACGAACCGTCTCGTGTGTAATTCATCTGCTCCTGTTGGTCGAGCTGGCGGGCGGGACCGGGTTCATGACGCTTGCCGTGACGGATCCTCACAATCCGGCGAAGGAATTCTCGTATGGCTCAGGCCGCGTCTCGCTCGCCTGGACCACAGCCTCAGTAGCTGTGGCGCTCATCATCGATGCGATACTCAGCCTCCAGATTGTCGTTCCGATATTGCGCGGCGGAGAGCTGCCGAGAAAGGGCGAAGTGACCCATCTGCTTCTCTGCGACTCCATCTCGTTCGGTGCCTTCAGCGTGGTTGCCAAGGCAGTGGCGATCGGTTACACGCTAGGGGTAGGAGAAAAGGACGCCAACCCGTACCTGCCCATCAGAATCGAGGGTGTTGCGAGCACGATTCTCGCGTGTAGGATCTTCAGGGCGCAGGAGACCTCTCTGCAGAGACTGAGGGACGAGAAGGCGAGTCCGAGCTTGGGTGCCATCGCATTGGAAGAATGTCGCATGGCCGTGTCGAAAGAGGTTGGGCGCGTCAACGTCGTTCAGGAGGCAGCTCAACAGGGTGATACCCAGCAACCGACAACAGAACCCGGACGGATCTTGGCGAGCCTGGATGAAGGAAGAGTCCCGTCGCACGAAAGAGGACAGCAGCAGACACCATGTATCCGCTCGTACGCATGACGATGTCCACCTAGCACCTCTTCCTCAGATCGGGATTCGATCGAAGCCATCTGCTCGTGAGGACCTTGCTGGTTACCCTGTCACGACACGATTTTCAATTTGCTGTTTCAAAAAATCCAGGCGGACGATTTTGCACGCCTGAGTTGAGGAGTGAGTTCGGCATCTCGGCACGGCCACGTTTTTTCTCCTTACCTCGACCCCTGTACGCCAATCATCCTCCCCTTGCCCTGTTCTGGATGCATTCTGGCCTGCGGGCAGCGAGCCAGGCCCAGGCTGCGTGTCCGGTCAAGCTAGCGAATGACGTGCATGCCGCCGGGGTGCAGCAGATCTACGACGCCCCGACCCGGCGGCTCGGGAGAAGGAGCATAACCCTCAACCCTGACCGTGGTGTTTGGCTGCCACGCCCTTGTTCCTGGAGCGTCGTTTCATGCGAAGCTTACCCATGAATTGAATGGATAGCGTGGCAAAGTCGTTATCTCGCGAGCTTGGCAAGCAGCCTTGACGTTGGCGTGATCGCAAGGCTGTGCAGATCGCACCCCGGGCTTTTCGCCCAAGATCCAGGCGCAAACGTCCCAAGGCGATCACAATGACGTCTCTACGACTCTTTCTCCATTGATAGGGACGGGGATGGTGTGGTCAACACACTATGATGTTTGCACCGACTCGTCTGAGCGATGGACTGGACATAGCATCACGGCAAATCAAGACGGAGCTTGAGTCTGCTGCAACACGTTGCGACAATCAGGGACACGCGCCCGAGGCTGATCGTCGGAAATGCGAGGTCGGAAGTGCATCCAAAGGCGCGCAAGCTTGCAGCTCCGCCCTTTGCAAAGCTTGTTCTCGGCCAGCTCAACTCGGGGCAACGGTTCTTCAGCCGCTCTCTCTCTTTCTCTCCCTCCGTCTCATGCCGGCATTCGGATCGCACCTGAAGGGACGAAGTCTCTGCAGCAATGAAGCCGGCGCAGCGCTGCGTGATCTGCGGTCACCGTGTGCTGATCATTACACGAACAGCAGGCCAACTACAGTAGAGTGCCAATCATGCATGCGAGAAGGAGCAAGCTCGCCAAGCTGCGCAGTGGGTCGGGACCAGGTGCGAGGATGGCTTAGGAACGAGCGCAAAACCAATCTTGTCTCGCTTGGATCCGACTGTGTAAGACCCAAATGTGCATCTCATGAACCTCGCTTGGGTCTCTATCGTCGGCCCTCGACCCTGACCACGCCCGAAATGCCTCAGCTGGACGGTGCACGATTTCGGACTTACCGAAGCCAGCCAGCCCACTCACCATCGGTTCGACCGAAGCATTTACATCCCCCTGATTCAATCGGAAGCGGTCCGTCGTGGGAGGACGACGGGTGTGCGTGTGTCCATGAACGCCGAGGCAAGAGCAGCAGCAATTCGGAAGTGTGTCTGTCGGTGGCTTTTGGGCTGCAGAACGGAGAGCAGTCGTCCGTCTTTGGAGAGCTCAATTTCGATTCACGGCATTTCCGCTCAACCCTGTAAGCCTCGCCTCGCATCGAGCGACATAGGATGTCTCCGCTCGAGCTTGAGCTTGCGCCTTCTCTGATGATTGGAGCCTGAGAAGCTTTGTCGCTTCGGTACTCACGATGAAGTCAGAAAGCGACCGCTGCTGGTCTCGAGCCTCCTTCCTGCGAACGCATGGCCTACCTGCTGCTACCTTTTCTGACTAGTCGTCGGTGCTCCATCCGGTGATTATTGATGGGATCTTGCAGCGTTGCGTTTTCCCTTTGGACCAACTCCTTCCTCCGTTACAATCTTCGCGGAAGCCACCATCATCTCGCTCGCTCTCTCCACTATCCCCCACAGAAGACGATCCCTTCCGCCCTCCTTCGAGTCGCTTGGTATCCGTCCGCCCCTACATACAAACCGGGAAAGGTCCCATCTCCTTGTGACCAACGCACCATCAGGATCGCACGCAACCGAGCTACTTCGCCCAGCCATTCCAACATCCGAGTTGCCCCCTGGCTCAAGCTAGAGCCGCTCCATCTACTCGAATCACGGCGAGGAATGCTCGCACCATAGCTCAGCTCGCGCTATCGAGGCATTCGAGCTTGGAGTCTGCCTTGAGAACACCCTCGGCCTTGCTCTTGACGGGCGGAGAACACAGAGATCGATCCTCCCGACATCCAGCGTGTGCACAGATAACAAGCTGCCCGGCCGCGTTGTGACCGGAGACGCTTCGATTCGGCGCTCTTGACAGCTCTTCGCCTTCCTCCGCACCCTCCTCCGGCTTTCGTCCACCATGTCCGACAGTCTCCACTTTCACTCGTCCATGGACGTATCTGCGCAGACCCCCGGCAGTTCCACCGGCACCCCCAACAGCCGCGGCACAAAACGCAAAGAGTCGGATCTGGAACCTCTCACTCTCAAGAACGAATTGAGCCCCGGACACATCTCTCACGTCACTCACGAGAGTCCTCTCAACTACGCGAGCGACTCGGCCCACGGCAAAGACCCCTCCGGCTCGGGCAAGGACACACCTGGCTCCGCAGAAAAGCCGTCGGGGAAACGCATCAAGACGGCACGAGCTTGCGACTCCTGTCGCCGAAAGAAGATTCGCTGCGATGTCATCGACGATGGCGGCCCGCCGCTCGGCTCGGTCAATAACGGCAATGGCGGTCTCGTCTGTGCCCACTGCAGGCAATACGGATTCGAGTGCACCTTCTTCCTGCCCATCACAGAGACGCGCTTCAAGAAAAAGTATCAGAGGGAAGCGGAGGAGGCAGCCGCCGCCGCCGCCGTAGCTTCTTCTTCGGGTTCCAATGGTATCATGGCCGGCCAGATGCCCATGCATGGGGGAGGTCACGCCGCGGGTCACCCAGCCTATCCTGGCATCATGTCAACGCAGCCGTACATGGGCGCCCTGCACGATCCAGCCGGCTTCCAAGCGATCCAAGCTGGCCTTGCTCAGCAAGGCTGGGGCGCTCGCGTCCTGCCGCAGCACATCCAAAGCTCGCACCTCCCTCGAGGCGGCGGGCAGCAACCACAGCCGCAGCGACAGATGTCTCAACCCACTGCTCAACAGCCACGACGGAGTCCCTCCCACACGCCTCCACCAGATACCCGCGTGCTCGGTCCCACTTCGATCGCCTACCTTGTCCACTCGACTGCTTTCATCCCAGGCGCCGCCATCGAGGCCCACGACATCAAGCACAACCAGACCTTCGAGGTCGGAGCGAGCGGTGACGGCATCATTCGCTTCCACCGCGCCAAAGTCAGTGGTGCATCGGGTCCGGGGGCGGACAAAGCGGCTGCAGCTACATCTACGACTGATCCGTACGAGGAAGAAGTGACGCGCATACCTGAGTCCATCAAAGGCCGCCTCGCGGGCGACGTGGCCGAAAAGCTCGTCAACACGTACTTCGAAAAGGTCGCCACCCTCTTTCCGGTCGTCACTAAGTCCGAGTTCCTTCATCTGTCGCCCACACCGCCCCTGCTGCTCTATGCCATCTGCGGTGTCTCCGCGCTGAGTCGCCAGGTACCCAAGGAGGTGCTGGGCGCTGTCAAGATGACGATCAACGCTTTGTTCCGAGAGAACGATTTCTTGTCTTCCTCCAACTCGGTGACCGTCCGTGCGCTCCTCGTCATGTCGTTGCACGCCGACTTGCACGGGCCCGCGGCACTGCAGAGCGGCACCCGCTGTTGGAACCGGACTGGCGCTGCCATCCGCATGGCACAGGATCTCGGCTTGCATCGCGATGCCAGCGGCAAGGATGAATTCTCGCACGACGCCTTCTTCTTGGAGCAGAAACGCAGGATCTGGGGCTGTTGCGTCACTGCCGATCGACTGCAGAGCATTTCGCTCGGTCATCCCATGATGATCGATCTCACTGACTGCGACGTGCGCCTTCCATCGCCCTATGAGATTCTGCGATCGTCCAGCGACCTTCCCTCGGATCCATCGACCGACCGTCCTTTCGCCTACAACACCGAGATGCTCAAGCTCACCATCCTCTTTGGCCGCGTCATGAAGACTATCTACAGCCCGACCGGTCTCATGAACGCCACGGACGAGGAGATCCTTAGCCTGCTCCGTGACATCGACGCCTGGAAGGCAGCTCTACCCGAGGAGCTCGTGTTCAATGGAGCCGACTCGAGTGCACCAGCAGGCATCTTGCACGTTGGATTTGCATGCCTCATGATGCTCTTCTTCCGTGTGTTCATGCGCATCTCGTACATCTGCCCTACGCACCTCAAGTTCAGTCTTACGATCGAGCGGATGAGCTCGCTGATTCAGTACTCGACCGAGGCTATTGCGTGGGTCGACAAGAACGACTTCTACCTCGACACGATGCAGATCGTCTCGTACTGCCTCGTCTCGTGTGCCACCGTCCAGTACCACGCTTTTGTCCGCCGCGGTGACCAGAACGCTCTGCTGCAGCTCAAGAAGGTTAACGATATCATGGGTCGCTACCGTCGCGAGAATCACGATGCCGACGATGTGGGCATGCGCGGCAAAGCGGCGAGCGTCATCTCGCTCCTCTGCGACAGTGCGGTTGGCGTGTACGACAACACGCCTTCTAGCGGAACTTTGAACCCCACCGCCGGTGTCACGAATCGCAAATCGCGCGAAAATGTTCGCGGCATTGTCTTTAAACCCGATGCATCTCGACCCGGAGGCGGCGTGTATGTTGCTGCTGACCAGAGGCACGTATTGCAAGATCTGCCAAAGGGGACCATCATCATGCAGGAGACACAGGACGGCAGCCGCGTCCCTGCGCTGGTGCGAACGGGCAACGCACAGAATGGAGGATGGCAGACGTACGACCAGTACCGCGCAGCTTTGGGCTTGTCGACCAACAAAGACGGGCAGGACAACTTCGCAGCCGCGCTTGCCAATGGTGGATTCGCCATGCTCAACAGCGTCCACTCTTCGGCAGGGCCTTCTGGCCAGCAAAAGGGGGACAGCGCCACCTCGGCCAAGGTGTCGGGCACTTCGACCATCACCAGCTCGATCCCTGCCTTCCCTTCGTCGACGGCCAGCTCGGCGGACGCCAACCTGGATCTCGTCCACCTCGGCGGCGACGTGTACCAGGACGCGGAAGGTCTGCCCGTCACTCGCGCCGGTGCTCGTCTCTTGACGATGGTGCCAGTTGGGCCGAACGCGATTAGCGAAAACAACGCCTTCCTCGACTCCAACTTCTTTGCTGGCTTCTCCGGTGCCGGCAACAACGACGGAAGCACTGCATCAGGGACGGGCGCCAGCAACAATTGCTTTGACACCATGGCCAACCTCGGCTTCAGCAATGGCAGTGGAGCGCAGCTGTCGGTGGCCAAGAACGCCATCGGCCCCGCAAGTCCCAGTTTCAACTTCAACCCGCATCTCAATAATGCCTACTGGGCGCCGGCAGAGTTTGTCTTTGATGGATCGCAGGGTGTTGGTGGCGATGCAGCGGGGGTCAACGGGGGAAATGGAGCGGCGGGTGGAGGAGCCAACGCGGTGGCAAGCATGCTCGGCGGACGGGTGGATGCGAACATGCTCGACGGCATCCCTGGTGCTCCGCTTGACTTTGCCAATTGGGACGCCTATTTCAGCCGCATTAACCAGGGTTCGACGGATGGCGACCAACAGCAGCAAAGGCCGTCGGACGAACAGCAGAACGGTGACGGCACAGGCTTTGCCAACACCACGTTCGGCATCGAAGCGCAGATGATGGACGCTGGTCGATTTTGACCTCAAGAACAATGCACGAATATAGACTTGGAACATACCTTTGGCCCGCGCAAGAACAGCTGGGCCGCATATCAATTCATAGAATGTATCATTATCGTCCGTAGTCGTGAAAGTTCGTGAATGCCGTCTAGAGAACGTTCTTGATATCCTTGACGACGCGCTTGGTGCCCTTGACGAGCTGCTCTACGCGATGGAAGTTGCCCGACTGCCCTCCCTTGCCTCGTTTGTCCTCGAGGATGTCAGGCGCTGAACAGCAGTGCTGCAGCTGATTGTGGGCGTGCAAGCCGCAGGAGTGGTCCGGGATGCGCTGCATGGCCGAGATGCTCGGATCGGAGGAGAAGGGTTCACCAGAGGCGGTGAGTTGGACTGGGAGCGTCGAGGAGCGCTTGATCTTGGCGCCTTGGGGTGGGGCGGAGGACGTTCGCGGTGGTGTGCCCGGTGGAGTGACCAGGTGGTGGTCGGGAGGTGGGGAAGGTGAGCCGACCAGGGTGTTCGCCGCGGTGCTGGCCAGAGAAGAGGCTCGGGTGAGGACGGCATTCGAGATGCTGCCCAAGAGAGTTGGCTCTGGCGCCGTCTCCGACGTCGAGGCCGCAGTTGGCTCGGCAGACTTCGTCTCTTCCTCAGTAGCCGGTGGAATGAGCGCAGATACAGCCGCAGAGCTGAGCACCACCAGCCCGCTGCCCAGCAGACTCAGCGCAGACGCACCCGTGCTGACTAGGAAAGAGGCTGCCGTCGAGCCTTCCTCTTCTGGCGGCGGGGTCGGGGGCAGCTCTTCTTTATGCATCGTGTTGCCTGCTCGACTTTCGTCCAATCCGAGATGCGGTCGAAGCAGCGCCTCCTTGACGTGATCCGGAGGTGTCACAATCATCGGAGAGGATGAATGTCTCGAAGGTGGTGGAGGATCCTTCGGAACAGGTGCTGGGGGTCCAGAGAGAAAAGCGAGCAGGTGCATCTTAACGATCCTGGCCTAAGGATGAGCCTGATCCTGGCTTCATGAACGCCGTTCCCCCGGCGTCTTTGATGTCAAGCTGGCAGGCTTCCAAGTCGGAAAGTGAAGGTGGGCAGGCGGGGTGGGAGCTGTCTTATTTGAAAAAGTGTTGGTGTGTTGGTTGACGTCGCTGAACCCCTAAAAAGTAGGCTCGGCTGGGCGTTGCCGCCTGCATGGTGACGCTTCCACGCGTAAGGGGCGACGAATGTGGGGTTCGTGGAAAGACGAAGGTCTAACAGATTGTAAGATTCGCGACGTGGGCGCCAATTCACCGGTCTGGCAGCGCTCGCTGTCTTGGCTTCCAAGGCTGAGCTTCGATGGTGTGGAGGACAAGCAACTCAAAATAGGCACAACCCTGACTCAGTGACTGAAGCTTGAGAAACAACTGAGCCATGACCACACTCTGGCTTTGACCGACCCTCGCTGTCCAGTCACTTGCTTCCTACCACATCTCACTGGCGACGATACCCTGCAGTCATACTTGCCATCGACAATGACAGCGAACAAGTGAACCCTGGCTCGAACGCTTCCCTGCAAAAGGGCCACAGCGACCAACTTTCGTCGAACCATTGCTGGCATTCATCACGTCCTAGACCCGGATCGGACATTCAACAGTAGCCCAGCATGCCTCTGCTACGGACAGCGATCGACGTGCCGCTTCACCTGGCGACTACCATGGTGCTCGGCAAGCAGCCTGAGCGAGAAAGCCCTGACGGTAGCGGCTCTGGTCGATCACTACCTCTGCCGTTGCTCGTAGCCTCGACCCTGGCCGCCTTCTTCGCGACCCTCTTTTCCATCTACCTCATCTGGAAGCAGCTCAAGAATTACCGCAAGCCCACGCTTCAGCGCTATGTCGTCCGCCTACTCCTCATGGTGCCCATCTACTCGATCGCTTCCGTCATCTCGCTCTACTCTTTACAGCTCGCCGACATTATCGACCTCATTCGCGACCTCTACGAGGCCTTTGTCATCTACTGCTTCTTCAACCTGCTCATAGAATACCTCGGCGGCGAGCGCAGTCTCATCGTCCTTCTTCACGGAAGGCGCCCGCAAGAGCACCTCTTTCCTGTCAATCTCTTCTTGCACGACATGGACGCCTCGGACCCATACACCTTCCTCGCACTCAAGCGCGGCGTACTGCAGTACGTCCAGGTCAAGCCCGTGCTCGCCGTCGCCACGCTGCTCCTCAAAGCAGCGGGCAAGTACGAAGAGGGCAAAATCTCGCCCACCAACGGCTACACGTGGGTCTCATTCACGTACAATGTCTCGGTCTTCCTCTCGCTCTACTGCCTCGGCATGTTCTGGAAGTGCCTCAACGACGATCTCAAGCCCTTCCGCGTCACGTCCAAATTTCTGTGCATCAAGGGAATCATCTTCTTTTCCTTCTGGCAAGGTCTCGGCATCTCGATCCCCGTCGCTGCGGGACTCATCAAGAAGGTGGGCCCCGTTTACGATCCAGAATACATCTCGATGGCGATCCAAGACTTTATGATTTGTCTTGAGATGCCATTGTTCGCGTTTGGGCATGCGTGGGCCTTCTCGCACACGGACTATATCGACCCTTTCGCGCACTACGCTGCGCGTCTACCGGTGTACTACGCCCTGCGCGACTGCATCGGGATGTACGACGTGTTCTCGGACAGTCTGACGACGGTGCGCGGGACTGGCTATGTGTATCAGACCTTCGAGCCGAGTGAAGGAGTGATCCACCAGCCGCTTGCGCGAGAGCGCCGCTCCAAAGCCGGGTTGCGGTACACCCAGGGAGGCAAGGGCAAATACTGGCTGCCGCAGCGTGGGACAGGGGATATCCGCGACGCTACACGCGGAGCACGCCACCAAGGCCCGCTCAAGAAGCTACGCCGCTTTATCAACGATAAGCGCATGCAGCTCGAGGGACACGCACCCCTGACAACGGACGAGGCGGAGGACATTGTCCACGAGGACCCCGACATGGTCCAGGAGGAGAGTTCCGAGCGAAGCCCCCTGCTGCGACATCCGAAACATGCGGCTCGCAGCGCGGTACGTCATGCCGGCGAAGGCCTCGACTTTTTCGCCGAGAGACAGCTCGACTCGGACGAGGAGGCGGAAGACCTCAAATTCGACGATCCAGATGAGGACGAGGAGGACGCCTACCAGCGGTCGAGGACGCTGAACTTTGGCGACTATGCATATCCGAACATCGATGTGAGCAGGGAGCAGGCGAGAGACGCGAGGTGGCAGCGTGACGACGAGATTGTGCATCGAAGGCGCAAGGGAACCATCTCGAAGAAGGGCGAGGATGGAAAGGGGAAGAAGGCGAGTGAGCAGGGTGATGCCAGTCCCTCGGGGAGCCGCAAGAGGCAAGATCATCCCAAGGGCGATGCGGACGGATCAGCCAAGGGGAAGGCCAAGAAGAAGGCGGGCGATGCGGATGCAAAGTCATCCCAGAAGACCGAGATCAAAGGCAAGGACAACGGCAAAGACGCCGAGCAACGAAAGTCCAAGTCACCTTGGCTGTCGTGGGATCAAGATGCTGACTCTCCCGACGCCACCCCTAGCAAGCCAGTCGCAAATGGCTCGAAAGACGAAGCTCACGCAAACCAGACCTCCGAATCCGGCTCCCCCTCCAAAGATCCCTACGGCGCCGTCGACCTCGTGATCGAAGACTACAAAGCCGAAGAGCGGGAGCGTCTCCTCGAACGACGTCGGGGCGATCCCGCTCTGCGTGCCGGCAAAGGCACCCGCATCTTCCGCAAGCAGTACACACCCACCACCTCGCCCTCGCTCACGCCCACCACCGAGTCGGCGCCCAAAAAGCTCATCAAACGGGAAAGCTCCGTTTCCACACCGCTCAACCCGCCCTCATCCACCGCGGCGAGCGTCACCGTCCAACCCTCGCCCAAGAAGGACGGCAAGGTGGTCGTCCAGCTCGGAGAATCCAGGGAGAAGCGGGGCGACGGTACGGATGACGACGCACTGGTGAGCAAGAGGATCGACGTCAACGACAATGCCGACTTTCTCAAGGGGAGGGTGCTCAGTCCCGAACCGAGCGACAAGGTGGATGAGGACGATGGGTCCAATCCGTGGTCTTGAGGCTCGCTCCAATGCATGGTTTGTTCGAAACTCTCTTTGGCGATGATTGTGCAGGACGAATGCTGAGAAGTCTGTGAGCAAGTTCTGGGATATGTGTATGTTACAACGGGTGGGAGTGTGTGGCGTGTGATGCGGTTGGAGTTGATCGCTGACGCGAGGTGGTGGCAGGATGAAGCGTGGCCGGGACACGAGGCGAAAGCGTCGTTGCTTCCGGGCCGCTTTACGAGAATCTTGTCGTAGGTCCACGCCAAGACACCGTGCAGCAGAAGGGGTGCTGCCTGCGCCTAATGCATCAAGGCGATCCTGGCGATGGAACGGTGCCGTCCAGGCTGAGCAGGAGGCTTCGCCATGCGCAGCGGACCAACGAACCCTCTCCCGGCGCGACCCATCCGCATCGCACCAGACCCACTGTAATCGACAGTGGCCGCTCAGAGATCGTCCAGATCATCATCGTCATCGCTATCCTCGTCATCATCACTGCCCTCCTGGAACTCGATCTCGCCGCCCTCCTCCTCGCCGAACGTGTCGGTTTCGTTGATCTTGGCGCTCTCCGGCAGCTCGCCCTGCTGCTTCAACGCACGTGCCTCATCCGCATTGTACTTCTGGATCACGTCCGCCTTGCCGTCCTGGAAATCGCGCAGCGAGATGAGAATGATGTCTCCTTGGTTGATCCATACTTTTTTACGGAGCTTGCCACGGATGTGCGCAAGACGCTTCTCGCCATCGAAACATTGGGCCTCCAATCGACCGTTGCCGAGCATCTTGAGCACCTGAGCATATTCTGCAGCGGTGAACAAAGCGAAGAGAGTAGAAGAAGATCAGCATGAGTGGGCAGGGAGGGAGAAGTGGCGCCGGGGATAGAGCTTACCTTGGCCCTCATCCTTGAGAACCAGCTCGCGCTTGTCTCCAATGTCGTTCTTTCCACGACGACGGTTCTTACCGCCCTTTCCCTTGTTCTTCGGCATGTTGGCTGTATGTGGAGTGTGTGGTGGTCGAGACCAGATGGTGGAGAGAGAAAGAGTGTCAAGTTGGAGGACGTGCTTCTGCTGCACTTGCGGTACGCAGCAAGAATTCAAAGCGCAGTATTGCACTCGAATCAAAAGAATGAAATGCGTCTGCCCTGTGAGGATATTCAAAGCTCAAAGAGCCTGCCTTGAGGGAAAGGCGTTGCGTCACAGCCGCGTCTTCTTGGAAGAAATTTTGAGGCTGGAACTGAGCCATCCGAAAAATCAAAAAAGACGTGTCAGATTGGAAAGGTTGAGAAGGAATGAGACAAACGGACTGACGTGGGCTCAAGACAGCTGGCGAGACAAGCACACAGCACAGGCCAAGCGAAGCCAGCTGCTACGAACCGCTCCTTCTTCCTTGTACATTCGATCCCATCATCATCTGCGACACAACATAGCAGCTACTGCGACCAACACACGGACAGCAAGGCTTCGCGCTCGCACACTCTTCTCGAAAGGAACACGTTCGGCTCCTCGCATTGTCGCACTCATCGGATCCTGACAAACGGCATTAGCATTAGCTTTTCAGCATCGTCCCTCCCTTCGATCGTCAGTTCACCTCTTTAATCACAGCAACGCCATGTACCAACCACAGGGAGACTACCCATCGCGGTCGCCTCCGCCGCTTCAGCATCCCATCCCCACACATCCTCCGTTCAAAGTGCCCGATCCGCCCATCTCGCCCAACCCGGTCCCGCAAGCCTCGGTCACAGACCCGCACGTATCCACCGCCAACCGACGCGGAGGACCCGCGGCCAACGTGCAAGCCTCCTCCACGGGCGGCTATCAGCGCTTCGCATCGCCGCCGATCCAGTCGCCTCCCGGTCAGCCCTACTCTGGCTCGTCATACGCCCAACCTGGTGCGGGTCCGAATCAGAGCTACTTCGGCGGAGGTGCCCCGGGTCAGCAGCAGGGCTGGGGCGCTTTCGGCGGCTTCGGCGCCCAAGGCGGGCCTCCGATCATGAACGATGCCACCGCGCAAATGGGCGTTCAGTTCGGCCAGCACATGGCCGCCGTTGGAGGCGAGTATGTGCAGAAGAACTTCAACGCGCTGCTCCCGATGCCGGTGCTCAAGCATTACTTCAACGTGTCCAACTCGTACGTGCTGCACAAGCTGCGGATCGTGCTGTTTCCGTGGCGGCACAAGCCGTGGTCTCGGGCGCACCGGCATTCTGCGCCTGGCGTTGGGGTGAGTGGGGCCTACTCCGAGCCGGTGGGGGTGAAAACGGCGGCTAGTGGCGGGGAAGGTTATCTTCCACCTCGAGACGACGTCAATAGTCCGGATCTGTACATCCCCACCATGGCCTTTGTCACGTACATCATCGTCACCTCGGTCATCCTGGGTCTCGAGAGTCGATTCCACCCGGAAGTGCTGGGATTGCGGGCATCCCGTGCACTGGCAATCATCCTCGTCGAACTCGCAGCGATCAAACTCGGCACCTACCTGCTCAACATCCAGGGCGACCATACGATGATGGACCTCCTCGCCTACAGCGGCTACAAGTTTGTCGGCACCTTGATCACGCTCCTGGTGGGACTGATGAAGGTGCGCGGACTGGTGTACTGGAGCGTCTTCCTGTACTGTTTTGCGGCCAATGCGTTTTTCCTACTTAGGAGTCTAAGGTATGTCGTGCTGCCGGATCCGAGCAGTCCGAGCAGCCAGACGATCACGCATGCGCAGCGGGGCAGGAGGATCCAATTCTTGTTCTGCATTGCTGTGGTGCAGATTGTGTTTGGGTGGGCATTGATCATTGGGATCTTCAAGGAGCCGGTCGTCAAGAAGCTCGTGTAGCGGTAGGAGCGTTCGCAATGCAAAGCATGTTTCACGGCTGATTTGTGGTACGACTGTACGTCTGTGCCATGCGCTGAGGTTGAGCGCCAGTCAAAAGAGCTTGTGAAGTACAGAGCTGATTGCCCCAAGAAGTTGCATCTCAGGGCCCACCATGGTTTCAAGGGCTCGCTAGGCGAGACATCAGCACAACGGCGAGCGAACGGCAGAGATCAGATTGTCATTCCGAAGCAAGAGGATTCGGTGAAGAAAAACGAAATCTAGTGACCCTTCTTGACCGAGACGGTGTCCCAGGCGGCACGCTCGGCCTCCTCGTTCGAGACTTCCTGGACGTAGGGGGTGAGGTATCGCTTGTCCTGTTGAGTCAAGTCACAGGGTGGATCGAGTCAGTAACGGCATCTTGGTCATGCGATTAGCTACGCCTTTGCAGCATCCCATCTGCGTCGCACTGCTGAACATCCTTCCCAGCTCCCACAAGGACCCTCTGGACGAGTCAACTAATAATAACCCCTTCCTGCGTATCCTGATGCTATCTGAGATATTAGTACTCACCTCCTTAGCAGGGAGCCACTGCTCCTTAGGCAGTTCGCGGTGGAGGACGCTCAACTGGCTGGCCTGGCGGAGACGGAAGGCGCGGTCGTACGCCTCCTTCTCTGGCAGACGCGAGAGGGCCTTCTGCACCCGGTCGGACTCCTCGATGATGAGGTCGTCGTAGCGCAGACCCATCTGACGGTGACCCGTCGCGTTGGCGTAGGCGTTAGCCACAGGCTTGAGCACGCGCATCAGCGCAGGCGACGACTGGACGTACTTGGCCAGGGACAGGCCGGAGAGTGCCTTTGGGCGGCCAATACGGTGCGAGAGATGAGAATATGCAGTGATGAGGTCGGAGTGTGTCGATGCAATGCGAGTCAGGGTGATGCAGGAGGTGTCGTAGGTCGAAGCAGTTATAAGATCGAAGGAAGAGAAAGTCAGTAAACCAGAACGCAAATGAAACAGCAAGACGCTGAAGTTGTGTCCGGCCAGGGCTGCTGTGTGTTGCAGGCCTCGTGCTGCCCATCGAATGGCGTTCAGTGTACGTACGAGAACCATCTTGTTGAATATGAAAGGGTGAGAGATCTGGTGATGATGGTGAGAAACGGTGTTGTCGACGACGACAACGGAGTTGTTACATTTGCGATGGCGGAGTGACCAGGCTCACTCTCGCCTGAAGACTTCTTGATTCGCACGAGCGGAAGGGGATTACAAATCGCAGCTGTCTCTGAAATCAGCCTGGTGCGCGCGAAGATTCCATTTCTCGGGTTCTCGCGGAGTCATCAAATTCTTGAAATCAAGATGTGAGATTCCTAAAGTCGGGTATCATGACATAAGCACGACTAATGCTGGAAGATCTTGCTCCACATCGTCCAGAAGTGACTGTTCCGAACCGCTGAGTCGTACCCTGGTCTTGCTTCTGCTCTCCAACCTCGGACACACCACGGAATGCTGATAACAAGATCAGCAGCACGGCTGCGCTACCCGGCGTGCGGGTCAAGAGCGTTGTCGACCTCGACGGCTCTACTCTCCGACAAGAAACGCATCGCCGTCCTGGGCGGCGGCATTTCAGGCCTCACCTCCGCCTACCGCCTCTCCCAACAGCTTCCCAATGACCGCTACGACATCGTCCTCTTCGAGAAGCAGAACAGACTCGGCGGCTGGATCGACTCAGAGCGCATCTCTCTCTCATCGACCGAGACAGAAGCGCTGATCGAGAAGGGGCCACGCAGCATCCGACCCGCCGGCTACTCGGGCCTGATGATGCTGGAGCTCGTCCGGTCTTTGGGGCTGCTAGAGCGCATGCTGAAAGTTCCCAAGACCGCGCCTTCGGCTCAGAACAGGTATCTGTACTACCCAGACCGGCTCGCGAAGCTGCCAAGTAGCATATCTTCGCTCCTCTCGGCGCTGGTCAAACTGCCGTTTCTACGATCGATCATTCCCGGGGTGCTCCGTGAAGCACGAGTCCCATCTCGTTTTGCCCGCCCACGGTCCGAGTCGGCCTCTGAAAAGCAACGACTACAGCAGAGGGAGTGGATCGAGGACGAAAGCGTCGACTCGTTTGTCTCGCGTCGCTTCGGGAAAGGGCTAGCGGAGAACCTGATTTCCGCTGTGATTCATGGGATCTACGCGGGCGACACAAGGCGGCTCAGTGTGCGAGCGGTGTTGCCATTCCTATGGGAGGCGGAACGCGTGCACGGAGGCGTGCTGCGGAGTATGCTGCCGATCAAGAGAAACAAAAGCCATCGTGCGCTGCCGGCACAAGAGGCGGCAGTGAAGGCGGCGAAAGAGGAGCGGCTGCAGCAGATCGAGAAGGAGCTCGGGAAGGAGATTGTGGACAGCTTCAAATCTGTCAGCGTATATAGCTTCCCAGAAGGGGTACAGGAGATCGTGCAGGCGTTGGAATCGCGTTTGGCCGAGAGCGGGGTACAGGTCAGAAAAGGCGATGCCGTCCAGTCTATCGTGATTGACGACGCCGGCAAAACACTGTTGCGGACGGAGAGCGGGGACACTATCGAAGCGCACCGAATCATCTCCAGCATTCCCTCTTCGCAGCTGGCGGATCTCCTGCCATCCAATGCATCCCTCCCGCATCTCAAGCACAACCCTTCGGCCAACGTAGGCGTCGTGAATCTCGTCATCTCCCCAAAAGCTGTCGCCTCTTCCAGCAAGCCCCTCGTGCCCGTCGAGGGTTTCGGCTACCTCATTCCACGCACAACACCAGGCAACGAAGATGGCATCCTCGGCGTCGTCTTTGACAGCGACGCGATCCCTCAACAAGACTCCATCGACCCCGCATCACGGCCCGTCAAGCTCACCGTCATGATGGGCGGCTCGCACTGGTCGTCCCTCTCCACCCTTCCCAGCGAAGAGGACATGAAGGCGCGCGCGATCAACGCCGTCTCTTCGCACCTCGGCATCGACCGTGCGCTGCTCGAAGACGATTCGAGAGTGACGGTCAAGGCGACGCTGCAGAAGGACTGCATTCCGTGGTACCTCGTCGGTCATCCGGTGCGGATGTCGCAACTGCACTCGGCACTGGAAAAGGACGAGTCGCTGGCAGAAAAGCTAACGTTGGCAGGGGCGAGCTACACAGGTGTCAGTCTGAATGACTGCGTCGCGTACGCTACTGAGGCTGTCGAGCAGATTGTTGATGCGGAGCTGAACGGTGGCGATCGGGTCGTCACTGGGCTTCGAGCATTTGCCATTCCACCCATCGCGCCTTCCCCAGCGTCATCCAAGATCACCGCCGAGGCTCGGAAGGGCCACCCACGACCGACTACAGCGCCGCAAGGTCTGATGGGACCCACCACCACACCAATGCAATTCGCCGTCGCGCGTGGCATCCACACTCGGTCCTTCTCCTCCTCCCTCCGCACCCTCAACTCCTCTCCTCCCTCCTCCATCCTTCCCACCTCCTCCCCTTCTCTCAACCCCAAATCACCGAAATCGCTCAACGACATCCTCCTCGACAGCATCCGCGCCTCGGGACCCATGCCCGTCTCAACCTACATGCGAACCTGTCTGCTCGACCCCATGCAGGGCTACTATTCGTCCGCCAACTCGCCCACCACCTCTCGCGAAGTCCTTGGCAGTCGGGGTGACTTTATCACCTCTCCCGAGATCAGTCAAGTGTTTGGCGAATTGGTGGCGATCTTCTACCTAGCTCGATGGCAGGCCCTCTCGTCCCCCTCTTCGACGCGCATCGTCGAACTCGGCCCAGGGAAAGGTACGTTGCTCGCAGACATGCTGCGAACCTTTTCGACCTTCCCGGCGTTCATGAAGACGCTCAAACGCATCCAGCTGGTGGAGACGAGTGATGGGTTGATGGCGCTCCAGCTTGCTGCGATCACGGAAGCACTTGCTGTGTCCAACAGACGTGTTGTGAGCGCCGACGAAGATCCGGGTACAGACGGTGTGGTGGTGGAATGGTTCCCATCCATCGACATGCTCCCCATCCTCCCGGACGAGTTCACCATCCTCACCGCACACGAGTTCTTCGATGCGCTCCCGACACACATGTTCGAAAAGGGTGCAGACGGGAAGTTCCGCGAGGTGATGGTGGGCATCGCACCCAAATCGGCGATCACCGTGCTCAAACCAGGCCAACCTGAGGAGCCGAAGAAAGAGGAGCTCGGGTTTGTACTAGCCCCAACACCGACGCCGTGGGCGCAGATGTTGGTGCAGAACAACCCGCGGTTTAGCAGTTTGCAGCCCGGGCAGCGGGTGGAGGTTTCGCCGGAGGCGTGGGCGGTAGCGAGGCGGGTTGGGGAGGTGGTTGCTGGTCGTCCTGCCAGCCCTCCATCCAACAGCGTGCCTAGGCCACCTTCGACGGCTGCGCCAGGATCCGAGGAGGCCAAGGCGGAAGCAGCACTGGAAGCAGATCGTCTCGCCAACGTAGAACGTCAAGAGGCGACCAGGTTGACTCCCGCCAGCGCAGGAGGTGTAGCTCTGGTGATCGACTACGGTGGAGACTGCGCATACGGTTCGTCCTTCCGTGCCTTCCAGAATCACCAGCTGGTACCTGTCTTCACCAACCCCGGCGCGGTCGATCTGACGGTCAATGTTGATTTCCTGCATCTCAAGTCGGCCATCCAGACTACGGACGCGAGGTACCTCGGCCCGCTCGACCAGGCGGACTTTTTGGTGGGCATGGGACTGCAGATGCGCACGGAGCGGTTGGTGCGCGGGAAGAACGGCGAGGATGAGAAGCGCATCAAGGACGCCGCGAACAGGCTGGTCGATGAGACAGGCATGGGGACGCAGTACAAGGTCATGGCGGTTAGCGGGGTGCCCATGGCGGAGGGCCAGGCTGGGCAGAAGGAGGAGAGGAAGGATCCGGATCTCTATCCGTTCGAGTTTGACCAGTCGCCATCGTCGTGATTGCTCGCAGTCCCCTTCCCGAACACTTCTCACACATCTCGGCCGTGGTTCGAAGTGCAAGCACGCTCATAATCACTCGCAATCACACGTCACTTCACACACATGACTCTGCGCATGAAAGAACTTGCATTCGCCCGCTCAACTCGAGAAATCAAAGTTGACGCCGCTCAATCCGCCCATGAAATGACTCGCACTCGTCCTCCTGCTCCTACTCCCGAATCCATGCGGCGTATTGGCTCCACTGATATGTCCACTCGCCAACGGGGTCATGCTCATCGAGTTGGCCAGAGCCGCGCTGGCCGCTGCGCTGTTCAACGGCACGCCCCCGTTGCCGTTGCCGATAGCGCCACCGCCAAAGTCGAACGCGCCGCCGCCGCCCATGCCGAACTTGGTCGCGTGTTGGGCGGGCTCCGTGACCTCGGCTTCGGCGTGGATGCCCGTGTGCACCGCGTCGGTGGTGCTAGCGCCGAACAGGTCGTGCATTGACGTCTGGGTGAAGCCGGGTGGCAGGAGGGAGCCCCAGAACTCGTCCATGCCGGAGGAGGCGGCGAACATCTGGCTAGGCCAGTTGACGCCATCTGTGCCGTTGGCGCCGGCAGCAAAGTCGGCGGAGGAAGGATCCAGCGAATTGGCAATGCCGTCGACCATGCCATTTCCGCCCGCAAGTCCACCTTCGGTGTTGGTGCGACTGTGACTTGCGTTCCCTTCGAGACCGGCGGTAGCCTCGTCCGTGTCCATCGCTTCGGGTGTCACTGCGCGAGAGACGACGCGGCTACCCGTCGCCGACTTGGACGCCGTCGTGTGGTCCCGTCGCGCTTGCAGGAGCGCCTTGAGGAACGAGGCGTACAGGTACGGAGTGTGGGTCTCGTTGACCGCCGCTTCGCCGAGCATGTCGACCGCATCCTGCACCAGCGCCAGGATCGAGTCCTCGTCGACGTAGCCGGCAAAGGCAGGTCGAATCAGCTTGAGCAGGAAGACGCACGCATAGGCGAGCGTCAGAATGTGCACATCCGGCGCATATCGCATGTTGCGTCGCGAAGGACCCGTGCACTGCACCACGATCGTCTTGGCCGCCTCGAGACACTTGGCAAAGTACTGGGCCCGATCCAGGCTAGCCCCGATCGGGTGGTCGACAGCCTGCTGCAAACCGAACGAGTTGAGCACCAAGACCGCAAAGCTGTACCGAATGGGGATCGAGCTATACGTGTGGATCATGATGCGCGTGTTGAGGTCGAGGTTCTCGGCGTCTTCGTCATCGTCGTCGTACTCGTACTTGACGTCCTTGGCAGCGGCGGCTCCGTTCGTGGCAGCGCCCTCTTTCGCGCCAGGCTCTGCGCTGGCCTTGCTGCTGGCCGACGCGCCTTTGCCCTTGCTCTTCTCCTTGGCAGCCGCCTTCTCCGCAGCGATGGCCATCTTGCGCTTCTTCTTCTCCACGTACTCCTCGCCCTCGTCGGGCATCGAGAAGAGACCACGCCACTTCCACTCCTCGCGCCATTCCTGCAGTTGCTCGTTGAAGACGGGGAGCACGAGCGAGTAGTCGATCTCCGTGTTGAGCCCCGACACCGACGAGGTGGACGAGTAGAGGAAGTCAAGCTGCCTCGAGCTGATACGGTAGAGATCGACGACGGCGCTGACGGACATATCCCAGGGCCGGCTGAAACGGCTGCCCCAGTTGCGGCAGTTGCGAATGATCCAGTCTTCGCGAATGGTGTACGGCTTGCCCATTTGGATGCTCAGGCCGCGATCCATAGCGAAGCAGACGTACCAGGTACGTTCGCGGTTGAGGATCTCGCGCTCGCGGTCGAGCACCGCAGGGTCGTCGGGGTGCGGGCTGTGGTTGAACGTCGCCACACTCTTGCGGTGCAGGTTGAGATCGGTAGCCATGCGGAGAGCGATACCGCTGTACATCCACGTCTTGTCCTCTTCGAAGCGCTCGGCAGGCTGTGCGTACAGCGCCATGAGCAAGAAGCCCTGCACAATCTCGATGCTCTTGAAGCCGCGATTGACGACATCGAAAGCAACCTTGCGCGTGAGAGCGAGACACTTGGCGTGAAGGTCCGGCCTGCGCTCATAGAACTTGGCAGCGACGGTGCAGACGCAAGTGAAGAGGAAAGGCGAGCGACTGCAGATGAATGTGGGAGTATGCCACTCGGCATCGAGCAGGCACACGTGCTGCGTGCATCGTCGGAAGAAGATGCTGAAGAGGTCGAGCACCTCTTCGGACGTGACGATGCCAAGGGTCAGCAGCTCGGGCGGCATCTCGCGCTCGATGATGATGCGACGCAGAGGCAAGATGGTCATGGGCCCAGGTCGGAAGTAGTTCTGCGAGGCGACACCGAGCGGGATCTGGCGACTCGATCCATCCGCTGCGCCCCCTTCTCCGGCGGGCGTGGCGTCTTCGCCCCCTTCGGACTTGACTGTCTTGTCGGGACTCTGACCTCCTGTGCTGCCCGACCGCTGGCTGTCCTTGTCGCGACCGCTGCTGCTGCCAGCACTGCGGGCGAGCTTGCGTGCCCGGTGCGTGTTGTGGAGACTGGCCTCCGCAAGCAAACCGAGCGGATTGAGCGTGTTGTCGGGCAGCGAGTGGAGACGTGGCGAGCCGCGAGAGCTCTTGTGGCGTGGAGCTTCCGAGCCAGACGCGCCGGGTCGGGTCTGTTGACGATGATGATGCGGGAGCGGCTCGAGGAATCGGGTTCCTTGGTTGCCGTGGTTGTGCGCGGGAGAGTGCGTGCTGCCGTCCGTGGAGGGGGCGCTCCTCTGGGCCATGGCGTTGGGGTTGATGGTGTTCACGGGGCTAGCGCCGTCATTGCTGATCCGGGCGGGGGAAGCGCCGGCGTGGGTGCCGTGCGAAGAGTACGGATCGGCGACACGGGTCCAGGGCGAGCGCGGACCGTAGTCGGTTCCGGAGAACGAATTGGAGTGCGTGAGGCGAGGATCGGATCGCTGCGTTTCTTTGGGAAGAGGACGTTCCGGCTCGCGAGGGAAGGAAGGCGAAGGGCTGCGAGTGACCATGCCGCCGTGCTGAGCCGCCAGACCAGGGTCGCGAATGCTTCGAAGCACGGTGGCGAGCGTCTGCTCCATTTTGCGCAGACTCTGCTGCATGGCCTCTGCTTTCTGGTTCTTTCCTCCCTTCTTGCCGCGATTGCTCTCCTCAAAGATGCACTCGTGGTTGCCGTTGCGGCAGCGGTTGCACGGTGGCCCCTTCTCGGCGCCTACGCAACGCATTTTGAGACGTCGACAATTGGTGCAAGCACGAGCACCTCGTGTGGGCTTTTGCTTTTTGCCTCCTGCACCGCTCTTGCCATCCGCACCATTGCCCGTCTTGTCGCCGCCAGCCTTGTCCTTGGCACCGGTCGCCTTCTTGGCCTTGGCCGACTTGGGCGAGATGTCGCGCTTGCGTTTGTTGCCGGCCTGCTTCGCCTTGCTGGTGTCGCCGGTATCACTGTCTTCGGCGTCATCATCGTCGTCCTCGTCCTCGTCATCGTCGTCCGAGTCATCGCTGTTGTCTTCGTCGTCTTCGTCGTCGTCCTCTTCGTCCTCTTCGGCATCCCTGCTCTGGCTCCTCTTGGCGGAAGGAGTCGCGCTGCTTGTATGAAGCGCGGCAGGATTGGACGAGCCCCAGGAAGGGATAGGTGTGTGCCCTGTGCGGTAGGGAGAGTACGACGAAGACGGGTAGGCGAGCGAGGCGAGAGCATGACCGTAGTGCGTGAGAGGAGAGTGGGCGCCCGGCGTGTGGGAGCCGCTGCCGTTGTGACCGGACAAAGCGGGATGCTGAAGATGGGCTGCGGTGGATGTGGGCAGGTTGTGCTCCACAGAGCCTTGGCGCGAATGCGAGAACTTGGGCGGCGTGTTCATCGTGGCTGGACTGGAGTCTCCGGGTTCGAACGTCGCAGGTTGCGAGGACGAAAGATGGAATCAATCTTTGTCGAATGGTTGACGGAAAGGTCGGAAGGTCTAAGCCGGATAGAATGTTTGGTGGATGGGATGAGACCGAAGCGCAACCGGGCCGAGCCTGACAAGGAAACGGCGTGCGCACGGAAGGTGGGCGGTGGTGGCTTTGCGAGTTTGGTGGGGGCCAATGAAACGGGGTCGGAAAGGAGGGCTTTGTTTGTGTTGCAGTATCGATGAACGTGTGACTAACCTCGCCTCGATTGGTTCTTGCGCCAAGACGCAGATGAAGCGCAGATGGACTGACGCGAACGAATGAAGCAGCGGCGGGTCCCACCGGATGAAGAGAGGAAGCGAAGGAGCCGACACTGTGCAAGACAGCCAAGGTCAGCTAAATGGACAGCGAGGTGGTCGAGAGCTTGAGCTTCGAGTGCTTCGGCAGCGAAAGCGATGGAAGTGAGTGTAGGGTGAGAAAGAGAAGAAGGCGCAGCAGCTTAGAGCTTAAGCCGACGAGAAAGAATAGGCCAGCCAGACCGGATGGTCGGTCAACGCTTTGCCTGCAAAGCGGAACAGCCGGCCGGTCTTGGAAAAGAAAGCGGGTCCCTCAGCCTTTCGTGCTCGATTTTCATTTCGCTCGGCTGGTGGCTGCGCAAAAACAAAGCAGACGCGCACCGACGGTTGCCGGTCAAATCAGAATTCGCCAGACATGGGCCAAGAGAGCGCGAAAATCTTAGCCCCACCTTTGCTGCCGAGTCGCTGTGGGTTGAGCAGCGTGACTTTCCAATCGGAAGCGCTTCCGACAGTCGATGACCCGCTTCACAAGCTGCGCTGGTCTGTCCCAGGATCATCGTCCCCTAATCCGATCGGTCTAGTCCGCCATCCCGCATGGAGCCAGAACGCGACATCCGAAGGTCTCCAGCTTCGCCCAAATGGACCGGCTCGGAAAAGCCGCAGTCCCGGCGCGTGTCTCATCTCTGGACCCTCTTCTTCTGGCGTGTCAAAAACCCAGCCTGCCTTCTTCTCGTTTGTCATCCTACAGTCCAAGAATCATCAGGCCGATTGCGAGACTGAAGTGATAGCGTGACTGAAGGGACAACCGCCGTGCCCCAGCTGCGCTGCGTCACGCTTTGGCGCTTGGCCGAACGAGGGGTTCAAGCAAAGGCAGCTCCGGGATGAACCGCGTTGCGGCTCACCTTTCATTCTTCCAAAATCAGGGTCCAGCGCACAGTTCAGCTTCGGAGTTGGTTGCTTTCGCACCCTGCGCTTCCACCTCACGAGCTCTTGCTGACTTGTAGCGTCTCGTGATATCCGAGGACGATTTGGTAGCATGGCTGAAGTTGATGCAAAGTCACGGCGGGTAGCCTACATCGTCTCAGACGACCTAGTCAAGTATGCAGACCTGCTACCGTCCAACAAGGGCCGCTCGTCGCTGGTCCATTCGCTCGCCTACCATTTGGACCTTCTCGATCTCTCTGGGCTGGAGGACGCCGACGACAAGGGTGTCGGTCCTTCATCAGCGGGTCGGCTTCAGAAAGCATTCGCAGCGCATCCGCCCACTCAGTCATCTGACGATGCTCACAGACAACGGGCAACGGTCCACCTGCCTCGCGCAGCGACACATCAGCAGCTGACGAGCTACCATGAAGAATCGTTCGTCAAGCAGCTCGCAAAGGGCGCCGGCGATCTCGAACATCACTCCGATGCCAAGCGACGTAGACTCAACTCTCCCTCCTCTTTGGATGAAGAACCAGCTTCTTCCGACCGATCTTCCCACGATCCCGACACCTCATCGGAACTCCAACTTCGCCCCTCCTCCTCTGTCACCGGCACCAATCGTGAGCGTGGCTACAAGCGTCCTCGCCCCTCCAAAAACCAATTCGGCCTTCAGGACGACTGTCCAGCCTTCTCTGGTCTGCCGCAGCACGTTGCGCTCGTGGCAGGAGCCGCCATCACCGCCGCGGACCTTCTCGCTACCGGTCAAACCGACATTGCCATTGCGTGGGATGGAGGGCGACATCATGCCAAGAAAGACTCTGCCTCCGGATTCTGCTACGTCAACGATGTCGTCCTCGCGATCCTCTCTCTTCGGAAGCCCCGAAGAGTGACCACGGAGGACGGGCGCAAAACGACCAAGCGCGCCGAGCGGGTGCTCTATCTCGACCTCGACCTGCACTGGGGCGACGGCGTCGAGGAAGCTTTCCATTCCAGCCCAAACGTTCTCACGCTCAGCATCCACCATTATGCACCTGGCTTCTTTCCCTGCTATGCGCCTTCGGCGGATCCGAATCGATACACGCCACCTGGCTCGCTCAAGAGCGACACGGGCGCCGGGAGCAAAACGCTCAATATCCCGCTCGGCATTGGGACGTCGGATGCGAGCTTGGAGAGGGTGCTGACGAGCAATGTCGAGCCGCTGGTGGAGGCATGGCAGCCAAAGATGGTCGTGGTGCAGTGTGGAGTGGATGGGCTGGCGGGGGATCCGATGGCCGTGTGGAACCTCTCGGCTGCCGCGTACGTGAGGGCGATTCAGAGGGTGCTGGGCTGGAACAAGCCGACGCTGCTATTGGGCGGCGGAGGATACTGCAGTGAGAACGCGGCAAGATGTTGGACTTTGATCACTGCTGCGTGTCTTGGCAGATTCGAGGAAAGGGATCATTCCAAGAGAAAAGCGGATGTTGCAGCGACGCAGGATGAGCCTCGAGCTCTCACGGAATCAGATCCGAGCCAAAAAGAGGAGAGCAGCGAGGATTCTACGTCGTCTTCGCTCGAAACAATTTCCTATGATACGGCGATTCCAGACCACAAGTTCTGGCCCAACTACGCTCCGACCTACACTCTCGACGCACCAGCAGGCGAGATGATCGATCAGAACGACGAAGCCCACTTTGAGGCTATCAACAAGGTCTTTCTGGAGCACATCAAGAAGGCCTCTTCGCATTAGCTCGCGTATATCACAGTTTCATTCGGTTCAACTACGGACTTCGGTGATTCTCTGAAGTCCAAATCGTGTTGCGTGAATACTGGAATACATGCGAGGATCTCAAGAACACAAGACGAGCGAATGGAACGCTTGACCATCACCTCGACCACTGCTTGCCGCCCCTGTTGCCCGTCGCATTGGCCCCGGACTTCTTGAAATGATCCTTGCCACCGCCGTTCTGGTGATTCCTCCTGTAGTACGCTCTCCTGTCGCTCAGCCCCCTCTTTGGGTTGATCTCATCCTCGCCCTCTCCCTCGCCGTCGGCATCGATCTCCTTCCTCTTTCCCCCGCTCCCGCCAGATGGCGCCTTCAACCCAGCGCCGATTGTAATATTGACCTTGGGGGGCACGGCGAATCCGTAGGCCTTTGCCACCTTGGCCAGGTCCAGCTTGTGAATGTCGAAGATGCGTTTCAACGAGTACGATCCGTACGCCTGCAGATAGGATCGGTAGCCATCGCGTGCCGATTCGTGGAGGTAGAAGTTCTTGCTGATGAGCTTCTCGAGTTGACCTTGAACGTTTGCCACCTTGTCCGAGGGGAAGGTGTATTCATTCAACGGCACTTTGGCCACTTTGAGGAAGCGGAGGAAACCGAGCTCGGTAGGGAGCAGGAAGAGGAGCGACTTGCCGCTGTTGCCCGCACGCGCGGTACGGCCGACGCGGTGGATGTAGTCACGCGGATCATCGGGTGGATCAAACTGGATGATCCAGTCGACGCTAGGGATGTCGAGACCTCGAGCTGCCACGTCCGTGCAGAGCAAAGTTCCAGAGGGCGCGTTGCAGTATTCGAAGAACGTGTTGGTGCGCTTCTGCTGCTTCTGCTTGCCGTGCAGGTCGAGCACGGGGACGTCGATGAAGTTGAGCAGATCCGAGTGGTACTTGACCGAATTGCACGAGCTCATGAAGACAATGATCTTCTTGCCCGCGTTCTTCTTGAGGAACGTGAAGAGGAGGAGGAAGCGGCGGTCTGATTCGCACACGACGTAGCCTTGCTCGAGGCGCGACACTGTGCTCGCTGCCAGGTCTGCGTGAACGTTGATGTAGAGAGGACCGGGCCGGAGCGAGACACGCGCCAAATCTTGCACCTTGGTGGTCTGCGTCGCTGAGAAGAGCATGCTCTGTCGATTGTCGTTAGGCAGGATCTTGACAATCTGTCGCATCTCATCCTCGAAACCAATCTCGAGGATACGGTCCGCCTCGTCGATACAAAGCGCCTTGAGATTCGAAAAGACAAAGCCCTTGGTGTTCTGGAGGTGGTCGAGCAGTCGACCTGGCGTAGCGACGATCAGATTCACGCCCTTTTGCAGCTTGTCTGCCTCTGCGCGACGATTTGCGCCACCCATGATGATGCCGAAAGTCTGGTGATGATGCGCCATGAGCTCCTTCGCCACGCCAAAGATCTGAAGCGCGAGTTCGCGGGTTGGAGAGATGATGATGGCCCCTGTGCCGTTTCTTGGCTTGAACTTGAGCCTGTGCAGCATCTCGATAGCGGGAATAAGGAACGAGAGCGTCTTTCCGGATCCGGTCTGTGCAGCACCAAGCACATCCTTGCCGGCCATGAGAGGTGGGATGGTTCGTGCTTGCACCTCGGTCATGGTCTTGAAGCCCATGGCGTCGATAGCCTTGCGGGTGGGTTCCGAGAGGTCGAGGGCGGAGAAGGGCTGTCGCTCAGCTGCTGGTGTGCTGGAGGAGGAGGATGAGGATGCCTTTGCCTTGGCAGCGGTCGATGACTCGGCGGCTGCGACATCGGCGGCAAGCTGCGAGGCGAGCTCGGACTCGGCGTCCACGTCGATGTTCTTCGGTGGCGCCATGGCTGTCAGCTGTGAGATGACGACTGCTGCGTTTCTTTCGAAAGAAATCCTGCTCCTTCGTGATCCTGTCCTTCACGGTGTTGCTGTTTGGTGGAGAAGATGGTGAGTTGAGAAGACGGCTAGGGTGTAATGCCGAGGGATGTGGTAGAGAAGGGGCTTGATGGTGAGCAGCTTTCTCGTCCTTCTCAACTTTCTTCAAATTTGCCAAATTTTGCAGGCTCAGCCTGACTTTTTCGAGACAATGAGAGCGAGCTGAGGCACTTTAGCAGTCTTCTGCCTGACGAGCTCGAAGAGAAATCCGAGTTCCGAGTCGGTTCTTTTTCTTTTGTTTTTTTGTCAAGAGACAGGGTTTGGTGTGGAGAAATTTTCTCGAGCTCAATTTCTTCCAACTGAGCCTCGCTCGAGCATCCTCGTCGTGTTCAACAACCTGGCCTCGAACGCTTACCATCTCAAGGAACCAGCACCAGCTCCACGAGCATCACATTCCGGGTCACGTACCACATCTGCAAGCCGCAACTTGCTACAGGTCGTACCGAGGATGCCGTCCAAGGTGGCCAAGTCAGCCGTTCAGGCTGTCAACGGCAAGGCTTCGACGTCCTCCGCGACACCTTCACATACGGAACCTACATCCAAGAGAAGAAAGCATCGATCCAATGGCCAGACCGATCAAGAGCTAGCTTCATCGTCCAGCCCGCCCGCACCTCGCAAGATCGTATCCCGAAACAGACTCTTCGCACCCTTCCGTGCTCTCGGCCTCATCAGCAACGATGTTCCCTTCGCACTTCAGACCCGGTTCGGCGGCAAGGACGCCACGACACCTGACGTCAACGTCATCACTTGTCTTGGTGACAGCTGGGCCATGTGGGATGCTGAGAGGATGACGCTCCTTTTCGTTTCGACATCCCTCCAAGCGCCCATCACTTCGCTCGTCATTTCGCTCAGCCCAGATGCCGTTCTCGCCGCAGCAGGGACCAAGGTGTATCGCTTCAAGCGCGGAAAGGTCGATGCTGTCTATGATACAGTAGACCGTATCATGGCACGATTCAACAAGCCAAACGGACGACAGACTGACTCCGATGACGAGGACGAGGAAAGCTCAGACTCGGACTTGGACTCGGTTTCGGACGCAGACATCACTGTGGCCGACTCGCAAGATGGCGAGGGCACTCAGCTGTCCTCCTTGATCGTCTTCGGCGACACGATCGCAGCAATCTCTTCCGACGGCCGCAGCGTCTTCACATGGTCCATCGCAAGCACCGAACTCATCAGGCGCATCGATTTGCCCAACGACTTTGTTGCCAGCTCGCTCCTTCATCCTGCCACCTACCTCAACAAGATCTTGATCGGCTCGACCGACGGCCAGCTGGCGCTCTGGAACATCCGAACAGGCTCGCTTGTCCACGCTTACGAAGCAGAGCAGCTTCGAGGTGCTGCTGCGGGACCCAGCTCTGGCGCCTCCACCGCTGCCATCGTCAACCTCACCCAATCTCCCGCTGTCGACGTGGTCGCGGTTGGCTTCGCTGACGGACACGTTCTCTTGCACGACATACGCCTGGACGAGAGTCTCTTCTCGATCCATGCATCTGGTGGCCTTTCCTCTGGGTCGATCTCCTTCCGCTCCGACGGCAAGCAGCACTCGGTAGCCATCGCCACCAACTCGGGCAACATCAGCATCTTCGACCTCGAGCCCGCTTCTGGTTCGGGACCTAGCTCTGCTAACAACGGCCCCAGACTGACGTACTCGATCCAGGACGCCCACGACGGCGGTGTAGGCAGCATCGAGTTCGTGCCAGGCCAGCCCCTGCTCATCTCGTCCGGTGGCGACAACAGCTGCAAGCAGTGGTTCTTCGAATCCGCCTCCATGCCTCCGCGTCTCCTCAAGGGCCGATCGGGTCATCACCAACCGCCTCACCTTATCCGCTACTACGGCGAAGAAGGCAAAGAGATCCTCTCTGCCGGCCGCGATCGTTCCATCCGCAGCATCTCGGTGGTTCGAGACTCGCGTTCGCACGAGCTGAGCCAAGGTGAACTGCAGAAGAGGAGCAATCAGCTTTCGGTGTCGGTCTCGTCGCTCAAGTTGCCCGCCGCCAGCTCGCTGTCGTTCAGCTTGACGCGCAGTCGCGACTGGGACGACGTGCTGACGACCCACCAGGGTCGGCAGTTTGCCAACACATGGACGGTGAGGGACAAGCGGATGGGCAAGAAGCCGCTCTCCGCCTCGGCCGACAAAAAGATCATCGCCGAGGCCAGGACGGGCTGTGTCAGTGCGTGCGGCAACTTTGCCCTCGTAGGCAACTCGGAGGGTTTGGTCGAGGCTTACAACATGCAGTCTTACGTGCATCGTAGGACGTACGATACTCGTCCTGTCGACCCGATGGGGCCGACTAAGGCAAAAGAGTTCCCGGCCGGATCTAAGAAAGCGCAGGCGGCGCTCCATGCCCGCGTCAAAGGCTCAGCGGTGACCGGCATCGCCACGGATGCGCTCAACCGATTCGTAATCATCAGCACCATGGACGGCAAGCTCTCGTGGTATGACTTTACCTCGACCGACTTGCTCCACCGCACCACCATCTCTGCTTCTGGTATCTCGTCGATTCAGCTCCACCGCGATTCGAATTTGCTCCTCGTTGTCTCTGACGACCTGGTGCTTCGGCTTGTGGACATCGAGACGCGCCGCGTGGTGCGAGAATTTGTCGGGTTCCGCGGTCGCATCCTCGATGCCTGCTTCAGCAACGACGCGCGATGGATCGTCGCCACGTCGATGGATGCTGTCATCCGCACGTTCGACATCCCCTCATCTCGTCTCATCGACGCCTTCAAGGTGGCCAGCATCGCTACGTCCGTCACCTTCTCCCCGACAGGCGACTTCCTGGCCACCGCGCACGTCGACAGTGTGGGCATCTATCTGTGGGCCAACAAAGCCCAATTCTCACCTGTCGCCCTGCAGGGTCTGGACGAGCTGGCCGAGGTGGTGGAAGAAGATGAGGACGCAACAGCTGTAGCGCTGCCGACGGTGCAGGGCGACATTGAAGATGCGGCGCTGGCCGAGTTCTCCGAGTCGATGCTTTCGGTGGGCGAGCCCGAGCTGCAACGTGTCTACACCTCACCGCCGCAGCTGGTGGATTCGAGTCAGGGAGAGGGCGGGCTGGTGACGCTGTCGACCATGCCCCGTGCTCGCTGGATGACCCTCATCAACCTCGACACGATCAAGTTGCGCAACAAGCCCAAATCGGCACCTCAGAAACCGGACGCCAAGCGTGCGCCCTTCTTCCTACCCCAGACGGTGTCTGGTGTCGACTTCAAGTTCGATCCCACCGCACCGGCCGGTGAAGACGCCGAGGCACCGGAACAGGGCGAACGATCCACCATCTTCTCCTCCGGAGGCGTGAGCTTCAAGACCGAGTTCCAAGAGCGACTCGATGCGGCGGTGGAAAAGGGCGACGTGTCGGGATTCTTCCTCTACCTCGAAACGCTTTCGACGCCGCAGTTGGATTTGGAGATCCGTTCGCTGTCGAACGCAGACGACCTGGTGTCGTTCCTCACCATGCTGTTGAAGCGTCTCAAGCAGCATCGCGATTACGAAGCGGTCCAGGCGTTGTTGGCTACATTGCTCAAGGTGCATACCGATCTCATGCTGCAGATTGTCAATCCGAGCGCTAACGAGGTGGACGGAGAGGATGAGGAGATGGATGACGAGTTTGGAGAGGTGGACGAGGAGGAGGTGAAAAAGCTCAAGAGCGTGATTCGGAAGTTGATCCGGGTGCAGGTGGCCGAGAGCAACCGTCTCAATGGGCTGCTGGACCACTGCTTGGGCACTCTCGCGTTCTTGCGTGGCCTACCGATGACTTGAATCTCACTCACAATCTTTCCTATCTTTCTTTGATCCACTCTGTCTTTCTGCGTTCGCCAGCGATGATTGTGCAGCTGAGATCCGTTGCATGCGTGAAGAAAGGCTGCGTTTACAAATGAGCCCACGAGTCCTCTGCGCCTCTCCTCACGACGCTAAGCACCACGAGCCTTGATAGCCATCACAAGTTGGACCTTCCTCCGGACCATATCTGCGAACCTTCTCCTATGCCTCTCACTCTTCTTCCTCCTCCTCTCCTCGTTTGGCTTTTCGTACCTCTGCTGCAGCCTGAGTTCCTGTCGGATGTTATTCCTCCTGAGTAGCACTGCGAGTTGAGCGTAGGCTCGTGCTGGGTCTGCCTGTGGAGTGACGCGGATGCTTCGACCACTGAATGGCGTTGCTGGCCAACTCTGCTCGCCGTACACTGCTCGACTTGCCCAGTCGGCCTCGAGGTCCTCGACGTAGCCACGACGGCCATCGGAGGGGCGAGAGAAGCGCGAACCCGTCCCGCGCGTGGATTTCTCATAGGAGTCCTGGAGTGAGTCGAGAATGGCTGTGTAGGTCGACGCTGCCGACTTGCCGGTCAAAGTCGATGATGTGGATTTGTTGTCCGCGTGAGCGAGGGATGTCGATGCAAAGGAGCGACAGAGCATGCTGATGTCTGTGGCAGCGGGGATCGAGGAGGGCCCGGCCAGGGTAGTTCGGAGCGTTGCCTTCGCCGAGACAGCAGCCCGCAATGGCCGCGCGACTGCGCTGCGTAGTAGAGACATGATGCAGGTCTTTGTCTTCGAGCAGTGCTGTCACTTGACGTCCGACGGATGAGGCAAGGCGAAGACTTTGTGAGCGTGTATGGTGGGATGATAGCAAGATCAAGAGGCAAGGTCAAAGAGCAGCCAGAAAAAAATCCAAAATGGCTCCTCAAAGCTTCTCAATTCTTCGGCTCCGGTCCCGCAATATTTTCGCTTAGATTGTTACATCGCAGTATTACAAGACATGTTTCAAAAGAATTCGTGGCTCTCAGCTCCTACGCAAACTCCCCCATCAATCGCTGCCGGTCCCGTCGTCCGAGTCGGAATCAACCGCGAAGTTCGTCCATCCTCGTTCGCGGAGCCGCTGCAGCTCAATGAGCCATTCGCGTGCCACTGCACTGACATCCGCTTGGTCGATGAGCTGTTGCACTCGGCCCATGGTTTTGCTGAGGACGTCCGGGTCGTTGCTCGATCTGAAGGGGCTTGCTTCGTGTGCCTGCCGATCTTGGCTGTCAAGGTTGAGCAGCCGAGGAGGTGACAGGGAAATCTTCAAGGTCGGCTCAGGCGGCTCTGCATCGGAGATGGATGTGTCATCGTCGTGGCGGTCTCGTTCAAGCACGGCTCCGACGGTGGCGAGGAGTGCTAACGCGCACTCAATTTCCCAGTTCGACGGCACACCAACGTACACCGTGTGAACAAGGAAGCGGTCCAGCCATTGCGCTAGGATTGGTGTAGCGATGACATCGTGAAGCACCAGTTCGCCGACAAAGATGATCACATCGCGGGTGGTGAACATGTCCATATCGTGGCCCTGCTGTGCCAACTGCTTGCGCTCCTCCATCTGATCGATCCACTCGCTGCTCCCGGGACGAGGCGATGCGGAGACGTCGTTCTCCTCATCCTCGTCGTTGATAGCTCGCTTCCTTGAAGGCCTCTCCTCCGGAGGAAGAGCCAAGCTGCTGTCCGTGCCCGTGATGTCCAAGCCACGACGGAGGATGGCGTCTAGCTCGGCGTGGAGCACGTTGCGGAAGAGACCGCCGTGATCCAAATTCCACTGGTGGCGGCTGGGTCCGTTCATGATACGACAACACCAGTCGACGGTATCGTCCAAATCACGACCAAGATTGGACGAGACGAGAGCAATACTCGATGGTGTGCCGTAGGGTGCACGTTCATCTTCGAGGAGATGGAAAAAGCCGGTGACGACATGCTTGCTGCAGTGGGTTGTGATGGCTCGAAGTCTGGCCAAGCCAAGATCCGATTCGGGCTCCTCGACATAGCAGTACATTCTGCTGAGTGACGAAGCCAAGCTGCGGAGAAGCTCGTTGTAGATGGCGGGCTGACACTTGCGAACATCGAGGTACTTGCTGAGAACGTCGTCGATGCCGTCTTCCAGCTTGGTCATGTCAGCGTTGAGATCTTGGAGGAGAATGTCTGCGTCGAGCGTCGCGCTCTTGTCAGCACGCAGCGCTGCATAGTCTACGTCGGCTTCAAGCACCTGCTCTACGGATAGCTCGGGCTCAGGCGTAGGCGACCGGATGGTAATCTCAGGCAAGACTATCGCTGGCTTCCTCGGGCCGGCAAGCGGAGAGATGGAGGCGGAGGTGACGTGTCGCACTCCGGGTAGCATCGCTGTACGGCTTGCGACGCCGTTGCCCTTGCTTTGCAGCTTTGAGGTTTCTGCGACATTTCTGCGCCGCTTGGTCGCGGCTGCGTTCTCGACCTTACCATGATTGGAGCGCTTGGCCGCTGCTTGGTCGGCGCTCAGTGCCAGCGCTTTGACGGGGCGAGATTTGGACTTGACCATGGTTGGCATGGGCGGTCTCACGTTCAAAGAGGGTTCGGGCCTAGAGGAGCATCGCGGCGATCGAGCCGAAGCCTCCAAGGAGGTGTATAGGTGCTCTGTAGAGCCAAGGTCAAGTGACAGAGACTGTGTGGGAATCGTAGGAGTATAGAGTCGAGGACCGATGGGACCGAGCTGAGCCGTGCTGCGCAGCGGGGTGTGAAATTGAGTATTTTGCGATTTGGAGGAGTAGGGATTGGCACGTGTGGCGATGTAGGGCGAGGTGACCCTTTCGGGGCTGCTCGAGGCGAAGTGGAACGGATCCTTGTAGAAGGAAGGAGGTGGGCTGTGCAGCATGGTGGACGAGAGAACAGGTGATCAGCCCACGGAAGGCAAGACCGAAACGGGTTTCTGGCAGCAGACGCGGAGGGCAGAGGTGTGCGGAAGAGCAAATTCGCAGAAGCACATTGAGCTTGCCGAATGAAGCAGCTGCGGAACAAAGCAAAGAGGACACTGAGCTGGTCGGCTGATGAGGTAGACGGTTCAGCGCCTCGGTCAAATGGCTGAGCACGCGAGTGTTGGTGTGCGAGATGAAGTCGAGGTGGGCGAAAGCTTATCGACGGGCAAACCTGCAGAGAGAGAGGAGCAACCTTGACGTCGTGATGCAAGGTCGAGAACGGTCGGGATTTCCGAGAAAAGGAAGGAGATGACAGGTCGACGTCGATCGAGACACGGAAATGAGCGCCTTATATGGGCGAAAAGCAACAAGGTTAGGATCCACAGCTGAGATAGCCGTCAGGCAACGGAAGGCTCAATTTTGAGTCTAACTCGAGTTGAACCCACCGTGAGAGAACAGAGGCCAACTGCACGATCCCGCCGCGAGTGGCTACGCCGTGATGGTGACGCAGCTGAATGCAGCTTGAGTGGAGCGGACCGACACGGCAGCACTCTCTGTTTGTCTGAATGAACGGGCCGCGGGAAAGGCCGCTTTGGTGATTCTGCTTTCGAGACCAGGTGAGTGATGGTAAGGAAAACAGATGCACAATCGTGCTCGGACCGCATAGAGGCGCCTCGTTGCGTCTGCGACCCGCATGGCCATTGAGAAGGAGATGAAAGCTTTCATTCCGGCCACAGAAAGGTGCCTGGGCCTATATGCAGTTTGACCTCAGATATTCACGAGCTTGGACCTCTTCTCGGCGCGTCACACTCCAGGCCGTGACCGTCTCGGATGCCTTCCGATGACACGTGATGCAGCTTAGAGCGCAATCGCACTGCATCATTCATTGATCAGCCGATATTGCATTCGAGCAGTCAAAAGGGGTTGAAGAGGTGTCCCTTGCGATCACTGCCCTTGATGTGTCAACATGAATCCGGCACTTCCGTAGCCAGGAGCGTCCTCGAAACAGCGCAAGGCCACTTTTAACAAAATTGTTAGTCGAGTTTCCGCAACATTTTGCGAAAAAAATAGCCTTCTGCAAAAAGGACGCGCGGGACGCGTGCCCTCCTGGTTGGGCGAAAACATCTCAAGATCAACACGCAGGCGACTCTCCAAAATGCGTTTTGCTGCGCTTCCTCGAGAACAACACTTTCTGGCGCCAGCGAGGGAAACACCTTGGACTACGTTCTCAAGATCGAGCTTTTGTTCTCCCGTCATCTTGACATTCCACTCATCCTCATCCGACCTCTCACTTCCCATCCATTCAGAACACTGCAGCTAGACGACAACTCAAGATGACATCGTTCACGCCCAACCCCAACTTTGACAAGGAGAACTCGAACCCCAAGGACTGGGCCTACCACCTTGGATGCCTGCCTCAGAAGCACCACATCGTCTTCACAAAGGAAGACTTCGTCCTTTTCCTCAAGCAGCACAATGTTCATGTCGGACCCAACTTTACCGAACTCTCCAAGCTGCCCAAGTACGCTACCATCGGAAAGCTCACCGTCTCGGACAACGCGGCTCCCTCTGCTGACTCAGTAGCTGCCTCAACGTCGGCACCTCCGCAGGCGCCGCAGTCTCAGCAGCGCTTCGAGCAGATTGAAGAGCAATCGAATGACAAGAACGTCGTCTACACCAGCTCGGGCGAGGTGTTCCGTCCCAGTCGCAAAGTTCGCCAGCTTCCCGGTGGTGGATCTGCACAGGTCACCGCTCTCTTTGGCAGTGAGGCCGACCAGGAAGAGGAAGCACCTGCTCCCGTTCGCCGCGCCGCAGCTCCCGTGCCTGCTGCGCCTGCACCCGTAGACGACGGTTTCGAGCCCCTTGGCGCTGCCCCAGCAAGGCGCACCGCGAGCGGCAACATTGCCAAGTCGCAGGAATCCGCCTTTTACAACGACGTCAGTTCGGACAAGGCAGGCGTCTACGAGGGCGTTCGCAACGACGCTGTGATGAACAACGGCTTCCGACCCACCCGCCGAGTCCGAGTGCCTGGTGGCACTGGCGGTCTCTCGAGCATTGCATTCGACTAGGTTCTGCAAAGGACGAACAAAGACATGTATCATATACCCTTCCGCCATCAACGACCTTGTATCGTCAACGCCTTCGACGGCTTACATGGACTGACAGGCTTGGCGTGAGCAGGTCTGGCTCATCAGTCGACGACAACACATGAAATGACTCTCGAAGCCCCATGAGGAAGCCGACCGTCGCCTTTCGCGCGAGAGCCAACTTCAAATTGTTAGGTTGCGGAACTTCGGAAATCTTGGGCGGAGTGGCGCATCGAAAAGTGCGGGAAGGGGAATGATTTGACAGGCACGGTTCGACATGATCCGTATGCAAGTTGCCGTGTGACCCTCGCTTCTACGTCAACTCAGCTGCATGGCATGGTACCCCGCAATCCGATTGAGCTTGTCATACACGCCTGTCATCGACTGACACACCAGGCGCAAGGAGCCCGTCGCTGTAACTGACGACGTCCGCGGCGTTCGTCGCACAGACACTTCGGTCGTGGCAGCCAGATCGCATTGGCCATCTGCCTTCGTAGCTGCAATGTGGGGTTAGACCAACCCCCACATACAGGATGGCGTAAAAGGGGCTTATGTCCGGCACAACGGGGCTCACTCGGCTGCGGCAAGCCTCCCACAATGAAGTGTGGATCTTCGTGGTCATGAAGACGGCTACTGTAGCCACCTTACATCCCAGCAGACCCTTGAAATTTGTTTCTCGTATCGTGGCGTCTCCGCCTCGCTTGGAGCAGATCAAATCTTCTCACGAAACCTTGTCTGCGACGCAAGCGAGGCTGGGGCTCACCTGCACACATCGAGAAGCCGCGGCCTTGGGTCTGACTGCCGCGCCGCCACATGGCGGCCAGACCACACGTCCGGCAATGGTGGCCTGTTTGACGTTGGCCTCCTCCGCTTAGCTCGACCACCCCTAGCCGGTCACACACGGCTGTATAACCGTGGCCACTTGCTTCCCCTCGCAACATCGCGCTTTGTCCTCCTTCCATTCATATATAAAGGATCGGCTTCTTCATCGACGCACTCGCTCCCACACACACTGCCGAGCCCACTACCATTGCTTTTCTCACAACGCTTTGTCCTTCAGGGGCTCAATCAGTCCGTTGACTTCACTTTTTGTATCAGCCCACGCCATCCGGCTGCGGTCCTCGTCGAATTGCGCGACATCTTCCGACTGGTGCTGCTCAACTTAAAGCGCTCCAAAGGAGGCTCGACTGTCTTTCCTCCTCGCCTGCACCTCAGCTAGAACCGGTTTCGGACACCATCTAGCTCAGATCGACGACACTATGAAGCTTGCTACGTCAGCAGTCGGTGGTCTCTTTGGCGCCGTCGCTATCGGCAGCCACTTTGTCGGCGCTGTCCCTTTCCTCGCCGGTCGCGACAAAGCACCCAGCGGTGGCGATGCCTTGGCCAAGCAGGCAGAGCTCGGCCCCATCCATATTCTCTATCAGAACGACCTCAGCAACAATGCTTCGACAGGCGCTCTTCTGCTTCCCAACTCGGTCGCCTCCGACAACGCCGCCCAGATCTGCGAGCGCATCGGCGAGAAGCTCTTCCCTCTCGATGCGTCTCTGCAGCAGGGCATCGGCTCTGATCTCGTCGACCAGTTCAACTATCTCCGCTATGCTGGCACCGTCGGCTGGTCGGACTCGTACTGGGTCGAGGAGGGTGCGAACCAGACCGCTGCTTACAAAGTAAGCCGCGGTACTGTTCGAGCCACCGGTCAGGGCGAGAAGCTCGGCGTCCTTTGCACGCACACTGCTCTTCCCACGGTCGTACCTCGTGCGAACCCCTACGCCAACGCAAATGTCACCACGTCTGGCAACGACACTCGCATCACCGTTCAAGCAGGCGACTACACCCTCACCGGCTACAGAGACCGACGATCGTTCCGCTTCCTCGGCGTTCCCTTTGGCGATGCTCCTGTCGGCTCGAAGCGATTCATGCACTCCACGCCTTACACCGGAAACAAGGTGCTCGACGCCACCGCCTACCGCAACTCCTGCCTTCAGTCCACCACGCCCGTCGGCCCCATGCCCGTTGGCGAAGATTGCCTCAACCTCAACATCTACACGCCCGCCTTGGGTTCGTATGACAAGAAAGCACTCAAGCCTGTGCTGTTCGCCATCTACGGCGGCGCATTTACCAGCGGTCGCAACTCACTTCACTCGTACGACGGTGGCAATCTTGCATCGCGCTCGGACGTGGTCGTTGTCACTACAAACTATCGCCTCGGAGCCCTGGGTTTCCTCGCCTCAGGAAAGGATCTCCCCGGCAACGCGGGCATCAGCGATCAGATCTTGGCGCTGAAATGGGTCAAGGAACACATTGCAGCTTTCGGCGGTGACCCCGACCGCATCACGCTGGGCGGCGAGTCGGCGGGCGCGGAGAGCATCGCGGCGCTGATTGCCAGTTCCGAGGCAAAGGGTCTGTTCCACGGCGCATTCATGCTGTCTAACCCGTGGGTCCCTTGGATCAACCGCTCGGTGCAGACCAAATCCATCACTCCCTCGGTCGCCACGAGCCTCAATTGCAGCACCAGTGGTCCCGCCATGGTCGAGTGTCTTCAGAAGGTCGAGAACCCGTCACTCTTTGTGCAGGGCCCCGCTTTCGTCAACGCCACCAACAACATCACCGTTGCGCTCTCGCAGGTCTCAGGCTCCAGCTTGTTCTCGGCCTCGATCCAGCCCTTCTTGCCGACGCCCGACGGTCTGATTGATGACCAGATCTTTTACCTGGCCGGCAACGGAACGATTCCCAACAACGTTCCCATTATGCTTGGCACGCTTTCTGGGGAAGGTACGCTCTTCGTCTACTCGCTGCTCAACGAGACGATTCCCAACTCGCAGGCTGCACTTCAACAGACGCTGGGCAGCCTGTACAAGCCCGACTTCATCACGAAGGTCGAGCAGTCGGGCTTCTTCGACCTCGATCCGGCGAACAACGACTCGGTTCGCGAGACAGTTTCGAACGCGTTCACGTACAACTTCTTCACGTGTCCCACGCAGCGCATTGTCAACATGGCGCAGAAGACGCGCCAGTTCCCGCAGGTCTACCTGTACGAATCCGACTCTGGCTACCCAGACACGGTCGGGTACCCGCCCAAGTGCGCACCGGAGGGCACCGGCGTCGAGGTGTGCCACTCCGACGACATCAAGTCGGTCTTTGGCACGCTGAACTATGAGGGAATTGAGGTCAGCCAGCAGTACCTCGACTTTGTCGCGTACAACGTCGATGCGTTCAGCGCCTTTGTCAGGGCCGGAACGCCCAACCCGAGCGAAAAGTACTTGAAGGCAAGGGGAAGGAGCTACACGTACACGCAAAAGGTGCAGCAGGACAACAAGTGGCAGGCCTTCGAAAAGCCGCTGTTGGAAGCGGAGGATAACAGGACTCAGTACCTTTCCGCTCCCAATGGGATCACGCATGGAGGTGTTCCGCATAGGAAGGTGTGCGATTTCTTCTACGATAACGGCAAGTTGACCTATCAGCTCCTCGACAACTCTTTCTAACGAAAAGAGGATCAGGAGGTCGAACGGAGCGGTCGAGATCAACGAGTCGTGCACGACGAGACTTTACTAGATGCACAACGCCAACGAAATGAAACTGCCTTTCTCCCAAACCTGTTCTAAATCTTGCACAATTGGTCTGAGAAAACGCGATTCGAGATTGCGACAAAGAAAGGAGCGACTGAAATAACAAAGACAAAGACAGCGAGGATGCTCCAGTCGAGATCAACTCGACGAGGCGCAATGCAAAGGAATAAAACCGCGTCTAGGCGGTGGGTTGGGCGGCGGCGGCGCTCGAAGTCTTGTGGTGCTTGTGAGCGGGCTTCTTGTGCTCCTTCTTGGTGGGCTTGGCGTGGTGCTTCTCGCCCTTCTTGTGCGCGTGGGCGGCCGACTGCTTCTCGCCATTCTTGTGGTGGTTGACGGTGGAGCCGTGGTTAGACTTTTCGCCTTTCTTGTGCTTGTGCTCGGCCGAGTGCTTCTCGCCGTTCTTGTGGTGGTTGACGGTGGAACCGTGGTTGGTCTTGGGCTCAGCACGCTTGGAGACGGTCTCGGGTGTCTCGGTGTCGTCCTCGGGCTTCTGCGCCTCGTCAGAGTGATGCTTCTTGTGCTCGGCCGAGTGCTTCTCGCCTTCCTTGTGGTGACCCTTCTCGCCCTTCTTGTGCGCGTGTGCGGCCGATTGCTTCTCACCGTTCTTGTGGTGGTTCACCTCCTGACCGTGGTTGGTCTTCTCGCCAGACTTGTGCTTGTGCTCGGCGGAGTGCTTCTCACCGTCCTTGTGGTGGTTGACTTCCTGACCGTGGTTGGTCTTGGCCTCCTTGGGCTCGGCACGCTTGGTGACGGGCTTCGCGGTCTCGTGCGAGTGGCCCTTCTTGTGCTTGTGCTCGGTGTGCTTCTCGCCCTTCTTGTGCTCGTGCTCGGTGTGCTTCTCACCCTTCTTGTGCTCCTCGGCGGAGTGCTTCTTGCCGTGCTTGTGGTGCTTGACTTCCTTGGGCTCGGCACGCTTGGTCATGGGCTCCGTGGCCTCGTGGGAGTGGCCCTCCTTGTGCTTGTGCTCGGTCGAGTGCTTCTCGCCGCTCTTGTGGTGGTTGACCTCCTGACCGTGGTTGGTCTTGGTGCCCTTGTGGTGGCCGTTCTTCTTATCCTTGTTCTTGGGGCTCGCATCGCGCTTGTCGAGCTGGACACCCTTGACGAGCTCAACGAGCTTGTCGGCAATGGCGTTGTCGCCGTAGAGCTTGCGCACCTGCGACTCGCCGAACTGCTCCTCGACCTGCTGGTGGAGCGCGGCGAGGCGAGGCAGCTGGCTGTGGAACACGGCGTCGGCAGGGTTGGCGGACTCAAGCTGGTTGATGAGCGTCAGCATCTGGGGCACTTGGCCCTCGTCAGCACCGGCAGCGACGGCATCAGCAGAGACAAAGGCGGCCGAGACCAGCACGGCCGAGAGGAGAGCGAAGAACTTCATTGTTGGTAAGAGAATGTGGGTTGCTGTAGAAGCTGTGTTGGGTGGAAAGAGTGTGGAAGGTGGAGAAGTAGGTGTCTTGAGGAGGGTTGGCTTGGTTGGAGGTCTTTGACGAGCGTCAGTGCGGGCAGAGCTGGATTATATAGGATGAACAACTTCGGTGTACGAAGGTTCTGCCTCATAACAACAGGCTTGTGAGAGGCGGACCCCAGAGGTGTCAGCTGAGGTCCGAGACAGAGGCTTGAGCGGTTCCTTCCACAGGTGCATGACCACCAAGCGCTGGCGAAGGGGATCAACAGCCTGCCCGGTGTCCAACTCCGCTCGCGTGGGTTCAGGCTGAGTTTGAGCGTCTGCGCGTTGCTGATCAACAAGCCGACGGTTCGCGCATTTGAAATTGCCATTTTGAGCGCCATATTCAAGTTCGCCAGGCACAGTGTTGGTTTGAAATGGTGTTGGTTGTCAAGCTGCAGAGCGCCGATCTGCTGTCAAGCCACTTGTTGCCGGCTTCGCTTGCTACCGTCAACATCGACGAGGCAGCCCAAGATGAATCTTGACAAGATGTCGGACATGCAATGCATGCAATGATCGCCTCATTGCGCCAAGTTTGATGGAAAACGCACCTGGCTGCGTCGACTGGCCTTGCCACCAACAGTGAGGGCCCAAGGCTTCACAGTACGATCTCTTGCAGGATCGCCACCGTGCAGGTGGGCGTCGATTGCTTTCACAGACGGCCCTTGCAGCCTGACGCCCATCGTCAAGCTAGGGGCTTGATCCTCGACTCAGATCATAAGCTTGACAATAGGTAGAAAGCGGCTCGGGCGCTAATAGGCTGGGAGATTCGAAGCGGAGGAGTAGCGCAGCCGTCTGAGTCCAAGTCGACCGCTACGGACGTTCTGGTCGAACGTTCCAGAATGGCATAAGGCGAATGACCACATTCATGCTCGGCCAGCATTGATGCTAGGGTAAGCACGTTCTGCGACGAAGGGGAGGTTCTCGAAGCTCGTGATCTCGCCGGACATTCAAGTTGGTCTCAGGGCGGGACGCGCTAGAAGGGGTGACAATGCAACTTGGCCGAAGCAGATTCTGAAAGGAGCTCGATGCCTCGAGCACAGCTTTCGTTCTCTCTGCCCTTGCTGGCTACGCTCAAATGGCGCCGTTCAGTACAGCGCTGACCTCTTCATTATCCAGCGCTTCTTGCGGAGTGCGGACGCGACATGAAACCACGGACAAGCGACGTCAAATTGCCAGGTGTGAGGCAATGTCGCCGAAGCGGAAGCGGACACGGCTCGGCATCATCAGCAGAGGGGCATGAAAGAACAATGACGGGATGTCCCCGCGCTCGGCTGGCCAGACCGCCGGCATCAGCCAATCATCCGTTGCTTTGGACTGCCTGATTGGGCGTCGTTGTTTATGCGGCTCGGGCATCGATGCTCGTCGCAATCCAAGCCCGCTCTCGCGCGATTCGACAAGAGCCTTGACTCTTCGGAATAGGCACTGTTAGATATCGACCCTAACACGTCCCAGAAATGGCTATGCCCCTCAGCTCCGTTTGGCCGGCCCGCCGAAATCTCCACACGGGGCACAGCCAACACGCTGTTCGAGAAGCGTGCGCGGACCTCAAAGCTGAAACAGCACCGCAGATGCAGACGCTGTCAAGACCCTGGCTCAGACTTCCCTTTCTTCTTCCAATCGAGCTCACCTCACCATCTGATACCCTTTGTTTGCCGTCTCTCGCACACTTCCTATCTTCGACGCTGCACCAACCTCACGCTCTACTCGGCTGGGTAGAGCTTCCTCCGTTGCGACTCCTTCCATTCCACACTCCGGAAACCGCACCAGCGATCGCACCGCGGAACGGCAACTCGCAGCCTCTCACATCCTTGATCCCCACCAGCAGTCGCATCACCGCCCACCATGGCTGACTCGGGCAAAGATGCCAAGTTCTTCCAGCGCGGCAAAGTCGACGAGCTGCGCCTCGAACTCAATGCCGACAAGAAGGACAAGGGCTGGGTACGCAAGAAGGCAGTCCTCAAAAAGATCATCGCTAACGCTACCATGGGCAATGACATGTCCGCCCTCTTCACAGACGTCGTCCAGTGCATGAACATTCAGGTCCTCGAAATCAAGAAGATGGTCTACCTTTACCTCATCAACTACGCACGCGCAAAGCCAGACCTCGTCCCCAACGCCATCCCCGGCTTCCTCTCGGATTGCAACGACCGAAACCCGCTCATTCGCGCGCTGGCGATTCGCACCATGTCCTACATCTACGTTCCGGCCGTCCTAGCAGCACTGATCGACCCCCTGAGGCAATCACTGAAAGACGCTGATCCATATGTCCGCAAAACGGCTGCCATCTGCGTCGCCAAGCTCTACATGCACGACAAGCGCCTCATCGAGAAGCATCAGTTTATCGGCATGCTCAGAGATCTTCTGGCCGACGCCAACCCCACCGTGGTCGCAAACGCCGTAGCCTCCCTCGTCGAGATTTCCGAACGATCCGACAACATCCAGCTCAAACTCAATCTCACCATCGCTTCCAAGCTCGTCTCTGCGCTCGCAGAATGCTCCGAATGGGGTCAGACCTACATCCTCGAAGCGCTCATGTTCTTTGTCCCCTCCGACTTTGCCGACGCCGAGATCCTAGCAGAGCGCATCGCCGTCCGTCTGCAGCACGCCAACTCGGCGGTCGTCCTCACCTCGACCAAGGTTATCCTGTACCTGATGAACTACATCGCCAGCGCCGAGTTCAAAGAGTCCCTCTGTCGCAAGCTCTCCCCGCCACTCGTCACGCTGCTCTCGTCAGGCCCAGAAGTGCAGTACGTTGCGTTGCGAAACATCCTCCTCGTCATCCAACGCAGACCGCTGGTGCTGCAGAATGAAGTCAAAGTCTTCTTTTGCAAGTACAACGACCCCATCTACGTCAAGATGGCCAAGCTCGAGATCATCTACCGTCTCGCCAACGAGCGCAACGTCGAGCAAGTCCTTGCCGAGCTGCGCGAGTACGCCTCCGAGGTGGACGTTGACTTTGCCCGTAAGGCCGTCCGCAGCATCGGCCGGCTAGCGATCAAGATCGAATCTTCGGCGGACAAGTGCATCCAAGCCCTGCTCTCGCTCATCCAGACCAAAGTCAACTACGTCATCCAGGAGTCGATCGTGGTGATTAAGGACATCTTCCGCAAATACCCCAATCGGTACGAGAGCATCATCTCGACGCTCTGCGAGAACCTGGACAGCTTGGACGAGAGCGAGGCCAAGGCCGCCATGATCTGGATCATCGGTCAGTACGCAGATCGGATTGAGAACTCGGACGAGCTGCTGGAGGATTTCCTGTACACGTTCCTCGAGGAGCCGGTGGAGGTGCAGCTTGCGCTGCTTACAGCGACGGTGAAGCTGTTCCTCAAGAGGCCAACAGCGGGTGGCGAGCTCGTGCCGAAAGTGCTCAAATGGGCGACGGAAGAGGTGGAGAACCCGGATTTGCGAGATCGAGGCTTCATGTACTGGCGACTCCTATCGACAGACCCGGAGGCGGCGAGGGACGTGGTGCTGGGCGGCAAACCAGCGATATCAACGGAGACAGATCGGATGGACCGACAACTCCTAGATCAACTCCTGCTGCACGGTGCCAGCCTGGCAAGCATCTTTCACCGCCAACCACAGACGTTTATTCGGAATGCGAAGGCGAGGTACGTCCCGGACTCACCGGCGTTGGACGAAAGCGCGAGGCGGTACGCTTCCGCACATCTCTACAGCAAGCCGCTGGTGAGAGGGCCAGTGCTCAACACCAGCACGGACGAGAACGAGGAGAGAAACGGAAAGCTGCCGCAGGACGACGAAGAGGCGGAGTCGTCAAACTTGCCGGCGCGCGATGTCAAGGGGGCGGTGGTCAAGGAGAAGAATTGGTTGGAAGACCCGGAGGATGCCGAACAGGATGTGGACGAGTCGGAAGGTTTCGCCAGCAATGGGAGGACCAGGGAGGATGCGGATGGTTCATGGGCTCAGTTGTAGACATGCAAGCCAATTCATTGCATGGAACCCAACGACTTTTTCTGAGACTGTGTGATGCCCGTGAGGCAAAGCGGGTGCTGGTGTCACTGGCGTCTGCCTGGCCGTTCCAGGTGTGTCTGCTAACTCGTTTTGGCGGGGTCAGCTACAGCGGTCAAGCGTGTCCGCGAATCCGGTCTGGTCTCGCTTGCTGGGCCACTGAAACCGCCAATTCAGGCCCTGCTGGAACGACTTTGCAGAGTCCTCCTTTCACTGTCTGGACGGCAGATGGCGGATCGGCGAGGGAACATGGCGTGGCAAGGAACATCGACTTCACCGACCCGCCCCTCGCATCCTTCGGGATGATCAGCATCTACACTTGCTCCATCCATATGGCACACGAACCGTCCGTGATTGTCCAAATGGCAGAGGACCGCGCAAGTGTTGTTGCAGCTGAAGCAAAAGGGCACCGGGCGTTCGCCCGTCTTCAGGTACAACACTGCTCTCTGGCGTGTACACAGCGCGTACGCCGAGAACGAGGTCTCTATCGCGATGCCTCAGCCCATGGTCGAGGTCAATCCCCGCCACGACGGCTGGGTTCATTGAACCAAGACGTCAAACAAGAACGTCCTAGCACGCAGAAAGATCGAGTGGGACCCCGCGAAGGCGGTCGTCGCTGTAAGAACGCGAATCAGAAGCCTTTCTTCACGGGTGCACAGTAGCTTCGGTCGTCGTTCCTCCTTGAGTGACGCTACGGAGCTCCATACCGTCTTTAGCAGCAGAAAGTATGACGAGCAAGAGATGGTCAGGAGTGAAGAACGCGTCCACACCGAAGCTGTGGGTGCGATACAGCTGTCCGTCGTGCTTCTTTGTGTGGCACGAGATGGGGTGCTGCCAAACTTGCGCACGGGTCTGCCGGTTGATGGTCATCACGAAGTCTGAGGTCTGGACTTCAGCAACGTTCTTCCGGCCCTTGCGCGTCAGCACCTGGTGGTCGCAGGTCAGACAGTCGCTGTCGACGGGGCTGTGGGTGTTGATGACCGGTCCCTTGACGAGAGGCTTGCTGTGCAGATGCGCTGATGCGTAGTGGATGATAGGCCAGTCGGCAAAGGAAGGGCAGTCAAGGGGGACCGTGGCGATCTCTTCCGCCTTGGCCACCATACCGTGGGCGACACCTTCTGCACTCCACGTCGAACATGGTACGCCAAGGGCTCGCGACCGCGACCCAATATGACTGGCGAAGATGCCGCCAACCTCTCCGTGTCGATGAACTGCATTGATCGGTCTTCAACTGTGCACGCCACCTGGAGGTCCCCGTTGCTGGGAAGAGTCTCGCCTTTCCTTACGCGTGGCCGGCCTGCTCTTGCATGTCAACAACTTTCTCGACGATGAGCAGCATCGCAATTGGGGACGCTTTGTGGGCTTCGTGAGGGGTGACGGTAGCGTGACGAGTGACACAGAGACAGCGGTGAGCGGAGCTGTCGTTAGGTTCTCGCAGTCTATTCGAAAGCCGCAGGTGTTTGCCTGCCTCAATGGCCTGCTCGACCGACTTCCCGTGGCGCTGTCCTGGACTCGATACAAGGAGACAGCCGGGACGACAAACAAAGATTGCATCCCACGTCACTCGCGCAGGTCAGACGGATCAAGACGTGGTACGTCGCAACCATTGCCGCCGTGACAGACAACGACAGTTTGTCGAGCAATTCACACTGTGACGAACGGGTATAATCCTGCATTGACGACCTTTCGTGTCGCTCAGCCGCAACCTTTGAGCGATCAATCTAGGCGTTGCAGCCTGCCTCTGTCTCTCCCCAGTCTTCCAGCGAGATCAACATGATCTCCAAACGTCTTACGCTGCTGATCCGCGAGGAACACTCCTTTGCCGTCGCTGTGACCTTTTGAGCGCGCGTCGAGCAGCTTCTGCCTCAACGCCGCTTCTCTCTTCTCCTGCTCCGCCTCCTCCGCATTGATCTTGGACACGTACGAGCTCCTCTGTTCCTCCATTGACCTGGCGTTTTGCTCCATCTCCCTGAGCTTCTGCTGGCGCATCTCTTCCTTGCGCTGCTCGTCCTGTTTCTGTGCGGCGCGTGAAGGTGGACTGCGGCTGCGGGAAGACCTCGAACGGTATGAGTCCTCGTCGCGGAAGGCCCCTTCGCGATACGAGCGAGACCTGCGGTGGTGCTCGCGATCATCGGTGTCATGGCGCCTTGAGAAACGGGGCTCTTCGTCTCGATGGCGTCGGCGTGAGCTTTCTCCGTCACGATGATTCGAGGCACGATCTCTACTGTTCCTGTCCTCCTGATGTCGATGCGAACGGCTTTCGTGATGGGAGCTGCTGTGACTCGAGCCGGGCCTGCGGCGTCGATCCTCGTCGTCATGCCGGCTGCGCCTGTCCCTTTCCTCGTGCCTGCGTCGCTTCTCCTCCTTCCTCCGGCGTCTTTCTTCCTTGCTTTCCGAGTTGACGTCGATGCCGGCCTGCATTTTGAGCTGCCGCAGTCTCGCCGGATCCCGCAGCAATGCCTCGTATGCTTCTTGCTCCTGTTGCTTGATGGCCAGCATTGGATCCTCTCGTACCTTGGCAGCAAGATCGCGTGCGGAGTTGGCGCTTTGAAGCGAGATGAGGCTCTTCTGGCTGCTTTTTGAGACTTCCTTGTTCTCCTCTCCTTGTAGCAGCTTGTCGACACGCTTCTTTCCGAGCAGGTAATCCTCCATCTCCGCTGCCGAGTTGGACCCTGTGGTGGCTGGTGTAGCATACATCCAATCGACCTTGTCCACACGCTTCTTGCCGCCGGCTTCCTCTTGCAGCCGTTGAAGCTCTTGCATCTCTCGCTCTTGCTCTCGTTCGCGGCGGAGTTCTTCGAGCTTCTTGCGCTCCTCGATTGCCTCCTTTTCGCGCTTCCACACCCTCTCCTGGTTGACCTGCAGGAGAGGATGCCACGACTTTTTCATGTTGAGATCGCCGCCGCCCATCTTAAAGCGTCGAGAGCCCCTTTGCCGGTGCGAGCCAGTGATTGAGGCCTTCCTAGGGTCAGCTCAGTTGCCCAACTTAGCAAGGTGGAAAGTGGTGGAGTTGTTGGTGAAGCGGAGGAAGTCGTAATGCATGGCTGAGCTGCAGGAGGCGTAGCCAAATTTCATAGCCGGGACCCGTGATTTTTGGGCGGCTCACTCGCACGATAAGAAAAACTGCTGCGCTTTACATATCCGATCCGAAGACCAGCAGAGGAGCGCGCGTTTTGAGGGAGAGAGACTGAGCTGCACAAGAGCAGTCAGAGAGAACAACTCGTCGTCGAACGGTCTACACTTCCTCCTCTCTACCTTCATCCGCACTTTCTTTCAACCTTCCGCACCTGTTGCTCTCGCAACGGAGCCTCTGATCTGCTCTCAAATCCAGCTTCTGCCACCTTCCAGCAGTTGCCGGTCATCTTCGACTGCCCTTGATCACGCTCATTCTTCACCTTCTTCCCGCAACCGGCTCTGATCTTCGACAAACACGCATTAGCTTAGGTGGGCGAAAGGGGTCATTCGCCGCTTACAGCGGGCATCTCAGCAATCAGCTGCCGTCTCCGCGCCTGTCGAACAGCTGCGTCCCCACGACACTTCTTCCAATCAATTCCGCATCGACCTTCTCAATTGACGCCATCGACAAGATCGGTGTGAATCAGTCGCAGTCATGGCTGACTCCGTAGCATACGACAAGTACATGAAGGATACCCTCGATGAGCCTGCCATCGACATCAATGACCTGGATGCTGCCAGCTACAACAATGGTGGCTACAGTGCCGGCAAAGGCATGGATTACGAAGGTGATGATGATTTTGCGGAAGAGATCTCACAGGAGGACTGCTGGGACGTGATCCGCGCCTTCTTCGAAGAGAAGGGTCTTGTTCGCCACCAACTCGACAGTTTCAACGAGTTCATGTCCAACACCATCCAGGAGCTCGTCGAGGAGGTGCGCAGCCTAACTCTCGAGCAGAGCGATCAGCACTCTGGCCACGCAGAAGACAAGACTCGTCGATACGAGATCGAGTTCGGACAGATCTACCTCAACAAGCCTACCCAGACCGAGTCCGATGGTAGTTCCGCTCAGCTCTTCCCGCAGGAGGCTCGTTTCCGCAATCTCACCTACTCGGCTTCCTTGTTCGTTGATGTGACGCAAAAGGTGCTCGTTCAGAGCGAAGATGAGGTCGACCTCAACGGCGATCCCGCATGGGTTCCCGAGTATGGCAAGACCGATGTCGAAGAACAGCAGATCTTCATTGGCAAGGTCCCTATCATGCTCAAGTCCGACTTCTGTTGGCTCAAGGGTCTCGACGAAGAGATGTCGTACTCGCTCAACGAGTGTCCCTACGATGCTGGTGGATACTTTGTCATCAACGGTTCCGAAAAGGTGCTCATCGCCCAAGAGCGGATGGCCGCCAACCACGTCTATGTCTTCTCCAAAGCGCCCCCAGCACCCGTCACCTTCCTCGCCGAGATCCGCAGCGCCGTCGAAAAGGGCGGAAAGACCATCTCCACCATGCAGGTCAAGCTATTCTCGCGCAACAAGGAAAAGACGGCCAACAACACCATCCGCGCTACCCTTCCCTACATCCGCAACGACATTCCCATCGTCATCGTCTTCCGTGCCCTCGGCATTGTTCCTGACCGTGAGGTGCTCCAGCACATCTGCTACGACTTCAACGACACACCTATGCTCGAGATGCTCAAGCCATGCATTGAAGAGGCTTTCGTCATTCAGGACCGGGATGTTGCGCTCGACTTCATCGGCCGTCGTGGTACCACTACGGGTCTCACGCGCGCCAAGCGTACGGTCTATGCGCAGGAAATCCTTCAAAAGGAGATGCTGCCCCACATTTCCACGTCCGAAGGCTCCAATACCAAGAAGGCGTACTTCTTCGGTTACATGATCCACCGCCTGCTGCTCGCTGCGCTTGACCGTCGCGAGATCGACGACCGTGACCACTTCGGCAAGAAGCGCATTGATCTCGGTGGTCCTCTTATGGCCAACCTCTTCCGCATGCTCTTCCGCAAGGTCACTCGCGACGTCTACCGTCACCTGCAAAAGTGTGTCGAGGAGCGCCGCGAGTTCCACATCCAGGCTGCCGTCAAGTCGAGCACCATCACCAACGGTCTCAAGTATTCGCTCGCCACGGGTAACTGGGGTGATCAGAAGAAGGCTATGCAGGCCAAGGCGGGTGTATCGCAGGTGCTCAACCGTTTCGCCTTTGCCTCCACTCTCTCGCATCTGCGCCGCACCAACACGCCGATTGGTCGTGACGGTAAGATCGCCAAGCCTCGTCAGCTGCACAACACGCATTGGGGCATGGTCTGCCCTGCCGAGACGCCCGAAGGACAGGCGTGTGGCTTGGTCAAGAATCTGAGTCTCATGGCCACTGTCACCGTCGGCACACCCTCGGCGCCCATCGTCGAGTTCTTGGAAGAGTTTGGTCTCGACAGTCTGGTTGATATGCAACTCGCCCACGCCAAGGCTACCAAGATCTTCGTCAATGGTGTTTGGATGGGCACGCACGATGATCCTGGTCAGCTCGTTGACACGCTGCGCGACCTGCGACGAAAGGACGACATCTCGCACGAAGTTTCCGTAGTCCGAGATATCCGCGAGCGAGAGCTGCGCATCTATACGGACGCCTCTCGTGTTCTCCGACCTCTGTTCATCGTCAACCCAGATGACATGTCGTTGCTTATCAAGAAGCGACATGTGCAGATGATTGGCCAGCCCATCCCCGAGACTGGCGAAGATTACCGCTGGACAAACCTCGTGCAAGAAGGCGTCATCGAATATCTCGACGCCGAAGAGGAAGAGACTGTTCTCATCAGCATGTCGACGACCGATCTCGAGCAATCTCGCGAGTACAAAGCACGCGGTGGACAGATCAACCTGCAGTCCGCGGATCCATCGGCACGTCTGAAGTCCGTACTGACTATCGCGCCGGACACGTGGACGCATTGCGAAATCCACCCGGCGATGGTCTTGGGCATCTGCGCGAGCATCGTGCCCTTCCCGGACCACAACCAATCGCCCCGAAATGTGTACCAGAGCGCCATGGGTAAACAGGCGATCGGCATTCCTATTTCGAACATCCTCAACCGAGCCGACTCGATGAACCACTTCTTGTGCTACCCTCAGAAGCCTCTGGGCACCACCCGGTCCATGGAGCACCTCAAGTTCAGAGAACTTCCTGCTGGATGCAACGCAATCGTCGCGATCATGACTTATTCCGGATTCAACCAGGAAGACAGTGTCATCGTCAATCAGTCGTCGATCGACCGCGGATTGTTCCGCAGTTTGTACTACAGGGGGTATCAGGCTGAGGAGAAAAAGGTTAGTCGATGGTGACGAAAGCTCTCCCCGTGGTCGCGATCAAATCTTACTAACAAGTTTCTGAATTGGATTTAACAGGTCGGAGTAATGCAGCTGGAGGAGTTCGAAAAACCCTCTCGCGATACGACCATCAGGATGAAGCACGGGACATACGACAAGATCGATGAAGATGGCCTGCCGGCACCTGGCACGCGTGTTTCGGGCGACGACGTGATCATCGGCAAGACCGCTCCCCTCCCGCCCGATTCCGAAGAGCTGGGCATGCGTTCGAAACTTCATACGAAGAAGGACGCCTCCATCTCGCTCAAGTCCACCGAGAATGGTATCATCGACCAGGTTCTCGTGACGACTAATGCAAATGGCAACAAGTTCGTCAAGGTGCGAGTGCGCAACACTCGTGTGCCGCAGACCGGTGACAAGTTTGCTTCTCGACACGGTCAGAAGGGAACAGTAGGCATCATGTATCGACACGAGGACATGCCGTTTACGGCGGACGGTATCGTTCCAGAAATCCTGGTGAACCCACACGCCATTCCGTCGCGAATGACCATCGGTCACTTGGTCGAGTGTCTGCTGTCCAAGGTGGCGGCGTTGTCGGGTCAAGAAGGCGATGCGACGCCATTCACAGAGCTTACGGTGGAGGCGGTGTCCTCGATCTTGCGCGGTCTCGGATACCAGTCGCGTGGCCTCGAAGTCATGTACCATGGACATACGGGACGCAAACTGCAAGCGCAAGTCTACCTCGGACCGACCTACTACCAGCGTCTCAAGCACATGGTGGACGACAAAATCCATTCTCGTGCTCGAGGACCGGTCCAGATCCTCACCCGACAGCCGGTGGAAGGTCGTTCGCGAGGAGGAGGTCTCAGGTTCGGAGAGATGGAGCGCGACTGCATGATCGCGCACGGTATCGCCGGATTCCTCAAGGAGCGCATGTTCGATGTGTCCGACCCGTACCGCATCCACGTCTGCGACCTCTGCGGTCTCACGGCACTGGCGAATTTGAAGAAGGGCACATACGAGTGCCGTTCCTGCCGAAACCGCACGGCCATCTCTCAGATTCACATTCCGTACGCTGCTAAGCTGCTCATGCAGGAGCTGATGAGCGTCAACGTCGCCCTCCGCCTCTACTGATCCGCCCGCACCCCCACTCCAGCATCGCCTCCATCGTCTACTCAAAAATCACCTTGTATCTTAGTCTTTCAGCTTTCCCTCGAATCAAGCGTTCGGCACACCAACGCAGATCGTTCCGAACCTCGCTCGAATTCAATGAGACGTCTGCTTTCTGCTCGTGGTGAAAACCGTTGCGTTATGCACAAATCGCGGTCAAGAGTCGATTCCGGTCAGGGTCTCGACCGCTTCTTTGAAAAAGTGTTACTTTCCTCAGAATCTGCGCACCGATCAGCTTCTCCTTCTCCACCACGTCACATCATCACCTCGAACACGCTTCACCATGGCTGCTGCTTCCACATTGACCATGGATCCGACACGGCATCTGCTGATACCATTGCATGTCGCCTTCGTCGAAGCGCTCGACAAGAAGCGCGATTCGCTCGCCTACCACTTCACCACGCACCTGCGCATGAACGGCGTCTATTGGGGACTCACAGCCTTAGAGATTCTGGGCCGACCAGAAGTTTTGGATCGACAAGCACTGATCGACTTTGTGTTCAGCTGCTGGAACGAAGAGACCGGCGGATTTGGCTCGTTCCCCGGTCATGACGCACACGTACACAGCTCGCTATCCGCGATACAGATCCTGGCGATGAAGGACGCTCTGGACGAGCTCGACACCAGAGGATTCAGAGATCGTCTAGTGAAGTGTAAGTCGCCGACCTTGTCTTTCAGCGTATCTGGCGGTTTCTGACGGAGTGATTTCTTGACATGCATTCTTACAGTCCTGCTGGAGCTTCAGCTGCCCAACGGCGCGATACAGGGCGATCAATGGGGCGAGACAGACACCCGCTTCCTCTACTGCGCCGTGTCCGCCCTCGCTCATCTCGACGAGCTCGACAAGCTGGATCGCGGACTCACTATCGAACACATCCTGTCGTGCCACAACCCAGACGGAGGGTTCGGCACCGGGCCTGGTGCCGAGAGCCACGCTGCGCAAGGTAAGTGCCTCGAGCTCCTCCGTTCTACACGTTTCCTTCTTCGCATCGTATTGACCGTCGGCTGTCTCGTCACACACTTGCAGCCTGGGTATGCATCGGCGCACTCTCGATTCTTCAAGCCCTCGACCGGATAGACCGAGATCGGGCAGGAGGCTGGCTCGCCGAACGCCAATTGCCGAACGGAGGACTCAATGGCAGACCGCAGAAGCTCGAGGACGTGTGCTACAGCTGGTGGGTGCTTTCGACGCTCAGCGTTCTCGGCAGATTGCATTGGATCAACGCGAAGAAGCTGTCTAAGTTTATTCTCTCGGCACAGGTGGGTATCTCGACAAGACTTGATTGCAAACCGGGCGAACGCTGATCCTCTGACGACTCGCGCGATATTCATCGTCTGCTGATGATATACAGGATCCGGAAGACGGAGGCATTGCTGATCGACCGGACAACGTCACTGATGTGTTTCACACCGTCTTCGGTTGCGCTGGTGAGTCCTCTTCGATCGATTCTGGCCCAAGGGAGTGTCGATGAAAGGCGCTGACACGTGTCCTCTCCCCTTCTCTGTGTGGCAGGCCTTTCGCTACTCGGTTTCGAGGGACTGCAGCAAGTCGATCCAACCTACTGTATGCCACTGCGAACAACGAAAGCATTGGGGATCGATCGACCATATCAGCGACCTCCAGCAATCGACTGGAATTGACCTCGTTCGCCGTCACACATCTTTGCCCTTGTCTGTCCGAGCGATACAATGGACGACTTTGCGAAGAAGATCTTTGCATGTGCTATTGGCGTTCTTGCTGAGCTACCTGAGCTATGGGCGATAGGCTGGTTCGAAGATTGTGTCTTGAGGATCGACCATGAAGTTCCTTCCGTTCTTTCGCACCGTCTTCCCCTCCTTGTCTCTCGGCAACGCCTTGCGCATATCGTATCCGTCCTCATCTTTGCCCTTCCCACCGCCACCATAGTAGTACTCCTGCACCTTCCTGTATACGTCGTAGCCCATCTTCTCGTACATCGTCACTGCGGTAGTGTTGCTGGGCCGTACGAAGAGGTCGACGAAATATGCGTTGTATACGCGATGCGAGACGTCTTCGAGGAGCTGCATCAGGCCGTTTGCCAGGCCGAGGCGGCGATATTCGGGCGCGACGGTGATGGCTGTTACGTGACCGTGCAGCGTTGGCAGCTCTCCTCTTCTTGTCGCAACAGGATCGGTTCCCTCAGCTTTGCCGATGACGTAGCCCATCGTTCGAGTTGAAGAGGGCGCTGTTTGGATGAAAGAGAGGTCGGGCCATTGCGCTAGGTACGAGAGGTAGAAAGATAGCGAGTAGGTCTCGGTCCAGTGGTCGAGGTTGACGTTGTTGAACTTGAACAGGTCAGTCGCTCGGAAGGGTCGCAGCAGCGACATTGTGCAGGTTGCTCGTGAGCTTTTGAGCAACTAGGCCAGCTAAGACTCGAGCAGCGAGGAGGTGAGATGTGGTCGTAATGGTAGACGATGGGCACGAGCCTCTACATTGATTTTCGTGACCTCTTTTTCCAATTTCTTTTTTTGGTCGCGATTCTTCTTTGTGACAGGCTCAAGGTTCTGGGCGTGCCAAGCTTGTCTAACGTGAGCAACTCCATGGAATAGTCGAGTTGCAGGAACCCTGTTAGCGATTACGGAACAGGCACTTGCACTACCGTGCAGGCACTTTGGACACTGCATCGAACGTGTCGGTCAAGATAAGATCAAGGTGGGTCAGACCGGGCTATCGGACATACAGTAGCTCCAGAATTGTGAGAGCGTCAGCCGCGAATATCTCGCGACGATCTGACCACGGCATCGCCGCGCAGTCACCGCGGATCGTGAAAATCGCGGATCGAGGGACACGGATCTACCACGTGGTGCCTGGCTTTTGTTTTGGTAGGAGTTACGCCAAACAAGGCTGCCTGCCCCTCCTCAGAACGGCTGGCGTTCCGGTGTCACTGGCGGCCTGCTTAGCAAACGAGTCCAGGCCCCCATCCGTCTTCCGAACTTGCAAATCTGTGTCCGACAACAATGCACGTTGGCAGGAATGAGCGACAGCAGCCAGGCTTTTGGTTGACTTATTAGCGAGCGTTGTACTCTTCCCGTCCCGCAAATGCCTCGGCAAGATCTTGTGTAACGCCTGCTTTTCATATTGGATATATATGTGCCCTTTCTTCGTCCACCACCCCCTGTGTAAGCGTCTGTCTCCCATCTTCTATCGCTCTCGCAGCCTACCCTCCTCACAGAACGCGATGACGACTGAACCACAGCAGCAGTCGCCGACCATGGCGACGAGCTCGTCCCCTTCCACCTTTGAAGCGACTCACGCCATGCGATCCGCGTCTACCTCATCCACTCCTCTCCCTGCGGCAGCTGCATCGCCCTTGGAGCCCGTCGCTAGCGACTCTGATGCTTTGTCGGGCAGCAAGACAGCCTTTGTCTCGGGCGACAACTTCTTTTCGTGGCGCGACATCACCTACGATGTGCTCCTCTCCAAAGCTCGACGCAAAGAGATCAAGAAGCAGGGCAAAGATGCTTCCTCTCCGTCTTCCCCACCGCAAGAGAAGGCCTCTCAGGCAGAAAAGGGCTCGGCAAGTCCCACAGACACTCTCGATGAAGAGAAGCTGGAAGAATTCAACGAAACTTTCCCACACCTTCCTCCTCTGGACCCGATGAGGCGACGTGTGCTCAACGGCGTGAGTGGGCACGTGAAGCGAGGCGAGATGGTCGCCATCCTCGGTGCTTCCGGCGCCGGCAAGACATCTCTCCTCTCCACGCTGTCAGCTCGTCTCGACAAGTCGTCCGATATCGCCGGCGAGGTGCTCTTCCAAGGCAAGCAGCGTAATCCAGCCACGTGGAAGCGCTTGACCGGCTTCGTCGAGCAGGATGATCTCATGTTCTCCGCTCTCACTGTCCAGGAGACGCTACAGTACTCGGCCGATCTGCGTCTGCCGAAGCGACTCTATAACAAGCAGGAACGTAAGCAGCGCGTCGAAGACAGCATCGCCATGCTTCGTCTCGAGAAGTGTAGGGACACGCGCATCGGCGGAACCGGCCAACGAGGTGTCTCAGGCGGTGAACGCAAGCGTGTGGCCGTCGGAACAGAGCTCGTTGCGGACGTCAGTGTGCTTCTCCTGGACGAGCCAACATCCGGTCTAGATGCATTCGCAGCACTCAACCTGGTTAAGAACCTCAAGGAAATTACGCGGGAGCGCGATCTCTATACGCTCATGACGATCCACCAACCCTCGTGGAACATCTTCAAGCACTTTGACAAGGTGATCCTGCTCACCCGGGGTCAGATCTACTACTCTGGTCCGCCGGCGCTCGCGCCTTCCTGGTTTGAATCGCTGGGCCACAACGTGCCTGAAGGTGTCAACCCCGCTGACTACTACATCACAATCGCAGAGAACTATGAGAAGACCAACGCCGCTGAACAGCGTGTTCGCGGACTTCTCTCTTCGTGGCGCCAGAACGGCGACTCACTCACAGCAGAGCGGGCTGCAAAGGAACTCGCAACGACCAGCCAGAGACCAACCGAGATGGATCGCAAGCCCTCCCGCATCGTTCCAAAGAGTAGCGACGCGACTGAACTCGCCGGAACGTGGCCCAACTCGTGGCTCCACGAGCTCTCCGTTCTCACCCATCGCTGCGCGATGCTCATCTTCAAGGACCCGACCATTGTCTTTGCCTCGTTAGGCCAGAACATCATTCTGTTGATCATCATCGGCTTCGCGTTCTTCCGTCTGCCTTTGGACCAGGGCGGCGTGCTTGCTCGTGTCGGCGCGCTCTTCATCATCCCGGTCAACGCTTCCTTTGCCGTGCTCTTTCCGATTCTCGCCATCTTCCCTCTGCAGCGCGACATCATGCTGCGAGAGCGGTCCGCGGGGACGTACCGAATCTCGTCTTTCTACCTGTCCAAGATCATCACCGAGGTGCCGAACCAGCTCTCCCAGCGTCTCCTCTTCTACGTCGTCATTTATTGGATGGTCGGTCTGCGCCAGTCGGCGGGCAAATTCTTCATCTGGATCGCGATCAACCTGCTGCAGGTCAGCACGGCAATCGGATTGGGACTCGTCATTGGCTGCGGCGCAAAGAGCATCGAGCTCGCCAACATCTTTGCGCCCGTGATCAACGTCATCTTCTTGCTCTTCGGCGGCAATCTTCTCCCTCTTTCCTCCATCCCCCCGTGGCTGATTTATTTGCACTGGATGTCGCCCATCACGTACACCTACTCAGCGCTGGCGCAAAACGAGTTCCGAGGGCTGCAGTTCACGTGCACGGCCGACAGCCAACAGTGCTACAGGAGGGGCGAGGACGTGCTCAACCAGTACGATTTGGGCCGTTTCACGATTGCAGAGAATGCAGGATTCTTGGGCGCCATCACCGTCGTCTTCTTGGCCCTCGGATACGTGTTCCTGCGATGGTTTGGTAAACCATCGTTCAGGTATGTTCAGCCAAAGAAGGCCTTGTCGGCACAGTAACGGCGCGCTTGGTCAGTCTCACGGTGACACAACGATGGCTCCGCGCAACAGGCCGAGTACAGTTCCGTTTCAATGATACTTGTTACACAGACAGACCGCGAGATGAATCTTAGAGATGCGTGGGAGCTACGTTATTGACTCAAGCGTCACGCGTGATGATCGTGAACAGCAAGATAGCTCATTTGACACAGCCGCGCACTTGTCGCTTGGGTCTGAAACTGCCTTTCGCCTGGTCCTGACCTGCTTCTGGTCAAGCTGTAGGCGTCTGTAGGCGTCGGTAGCACATATGAGCCCAATTATAGCCAACGCATTCTTCACGAGGGAACCAGTCTGATACCCAGCCAGAAAGGCCTGCTTGTCAAGTTGAGCGCGGCCTTCCGGATTTTCTTGGAACCCTGAGACAGACACACTTTGGACCCTGAAGCGCAGACAGTAAGCGTGCATGCGTGTGCTCAGCCCATTCTTCTCGCCCGCGCCCACCACCTCTCGTCCCCACCGCTGTCTCATCAGGGTGACTGAGTCCTTCACCGTATCGATGACAAGATTGTCCCTCTCGGCATTGCCTCCCTCTTGATATCCGAGATCGAGCGATGCCGCCACCATCTCAAAAGAACGCCGGCCAGGCGAGCATCAGCGCCTTCTTCAAACCCAAGGCCGGCTCCCAGATCATCACGAAGGCGTCTCAGCCAGATCCCGTCTCGAGCAATGGCCACGCTCGAACCTCGAGCTTTTTCGATGGCGAGGCGTCCTCCTCGGGTGGACCTGCGCTCAAGCGGCCGAGGGCGAGCAACAATGACGACGAAAGGCCCCGCCGCGAGACCATCGATCGTATGGGCAAGTGGAAGTTCACAGCGGTTAAGACGTCCAGCAGCCAGGCTTCCGAACTCGGCAGTGCCTCTCAAGAGACCACGGCACGCTCACAGAAGGAGCAAGCACGCCACGAAGCTTTCCGCAAGAAGCTGCTCGGATCTAACTTCGCCGTGGACCGCCACGCTCGGAACCAGATGCAGATCGAGGAGATGTCCAGCAGGGACCCTTTCTCGCCGAGCACAGGAGCCGAGGACGACGCTATTGTGGTGGACGACGACGAGGATTATGCAGCCGAGGCTGGCAGCTCCAATCGCTTCGATCGCTTTGCTGCCGGTGCTCCCTCTTCCTCTCGACGCGACAGCGCCAGCAACAAAACGAAGGGCAAAGGCAAAGCAGCCGATCCGGACGCCGGACCCACGTACACGCCCCTGGAGAAGCAGATCCTGGAGCTGAAGGCGGCGCATCCTGGCGTACTACTCATCATTGAAGTCGGCTACAAACTCAAATTCTATGGAGAGGATGCTCGCATAGCGTCCAAGGAGCTCAACATCATGTGTTTCCCCGAACGCAACCTTCTAACTGCGATGATTCCCGTTCACCGCCTGCATATCCACGTCAAGCGTCTCATTCAAGCCGGCCACAAGGTGGGCGTCGTTCGCCAAATCGAGACTCGCGCTCTTAAAGCAGCATCGAAGAACGCGTACACACCCTTCGTCCGCAAGCTCACTGCGCTCTACACGGCCAGCACCTGGATCGACGATCTCTCCAGCTCGGACGATCTGGCCGCTACGATGGGCGAGGCGTACACGAACCAACCAAAGAGCCTCTTGGCGATCGTGGAGCAGTCAGAAGGAGGCAACGGACCGGAAGACAGGGTCAGCATCGGGATCATCAGCGTCGAAGTCAATACTGGCCACTTGACCTACGACCAGTTCACGGACGGCCATGCAAGGACCGAGCTCGAGACGAGGATCGCTCATCTCGCGCCTGCTGAAGTACTTGTTCCGCCCAAGCTCACCAAGCCGACTGAGAAGGTCATCTCGTATCTGCTTGGCAACGGAGCGGAAGGCGGAGTCAGGATCGAGCGACTCGAGACCAAGCCGGACTACAATCAGGCCTTCCAAGCCGTCACTCACTTCTATCGCGATCGAGTTCCTTCTGAGGTCTCAGGCAATGACCCAGAATCTGCACCTGTACCGACAGAAGGCGCCAGCGGCGACTCGAGTCCGCTGATGTCGGTCATTCTCTCGCTCCCTCACCTCTCGCTCATCGCTCTGGCGCAGATCATCCAGCATCTGCAAGCATTTCAGCTCGAGTCGATCTGCACACTCTCGACCAACTTTCTATCGTTCTCCTCGCGCACAACGATGCTTCTCAACAGCAACACGCTGGCCAATCTCGAGATTTTCCGCACGGCCGACGAGCAGACGGAGCGCGGCAGTCTCATTTGGCTTCTCGACAAGTGCAAGACAGCCATGGGCAGACGACTGCTACGCAAGTGGGTCTCCAAGCCGTTGACCGATGTCGACAAGCTGGAAGAGAGGCTCGATGCAGTACAATCGCTCCGAGATGGCAAGGGCTACGTGTTGCGAACGCTGCCCAACCTGCTTCACGGTCTTCCAGATCTCGAACGAGGACTGGCCAGGATGACGTACGGCCGAGCGACACCCACCGAGCTCGCAACAGTGCTGTTGTCGCTCAATCGAGTCACGCAGGAGTTCAAAGCGGAGGAAGCAGCAACATGTAACACCCAGTCTTCACTCATCGAGGCGAATCTGATGTCTCTGACATCAGGCAAGCTGCCGGTGCAGACGTATCTCAACCAGATTTCGATCAAGGAAGCGCGAGCGAACAACAAAGCCGACCTATTTCCGGATCCGGACCTATACCCTGCCATCCAGACATCGAAGGATAACATCGCGATCATCGACACCGAGCTTCGTGAGCACCTGCGAGAGATACGCAAGATCCTCCACCTCCCGAGTCTGGAGTACGTCAGCGTCGCCGGTGCCGACTACCTCGTGGAGGTGAGGCAGGCAGATGCGAAGAAGGTGCCGGTGGAATGGCTGCGTATCAGCGCGACCAAAGCCATGGTGCGCTTCCACACGCCCGAGGTGATCCGGCTGACCAAGATCCGGGATCAGCACAAGGAGACGCTCGACGCTGCGGCCGAAGAGGCGTTCTCGGGCTTCATCAGCGATATGTGCAAGAACGAGTACGTAGCGCTACGCAACGTGGTAGCGAGCTTGGCCACGCTCGATGTGCTTGTCTCGCTGGCGGAGGTAGCTAACGCGTCCGGCTACACGCGGCCTGTGTTTGATAGGACGCCTGCATCTGCGGACAACGCATCGGTGCCGGTGGAGATCAAAGGCATGCGGCATCCGATCCTCGAAGTTGTCTCGCCGCTACCCTACATACCCAATGACATCGCGCTGTCGACGCCGAGCTCGACACCGTCGATTTTGCTGACGGGCTGCAACATGGGCGGCAAGTCGTCCACCGTCCGAACGCTCGGGCTTCTGATCATCATGGCGCAGATCGGCTCGTTCATCCCTGCTACCTCTGCGCGACTTGGCATCCACGATGGAGTGTACGTCCGCATGGGTGCGCGCGACTCGATGTTCAGCGGTCGATCAACGTTCATGGTGGAAGTCTCTGAAACAGCCGACGTCCTGCGTTCCGTAACACCACGAAGCCTCGTCATCCTCGACGAGCTCGGTCGAGGGACTTCCACGTACGATGGACTGTGCATCGCATCTGGCGTGCTGGAGTACCTCCTCACCCTGCCGCGCATGCCCAACGTCCTGTTCATCAGCCACTACTTCCAACTCGGTGCGCTCGAGGCACGCTTCCCGGACAAGATACGAAACTTCCACATGACCTTCATCGAGACCTCGAGCACGGCATTCGAGGACTTTGACGGGCTCGACGAGTCGGAAGAGAAAGGCGAGATCGAGTTCCTGTACAAGCTGCGTCGCGGGATTGCGAACAAGAGCTTCGGCATCCACTGTGCCAGGTTGGCCGGTCTGCCGAACGATATCTTGCAGAGCGCGAGTAGGATCTCGGAGAACATGGAAGAGAGGTATCGCAGCAAGAAGCAGGTTAAGGAGCGGAAGGATGTAGTTCGACTCTTCAAGCAGGATCCGGACGAGGGGGTGTTGGTCAAGCTGGATCAGATCGCCTCGCACACTTTGTAACTCACACACACACGATGTCAATCGAACATCTGTATTGCGACAATGCACCGGCTGCTCTTAGGGGTCCAGACGCTTAGGGTCACGGGGGAACATGCTCGCCCTCCTAATGTTGCCCAGACCCAAATAGAACATCACGACCCTCTCGAGTCCGATACCACCACCGGCGTGAGGCGGGCATCCCAACCTAAACGCCTCGACATAGTGCTTCATGCTCTCGACGGGAATACCAAATTCGCCCATCCTCTTCTCCAAGAACGTTGCGTCGTGCACACGCTGGGCACCGGACAGAATCTCCTGGCCGCGCATGAAAAAGTCGTACGAGTTGGAGTACTTGTTGTCCGCCGGGTCGGGCATGGTGTAGAACGGACGGATTTCGAGCGGGAACTTGTCGAGCATGAAAAAGTCGGTCTTGTACTTGTCCCTCACCAAGCCGCCGAGAGTTCGCTCCATCTCGGTGGAAAGATCCTCGAGGTCGCCCAGCTCCTTGCCGTTCTCGCGAAGCAGCGCGATGGCGTCCTTGTACTGCAGGCGGACCGTCTTTTCGGGAAGCAAAAACTCGTCGCATGGATACTGGCGCTTGACAGCATCGATCTCCTTGCGATAGCGCTTGGGCAGCTCGCGGAAGATGAACGTGAACAGACCGTCGAGGACGTCGACCACCTCGTGGTAGTGCTCTTCAAAAGCCATTTCGAGATCGAGACCCGTGAACTCGGTCATGTGGCGATGGGTGTTGGAGTCCTCAGCGCGGAAGACGGGACCGATCTCGTACACGCGGCCAAAGTCGGCGGCGATGGCCATCTGCTTGGCCAGCTGCGGACTCTGCGCAAGGAAAGCCTGACCCTTAAAGTACGACACCTTGAAGACGGACGAGCCGCTCTCGGTGGCAGCACCCTGCAGCTTGGGCGTGTGGATCTCGACAAAGTCGAGGCCATCGAGGTACTCGCGGAAGAGCTTGCAGACGCCGTGGGTGAGGCGGAAGATGGCCTGGTTGGTGGTGGTGCGCAGGTCGAGGACGCGGTTGTCGAGGCGCGTGTCGAGGGCGATGGGTGGAAGCGGACGGTCGGTCTGCTGCGAAGCCTGGATCTCGACCTCGGAGCGAGTGGCATCGTCGACACCAAAGGGAAGCTGCTCAAAGGCGATCTCGCTGGTGGAGTGGATCTTGGAGATCTTGATCTCGGCTTCCTTGACGGTGACGGTGTTGGACTCGACGGGCTTGGGCGTCTTGACGATGGTGCCTTCCACGAGGACGATGGTTTCGGCAGCGAGACCGGCGGCCCACTTGGTCATCTGGCGCGAGACCTTCTCGGGAGCCTGAGCCAGTGTAGCTTGGACACAGTCGACGCCTTGGCGAAAAGTGAGGAAGACGAGCTTGGCGGAAGGAGCACGGCTGGTCTGGACTCGTGCAGAGAGGATGATGGTTTCGCCGTCACGCTCTGGGCTGATCTCGGAGATCTTGGAGAAGGTGCGACCGGGACGCTCCTGGGACATGTTGAGGGGGAGCTTGCCGTAGTTCTGGGAAGCAAAGTCAACGTCGGCAGCTTCACGGGCAGCCTTCTCTGCGGCGAGCTTGGCAGCCTTTTCAGCCTTGATGCGTTCCTTTTCTGCCTTTGCAGCACGCTTCTTCTTTTGGTTGTCGGAGAGGGGGGTTCCATCGGGGTTGAGCTCCTCGGCGCCGTCGACGGCGGGAACAGCTGCAGCCACGGGGGGCTGCTGCTCGTTCTGGGTGGTAGCTTGGTCGGCCATGGTTGCGAAATCAAGCTGAGGATGATCGTGGTGACGTCGAGAGAAGAACAAGAAGAATCGAGCCGATATTGAGTGTGACTCTTTCAGAATTTCTGACTCGGAATGTAGAAGAAGGTCGGTGCGCAGCAGCAGAGCGCTGTTTTTAGCGGCCCAAATCTTCTTCGTCCGCGTGATTTTGGCCAAAGCTCGGATTTCGGAGGCAAGCTGTCAGGCCAGACGTGGAGTACATTTGAGAAATGCATGGGCCTCGCCTTGATGACAGCTTCCAACAGCAGCGCACACGTCCAGCAAGATAGGATGGCAGCGTCGCGAAGAGCTCAGATCCAGTCGCTGTGCGGCGTCCGTACTGGGCCGCTGATCGATCGCGTCGAGTCCTACCTGGCCGCAGTGGACATCTGGTCGCGTCGAGGCAACCAAAAGGCGGTCAAGAATGCAGGAACGGGCGTGGTAGCCATCTGCTGCTACCTTGCAGCCGAGAGGTAAGTCGCGTTGAAGAGAGAGACGAGGTCATGGTGACGTGCTGACATGCTAGACCGCTTCTTCGATCAGCCTGGATGCTCAAGTTCCGGATCGCGGCTCAGCCATTCGGGCGAGCGGTCTACCGCCTGCACAATTCGCGACTGCCGAAAAGGAGTTCAGAACAGCAGTGCAGTCGGCTTCAAGCGCATCCTCTCAAGCGTTGTCGGGTCCGTCCGATAACATGAATAGCGCATTCGGGGCGAGCCTGACCGCGACTCCCACGAAGCGGCCGATCCGATCGTCTCCGCTCAAGACGCCAGTCACTGCGAGCAGGAGCAAGGAAGCGCTGCTGGCCAAAGCGCAGGCCATCCAGGCTGGCGGCCTCTTTGATCAAACAATGCGAGCGACACCTGTTGCCAATCCAGCTTCAGCCAGCAAGAACAGAGTGACAGCGTCAGGCGCTGGCATCGACCCTCAGAGTGGCGCAAGCACGGCAGCAAACGCACCTAGAGATCGCGAAGACGCAGCAGCCAACGGAGACATCTCCACCGAAGGTCAGCCAATGCGAAAGAAGCCGAGAAGGATGGGCAAGGTCGTCTTTGGTCTAGCGATACACTCAAGTCTCAATCGTCTGGACGAGCAAGAGGAAGCGAACGACGAACGACGACGTCGCAACCGCATCGTCCACATTCAGTCGGCCATCGACAAGCTGCGGTCTTCGAATCCCACTTGGCGATATCTGGATGCGCCGAGGGACTTCCTCGTCACTATCTCGCCATCAGAGCGCAATGTCAATCCGTAGCGATACATCAGCTCAATCCATACCAATCTCATGTCCCTCGAGCTGACGACAACAGCGCTGTGCGAAAGGGTCGCCTCCGGCAGGATACGTATCGGAAAGATCGACAGTGCTTCGGAATATCGGCGATCAGGCTTCATTGCGCAATCGTCTCAAGCGCTGCCAAGACCAATTTGGGATGGTCCGAGCTTGGCAGTGCCGTTCTGTATCGGACAGCATACGGTAGCGCGAACCGCATGTGTGTCTTGGCAAGCTGTCGGACGGTGGTAAGCTTGCTCTTGGCAGACGAGCCCGCGCTTCCCCGCTTATCAGCTTGGCACCCAGTAAGCAGAGTGACGTTGTGGGGTCAAGGATCGGCATGCTTCCACTCAAGGCATCGACTACTGTTGGGTACAGATCCGCAAGTCGTCCAGATTCCCATGCTGCGGAACAGCGACCACCTCGGATCTAAAGTCCGGCTTCTCACCAATGTTGTCGTTACGATTGCGCAGGCAAGGGTGCTCATCCGTCAGACGCTCGGATCGAGAGCTCAAGGCGAGGCAACCTATCGAAGGCGAGCCGGATCGACAGTGCAGGTCCTGTGGCCGTGCTCAATCGGGATCAGGCTGATGAGCACAGGGCCAATTCGCAGAACCAGCGCCGAAATCGCATCGAGGTCGAAGCCGGGACAGAAGAGCCTGACGCACGTCTCGGCAGCCGACAGAGCAGAATCAAGGGTCCAGCCTGCGTGATGGGTTCAGATGTGACTGAGTTCAAGTTGACCGCGAGGTTTTTGAAATCAGTCGAGGGCAGCATTTCAAAATTCGTGCCGAAGTGACGCTTCCTGAACGCCCTCTCACCGCCAGATTGTGGACAAGCCGGCCGCATCGGCATGCCTGCGATTGCGGTCCGCTGTGTTCCGACCGGCTCTCTGCTCATGAAGTGCTCCGTGGGATCAGGGTTTGAGCCAGGAAGGTGGGCGGTAGCACCGAGGCTTGGGGTGGGAACAAACCTTTCACACACACAAGCGTGAGCAACGGTGGGACGACCAACCAGGAGGCGCTGCGCCGTCGACACCCGACCCGAATGGCCGACATCTGCCAGAAAGGCTTTGCGCCTTAATCCGATCCCGACTCTTCTCGTCCGAAAGACTCACTCAACCTTGACGCCCTCTCGACGTTAAGAGGTGAGAGCCATGCAGCAGAGACCGTGGCTTGGCAAAGGTGGGGCAGACGACCTGCGTCTTGAGAAAAGTCTTGGCATCCAAACGATGCCAAGACCGCGGCCCCGTTGATCCGGGGCTGAGCGCTTGTGCCTCGCTGTGTGAGCGCGCAAGATTGTCTTGGCGTTTTTAGCCGTCAATTTATTGGGATTGATAAAATGCGAAATGGCGAAATTCGATAGGGCTTGCCGGAACGCAGAGCAGATTACGACACTCCTTTTGAGCTGCGCTCGAGAGGGCTTGAGACCTCGTGAGAGCTTGCGCAGAGCGTGAAATGGAATCTTGGCAGGCACTTTAGCGTGCTTTTGCAGCTGAGCCATTTCAGTGAGGCCGGACTGAACTCGCCGCTGCGTGGACTCTGCAGCCCGCGTGCCCGCCTTTCCCTGTGTAGGGCTCAGTCTTGGCACCCTTTTGCACGTTGTTGCCGCTGCACATTTTGCTGACGAGGAGCTAGCAACATCCGCCCTTTCGCGCTGCACAGCTGTGATTTGTTTGCCAAGAAGCTGCAATTTTGAACGGCTTGGCTGCTCCAGTGCCCGGTCTCATTTCGTCAGCTTGCAATGCACTGCCTTTCCACGCTGCCAACAGAGTCAGCCCTCAGTCCCTTGCAAGAAAGTCCGCCTAGAGCCTCGCACCTTGGTGCTTCTGCCATGCCAAGACTTTGCTTGCTCGTGTCTTCATACCTCAGCATCCCAACCTCCTCCAACCTCCTCCATCCTCAGTCATTGCAGACCCTCCTCCTTCCAATTACCCTACCGACAGCAAAGCGCCAAGCCGAACCCTTGCTACCGCCTCTATCGCTGGGTCTGACGTTTCGCCAAGCCTTTCTATAACGTGGATCGACTGCTGGTTCTTGGCATTGCCCCTCCGACTGTAGATTCTTGGCGTCCCCAGAGTCGCTCCCACCGTCCTTCATATACTCGACTCTTTCTGGCTTCGGATCCCGTCGACACCCCTTCGTACCTCATCCCATCCGCTACCGACATCAACTACTAACTCTCTCGGTGACTCCGCCGATTCCTCGACTTCTTTCACCTCTTCTCAGACTCGAGTACCATCATCGACATCACCGGCAGTCCCTTCCTATACCCCTTGTGCACGATGAGCAACCACCTCTCACCGACCTCGCTCAGTGAGCACTCTAGCTACGCTCCCTCTAGCAGCCATCTCGGCGCTAGCCCAGCTCCCTCGCATCACTCCTCAGCCACCTCCTTCTCTGCTTCATCACCATCACCATCTGCAAAGATGACCGGCTCTGCATCCGACTCGGCCGACTTTGAGCCTCCTGCCAAACCCATCACATGTCGATGGAACGACTGTGGTAAGATCTTCTACGACCCCGAAGTCGTCTACAAGCATCTCTGCGATGACCACGTCGGTCGCAAGTCTACCAACAACCTCTGCCTCACTTGCCAGTGGGAGGGCTGTGATGTCACCTGCGCCAAGCGTGACCACATCACTTCGCACATCCGTGTCCACACTCCTCTCAAACCTCACAACTGTGACGTCTGCGGCAAGACCTTCAAGCGACCACAGGATCTCAAGAAGCACGAGCGTATCCACACCGAGCAGCACCAGCAGCAGCGTCAACACAAGGCAGCCCAGAACGCCGCTGCTCGTGCCTACTCCATGTCCGAGCACGCCGCTTCCTACGGCGCCTATCCCTACCCTCCGAACATGCACGCCACCAACAACTACATGGGTTACCCTCAGCTCCCCTCGCAGCAGGGTCTCTACCCCTCTGCTTCTGGATACCCTTCGCTACCCCACTACCAGACCTCCAGCGCTTCGCTCTCGCCCATGTCTTCGCGCATCGACACGCCCCAAGGCAGCAGCCCCATCCCCAATCACCACGCTCAAGACGGCGCCTCGTACATGCACCTCGTCTCGGGTCTCGACCCTCGGAGTAAGGTGACCACCGACCCCACCTCGTACACCTACCTCGCTCACGGCGCCACCACCAGCCACAACCTCGCCGGCAGCAAGCGTGGTCACGAGCAGGTCGAAGACTTCTTTGGCGACCTCCGTCGCAAGAAGATGGCCCCCGCGTACAACTCGCACATGGCCGACAGGCTCAACCAGGCCTTCGGCATGGGTGGCATCGACGATGTCTCTCTCAACGCCATCCTCTCCACGTTTGACCCCTCGGCCACCTACGCTCAGGCTCCCATGAACCCTGCCGTCAAGGTCGACAACGTGGCTGCGCCTCGCATGCCCGTCAAGCAGGAGTCCACCGACCTGGCTCAGCTCAACGCCTTCCTGTTGCAGCTCGGTGCCAGTGCCGCCTCGCTCGGCTCGCACAACAACAGCTTCTCGTCGGCATCATCATCGGCCTCGTCTTCCTTCTCGTCGCAGGGCAACAACGCCGAGTTCGACCTCTCGTCGCTCTCGCAGTACGGCCTTACCGACATTCCCGGTTTCGACGAGTCGCTTCTGGCCAACAACGCTGGCGCCAACCAGCGTCCCATGGCTCAGCTCCCCAGCCGTGCTCAGGGCCACCACGCTCACTCGCACTACCCCGACGTCAGCGCCTACTCGTCCTCGTCGCACCAGATGCTGCAGCCTTCTTTCGACAGTGTTCGTGTCTCGCGTGGTCCTGCCGTCGTTCCTCAGCTCGCCCCCATGGACGCTGGCGGACACAGCTACCGCCGTGTCGAGGCTCTCACCCGTGCTGCTCCCGAGCAGACCGAGGTCAGCCAACGCTACGCCCACCGCGCACCCGTTAAGGCCGAGGACGAGGACGCCATGGAGGAGGACGAGCTCGCCGACGATGCCAGCAGCCGCTTCCGCTCCGTCAGCCCTGCCGCCTCGTCCGAGAGCGGCTGGTCCGAGTCTGCTTCTGGTCGTCGCGGCAGCTCGTCACCATCGCATGGCTTGTACCCTCGCGTCTCGCCCACCGAGGCTTCGCGTCGTCTGCCACCGCTGCGATCCAACTCGACCGCTAGCACCTCGGCCTCCATCAGCTCGCTCCTCGATTCGTCTGACAGGCGCGCCTCGTTGCGACGTGACAGCACTCCCTTGGACGGCTCGTCGTCGGCGCGCCACTCGGCTCCCGCCGCCTCGCCTTCGCCGGCGTCGTCGACCAGCTCACTCTACCCGAGCCTTGTCGATCGCGTCTCGCAAATGCAGGGTCTCGGCCGCCCTCACCCTGAGGAGGCCACCGAGGCCATGCGTCGCGACCACGTCCGTCTCATCCGCGACCTCCTCATCGCCATCAACTTTCCCGAGCAGGCGCGTGCCAAATTGCAAGCCGAGCACGAACGTGTTCGTCTGCCCCCCATCCGCACCTCGGTCCACCGTGGTGAGAAGGAGGAGGGCGAGGTGACGCCCTCGGCATCAAGCGAGGTCCATGAGGGCAGCCTCAAGGGAAGCGAGGGGAGCAGCGACAGGAACTCGACACCTACCCCACCGGGCAGGCCGACACTGCCGACGCTGAGGCAGCTGTTGAACGAGATCCCCGAGTCGAGACCCATGCGCGAGAGGGAGATGGAGTGCGATGTGTAATATTTTGTATGAACAGTCTATTTAGTTTTCGTTATTGATATGGTATTCTTCGCACCCAATTGTCTGCTTGTATGTCGGTGTGATTGCTCGAGAGCGTCAGGTGCGAGTTCGTTGTCGTCAAAAGACTTGAATCGCAGACGAGGCAGCTCGCCCTCCAAGCAGGCGACACAAGACCACACGCAGCACCGTCGACTTTTGAGCATACTAGCACATTGAGAAAACGTAGTTGTACAGAGACGCAGCATGACGGGCATTCGGATCAATTCTCGTCCATCCTATGGCGTTTTCGTTCGCGATCGTCGGCGCCCATTCCTGGTGGACCGCCCTGCTGCCCTCCTCCCATCGCCATGCCGCCCATCCCCATGCCACCCATGGGACCCATAGGCATGCCCATCATGCCACCAGCGCCGAAAAAGTTGGGATTGAAGTGACCACCCTGCTGTTGCCCCCCACCTCGACCACCACGGTTGCCCCAACCACCGCCTCTTCCGCCGCCCCTGCCGTAGGGTCTGCCACCACCGTTCGCACCCGTCCCTGGCCCATTTGCGCCCATCATACCCATCATCATCGGGTTCATCATGCCCATTGGTGCTGCGTTGCCGCCCATTCTGATCGGTGCTCCTGCCATGGGCGCGGCTCCCATCCCCCCGCCTCTCCCACCACCCATTCCGCCTCTCCCTCCCATCCCCATGCCACCCCCGGGTCCGCCTCTTGCACTTCTCTCCGCCTTTGGCAGTGGGTCCTTAGGTAGCGTCCTAAACGGGTTGCCATTGGCACTGGTCGTCAAGGTCACATTGGCCCTCCTGAACTGGAAATCGTTCTCGTCAAACCACCCCTTGATCTTGCGCGCATCCGCTTCGCTGTCCGTCTCGACGTAGGCAACGCCTTTAGATTTGCCGTTAACTTTGTGTTCCGAGAAGGTGATGTCTTGGAGACTGAGCTGGATGCCGAGGGAAGAGGCGATGGTGAGGAGCTCCGAGTCGGACGCCCACCAGTTGAGGTCGCCGATGTAGAGGGCGTTTTGCACCGATGGGTCGGTTGGTCGGGGCCGGCTGGCTAGGGTGCGGATGGGCGCGGGTGGAAGTGTGGACAGCGCGTCATCGAGGTGCGAGGTCGATGGGACAGGAGGTAAATTGGGCTTCTCGTCGTGAGAGTCCGCCCGCTGCCGCTTCGACGAGTTGCCAGAGGTCTCGGCTTCAGGTTCGGCCTCTGTCTTGACAGCCACCTCGTTCTCCGCCTTGCCCAACACATCCGAGTACAGGTCGTCCTGGAAAGTTCCCAAGTGTCGTACAGGGTGCAAGTGTCAGTCAGTACAGGAAGCGAAATACGGTGTGGGGTAGCAATGCAGCGCTCGGACCGCGCCGCAGCATGCAATGCAAAGAGAAACTCACGCTGTACAGGTCGAACTTGTCGTCATCCATTGTGTGATGATTTGCAATTGCGCCGTGGACGGTACAAAGTGTAGCGGCGAGGACAGGTGCTCGCTTTCGGGATGCTATCGATACACAGGGACAACGGTTGTGCTGCGAGGGAAGTGAGGGGTAGGTGCAGTGCAAGGTGAAGACAACGGATGTGTGGGACGGCGTTGGTCAGCAAGTATGATACAAAAGTGGACGGGATGTGGTCACATATGAAGCTGGGCGACGAGATCGATCGACATATGTGGTATGCGGGGCTCCTGACACCGTGTGGATAACTCGAATGCCGATGAAGGCTACTACATGAACTGCTGCTCTACTTACAGATCGCGACGTGGTGGAGAGGAAGAACGAAGACGCGATGTCCAAAAGAAGCTTTGAGCTGCAGGCCAAATTGGACAAGACAGGGTCCTCACTGTTCCTGCTGCCCTCTGTCTGCATGCCAAGGCAGCAGCCAGCGCCGATCACGGATCCGAGACAAATTGCCCACACTGCACCATTGTCGATCTGACACCTTGTAAAATTTTGCGGCGTTTCGGCGAGAAGCCGAAGTGACGAGAAGAAAAGGTGGACGTGAGAACAGATCATGGACTGACTCGACTTTGAGAAGAAGGTCAAGGCGACACAGCGTCACAGAGGCGTGAGAAAGCTCTGAGGCTCTCGGAACAAAGCCGAATCACCTGCGCAAAGGAGTCAGTGCGCCACCTTTGGTCGGCCATGGTATATCATCTGCGCAATCTTCGACTCTTCCAACTTATTATCTCATCACCATCATCCCTGCTTCACCTTCCGAGAACACATCAACGATGTCTGCCAAACAACCCCTCTACCTGCGCTGCGAGATGAAGCCGGCCGAGCACCGCGCCGCGCTCACCCCGACCACCGCCAAGAAGCTCATCGATGCTGGATTCGAGATCACGGTCGAGTCCGACCCGCAGCGCATCTTTGACGACAAGGAGTACTCGGATGTCGGCTGCAAGCTGGCCCCCCACAACACATTCCACAGCCTCCCCGCCGAGATCCCCATCATCGGCCTCAAGGAGCTCGAGGAGCCCGGGCCGGATCTGCCGCACACGCACATCCAGTTTGCGCACTGCTACAAGAAGCAGGCTGGCTGGGTCGACGTTTTGGGTCGCTTCAAGCGCGGAGGTGGAAAGCTGTACGATTTGGAGTTTTTGGAGGACGCCAACGGACGCCGGGTGGCTGCGTTCGGGTGGCACGCCGGGTTCGCCGGTGCCGCACTCGGACTGCTGGCACTGGCGGAGCAAGTTCAGGGCGAGCAGCGACGACTTGGAGCGCAGAAGGCGTACCCGAACGAACAGGCGCTCATCGCACACGCCAAGAAGCAGATCGAACATATCAAGAAGAGCCGCCCAGACGGCAAGGTCAAGGCGCTCGTCGTTGGCGCTCTCGGTCGATGCGGTCGTGGTGCCATCGACTTTTTCGAAAAAGCCGGCGTCGCATCCGACGACATTGTTCGCTGGGACATGGCAGAGACCTCCGCCAAGCACGGCCCCTACCAAGAGCTGCTCGACGTCGACATCTTTGTCAACTGCATCTACCTGACGAGCAAGATCCCGCCGTTCCTCGACCAACCCACCATCCAGGCTGCCGGTCCTTCCCGCCGACTCGGCGTTGTGGTCGACGTTTCGTGCGACACCACCAACCCTAACAACCCTCTTCCGATTTACGATATCAACACGACGTTCGACAAGCCTACGGTGGACGTCAAGACGGGCGAGGGCAACCCAGCACTGACGGTCATCTCGATCGACCACCTGCCCACCCTGCTGCCAAGGGAGAGCTCCGAGGGCTTCAGCAACGATCTCCTGCCCAGCTTGCTGCAGCTCAGGGAGGTGCTCGGTAAGGACACCACCCAGCTGGACACCTTGGAGGAGGGCAAGGGCGCCGTGTGGCAGCGAGCAGAGAAGCTGTTCCGACACCACCTGGCCGAAGCTGAGAAGCAGGGTGCTTGAGTTCAGCACGTACCCCTTAGCGGAGAGACCGCGGAGAGATCAGTCTGATACGAAACACAAAAGCATACATTCACGCAAACAAGTTGCCTGGCTGCGGACTGTGAGAACGCGAGGCAGAAACGACACCGAGAGCACGCTGCGATCAAGAATGCGGATGAGCTGAGTGCGATGCGATTGAAAGGAGTTGGGCTGGGCCGTGTGACAAGCGCTGTAGCGAGGCAGAATGTTTGCAATGGTATAGCTCCAGAACATTGCCTTGTTCGGATGTGCCCATCTGGAGCTGGACGGAACTTGACCTTGTGTCGATCCCATCTTCTTAAACCGGTGCAGAAGCCGAGCTTGTCCTGTCCGTCTGCTTTCCCTCGTCACATCCCATTCGTACTGGACCGATATCCACGCTTCCAACCTCACTTCTCTCATGCCCTCCTATTGCCCCCTCTACTGCCCCTTCAAAGCCACCTTCCGTTGCCTATTCAACTCGAAATAGCAACTGGAACAGATATGATGTTGCAACTTGGGCTTGCCGCAGGCGCTGCAGTGCACCAAGTCCACCCTATCTTTCAAGCCCTTGTTTGCCGAACGCATGGACTTGCGCGAGTGCGAGACCTTTGACTTGGGTACGGCGCGGAGGAGGCCGTCCCACAGACCGCCGATGAGTTCCGATGTTGGTGAGGAGGAGCTGCCTTCGGAGAGGGGCGATGGGGTCGCTGTTGCTAGCGTTGGTGTGAATGATGTTGATGGTGGTGTGGAGATGGCGGGCAGCAGTGGAAGTCGCAGTCGGAAGGAGGTGCGGCCGAGTGTGAGAGAGAGTTGAAGGTGCGCTGCGCCCGCGCGTGATGTTGATGCCCACATGATGGAGCTGGGTTAGAAGCGGCTGTGATTGTGTGATGTGTACTGCGAGCGTGCTTGAGTGGCCTGGGCAGGTGCGCTGACGAACGAGATGTGCGGCTGGTCGTGAAGGCGATGAAGACGAGGCGACGATGAGTGATGGTGAGGAGAAGTCGAATGGATCTCGCCAAAAAATGTCACTTTCGACACTTTCTTCCAGTTCCACAGCCAATTTTTCTCGTGCGAAAATACAGGCCCGCTCCCAGCCGACTGCGAGACCTTCAAACATGACCTGGTGTACATCCGTGACAAGCCCAAGTCGAGCCCACATCGCTTCAGCAATGAACAGCCGTCTTGCACAGGAGAGCACAAACAGAGAAATGATGGAAAGGGAAGAATCTAGATGCAAATGCGGACGGCTGCGTGCAGACGAGCGGCCAGAGCTATCGCCTTCTGCTGCTCAATCATTCTTGTCGGCCCTCCTCTTGCCTGGCACCAGCGTCTCTTCCGAGTTGTTCGCGCTTCCTGCCATGAGCCCCTGCCTTTCTCCTGCTGATCCCACTTTTCTCCCCGCTGCGCCCACATCCTTGCTCACATCCCCATCATCCTCCTCATCCCCGATCTCAAAGACCACAGCATCATCCCTGACGCCTCTTCCATTCCCCTGCGACGTCTTTTTCGCTTCCACATCGTCCTCGTCCTCGCTATCCGGTCCGTCGGGCCCTCTCGCTGCAAATGTGTCCACCTCGTACCCTTCCGCGGTGGGATCGTCGTCCGTCGCCAGCTCGTCCGACATCGCGAGCCGCATGTTGTGTCCTGTCGGTCGCCAGAGCCACGCGATGGCGCAAAAGACGGCAAAGTAGAGCAGAGCAAGCCAGCCGTCGAGCAGGAACCAGCGGTACTGCCATGTATTCGGTGCGAAACCTTCGCCGCCTGATTGTGAGAAGGCAACCGAGGAGGCGATGAAGAAGAAGAACTGCGAGCGTGTCACATAGCGATCAAGGGAAGAGTGTCAGCATGGGGTGTGTGGAAAGAGACGAAAGCTGTGAAGGTACTTACAATGACCACCACAGCCCCGAGAAGGATGCGGCGCAGCTTGACAAACATCTCCCTCTTGAAGGTCTGCTTTCGCTGCGTGAGATGCTCGATGCTAGCCTTGAGCGAGTTCATAGTCCATGTCAAGAACGCGGTGAGCGTCATCGATAGTGGGAAGATGAAGGCAAGGGTCCACGCTCCACCCTGATCAAGCTGAATGAGCACGATGCCGACCGAGTACAGCACGCCGAAGACGAAGTGAACCGCCGTGAGCAGCCTCACCCTTGTCATCACCGGCCCAATGGATGGCCTGATGACACCATATCCCATCGACACGATCAGCAGCAGGAAGAACGACAACGAGTTCCTCCCGGCGTCCAGCACACTGGTCAACACCAGCAGGAACCGTGCCACCGCCGTGACGCTCGTGCGCCCATTGACCTCGCTAATCCGGAAGAAGTCGATGAGATGGTTGTTGAGGTAGTAGTAGTACACCCACTGCGCGGCCATCTCGAGGACGAGAAAGCCAATGGTTCCCGAGATAAAGTACTGGACGGTGAGCATCTCGTCGCGATGCTTGATGCAGAGCGAGAGCCAGTAGGCACCGAGGACGATGTATGCGAGTGTCATGGAGAAGTAGAAGTTGAGCTTTGGGTATTCGGCGGCGGGAAGGTTGCCGTGGAACTTGTTGAAGAACTCGACGCGGCCGGCGAAGGCGGCGTTGACAGAGACGTCGCCGGTGCCCGAGGGGGCGTTTTCGAGGGAGGCTAGCGGCACCTCAGCTGTTCAGTGTATAGGTAGAAGGAAGAGGGGTTAGTCATTGAGCGGTCGACGTGAAGAGAAGCCGGGAAAGGGGCGCAGCTCACTCGCACCGAAGCAGTAGTATCCGGTCTTGGTCACGTTGTAGCGCTGTTGGATCGGTAATAAGAGGTGTCAAAACTCGTCAGTATTGCTTCCGTCCGCCATCCTCTGGGTGGGGTTACCCAAGTACTCACCAGCGTCTTCTCCTCCTCCGTCCCGCTCGGACCAAAGTCCATCCTCTGCAACTGCACCGTGCTCGCCGGGCCATTGCTGTCATCCACAATAAAGTTGCCCAGCTGCTCCTGGGTACATAGCTTCTCCGTGACGGCACTTGGCGTGCAAACAAAGCTCTTCAGCCTGTACCCGAAAGCGTCGGTCTTGCTGCTGAGCTTGCCGAGCCGGCTGAAATCCTCAAATTCGTAGAACATGGTGGCGACGGTGCCAGTGGAGCCTTTGTGGAAGAAGGCTTCGATGCGGCTGTCGCCGCCGGCAACCATGCCAGAGCATGTTTGGCGCAGCTGATCTTTGTCCGAGATGGCGACGGTGAATGCTTTTGCCGTGTCTGCGAGAGCGAGTAGATAAATGAACGCGACGAGGAAGAAGCTTCGTATTGATGTTGGGCGGCCTGTCGCATCGAAGCGACTGTTTCGCTCGGAGAGCATCTTGTCAACCTTCGATCCGATGTGATCGCGGGCCCGTGACGTGAAGAGGCGATGATGTGACGGAGAAGAAGGAAAGAGGAGAATGTGACTGCCAAGCTTTGTGGCCGTGTTGCGAGACGAGTGGGTTGTCCGTGCATGATGACACGGCACAGCGTCTGACGCGGGAAGCTTTTCCTAGGCGTGCCCGACTCTCTCGAAAAATCAGGGTCCAAAGGGATGCACGGCTTCTTCCAGAATTGCTGTTCCCAGAAGATCGCTCCTGGCTGCCAAGTCAACTTGCTCTCTGACTGTGATCATCGACCGCGGCCAATCTGCACTCCATCGACGAGCGACAGACTCATATTTGCCGACGGGCTACGTGTCCTTCTTCTTACCGAACCGCTGGGGTTGCCGCTGGTTCTACGCAAGTGACAATAAGAGTATCCACCTGGTGGTAACCGCAGCTAGGGATAGAGTCGTATAAAGAACGGCATCGACCCGCGCTCTCTTTCGAAGACGCATCCCCCAAGCTTAATACTGCGCAATCTGATTCAAGATACCCTCGTCATGGAAGAGATACGCTCACTCATCGCGGATGTGCCCGCCGTTTGGCGCGATCTGGACCACCTCAAGCAGGCGTTCGTGGTACTCAAAGCCATCGCCGACTTTACCTTTTGCGGCCTCACTCCGCTGCTCTTCGGCAAGACGCACATGACCTTGCGTACAGTCACTCTCATGCCGCTCGTTGCGCTCTGTTTCGTGTCATCCGACGCGGCCATGTTCTTCGCGCTCTCGAAAGCCGCTGAGCGAACGCAAATCTGGATTGGACTGCTGCTCGTGCTCTATAGCCTGGTCTTCTTCTGGTGGGCGCAGTATACGATGAAGACCTTCTCGGGTCTCACAGCCGCCTTCTCGGACGATGCGCCCACTTTTCTGATCACATCGGGTCCGTGGGCCTTTGTGCGCAACCCGCTCTACTCGGCCTACCTCGCCTCACTGCTTGCTGGCTTCATCGTCACCAGCTCTTCGAACCACCCCGATCACGGTCACGCTTTTCTTGTGTCGCATGCAGGAGGCATTGCTCTGTCTGCTCTACTCGTGGTGTTCAGCATCTACTATTCAGCGATTAGAGAGGAGGAGGCCAAGTTTGACTCGAGCAAGCTTCGAAGCAAGTACGAGGCGTACAAGAAGAAGGTCTGGCGCTTCTTGCCTCTTGGTGACGTCTTTGGTCGCTAGCGAGTCTCAACGTGGAACACAGCTCTTCCACAATCGGAATCACTCAGACTTGCAGGTTGATGAACGCTGTTGCTTGACCGACCAGAACAGAGAGCATGAGAGCTAAGCATGTAGTGAAAGCTGAGTCGAAACGTAAATCGGGAGATCCGATCGCTGATCTCACCAGAAATGTCCAAGTCACGAGGGTGGGAAAATCAAAAAGGTGCTGCGCCTGCGTTTGCGTCGTCTCTCCCGACTTGAGAGCATGCATTTTTGATGGTCACCACTCAAGCCAGGAAGAAAGATCGGAAGATCCGTCAAGAAGAACGTCTTTTTGACAGGTGAACCAACGCACGAAGCAAACAACATCAAAGCTCAAGCACAGCAAACGACGCAGGAACGCTGTCAGCCATAGCTCCGGCTTATCCGAGTGGATTGCTCAGTCAAAGACTCAGCACCAGCAAAAAACGCACCGACATAGCAAGTGGGCAGTCGTCTTTCATCTCGTAAAGGAGCAGACTCAGGATCGAGGTCGTGCTGCTCGTCTTCAAGGCCATCGCGCTCCCTTGCCTTTCATCCTGGCGCTACAGCTAGCTGGGTCATGCAAGCGTACTCGCCGGTCCCTACATCGACGTCGACCTACCCACCACAGAACATCGCCAGCACTTCGTCGTCAGCAAATGCATTGTTGACCATCGACCCAGCTGCCCTCTCGGGGGGCAGCGCCTCATCACACGCCTCGAGCTCAGTACCATCACAACAGCAGCCCACAGCATCAGCAGATCCAAGCAGCACTTTCAGCAGCAGCAGCAACCACATTTATGGCGTCAATGGCTCCGCTGCAAGCTCGATAGCCGTCAAGCAGGAGCCAGAAGAAGACCAAGCTGCTTCTCTCTCCCAACTTCGGGTCGACGTCAATCGAGCGTCCCTCTCACATGGTGGCAAGCAATCAAAAGGCGCCGACTTGCGGCACAAGGACGCTCGCGATGCTGATGCCCTCGACTTGAAAGCGCGGACGAACGACGACCCTGCTTCCATAGTCGACCAGCTCCTCAGCAAAGACCACAGAGCAATCCTCCGACCCGACCTGTCACCCTTCATAGATGCTCGCGATGCACTGCGACGGCTTTTGCCGTATCACGTCTGGAACATCCCGCATCAAGATCTGCTGCAGGCACTCGACTTGAAGCAAGACCCGGTCCTCAGCGATGTCAGAACACGGAAGCGTCGACGCATTGCGCATGCCGAGCATTTCAAACGCAGCATGATCCGAGATGTGGACATGGCAGAGCAGAGTGCGCTCGCAGCGGTAGCTTCATCCGAGTTGACTTCGTCGGCCATCAAAGTCGACACAGACGCCAGCGCTGAAACGAACCTCGACACTGCGCTAGACGGGGAGGACGTCCAGCTCAACGAGCTCAGTCTTCCTACGCCCCTCCCTAACATCCCGCAGCCCAACTTTCCCACCCTGGACTGGGCCGAGTCTGTCTTCGCAAGGCGGAAAGGGCTTGCTTCTCGCTTCCAACGCACACTCACCAGGCTCGACACCACCCACAAGCGCGCGCCAAACACATCAATCTCGCTCGAACATCTTGAGAGGCTTGCCTACAACGATGATCGGGAAGAAGTCTTGTCGCAGATTGAAGAGCTCAAAGAGCTCAAGGCCAAGCTCGAGAAGATGGAAGAGACACGGCAGATCGATGCTGCGGAATCATCCGAAAAGATCAACCTCAGCTTCGGCATCACCGACGAGATCGAGCGGGAAAGGGAAAGGGAACGCGAGCTGGAGAGAGTCAAACGTCAGCAGGAAAGAGCAGCTGCCAAAGCGGCCAAGCTCGAGAAAGAGCGCGAAGCACGCCATCGCTTGGGCATCTATACGCCTCCGCCAGAGCCACCGAGTGCACCCGCAATGCCCGCAGCTTCGCCCGCGCCGAGTGCGAGTGCCACTCCTGCACCGTCAGGGCCGGCGTCGTTTGCGGTGTCAAGCTCGTACTCGGCTGTCAGCACGCCAGCAAGCACACCCGGAGGCTATCCGTTCCCTCCTGGCGGCAGCTTGCCCTTTGCTGCATCCGTGCCCAATGGCTTCTCGATGCCGTCCACGCCAGGCACGCCGTTTGGCTCAGCACCGCCTTTCGCTCCTGTGTCTGGCGCTACGGCTCCGGGAATGAACGGCGGACCGATGCCGATGGCTGCTCCGACGTCTGCGCCCTTCATGCCTGCCACTACCTCGATGCCAGCTACACCTTCGACGGCAGCGGCGACACCGGTCAAGCCATCCAGCAAGAGCAAAGCAAAGACTGCAGCCGCCGCAGCAGCAGCGGCAAGTGCACCGGGTACACCAGGAACCCCGGGTACTCCAGGCGTGACGCCGGGCCCAACACCTCATCGAGGTCGAGGAAGGCCACGCAAGCATCCGTTGCCCGGCACACCGGGAGGGCCTCCGATCCCCATCCCGCGCAAGAAGAAGGAGAAGCCAGCGGCAAAGCAGCCAGCAGCGACCGGCTCAGCACCGGGTACACCAGGCGCTGCAGGCGCAGCTGCCATGTCGCCGCCTTCCTTGCCACCTGGTTCAGCTGCGATGACACGTCCACCGCCATCCGCATCGCCCGTGCCGCCAACGATGCCTGGTCCAGCACCCGGTTACTCTGGCGAAGCTTTCGCATCAACGCTTCCACCCACGCCGACGCAGGTGCGACCACCTGGAGGATCGCCTCCCGGCAATGCAGCTTCGCCAATGACGGTTCGGCCGCCGACAATGCATCCAACGCTCACCAGCGCGACGAGCCTCAACACGCCGCGAGCTGTGACGCCTGCCAAGCCTTCACCGTCGCCTGCTCCCTCCGCGGCGCCGAAGAAGACTCCAAAGGCAAATGGCACTGCAAAAGCGACTCCGCCAGCAGCTGCCTCACCTGCACCAGCACCTGCTCCAGCCCCGGCAGCGAACGCCAACCCTTCCATTCCGAATCACCCCATACCCTTGCTCATCCCAGTAGCCTCGTTACCTCGACTCTCGGCATTAGGCATCCAGCCCACACCAAGCCCGCACATCCGACCCGTGATTGGCGCCAACGGACAACCACAGGGTCTCGAGGGCCTGCCAATCCCAATCGATCCGGCGCAGAGCGTCCCCGCAGTCCTTCTCGGAATCAGCGAAGGCACTGCAGAGGCGAGCGCCGATGGTGCAGGAGGGAAACAGCAGATCCTGCATATTTCTGTGGTGCTCAGCCGACTCAGCCCGAGTCAGCTCAGCGGGCTCGCCGTGCTCATGCAGAGCTTACAGGCTCAGGTCGAGGCTGGGAAGCGTACGTAGTTGTTGTGAGATCAAACTCAGTTCATTGCTTTGCTACTTTGAAGAACAATTTTGACGGTGAGGTTTGAGTTGGCTGCCTGGATGGTTTTTGTTCTCAGCCGTCACTTGCTCGTGGACTGCTTGTTCGACTCAGACTCGTTCGACTCAGACTCGTTCGACTTGGCCTCGTTCGGATCGGCCTCTTTCGAATCTATCTCGTCCTCGCTCTCCTCGTCCTCATCCTCGTCCTCACTCTCCTCGTCCTCAATCTCGTCCTCTTCCTCTTCCTCCTCTTCCTCCTCCTCTTCTTCTTCTTCTTCCTCCTCTTCTTCCTCCTCACTCTCCTCTGAATCGACATACTTGGGAGCTTCAACCATCTCCAGCTCGGGCTGAACGTTTTTGACCATCTGGCAAACGGCCTTGAGGCTAGCGTGGGTGTCGTTTGCCATGTACATTATGTTGTGGATGTCGTGCTTGTACGGGAGGTCGTCAGCCTGCCACCAGTAGTTGACATAGTTGTCCATGTCGCTGCTCTCCTTGTACAGCTTCATGAGTTGTTGGAAGATCTTGAGATGAGTGGGGTTGGTGCACTGGGGCTCAGCGGCGGGGGTCGCGGGCTTGGCGACAGCAGCGACAGCAGCAGGATCGGCCGCGGCGACGTCGGCGACGCTTTGAGTCTTGTCGGTAGCAGACGACATTGCAAGTGTCAACACTGGGTTGCGAGCTGGAGAGGCCAGAGAGTGGTTGGGAAGCTTCTTGACCAGGGTTGGTGAGGAATCGAGTGAAGAGGATGTGTGGAGACGTTTTTTGGATGAAGCGTCGACTTAGCCCTCGACGCGCTCGCCGGTGGGGCCACTCCTCGGCGTCCCACCGTTCCCACCTGACTGATCGAATCACAATCGCCGTTCTCTCGCAGCGTCAAGGCTCGGAAGCACACTCGATCACAAGCTTGTACACGATCACGTCAGCATTCACGTTGGCACCCTGCGCGACGACACCCTCTGAGTATCCTCTTCACCAGCGGATGACGGCACCCTCGTAGTAGAGAAATTCGTCCAGATCCGGCCTGCCCTCGACCAATTCGAGTTCTGGGTCTGAGTCTTTGGCCATCTTGGACATCCTCTTGACAATGCAGTGGATGTCGTCCAATTCTTGAAGGATTATCATGAGAAGATCGGCGGTTGTGCGCTCGTCCGGTTCATAACTGAGGTCCTTCTTGATTCCGGTACTCAAGGTGTAGAGCTTCATGAGCTCTTCGAGAATTGCGGTGTGAGCAGGTTCATGGCATTTTGATGCCTCCTGGAAAACAGCAGCGCTGGAGGTGGGGCCAGGACCAGCTTCGACGGTCGCCGGCTCGGAGCTCGACTGGGCGGCGCTGGGGCCAGAGGAGCTATTGTCGGGCGAAGGCGTGGGGCGCTTGCAGTCGGAAGGAGCGTTGTCAGAGCCGTCTTGAGGCCTAGGGCGCTTCTGAGGAGGCGACATACAGAAGTAGCGAGCAGTAAAGCTTTTGGAAGCGCTCTGCTGCAGATGGTGATCGAGTAAATCGTGGCGAAAGACGACCGTGACGAAGGTAGAGATCATAGTGCAAGTACAGCAGCGCACGAGCCCTCTGGCCCCTAATTGGCCTCCTGTCACCTCTTACGAGACCTCTCACCAGTCCACCTTCATGAACGACTCGTGCTCTTCACAAACCAGCTCACAATCATCGCAGAGGATCTTTCCACGCAAAGCGCTGTCGGGATTGACTTGGCATTACTCTCCTTCCGAGTCCTCCTCTTCCGATGAATCCTCCTCCCACTCGATGTCAGTCTCTGACACGTCAGTCAGAACGAGCTCGGCATTGGATCTCTTGATCGTCTTGAGCAACGCCTTCATCTTGCTGTGGTGATGTTGATTTCCATACAGCTCCATCTCGACTTGCTCCACTTGGAAATGGTCGTAGCCGGCCATGTTCCTTTGTTCTTGCTTCTTCTCCTTGACCTCAGAGCGGCTCTCGCGATACATTTGCTCCAGCTTCCTGACGAGCGTTTCGTATCCAGGCTTGAGGACCTCGCACGCCCCGGTGTCTGGTCCAGCAGAAGGCGGCATGCTGGCAACGCTGATGGGATTGGGCTTTTCATTGAGGCCGGCAGGACAGGTGCGGGGGGCGTTCACATTGGAAAGCGACAGCTTGCGCTTGCGGTCAACTTGATCAGGTTGCGGCGGCGGCATGACGAATGCTAGGATGAGAAGCGACTCCGAAAGATCCGCAAAGGAACAGTCGTCTTGAGGGATGGCAGTAGTTGTGAGGTAGTGAAGGAAGATTGCGAGGCGTGACCTGTCGAACAAAGTGTCACTTTCTGCGCAGCAGAGCGCGTCCCTGGAAGTGGTGAGGCAAATGAAACCAGCGCGGTGACCAATGCGCGCTTTCCAAAGAGACAGCTCTTTGAACGCCGGCGTACTCAGACTACCTTTGACGTAGTCCTAAAACGTCTTGTCGGTTCACACTTCTCGGTGACCGTCTTGCAGACATCGCAAAGAGGATCTCACTCACAGGCACTGAAGGGAGAAGCTTCTTATTCATACTCCTCTTCCTCGGAATACTCTGCCTCCGAATCTTCATCTAAGCCCTCCTCTTCGCCGTCTGAATCTGAAACGTCGGTCAGATCCAGTTCCGGATGAGTCTCCTTGACTTTGATGAACAAGTCTTTGATCTTGCGATGATGGTGCTCGATAGCTTGGCGGTTCGCTTCTTCCGCGTCCTGCTCGTAGGGCTTCATGTCGGTAAAGTCTGGTTCTTTGACCTCGTCCCAGTCGGCACTGCTCGCTCTATACATGTCCTCGATCGTGAAAGCGAGCGATGCATGGTCCGGCTTGGTGCACGCGAAGGTAGGAACACTGGAATCTGCAGGTGGTGAAGAGCTGCCAACGATGATAGGGCTCGGTCTGGAGTTTGGGTCGACAGGGTTTGCGCGGGGAGCTTCCTCGTTTGAGGGCGGCAGCTTACGCTTACGGTCGGCTTGATCAGGCTGCGGAGACATGGGGGCTGATTTCAGAGAGCTATGAAGTGCTACGCTGCGACGACGTCCAGGCGAGGGTGGTGATGAGACAGAGCAAAGGGAGCGAGGACGTGACTTGCCAGAGTGACGTGCGTTGGTGTCACTTTTGAGGTTTCTGAAAGGCGGAGCGCGTCTGGACCCTGAAATGTGCTGCACTTCGCTTTGGCCAACTTTGGACTTAGCACTCCACCATTTCGATCTCGCCACGCCGTCAATCCGATCAGAGCATCGCCTCAAGGCGAGCATTCTGCTCCAACGACATCATGTCCTGGAGCTGTCAGCGCTGTCGGCAGCCGTTGCTGTTGCATCCGTCGGTCTCCTCGGATCTCGACCTCAATCAATCGGCGTATGACCTCGTGCAGGACTCTTTCATCGCGCCGCGCCACGCCTTGAACTCAAAGGCATCATCATCATCATCGAGGATACCAGCTCTATCCACAGACAAGCCAGAGGATGCCGCTTCGACGTCAAAGCCCACTGCTGGCGAAGGTCCAAATGATGCCAACTCGCTAAGCGCACGACTCGCCGCCTCATCGGCGCTCTTCGATCTGCTATCGCATCCGCCTGTGGCCAAAAGCGGCAAAGGATCACCGTCAGCATCGCGGATCAGCAAGAAGAATCTTAAATCTCGCAGCTCCTCGTCGACGGTCATCGATCATCCACTCTGCAAAGCATGTACAGACACGCTGCTCGACATTATGGACTCGCAAATGTCGCAAGTGCGCTCGCAGCGCGACTCGTACCTCGCATTTGAAGCCGAGCTGCGCAGATATAAGGTGTTGCCATCGTCAGCACGGTCCAGCCTTCAACGTCGCGGGTCTTTCTCCTCATCCACAGCAAGGCAGATAGAGAGTGATCAGGACACGGCAGCGATACGACAGCAGCAGCTAGAGGAATGCCAGAGCTTGCAACACGAGATCGACGAGCTCATCACCGACGAGTCGACCGCATTGGGCGAGCTCAAGGAAGCCGAAGCTGCGCGATTAGATATCGAAGCGCAACTCGCAGCCATTGCCGAAGAAGAAGCTGCGCTGCAACAGGAAGAAGAACGGTTCTGGTCGCAATACTCTTCGCACTCGCTGACGCTGTCGAAGCTGGAAGAGGAGAAGGCGTCGCTCGCGATGGCCGTGGCGCACGACAAAGAGCTGCTGGCCCGGCTGCAAGCGACAAACGTCTACACGGACGCCTTCTGCATCGGCCACTCAGGCGGCATTGCCACCATCAACGGTCTCCGTCTCGGCAGGCTTCCCGGGCAACCGGTGGAGTGGAACGAGATCAACGCGGCATGGGGACAAACGGCGCTGCTGCTCGACGTGCTCTCTCGCAAGCTCAACATCGCTTTTCGTGGCTACCGCCTCATTCCCAAGGGTTCATTTAGCGTTGTGTATCGCTACGAAGATGCGCGCACGCAGCACTACTCATCCGCTTCTTCGTCCGCATCCACCTACCTTCCTTCCTCAGCAGCAACTGACGCAGCCGAAGCAGCAGATGGAGAGGAAAGCGGCGAAAAGACGGTCTACGAACTCTACGGCTCGTCCGATTGGCAGATTGGCCGTCTGTTGCAAAGCAGACGCTTCGACCACGCCCAAACGGGCTTCCTGGCGTGTCTTAAGCAGGTGGTCGACTTTGCCGCGAGGGAGGACGGTGCATTCCAGACACCGCATGCGATCAACAAGGACAAGATCGGCGAGGCGAGCATCAGGCTGCAATTCGGGAGCGACGAGACGTGGACGAGGGCCTTGCGGCATGTGTTGGTCACGTGCAATCGGGTGCTGATGTGGATGGGGGAGCGCGAGAGAAGGGGGCAGCAGGGTGCAGAAGGCGGAAGGGTCGTCATCAACGGCAGGGATGTGGCTGCCGGCGGCGGAGGCGGTCTGAGAGGCGGAGCCGGTGTGGCCGCCTGACAGTCAGATCGAACGAAATGCAAGCCTCTACTTCCTTCAGGTGGTCCCGTTGCACGCCAAGTCAGCACATGACATGAAGCACGTTCGTGTCACATTGATTTCACGGCTCTCCTCTTCGCAAGCATGGTTCGCAAGCATGGCTTGAAGTGTCTAACAATGACGGCGCATATGGACCATCTGCAGCAGTTGAGTCAAACCGATCCCTTGACTCCACACCATGAACCGTGGGACTGCGCACGCGTTGCCATGCTCCCACTTTTTCGGGTGGGAGTCGTGGTTCCGGGGTCGGAGCGAGGGTGGGTCCTCGAATTTGAATTTGAACGTGATCTGTTTTAGGCTCATGCTTGGCGTAGAGAAATCGCAACACCACTTCGCTTGTGCGCACCGCCTCGCACGACCACGGCGCAAAGCCTCCACTCTAACGCTTGGCACCTTCTCAGTCGGGCCGAATCTGTCAACCCTAGCCCCCTGAAGTGAAAGCTTCCTAAGCTCGAACGTTTCCCTCCGGACGACCACCATCCTAGAACATACCCGACTGTTGGATTGGATGCGATCATGACGGACCACGCACCCACCGCCTCCTCCTCGTCGCACACAGGCAACGGCCAGCAGCAATCGAATCGCGAGTCGCTCTACTCGCAACTGCGCTGGTCATCGCACCACACCCCCATCACACGTCGGCGCAAGCTCGAACTTCTCCGCTCCTACCTCCCCGACTGGATCATTACGATCCTTCTTGCGGGTCTGCTGGCGATTATCAACAACGTCCACGGCTTCCGACGGGAGTTCTCGCTCACGGATACATCCATTCAGCACACGTATGCGGTGCACGAGCGGGTGCCGACGTGGTTGCTTGGCGTGCTGGCGGTGTTGATCCCTGCGATCATCATCGTTGGGTTTTCACTTGGAGTCTCGAATTCGGTGTGGGACCTGCACAACGGTCTGCTCGGCTTCGTGCTCGCCCAAGCACTCACTGTGACCGTCACGACAATCATTAAGTGCACAGTCGGCCGACCTCGACCGGATCTGATCGACAGGTGTCAACCGGCTCCCGGCTCCGTCAACGCCTCGCCGTACGGCCTCGTCACCGACATCATCTGCACCGTCGGCGTCGACAACAAGATCCTCCGCGACGGCTTCCGCTCGTTCCCCTCGGGTCACGCCTCGACCTCCTTCGCAGGCTTCACCTATCTCTCGCTCTACCTCGCCGGCAAGCTGCACCTGTTCGACCGTCGAGGGCACGCGGTAACGGCCTGGCTATGCGGCACCCCGCTCATGGCTGCCACCCTCATCGCCGTCAGCCGCACCATGGACTACAGACACCACGCAACCGACGTCATTGCTGGCGGCCTTTTGGGGCTGGTAGTAGCATACTGGAGCTACAAGCTCTACTATCCCCCGCTGGGCCATGCGCAGAGTCACAAGCCGTACTCGCCCCGCATCCCCAATGAACGGATGATGGGCGCGGGCGAAGAGGGTTACGCACCAACGCAGGGCGAAGAGCGGGAGGGATTGAGACCGTTCCGTGTGCAGAGCGGCCGCGAAGACGAGGGCAACCCGTACAAGCCCCACGGTCACAACGGGCTCGACACCTCGATCGAATATCCAGACCGAGAGACCGTTCCTCGTGTATAATTTTTTACGATATGCATTCATGACAACTCCGAAAGTTTGTGCTCAACATACCCGACGAGGCCAGAGGAAACGTCGTACGCTGCCTCGATCTCCACTTTGTACCCCGTCAGGAGCATGGTTGTCAACCTCGTCCTCTTTTCGACTTCGTCTCGAGGCAGAGTGCGGAGCAGACGCACCGCCATCGTCCGCTCGTCGTTGCGCAGCTGTACCAATGCCCCACCTTCGTTGGGGGGAAGAAAGTCTTCCACATCAACACCGAGCCATTGTACCCCGAACTGGTGGTGAATGTGCACGCCGTACGGATCGCCATCGAACAGTCCCAGCACCCGAATCTCGCGGCCGAACTGGCACTGAGAGGACGAAAGCAGACGTAGCAGTGTGCGTGTGGCGTGGTCTGGATAGCCTTTGGCCGTAACGATGACGACTCGTCCCCAATCTATCGAGCTGGCATTCGAAGCCAAGGCCTGGTGCTGGAGAAGGGTTTTGAACACCGCCTCCTTCTCCACCACCAGCACGAGATGCGCACACCTTGCAGAAGCGCACTCCGGCGTGCATTGAAGGTCAACTCTCCACCCAACACCGACCTCGGGCGGGATGAATCGCGCTTGTCCCGCCCTACACTTGATCGCTTCCTGCCGCGGTGGCACCAGGGTTAGCGGTCCAGCGATCATCCCGCGTGGGCTAGCAACGATGTTGAGCTCCGCCCGAGCCGCACAGCCGAGCAAGGTGACAATCTGGTTGATGATGCGGTCCGACGCGGCCTGGGTGCGGAACAGTTGGAGGCACTGGTAGAAGATGTCCCTGCTCCCCGTGTTGATCTCTTTCAAGCTGGTCAGCGGACTGAGAGGCAGTGAGGCAGGGGACGAGAGGGGATGACTTACCGCTTGGTCACCAGTGTACCGCGTAGCAGGTTGGTTTGGATCAGAGAGAGCACTTTAAGGATCTGAGCTGATGCGTGAGAGCGGTTGGCGGATTCGTCAGGAGCTCGATCCTTGAAGAGAAGGGAGAAGGAAAGGCTCACCAAACCGTCTCAGTCGCGCAACGCTCGACGGTGGGTACGACACGTTGCTCTCCTTCCGCTCCCCATCTTGGGCGAAGCTGAGCAGTCTCATGGGTGTCACTTTGGGCTTTGCCTCTCGTGCTGCTCTGCGTCGCTTGGCTGGTCGATCGCTAGATGACGCTTGCGAGTCAGCGGAGGAGAGCGACAATGGTGGCGTGGGCTGTTGGAGAGCCGCATCCTGCAAGACGAGCTGACGCACAAAATGGGTGATCAGCTCATCGATGCGCGCAAGCACGGCTGGTTGTGTGCTCGTCATGGCCCGCCGATCGACGAGGTCAGGAGATGGATGATGGTGAGGAAGGAGACGCTCTCATGTGCAGACACCGCAAACACCTTTGTGGCCCGTTCGTTCAAAGTAGGGACCTAGTCGGGAACCATGCCGAATCACGTTGTCATCACCGGAAGGTCCGTCTTTCGATGGTCGGCACACCCGAGTCGTCCGCTGTAAGATTGTTGTATTGGCAAATCTACGAGGAAGGATCGATCTTGAGCGAGAAATCGACGTGCTTGGTCGACTGGTGGATCGAGCTGGTCGAGATAATGTCGATCGAGTTGTCGACATGACCTCCCTGCTGAACGTTGTCGATGTCAATCCCTCCGCTGCTTTCGAGCAAAAACTTGTGTTTCGCGGAAAACTCGTCCTTCAACCTTTTTGCGTTGCTGATGAGCGACTCTCCCTCCATGTTGTCGAGCATGATCACATCTGCACCTGCCTGGATGGCTTCGACCGCCTCGTCGTAGCTTTGGACCTCTACGTCAATGCGCAGGGAGAAGCCGCAGACGGACCGCGCAGCGTGGACGGCGTTGGTGACAGAACCGGTGGACCAAATGTGGTTGTCCTTGAGCATGACCATGCTACTCAAGTCGTAGCGGTGCATGTCTACGCCACCGACGAGCATGCCGTACTTCTCAACGTCCCTGAATCCGGGTGTGGTCTTTCGTGTTCCTGCTACGATGCCCTGATACCCTGCCGCCCGCGCCTTCTGCAAGAACAGCCCAGACGCAGTAGCAATACCCGAACACCTCGCCAGCGTGTTCAATGCCACCCTCTCACCCAACAGAATCTTACGCGATGGACCCTCCACCGTCGCTACTGCAATCTTGACCTTCCCGCCCTCCGTAGCAACCTTGAGCCATTCGCCCTCGGTGAAGTTCCACGTGACCTTGCAATCGAGCTGCTTGAAGACTTCGTCGAAGAAGGGGACGCCGGCGAGAATACCCTCGCTCTTGCAGAAGAGTGTGGCGCGCTTAGGAGCCTCGCCGACCACAAAGCCGCCCCAGTCGAATGAGGGACAGTCCTCCTTGAGCCATTCGCTGATCTTGACCTTCCACGAGGGCGGGAGGAGGTTAGCGTAGACAGGGGTCGAGGTCGACATTGTATCGGTTGTCTCCTGATGACAGCGAGTGATGGTTGCCAGATAAGCTCAGATCTTGACACCTTTTAGGAGGCTCGGTCGATCGGTACCTCGAGAATCGGATCTTGGTGGTGTTCGAAGGCGAAAGCTCAAGCTTGTCAAGAGTTGTGGAGAAGGTCCGCGCAACCCTGCCGTCCCACAAGGGTTCAAGCCGAAGATTGCCGGACCCTTCTCGCAGAATTTCCAATCGGCCGGAAATTTTGGCAATTTTGGCAACATGTCGATCTCACACCTTGGCAAATTTCGCCGGTGTTGGTCTCGCCAAAAAGGAGATCGACATGGCAGCGAGCATGAGGTGCAGCGTAGAGTTGAAGCCAAGGCGGGCGGAGTTGGAACCAGGTGCCGATCGCATGGAGATCCCTCGCCTGCTGCCTCCGAAGTCGACGCCGAGAAGCGCATGCAACCTGCCATTCCTCGTACTCCTGTGGTGGTTGTCGCTTCTGCGATGCATTGTGGATACCACATGCCGCAAGGGGGGACAAGAGGGGGTGCGTATGAGATTCATTCCACACCACGCGCGATTTGAGAGGCGGCTCAGAAGCTCAACGCCGTCAAGTGGGTGCCTTCGTCGGCCGTCACCATCAAACTTTCATCCACGATGAAAGACGTACGCTTGCGCATAGATAGGAGCCAAGGCTGAGCCAAGATTTGGCGTTCTCATCCCTGAACGGTGTCCCTGAACGCTCTGATGGTGGTGCATGAGGATGTAGGCCATGCCACTTCAGGACAAGCTTGCTATCCGCTGCGAGTGATTCGATGCATTCTTCTGGTTCAGAGACAGGGGTTCAAAGCCAAAAATCCAAACTGCGCTTCTCTCGAGGAGGGTGTTGTGGACGTGCGCGTGGGCGCGAGTTCGAGATCGAAAGCTGTCCATTTCCGCGGTGTGGAATTCACAGCCAAGACCAAAAAAGCGTCTCGGGATGAGGTAGATTCTCGTTCGAGTTGTTGATGCTGTCCACTGCAGTCCTCGCCTTGTGGTCCACTCAACGTCGTCACTCGTCCTCGACGCTGCCTTGCAAGAGCCAGACCGCCCCACTTTCCTACGCTGCATTCAACCTCCGCTCCTGTTCCTATTTACACAGTCCGATTCCTGCGCCTCTTTCTCCCCTCATCGCTCAGCTTCCACTTCCGACCTCACCACCACCATCATCTCCTTCCCACGTCGTCGTCGTCGACAGAGATCATCATCAGCGAGCTCATCGCGTATACGAGCCTCGAACAGACCTCCGCAAACTACACACCGCACTACCCCCTAGCGTCACGCTTTTGCAGGCCATCATGTTCAAAGGTAAGCATCACTCGAGTGCACAGCATGTCGTCCACAGGAACGATGACTGACCTTTCGCCCTTCGCATACCAGGTCTGAAACACAAGATGTCGAAGCGATTCGACGAGGAGCCCAAAAAGTCGCCCTCGCTCCCGCCTTCGCCCACCAAGCCTGCTGCCTACGCCGCCGCTGACACCACCCAGCCCCAGACCCCCGCCGCAACGGTGCCAACCACCACCGCCCCTGCTGCGTCCGCTCCCTCGACCTCGGCCGGCACCACTCCCGCCGCGTCTACTCCTAGCACGGCGCCCACCACACCCCCTACCACCGCCGACCCTTCCACCACCATCACCGACTCTGAAGGCCACGAGTTCACCACCAACGGCGCCATCGTGCCGCGCATCAACCTTGGCTACTTCACCAACTGGGGCATCTACGGCCGCAAGTACTCGCCCCTCGACGTGCCCGTGTGCGACCTCACGCACGTCCTCTACGCCTTTGCCGATGTGAACCCCAACACGGGCGAATGCATCCTCACGGACCTGTGGGCAGACGAGCAGCTGCACTACACCGGTGACTCCTGGAATGACAGTGGCAACAACCTCTATGGCAACTTCAAGCAGTTCCTGCTGCTCAAGAAGAAGAACCGGGCACTAAAGCTGATGCTCTCGGTGGGAGGTTGGACTTTTGGGCCGCACTTTGCACCTATGGCGTCGGACCGCAACAAGCGCGCCAAGTTTGTCTCCTCCGCCATTACCATTCTCGAAAACGACGGACTGGACGGCATCGACATCGACTGGGAGTACCCCGACAACGACGCGCAAGCGGCCAACTACGTGTCCCTCCTCAAGGAGCTTCGCGCCGGTCTGACCGCGCACCAGCAGAAGAAAAAGGATGCCAACCCGTACCTCCTCTCGATCGCAGCGCCGTGTGGACCCGATCACTACCAGAAGCTGCGTGCCAAGGACATGGACCAGTACCTCGACTTTTGGAACCTCATGGCGTACGATTTCGCCGGCTCCTGGTCCACCGTCACGGGCCATCAGGCTAACCTTTGGTCGATCAAAGGTCAACCTCCTTCGGCGGACAACGCGATCAACTGGTACATCGCCCAAGGTGTGGTGAGCCACAAGCTCGTCCTCGGCATTCCGCTGTACGGACGTGGCTTCGAAAACACCGATGGCCCGCAGAAGCCTTACAACGGTACAGGCCAGGGTACGTGGGAGGCGGGTAACTGGGATTACAAGTTCTTGCCCGTCAAGGGTGCCAAGGAGATGATCAACACCAAGATCGCCGCTTCCTGGAGCTACGATGCCAAGAAGAGGGAGTTTATCAGCTATGATACTCCTCAGAATGTCTTGTTGAAGTGCCAGTACATTGTCAACAAGCGACTGAGGGGCGCCATGTTCTGGGAACTTAGCGGTGACGCAACTAAGGCCCAGGGAGGTGCGGATAGGAGCATCGTCACCATCTGCGCCAAGAACATGGGCGTACTCGACTCGACGCTCAACCACATCAGCTACCCCTACTCTAAGTGGGACAACGTCAGGAACGGCATGAAGTAGGTTCCATGTCTTGCCGACTGTTCGATTTGGTTCCGACCTCTCGTTTTCGTTTCTACATGCACTCGTTTCTTTCACCACTTTTAGCTACGATTCGTTCCGGTCAAAGCGCGGTCCCATCCGCGGTTGATCATGCCTTGCTATGGACAATCTCATCTTGCTTCTTCCTTTCTCTCGTGTCTGTGTTTGTGATGCCGAATCAAGCTGTGCGGCAAGCGTGATTTTTTGGGCCGCCTTTTTGTGTCACCATTTTGAGGCTGAGTTCCTTTCACGTCTCGATTCTTGACCTGTCTGTCTGTTCTGCGACGACATTTCTCATCTTGATCTCATCTCGCGAACACACGCGCACACTGCTGCACATCGATAGTGATTGGAGCAAATGCATGCATCTGCTGGTTCCTCACGCACCCACTCCAGCCGCACCCAACGCCGTCGCCGCCAAGACCATCTCCAAGCTGCCCCTCACCTGCATCAACTCCCTCTGCAGGCGCAGCTCGTCGCTGACCTTGGCCCAGATCCTGCCGAACAGATCGTCGATCAGCGGGCTCTGGCCAATGACGCTCGCATACGTGTCGACGATGACGTTGAGTGTGTCGCAAACCAACTCGACGTAGGTGGGATTCGCCGCGTGGCGCAGGAGGAAGCGGAGCACGGGTTCGAGCGTCACATCGTCCCTCCCCGCCACTGCCCTTCGGAGCCCATCGAGACTACCACGTGGACTGCGGTGGATGAGCTCCAGGATCAGCCCGAACGTGACACTCGGCGCGACACCTTTTCGCAAACTTGCATCCAGCGCATCGGCGTAGCGGAACGCCTTGAGGAAGCGATCGTAGTCCTGCAGCTTTCGTCTGCGCACACTGTCCACGCGGATGTCGTCCGTCGTCTTGCGCACGTTGACAGCCGAGGGAAGGTTGGACGCCGCCGCTTTGCCTTGGAGGAAGAATTCGTACGCGCCCGCGTTCATCGCCGCACGCGACGACTCGCGGCGCTCCAACTCCGAGGCTTTGACATCGCGCTTCCGAACGCAGAGCGTGCCATCCGCCATACCTACCGCGATGTGCGACTCGTCCGGCGACACCGCCATGGATAGGACTGGCGAAGGGTATCGCATCGTGTGCGTCACCTTGAACTCCTGCGCCGGATCGTATACCTTGACCAAATGATCCAGTCCACCCGTCAACACGCGCATGCCACCCACGCTGTCCGCGTTGCTCGCGCTATAGTCCGCTCCTGAGTGCACGCTCAGCGACAACGACGTAATCGTCTTTTGATGGTTCGAGATGGACGCCATGCACCGCCCGCCCATCATGAGATCCCACACCTTCATCACTGGTCCACCCACGGACAATGCTACACCTCCTCCTCCTGTTGGGTAGACCAGCACGTCTTCCACCGGAGCACCGTGGGTCATGCTCATGGCGCACCCGTCCGTCCTCGCGTCCCACAGCTTGACCGTCCCATCATAACTTCCCGAGAGCATCAGCGCCGGGTTATCCGGACTGACCACCGCCGATCGCACATAATCTCCATGCCCTTCGAACACATGCACCGCCTTCTGTTCGGGCACGTCCCACAGCCTGACCGTCCTATCATCCGACGCGGACATGATCTGCGTCCCGTTCGGTGAGAACCTCGTCACGTGCACAGGACCCGTGTGTCCGCGCATCGACCGCAGAATGGCTCGCGAGGTGGTATCAAACACTTGGATGAGCCCGCTGTCGTCACCAGCAACCATGAGCCGGCCGTCCGAGCGAAAGTTGGCCGAGCGCGCAACGTCTTTGAACCGCGAGATGGTTTTCGAGACGCGGCTGTTGCGCATCGAGTAGATCTGGACGCGGGCGCCGGTGGTCACGGCAAACTTTTGGCGCGCGGTGACCGAGGTCGGCTGCGTAGAGGTCGAGCCGATGGTGGAGACGGAAGGGGTGGCGGTCGGGTCATCGTCGGGAGAGGTGGTCGAGTAGACCGAGACGGGAGGCACAAAGTGGATCGAAGTGATGGGCGCGAGCTCTTTGACAAAGACGGGGGCTCGGAAGGTGCGCCAGTAGTGGGATTCGGGAGAGCGCGACGAGGATGGGCGGGTAGAGCGCTGCTCTACGGGGCGGAGGGACGAGTACTCCATTGTGGTGGTGGTGGCGGGCTTTCGTCGATCAGAATGAGGTGATGATGGGGATGCGAGATGCTTTCAGCGCCTGGTGTGGGCGTTTGCTGCCCTGCACGCTATCGAGGTGAGAATGTCGAGGTCGTCGAGCTTGCACGAATAGCAGATGCGCCGCCGTGGATACCGTACGGAGCCTGTGTTGTGGTGATGTGATAGGAGGGTGAGGATGATGGCTCGTAGGATGTAGGCAAGGAAGAAGGAATGTGGAGCATTGAGCACCGTTGAGGAAGGAACTTCCGAAAAATTTCAGAAAGACCCTGGCTCTGTCACGTGCCGAGGTCCATTTCCTCGCTTGTCTTGCTAGACAGAGTCTAACAAGTTAACAAAATTCGAGCGCGCCAGCTCGTGCCTCACGCTCGCCACTTCGCAAGCCATGTCGGGCCAGGCCAGGGAGCATGCTTGGCAGTCACTCCTCAACGCCACTAGGCACGTCAAGGCACCCCCGAACCCAGAGTGATCGCAATCACACTTTTATTGCAGCTTGTGTCAGAACGAGGGTCTGACGAAAGCAACACGGACAGCATCTTCAGCCAAGGCTGCGGTTAAAGATCGACCCGACGCTGCCGAGATGGTTTCTTGGACGATGCGACGTGGTATCAGCACGGCGATGTCACACTCCGAGCGAGCAGCGTGCAGGACGACAACCTTGCAGATTCCAGCACAGGGTTTGCGAGAGCCGAACCTCGCTTGCTCCTTGCTGCATTCCAGAAGTTTGCCATCCCTGACAGCGGTCGCCCCTCGAAGAACGCTGTCGGCACGAATTTCCAACGCGTAGCTTGTTCGCTGTCGACCTGTCGTACATAGCCGAGCATGTTCCACTTGATCTGCATTCTGCAGCAAGGGATCGACAAATGAAACTGAGGAGCGCGAGAACCTCCTTCATCTGTCATCCAGCGCTCCTTGGTCCGCTGCTGGATTCCAAACTCAGACAAACACACCTGCCAGCCGGATGACAGCTTGCAAACAAAGGTTCAAGGCGCTTTGCCACTACTGCGGGCGTGCAGGCCTTCCTTGCTGCAGGTGCGATTGTCATCTTGCTCCTGCAGGGCTTTCCGTTCGTGTCCGCCTCTTCAGGTCGCTCGGTTGGCTACATTTCCGAGAAGGGTACCTGTGTTCGAAGTCGACACATCGCCTCGAAGATTGCGGCAGGCCCCGAAGAACATGAGAGCAACGAGGTCAGTGCCCGGCAATGCAAGATCGAGTGCTTCGTTGTTTATGCAACGGAGCTAAGCGATGTCCCCTCCAGGCTGCTCATTGCAGTACGATCATGAGCAGCCGATGACACCGACAAATCCTCTCTTTCTCACCTCATGAACGGTCAATTGTGGCCCTCCTTTGCGTTCTTCGGCTCGTTAAGCCTTCATTCTTCCTCCCGTCCTGCGGCGAGCCGCCAAGCATGCCACGGTCCTCCTCTATAAGCCTCTGAGCCAGTCTTGTTTCGCTCTCGGACAGTCCTCTCGCTCTCTGCCTATGCCTTGCCCCTCATATGCCTCCTTTGTGCCTCTTTGTAACCGAGCCGCACTCCTGGCCGTGGCGCAGAGCCAGCTGTGCTGGGCGTGAACGTCGAATGTCATCATACTTGTTCCTATCGCTTCCTCCTCTCCCTCATCAATACCTTCATTCCTTACACTCCGCTCCTTCTGCTGTGCTTCCCCAGTCGCTTATATGCGCTTCATCATCTTTCAACTGCCTGTCAGGACCACCCCGTCTGCCTCTCCTCACCACATCCCGACCTCATTGCTTTCGAAGCGCTCCTTGCTATCTCTCGACCTCCCAGCTGGACTCACTCTTCGCTTCGTCAGATCGGCAAGCTTCCTGGCCTTGACTGGCACTACAGCTATCGCCGAGCCTACTCTTGAGTACGCGGCGATCCGACGGTATCCCCCGCAATTGAGCAGCGACCTACCAAGTCAACGACGCCGAACCCGCCTACTTGCGGCAGCTATTCGTTATTTGGGCCATCTGTTCCTCACATCGGATCAGCGGTCGATGTTCAGCTGTCAGCACCGCTAGTCAAGTCTCCGTCGTCGCGGTAAGCCAAGCCCTCGCTCAGCACTGCCTTGAGTTGCTTGCACACACGATGACCGCGCTGCCACCGTTCGTGGCATGGACGCTCCTCATCCTCCTCTGCTTCCTCACGCCGCCCGCACTAGCAGCCAAAAAGATCCTCATCTACACCTACACGCAAGGTTTTCGTCACTATTCGATCCCCACAGCCGTCTCTGTCATCGAGCACCTCTCTTCCACGGCCATCCCACCGATCGAGACGGTCCACTCCGAAGATCCTTCTGACTTCGAATCCCCTGACTTCCTCACACAATTCGATGCACTTCTCTTCATCTCTGTCTCTGGCAAGGCTCTCTCCCCCACCGGCGCCAATGCTCTGCGGGAGTACATCGAAGCGGGCGGCGGTTTCCTGGGTGTGCACGAGGCGTGCGATGCACTCTACCACTACAGCTGGTACGGTCGTCTCGTAGGCGCGTTTTTCAACTACCACCCCCAAATCACGCATGCCACGCTCAACGTCAACACTTCCCACCCGGCCACCGCACATTTGAATGCGACATGGAGGGTGTATGATGAGATGTACAATTTCAATTCGAACCCCTCCTTGCTGGGGAAGCAGTATGTGATTACGGCGGATGAAGGTTCGTACAAGGACCCAGTGGAGACGGTGGAGCAACGAGCACGCGTGCAGGGGGAGATTCATCCGATAGCATGGTGGAAAGAGGGCAACCAGCTGGACTACAATCGACACGTAAAGGTCGGCGGTGGAACAGATCCAACCAAAAAGGAGATTCGAGAGGGGACAGCAGGGACAGGAGGCGAGGGAAGAAGCTTCTACACCGCCCTCGGACATACAAACGCTATGTGGAAGGATGAGGCGTTTCAACAGCACATCATGGGTGCGGTAGGATGGTTGTTGGAGAGTCCCACGTTGAGGAGCAGCTCGGCGAACGCATCGGAAGGCGCGGTGGGGAGCGCGTTCGATCCAACCGCGGCGAGTAGGACGATGAGGAAAGGGGCGACGGGGGCGATTTCGGGCCCAGGCGTGTCGAGCGTCACGGTCAAGGGTAGTCCGCTGCCGTGGTCCAAATCGCAGATCTCGACCAGCGGCACACGGCGCGCTCGAGGGACAAGACGGTCGAACGTGGCGGCAGCGTTGGCAGTGTCGATGCTGCTAGCCATCTGCGTCTGATCGTCTCAGTGGTCTGGCCGTCAGCTTCATTCTTCACAACACGAGCGTACCGGTCCTCGCTCTATACCCCTTCATACTTGTATCATCTTTCGCACCTTTCTTTGCCGCGACGAGCACGGAATCGCAGATCGTTTCTTCCCTTATCTTTGCTTGCAAAGTGGTCAACATGGAGTTACGTCAGGCTCTGCGCATCGCAACGCACATTCAGCTCACCTGGTTACAGCCCTTCCTGCTCCGAGCTTCACCACGGTGCTGTGCGGTCGGACCGCCTCGCTTCCTCTGCGACCCGTGGCACCGACTCAAAGACTCATCGACAAGGCTGCTTTCCCTCACGGGCTCACACACGCCGAGGCATTCGCAACGTCTTCCCCTTGTGTGAGATTCATCGTGAAGACCGTCCTCGCGTGAATGAAGCAATAGAGCGAAGCTAAGACGCGGGATCGTTCGAAGCGTCCGTGGGCGGCGAAGGGATGCCGCGCGTCGTGGCGATGGACGACGTCGAGACGCTCTCTGGCATGCCTGCTGTCGGAGACCGGGCGGCGCCGAGGGTGGCTGGATGGGGAGCGATGCGCGTGGTGGGCGTGCTCGGCGAGCCGCCGTCGAGCGCTGCTGCGGTGGCCGCTGCAGCTTCCTTGTGCCTCTTCTCGCGTTCGAGCCTTCGCAACGACTTGGAGCGCCCGGAACGCTTGCTGTCTCTGCCTTCCCTCGTGGTGCCCGTCTCGCCGTCGGCTGTCGCATCGACGGTGGTTTCGCCCTCCGCTGCCTCGCCACTGTGGCCAGTCGCGCCAGCTGGCGAGCCGTCCTCGTCCTCGCCACCCGCGGCGGCGGAGGGAGGGAACGTCATCTCGGTCCCCATGAACGCGTGATTGAGCAACTCGTCGGCAGACGGCCGGTTGTTGTAATCCAGCTCGAACGTCTTCTCCAAAAAGTCGCGGCACTCGTTGCTGATCTCGTCCGGCAGCGTCGGCTTCCTCCCCATTCCGATCTGGAACAGTGCCTGCATCTGGTTCAGCTCGGCCCACGGATGCGTGCCGGAGATCATCTCGACCACCAGACACCCGAGCGACCAGATGTCGGCTTTGATGGTGTAGCTCGTCTGCTTGACCACCTCGGGGGCCATCCAGAAGACGCTACCCTGCAGACTGGGGCGGTTGGCGGGTCCACCCGCTCCACCGCCTGCAGATCCGCCCTTGTTGGTCGACAACACGAGATCCGACTCGACCTTCTTACTAATACCAAAGTCCGAGATCTTGATGCCCCCCTTGTTGTCGACCAGGATGTTGGCGCCCTTGATGTCGCGATGCATGATGCCTCGATTGTGCAGGAACGACAACCCCTTGAGGATCTGCCGCACAAAGTTGCGCACCAGCGGCTCTTCAAACGCTCCGTAGTTGCGTAGGAGCGCCACGATGGATCCACCCGGCACGTACTCGAGGAAAATGTTGAGATGCGTATCGTCGGCAAACGAGTCGAGGTACTGCACGATGTTTTCGTGCTCGAGCGTTTTCAGCAGCTTGATCTCGGACTCGAGCGCATCGAGCATGCTCTTTTTGCGCTGACCCACTTGAGAATCGGCAGCGGGCAGCTCGACCTGCTTGACCGCCATCAAAAGACCCGTCTTGGCGTTCATACCGAGGAAGACGTTGCCGAAGGAACCCGCGCCGATCAGCGCACCCTTGTGCCACTTGATAGGCGCCTTGGCCGCGGCGGACGGTTGATAGATGTCGTTGGCTACATCGTCGTCGTCGGTGTCCGAGCCGTCCGAACCCAGATCGGAGTCGCTCAGGCCCGGTTCCGAGTCACCTTCACTCAAGTCGCCGTGACCTGCGATCGAGTGTCGCAACTCGGAAACGGAGCTGGCTCGGGACGTGGTGCTGCGCGCAAGAGCCATGGGATCGCCCAGATGACGATCGGCTTCATCGCCAGGAGCCTGCAGCACGGACGGGGCGCGATGGGACGAGACGCTAGCCGCGGCGTGGGTCGACTCCGCTTTCGAGATGACGCTGCGCCTCTTGTCCGTGTGGGGCAGCCCTTCGAGGTCGGAAGACTCGTCGGCCTCTTCGTCCTCCTCGTCATGACCGGTCAAGCTGCCGTGGACGTGCGACGATGTGGCACCGCTGGAAGGCCGTGTCGAGGCAGCGGCAGACGAAGAGCGTGCGGAAGCACCCGGGATGGGAATGGGCACGCCGTCCTCGTCCACCACCCAGCCTCCCCCTGCGCCGGCCAGCGAGGTAGTTTCTTTCCTGTTCTCGACTTCTTGCGTGATCTCGTCGACCGTAAGCAAGCTGGCAGTGTCGGCATTGCGCTCGCGAGCCGCACTGAGACCTTGTCGAACTTGGGAGGCCAAGCTGCGTCGACTCCTTGCGCTCTCGCCTGAGGTGCGACGCGACACGGAGGGTCGATTGATATACGTGCTGCCCTGCGACGGCGACCGTTGCATGGGCGGAGGAAGCTGCTGCTGGCCCATGGTTCGTCCCGGCTTGTTGGGTGGGAAGGTCGAAGGGAGCTCGGCGACCGGTGATCCGACCGCCTTGAGGTCGCGCGACCACTCGTCGAGCGAGTTCCGATCCACGACGGGTGGCAGCGTCGGGGGCCCTGCACCACTTGGCTGCGGCTGCGTCTGGGACCCAGACGACAAGCGGAGAGCGTTGCTGAAAGGGTCAGTCTCCGACGGCTGGTCATGGGCGATCTGAATGATGGGCGGGGTGCCACGCTCTCGGAGGGAAGCAGACGACCTCTCCGAAGGGGGCTCATGGCCATCGTACGACTCTTTGGTAGGCAGAGGCGGCGCATCGGGGTCAGCGACAAAGCTCCAGGTACTGTTGCGCTTGGATCTCGTGCTTGCCGAGGCGCGACCGTAGATCGATCTCCTTGCCGTGCGCTGGAGCGCTTTCGAGTCGGTGGACGGGAAGAAATCGGCCAGATTCGTGTTGATGAGCTCGGAGGGGGGACGCTGGCCGAAAAAGTTGCGGATCTTGCTCGGTTTGCTGGCGATGGGAGGTGGCGAGTGGCGCTTGCTCTCTCGCTTGGAAGCCTTGATGGTGCCAGTGTTGCCGGTATGGTAGTTGCCTGAAGTTGGCGGATGGCTACCGCTGCTGCTGCCGTGACTGAGTGGGCCCACTCCCAGACCGGACATGATGCTGACAGTCGAAGCGCGCTTCATCTTCTTGCCGCTGATGGTGACGCTGCCAGCATCGCCGTCGTCTCCGTTGGGGCCAGAGCCAGGACCGGCGGGCTGCATCTGTGCGACGGGCATGCGCTCGCCGAAGAAAGCCTCGAGCTTGTTTCTCCCCGAGCGCACTGGGACCCTGCGGGCATCCTCACCCGGCAGATGATTGGGAATTCTGCGAAGCGTCAGGCCACGCTCTCGGAGAGGATCGTGCGGCTGCGGAGCATGACAGATGGCCAGCAGCTCGTTGTCGGACAGCGCCTTGGTGTTCTGTCCGTCTGCACTGGTGGCGAAGATGCCCCACGTTTCTGTCCCGCCAAGCTCATCGCCTGTGGGCCCCTGATCCGCGGTGGGTGTGTAGCTGTTGCCACTTGGCGGCTTGAGGAACTTCCGGAGGACCCGCGACATGACATCGTAGGCATCTCGACAGTCGCTGACATTGACGGTGCGCGTTGTGTTGTCTTCCTCGCTGATGAACTTGATCGTTCGGCGTTTGAGATCTTCCAATGTGGGCTGATGGGCGGTCGAGTAGTTGGCGTGCTGATTGTAGCCCTCGCCGCTATCGACGTGCCGGAGGGTGCCACTCGAGGAGGGCTGCTGCTGTTCGGGAGCGGAGGAGGCCGCAGCAAACCGCGGTGCATTGACAAACAGGCCGCGACCCACCGAGTAGCCCATGGCCTGCTGTTGGCGGTGAAGGGCAGATGGGGTGGTGGGCGTGGCTCCGTACGAGTTGGCTTCGGAGATTGGGGTGAGCGGCGAGTAGCCTTGGCTGCCTGATGATCCTCCTGCGACGGAATTAATAGACGGAGCGCCGGTTGCGGTGGCCGGACGACCCAGGCTGCTGGTGGGACCACTGCCGAAAGACGCGCTGGTGGGACTGATCGAAGGGAGAGCGCCGCGCTGCGACGCGTGTGCGCTCGGATGCCCACTGGCGCCCGTCGCAGTGTTTGGTCGGCTGCTCTGCCCGCTCTGACCATAGGGATGGCGGGAGGCAGGGAGGCCGGTCGCGGCACCGACGATGGCAGGTGCAGCGAGACTTCCGATCGAGTTGACTTTGCGGTGCATTCCGCCGTCCGCGGTGGACGAAGAAGCCGTGTTCCACACGCTGCCACGCCCTGCTCCCGGGGTGAGGCCACGGGCAGCACTGAGACCGAAGCCTTGGTTGTTGTTGATGGTGTTGGCAGGCGATGCATAGCCCGGCATGCCACGAGATGTCGACTGCTTCAGTGTGAGAGGAGGTGGCCGCATCTGACCTCGTCGCACGCTCATCGAGTTGGGCCCAAATTGGGAGTTGAGACCGTCGGCGGATGGATCGGCGTTGGGATCATTCTGGAGGTACTCGATCTCTCCTTCATTGGCGTAGAGCGCATGGGTTGCCAAGGGGGAGAGGGGCGGGATGGAGACGACACTAGGCCTGCGTGCCATGGCCGAGTCAGCGCACCGCTTGTTGAGCAGCTTGATAGCGGCCGAGATGCGTACGCGGTCCTTGACCATGGTGATGCCCATTTCCTTGAGCGCGGCCTGATCCACATCGAGGATGACAGAGCCGCGAATGTCGTTGTCGGCGAAAGTGGACGCGTGATGGCCGAGGCGTGCTGAGCTTAGCCAGGCAGCCACATCTGCGTCGTCCCATCTGCCGAGATCATCATAGGTGGGTCCAGAGGGGAGGTAGGCGGCGGAGAGAGGCGTGGCGGGCCGGGAGCGCGGACTACCCGTCATGGAGGAGGGGCCTGCGAGCTGATGGACGCTGGCACCTGCGCCCATGGTGAGCGGGAAGCCCGGGCTGGTGGGTGTGATGGCACTCATCTCGTGTCGATAATGGAGGGGCGAAGCAGAGGTGGTAGATATACTGGGAGCCGTTAGCGTTGCTGTTGACGCAGAGCTCTGCTCAGAGCGGGTGGAATGCGATCTGCATAGGAGGCACTTGCTTTCCGTTGAGTCGACCTGCTGAATGGCCCAGCTGCCGAGAGGGAGGGGGTGATGGTGTTTGGGATATGCAGTTGGTGTTGGTGGTGTGCACGGTTGATTTCCCTTTGAGCGCGATTTGGCTCGACTCAACTTGGCGGTGACACGCGCGATTTTCAGACTCAGGCGCTGCTGCACCCTGAAATCACGCGCTCTCCGCATTTGAATTTTGCAGACACCGCTCCGCTCGACGCCGTCATCCAGACAGAAGCGTGCACGCCAGACACATGGCGACGCTCTTGCTTACGAGGTCATACTGTAGGAGCAGTTTCATGAGAAGGAGTCGTACGAGATCTTCAGCGGCTAGAGCCTCTTCATGATCTTCAAGTGATCAGACCTTTGTATCAGCACAATCTTCGCGGTCTAGGCACTCCATACGCCCACCGATGCGACCGCCTTCATATCTCCGACCTCATTCGAGTCAATGTTTGCCGTGACCGCCCACTTAGCGAGGCCACATCAAGGCACATCGCCGGTGGCTGTGTAGCTGGATCCCACTGCGGTCCCTTCATATCGGAACGACGCTGCCGAGCTCTGTCCACTTGTACACAGGGGTGCCTACACAGGGGCGGGGGAGCGTCAGACACCTCCTCACAGAAAGCTTAAATAGTCCTGGAAACACTCGGGAAGCCATCTCTCTCACCAAGCCACTCCCAACCACTTTGACATACTTCCCACCGCCTCTCCAACGATGAAGCTCAACTTCGCCCTCTTCTCGCTCCTGCTCCTGGCGCTCGGTGCCTCGGCGGCGTCCTTCTCGAACCCGGCCTTCTGCAATCCTGCAGGTGCTGACCCGGCGGACCTGCGTGTCTGCTTCGTCAACCCTTCCCGTCAGACCCTCTTCGAAAACTTCACCTCTGGCTTGAACGTTGTGTACAGTGCCGATAAAGAATGTGAGTGTCTTTCTGTCTTTCTTTCCGGCATCATCACAACGAAATCGAAGCTGAACCCTCCCAATTCTTTCCTGCAGACGTGCTGGTGACGATGAACTACAACACGTACGAAGGCATGCTCGACTCGATGCACGCCATCTACACGCTTACCAAGACAGACAATCGCTGCACCGACGTCAAGATCGTTACCAACACGCGGGGCAGTTGGAGGAAGCAGGTCTGCAACGGCGACGACGTCGTCATCATGGGTGTCTGATGCCGCGTTGCGCCGTGCCAAACGCTATCGTGCGCGCCTGATATAGCCCGGCTCGAATCGTAGCTCTGGTGTAACATTTGTTCTCGGTCCCTCATCCCATCGCAATTTCACTCGAGGTTCTGTCAAAGCCTGTCCGTTCTGTGATGCGCATGTGTACAGCAATGTCCCTCGCGTGGGCTGCTTGATTTTGAAAGAAGAAAAGCACCTTGGTATCCTACTTTACATGACGCTGTTGGGCCGAGCTTTCGCGCGCAGTTGTGAGATCATGTCTTCGGCCACGGCGAGCGACTCCCGGTGCCGCCGTGGTTGCACGGGCGCAGACTGGACCGAGTCGCCGGACTCGAAGCCATCATTGCTGACCGGCGGACGCAGACCCACCGTGCGCGACCCTGCAGTTGGCGTCCCTTGTTCATACTTTGCCGATCGTCGGATCCTGCGCACGTAGTCCGAGTCGGTGTCGCTCGCCTGGCCGGTGAGGGCGCTTCGCTGGGCTGCTGATGAAAGGGTGGGACCTTTGTGAGTGGGTCGTGGTTGGCGTGGGCTCATCGGCGTGGCCGAGATGGTGGAGGTGGACGACTTGAGAGCCAGAGAGAAGCTGGTCGACGATGGAACAGCTGAAGCGGCGGCAGTGCGAGTCTTGCGGGAGAGAGCCTCTTTGGAGGGCGAGTCGGCGTCTCGCTCCCTCGAAGCATTGCCACTGCGCACGGGAGTGGCGGCCTCCAAGGTCGCCGAGAAGCTCGTCTCGAGGTGACGCGGCACGGACGTACTTCGTCTTGAGAAGCTCGCTTCCCTGTTCGTGGGTCGGCTTGGTCTGCTGCCTTCCGCCGCCACTTCTGCGCCGTCGTCTACAGGCGTCGGAGCTCGGAGCGCCATGCTCGTCCTCGGCCGCCGTGCAGGCGTGACCATGCTAGAAGGTCGTAGCGGGGAAGACGAATGGGCTGCGGATGGAGATGGAGAGCCTGCCGAGCGATTCGCAGCCGAGGCCGCGGCCGACAACTTCCGCAGTCTCTGCGCGCTAATACTGCCAGCACCAAAGCGGGCCGCGGCTCGAAGCTGGCGCTTGGCCTTTGAACTGTCCTTCCACGCCTGCCAGCTGCGTTGCAAAAGCTTCCTGCGGAGGATTCCGTCAGCTTGATTCAGCTTCTGTGCTTCCGGGAGGTGCTCCCGCCATTGCTGCAGGGCGCTCCGCTTGAGCGACGTGTTTCGCATCCGAATTGCTGGGAGCAGGAGCGTCTGGGATTGCCAGGCTTTGAGCGCCCACTGTTTGGCTAGCTGCTGCCTGCGAATCAGCATGTCGTACTCTTGTGTCGCCAACAAGCGCTCTCTGATCTTGTCCTGCCAGGTGCCCCACGTCGCGAGAAGCAGCTTCTTCCTTGTGTTGACTGCCAGCAATTCCGCTTTCTCGCGCCGTTCTTTGTGCTCGCGGGCAGCGTCGAGCCAGCGCAGGAACGTTTGCCTCTTCCTGTCCTCTTCTTTGACGTCGATGTAGCTGTTCATCAGCGCCAGAAGATCGTCGTGTCGCAAGCACGCCTCGATCCATGCGTAGAAGGCGGCCTTGACGAGGCGGCGCTCTCGTTGCTCCTTGACTTCGAGCTCTCGATTCCGCACCTCGATGATCTTGGCGACCCATTCCTTCAAATAAGCCCGTGCAAGCGCCTCGTCCTTCTTGGCCAGGGTGACCTGCAGCAGCGTCGCTAGACGTTGCTGTTTCGCAGCTTTCGATCTCCAGATCTCGAAGACCTGGTGGGCCAAGCGTTGATCGTGCGCTGCTTCTTTGACATCCCCGCGATGCTCGCGCAGTCGGACTCGCCATTGTCGTAATGTCGAGCGCAATGTGAAGAAGTGAGAGACGGCTTCCGACTTTTGCTGCAGGAGACGATGCTCGAGTTGTTTGTTTCGCCAGGCAATGAAGAAGTCGTTGCATATTGTTTCGTTGCGCCTAGCCTGTGCATCGGCTTCTCGGTCGCGTATCTGCTTTGCCAGCTGTCGCCATCGTACGAAGCAGGCTACTTTGACTTGCTCTTGACGCCGACCGACGATGGATGTTTCGCGCTTGTTGAGACTGGTTGCCAATGTGGTGTAGCGATGCTTCCACTGGTGGAACGAGCGTTCCATGCTTCCCGTTGTGCGGACGCGATCGAGCAGAGCTGCGCGCGATCGGAGCTGCCAGCGACGAAGCGCGGATCGGAGTTTCTCGCTCTGAGCCTCTTTGTGCATCTCGATCGCTTGCTGCTGCTTTGCAGACAGGTCGTGGTTCCGATTTCGCCAAGCAGCAAGGGAGCTTGACTTGAGGCGCCGGGCACGCCAACGACTCGCCAGAGCCTCTTGCTTACGGTGCGAGCGTCGCTGTTCCACAGCGACCTTCCAGCTATCGAGTGCTGCTAGCTTCAGCCGGCGCTCTGCGAATGCCTCTGCCAGGCTGGACAGCGTCGCTCGCTCTCGCCAAATGTGCAGCGCATCTAAAGCCAGTCGTCGATGGTGATGATGCTGAAACTGTCGCACGTCTTGCGCTTGGTCCGATTTGTCCACCCATCGATCCCAGGCGCGCGAGAGGATGGAATGGTTCTGCTGGATCTTGACGACCTTTTCTCGAGTGGAAAGCTGTTGACATTGAGAAGAGCGCATCTGCCACAGAGCAAATGCGCCGCTCTGAAGGTGATGCTGTCGGATGTCGTCCGCGAGACTGCTCCTGTGACGATGTCTCCAAAGAGCGAATGCCTGCGTTAGCATCCGCTTTTTGACAGACGCGGTCGTGGTGTAGTAGGCTGTCCGCATCGAGCCTTTCTTGAGCTCTTCTTTGCGCTCGACGGCAGTATGTGCGCGGCGCTTCCAGTGTCGGAAGGCGGTGAGAGTGCAGCGGACTCGGTCCGTCTTTTCACCGATCTCGTTAGGTTCCAGACCTCGGAGCGACTCGGCTCTCCAGCGTTCCCATGCCTTTTGTACGAGGACATGCCCGCTGGCATCGACTGCGTTTTGACTCCTCTCGAGATGCTTGCGAGTCAATGTGACCCACCAGGCTAAGCTTGTCTGCAGGAGTCGACGCGCCCGCCACCAGTCGGCTTCCCCGATTGATTCGTTGGTTTCCCCCTGCGCTTCCGTCTCGTAGGTCTCAGCCTGAGATTGTCGCAGTCTGGAACGCGCCAGGAGGGACGATTGTACGAGCTGATCGAAGCGGCGTCTAGCGTCGGAGGGGAGGCGAGCGACGTGGTTTGCGGAAGTCTCTTCGCGGTCGTCGGTCGCCCTCGAGTCGTTCTGTTCGAGATCATCTTCTGTCTCCAGCATTCGACTAAGACGAGCCTGGATTGCAGAAATCGGATCATCAAGCTGCGTTCGCCGAAGACGCGACCGATCGTCCTGGTCCAGCTCGTCCCGCAGCGATCGAGTTGGCGTCTCTGCTAGGGCTTCTTGTCTACGGCTTGGTTGCGGGCTGCTCGACCGCGGTAGACCGAGGTCGAGTCGGGGTGCGTGTTCTGAGCGCGATCTGTTTCGTTGGTCATGCAGCCGCTGTCGATGACTCTTCTCCCACTCGTGTTCTGACTCCGAGTCGGAGGCATGCTGAGTCGAGCTGCCCGTTGCGCTGACGCTTGTGTTCTGTGTTGCGGCGCTCTGGTCTGTCTCGTCGCCGCTGTGAGGGTCGAGGCCGAAAGCAAGTCGGACCGAGTCCCACCTTTCTCGCCACGTGCTGCCGCGCACTTTGACGAGGCTGAGCAGAATGAACCAAAGATGAGCGTCCCAGTCGGTATGATCGGCGTGCTGAGATGAGCTCGCCTGACGATGCCTGTAATCGAGCTCGTCGGCCAGGTGAGCAGTGTATGCGGACTTGAGCTGCGCAAAGTCGGCAGCATGGGCTGGAAGGGAGGAGATGAGGCGATCAAAGAAGCCAATATCGTCGTCGTTCAAAGCTTGAAATGCCTGGCTGATGGAGAAGCGGGATGTGGAAGAGGGCGGTGTGGTCGACGTGGAGACCGTGGACCGAGAGGAGCTTGCCACCGATGCAGCTGTACGAGACGCTGACGAGATGGAGGCCTGCACTGGTGACCGCGACAGAGGCGACGGATAGTGAGGGCGATGCATGGTCTCTCGAAGGCGAGCATCGCGTAGGTTCTGGCGAAGCTGTCCCAGACTGGAGGTCGGGTCGGAACGTGTGGGCGTGGAAGAGACCCGTTGCCTCTGATGGTATGCGTCCATTATGACCGATGCTAGCGTTGCTGACACAGCGTCGGGTTCGCCTGCTCCGACTCAGTCATGTTGCGGAGACTTGCCTACGGAAGTCTTCTGCGAAGATGTTGATGAGTCCATGAAAATTACGAGTGCAGATCGACTTGAAGTAAGGTTCACACGACCGTGGGAAAGAAACGCCGTCCGTCGGATCGAGGGGAATCGCCAAGATGCGAGCGTCGGTACGGTGACGAAGCGGAGCGGAGAGATGCCGACGTTGCGACCAAGAGATGTTGGAAGCTTCCGATGTCGCTCGCATACAAGCTCTGAGCTGGACCAAGCTCTGAGCTTCGGCTCGAAGACCAACACTTTTTCGGTTGCTCGAGCATGAAGGGTCCTCTCTCTCCAAAGTCACAAGTCACACCCGACAACTGAGGCAGCGAAAGGGCAAGTCGCGTCGCGTGCCGATCTGGTGTCCTCGTCAGATGCCCGATCCTTCCTCTTGCAGCTGGACCCTGAGCCCGTGTGATCTGCAGCCTGTGAAATTTTCCGGCGCTCGGCCCTTTGCCCTGGTGCCAGTCCATCGATTTCAAAGCCACGAAATGACAGAGGGTGCTGCTCAGAGGCGCTCAACCAGAAGAACGTGCTTGCGTTCAGAAGAAAAGGAAAAAAGTTCAACACACGCGGCAAAAATTTCCAGGCTCCATCCGTTCAAAAATTTCCTCTTGGAGCCGAAGGGCTCAGCTGCTCTGCAAGGCAAGAGATCTGCTCTCTCACGGTGCACGCACATAGATGAGCATCAGAGATCCACTGATCCTTCTTCACGTCCTACCACACGCTCTCACCGACTGTCTGGACCATCACACGCTTCGGTCTGCTGTAGACGTCGTCCATCGTTCCGTTTCCTTGGCTCCATCTACCACCACTCATAGGTTCCCGTACATCTACGCGCTCATTACCACACCTTCAAGCCGCGCGTGTCTGATAAGTGATCCGCTTTCCTCGGATCCATCCTGGCCCACTTCGAGTCGATACCCCCAGGAGCCCCCATCACATCACCAAAAGCACCAACGACACCATGTCGGGCGCAACACAGGCTCTCGAAGCCCTTTACAAGGCCCCTTCTGCCGAAGAGTGCTACGTCGCAGCAGAGAAGCTCGCCGAATACGTCAACCAGAACGGCCTTCGCGTCCTCCAATCCGAAGGCATCCTCGACAGCCTCGTCAAGGCCACCAAGAACAAGAAGAGCGGATACGAGCGTGAAGCTGGCGCCATTGGTCTCGATGCCATCTTTGTCAAGGTAGGCGGCAAGAACGCGCCCAGTCCTCTCGGTGCGGAGCCATGGCTGCTCTACACTCTGCCCGCCATCCTCGAGCTGTACGCAGACAAGGGCGAGGTCGTTCGTCAAGCTGCCGAGACGGCTGCTGGATCGCTTCTCTCCCTCGTCCCTCCCGAGGCCGCTCCCGAATTCCTCGCTGTCCTCTACGAGGTTCTAGGTTCCGGTAGCGCCAAGTGGCAGGCCAAGGTAGGCGCACTCAAGCTGCTCGGCCGTCTCAGTGGCTCTGCCAGCGAGCAAATCGGCGACGAACTCGTCGAGCTCATCCCCTACCTCACCAAGGCCATGCACGAGACCAAGTCCGAGATCTCAAAACAAGCCCGCAAGACCGCCATCAAGGTCTGCGAGGCGTGCCTAGACAACAAGGACATCCGACCCTTCATTCCTGACCTGGTCGGATGCATGGCCCAGCCTGACGCCGTGCCAGAATGCATCAAGAAGCTGTCCGGAACCACATTTGTCGCCGAAGTCACTGGCCCCGCGCTTGCTGTCATGGTCCCCTTGCTCGCCCGTGCCCTCAACGAGCGAAGCCAGAACGTGCAGCGTCAAGCCGTCGTCGTTGTCGACAACCTCTGCAAGCTCGTTCGTGACCCGCACGAGGCCGTCAGGTTCTTGCCCGAGCTCACTCCTGGTGTTGAGCGTATCGAGAAGGGTGCCAGTTTCCCCGAGGTGCGTGAGCACGCCAAGAGCGCTCTCGACACGCTCACTGCCGCCACCGCTGCTGTGGGCGAGAACGCCACCACAGAAGACCCCAAGAAGATCTTCGAGCAGCACCGCGGCGCCGCTTTCGATGCCATCCTGGCTGCCGTCCAGCCCCAGGTGCCCGAGGAGCACGCTAACCTCAAGAGCGATTCCTTCGCCCTCACTGGCCTCGAATACCTGTCGAAGTGCATCGTCCGCCTTGCCAACAAGCGTGTTCTCCACGCCAGCGCCTGGGACGACGTCTACGTGCAGCCCTACCTCCGCCGCGTCTGCAAGGATGCCGAGGCGGCCCAGCTCGCTACCGCTGATCTCCGCAAGACCTACATCGAGCTCGACAAGGCTCGCTTCGGTAACTCCGAAGAGGAGGATGACGACGAGGCCGGCGAGTGCCTCTGCCGCACCGAGTTCTCGCTCGCCTACGGTGGCCTTCTCCTGCTCAACCACACCACGCTCAAGCTGTACCGTGGTCACCGATATGGTGTCGTTGCCGCCAACGGCAGTGGTAAGTCCACTTTGCTCAAGGCCATGCGCGACGGCAAGGTCGAGGGCTACCCCTCGCAGGACCAGGTGCGTACCCTCATGGTGGAGCACAGTCTGCAGGGCGAGGACGGATCGACTCCCATCATCGACTTTATCGCCAACGACAAGACGCTCGCCAACAAGTCGCGCGAGCAAGTCGCCGAAAAGCTCCGCGAGGTCGGCTTCGACGAGGAGAAGCAGCAGAACCCCGTCAACTCGCTCTCGGGTGGTTGGAAGATGAAGCTCGAGCTGGCTCGTGCCATGCTCTCGGACGCCGTCGTCTACCTGCTCGACGAGCCCACCAACCATCTCGACGTTGCGTCCATCGCCTGGCTCGAGAACTTCCTCGTCACCAACAGCCAGATTACCGTCGTCACCGTATCGCACGATTCGGGCTTCCTCGACAACATCTGCACCGATATCATCCACTACGAGAAGAAGAAGCTGCGCTACTACAAGGGCAACCTCTCGGACTTTGTCAAGACCAAACCCGAGGCCAAGGCGTACTACTCGTTGGCCGCGACCACGGTCAAGTTCGAGTTCCCTCCTCCTGGTTCGCTCATGGGTGTGCGCTCCAACACGCGTACCATCCTCAAGATGTCCAACTGCACGTTCACGTACCCGGGCATGAGCAAGCCATCGCTGCACGACACGTCGTGCGCCATCAGTCTGTCGAGTCGTGTGGGTGTGCTTGGTCCCAACGGTGCGGGCAAGAGTACGCTCATCAAGATCCTCACGGGCGAGACGGTGCCTCAGCAAGGTAAAGTGGAGAAGCACCCCAACCTGCGTATCGCCATGATGGCGCAGCACGCGTTCCACCACTTGGAGCAGCATCTCGAGAAGAGCGCCGTCGAGTACATTGCCTGGCGATACCAGGACGGTCACGATCGAGAGATGACCGAGAAGGCGTCGCGCAAGATGACCGACGAGGAGAAGGCGCAGATGGAGACGCCCATCAAGTCGACCACGGGCGAGCAGCGCAAGGTCGAGTACATTGTCGGACGACAGAAGCTCAAAAAGTCGTACCAGTACGAGATCAAGTGGGTCGGGTACGAGCACCGCAACAACGCCTGGATTCCGCGCGAGCGTCTGCTCGAGCTCGGCTTCAGCAAGCTCGTGCAGCAATTTGACGATTTCGAGGCGTCACGCGAGGGTGCGGGTTCGCGCGAGATCAGCGTCAAGCTCATCCGTCAGCACCTCGAGGCCGTGGGTCTGCAGGGCGAGATCGCGCAGCACCACGCGGTGGGCGGCTACTCGGGCGGTCAGAAGGTCAAGGTGGTGCTGGCAGCGGCGATGTGGAACAACCCTCAGGTGCTGGTGCTCGACGAGCCGACCAACTACTTGGATCGCGATGCGCTCGGTGGTCTGGCGACTGCGATTCGCGACTGGGCGGGCGCCGTGGTGATCATCTCGCACAACATGGAGTTCGTGGGTGCGCTCTGCCCGGAGATCTGGAACGTCGACAACGGAAGGATCATGTCAAGAACGAAGGGTTCCATCGCAGAAGGCGCCTTCTTGGACGAGATGGAGAACGCCTCGACCCCAGGCGCTTCCGTGCCTGGTACCCCCATGCCCGGCAGCACAGCAGCCTCGCGTCTGGCGTCCAAGGCAGGCACTCCTGCATCCTCAGCAGCACCCACGCCGGCTGGCTCGGGCGACGAGGGCGACCAGGACATGTCCAAGTTCAAGGCCAAGAAGGGCAAGAAGAAGATGACCCGTAACGACAAGAAGGCGCAGGAGGAGCGTCGTCGTTTGCGTCTCAGCCGATGGCTCACGTACGGTGGTGACCGTGAGCCCGATACGGATGACGAGTAGGCGAGTGTCATGGTCCGCATTGTCAGTCAGTAACATAGAATAGAACAGTTCCTTCAGTCCATACCATGATAAAGCTTGGATCCAGCTGGTGTGCAAGCAACGTTATGAGCGAGATTGTGTGCAGTCCTAGCTGACCGGGTGGGTTGTCGATCGGTGATGTGCTGGTCGCCACCACTCTTCCATCCGCTAGACGAAGTGACCGCCAGATTCACCTGTGGAAGAATTCGCCGAATTTAGTTTTCACCGTCCGCGAAGCTGGGTGCAGAGTGACCACCCCGTTATCTCTGGGCATCAACCGCTTATCGAGAGCCAATCAGAACGTTCGCTTACCATCCGACCTCCTGGCAAAACCATCCCTCCGCTTGACGAGCGATTCGTCTCAGCCATACCACGCTTGACAGCATCCGCCGGCGGATTGGCCGAAGCCAGCGCCACACGAACACAATCGATGAGCCGACGATCGATTTGCGATGAGTGATCCTGTCAAGATCATCCGGAGAATTGTGATGTACGTAGGGTCTTGTCTGTGTATCCGGATATCTCGGCGGCCACCCAATTGCTCGAAGAAGCAGTGTCGGTGAAGACCGGAAGCCCTTGCTCTGACGTCGGTGACGACGGGATGGGTTCACCGGCGATTCCGACCGGCCTCGCATAGATTGAGAGAAGCACAGAAGTGACGTTCTGACTTCGCCAAGACCAGACCAGGCACGTCCGGTTCGAAACGAGCGAGTCACGTCCCGACCGGACCGATGGCAGTCGATCTATCAAAGCTTTACACCTGTCAGAGCTTGCCTGCAGCGGACGGGGTGGCCGCATCTCGGTTGAACCTATTGAGGTGCCAGAAGGATGACGGAGCCCAGCCACGCTTCGGCTGGACCCGTCAGAGGACTGTCATCGTTTCTCCCATGGATGGCTACTGTACGCCACGACATCATGCACGTCGTCAATGCCATGCGGATCCATGCATCAGCGGTGGTGGCTCGGCCTCCTTCGCAAGACCATCGGAGTGACGAGGACGGGCCAATTTGGCCGACCAGCATTGGATGCGTGCAGACCTGCAGCTCGTGGACGCAAAGTGAGACTGCTTAGCTCGCTTTGCACACATGTCAGCAGCTTCTCTCGCCAACGGCTTGACCGACTCAACGATGCCTGTTCAGTCTCCTTTCAGGCTTTCTTCGGAAACTGCTCACGAAAATAGAATCGCTGGGCACTTGAGCTGGAAAGGTCGCTTTCAAGACCCACAAATTTGGTTAGAGCCTGTGTCCCTTCCGGTGGAGCCGACCCGCTCGCTACTGTGAAAAAAGGCGGCTGCTCACCATGTGCTGCTCACTGACTCGTCTTCCTCCCTCTCCCGCTGAACTCGTTTAGCACTGACCATGGAGGTCCTGTGGCTTGCTTGCTCTCACGGGCCAGTCTGAGAGACCGCGTGCTTACCTGCCTCCATGCCAACGCTTGGGCCTCATCTGATCGTCCGCCCGCAAACATTCCACCGCTGGGTACAATCGATCTTCGAGATGTGGCACTGTCTCAATTGCCTGTTTGCCGTATTTGCTCCAATGCATTGTTCCTCAGCAGCTCGATTCCAGGCTCCTCCTTCAGACCTTTTTGCCCGGCGGGAGCCTCCTTCGATCGTGAGACTGACCTGGCGCAGGCAGAGGTGGTCGAGCAGGTGGGTTTCGGCACGGCCGATCAATGCAGCTCGACTGAAAATCACGATTTTCGCACCACGAACATGCGCTCAGACGGATCGTTGACAGTCAGGTGGACTCATTGCTAAGATGAGCGCACGGCTGGTCCGATCCATCAAACACCCTGCTGACTCGGGTGATGATGGTGAAGCAGGCGCAACAGGTCCGGTCAGCTGCAGCATCGGTGGGCGGCTGCTGTGTCGTGCAGCCTCGGTTGCGTGGTTCGCTAGAATCACACTCCGCTTGCTTGCCTCTGGCCCACCCGACACGCCAGGAACTCACTGCAGGCCCAGCCAAAGGGAAATTCACCGAGAAACAATTCTCCAAGAGGATTTCGAGGCTGCGAATCGAGTCTCAGACCAGTCTGTAAGATTTAGAGCTCTTCGATTTCACGCTTCTCCCGTGCCTTGTCGGATTAAGCGTTTTTAGACGCTGTAAACCCTGCCTGCCTCTCTCCTCTGGCTCAGTCACCTCTCGCTTGGTCCCGCCGAATGGCGGCGCAGAGAGCGTGCATTTTGTGGTTCCCTCGTTTCGAGGCCTGTTTCAACCGTTGCTCCTTCCTGAGCCTGGCCCTGTCCACCACCATCGCATGTTTCTGCAAACCACCTTTGCAGCTTGCATTCTGCAATCTTTCTCCGCCTTCTTGCCAACCGCCTCTGACTTTCGCTTCCGAGCTTGAACCTCATCGGTAGATCTAAGGTTTCTGGTCTGGCGATTTTTCGGTGGGATTCACACGCGGTCGCCATCCTCACCATCTCCCCCCACTCACATCCTCTCGTCGCCGCTGACTCGACCCTTTCGTCCCGTTATCCCGACCTCGCTGTGAGTTCAGCCACCAAATACTCAACACTAGCGCATTCCGCCTTTCGCCGCCGGCAGAACTCTGCTCGCACCTGCCCTTCCGCACACGGTTCCTGCCGAGAGCACAACATCTCCAAGGTAAGTCTGCCATCCCTTTCTCCTTGCCATCGACATCAACGATCAGTGTAGATCCACGCAGCCCTGCCATCCCCGCCCTCACTGTCATCATCATCAAGTCAACGTCGAAGGATCGTCCACACGCTCGCAGCCCGCCATTTCTGCAACATCATTACGATCATCCCTCGTCGCACTCGCAAAGCCACTATTGGTTCCGTGCAGCGAAAGCCCCTTACGACAACGTTACTCAGAAGCCTCACCTTGGATGGCGAGTGCGCAGAGCAACAGCAGCTGCACCATCGACCATCGCTTGGCTCAGCAATCTAACCATATTGCGTCCGACGAGAGAACAGCAGCTGGCTTTTCCGCCCGCTGACTTGATCTCAAGCCCAGCTCTTCGGCATCTCACATCACCAGTTCGCACCGACCGCCGTCCGGCATCGCTCGTCACAAAAGCTCATCTTTACTGATCGATTCCTGCATCACTTTGTCCTTGACCTCCATTCATCTTGGTCGGCCCGCGATTCTGCTTCTTCATCTTCGCAACGCCCTCCAAATCCGCCCCATTTCATACTTCATCTCGCAAACGTTCAACGACGCTCGTCCCCTGTCCGAACCAATGCTTCCCCACTCTTTGGTCCTTCCCGGCACTCCACCTCGATCTGGGACCACGACACCCCTCACAGACGAATACGGTCTGCTTAAGCACAATCTCATCAACGACGGCCCCCTCGACATTCGCAACGGCAGCGCTGCGACGGAACTGAAAGTAGTTGCACCGCCCGTCACGTCCAATTTTCCTGTGCCGCAGGTCGATCCCACGACTGGCAGCGAACATTCCACCCTGTCTTCCATTCGCAGCGACCGTCCCTTGTCTTACTACGACCCAGGCGAGACGAAACCACTGACGCCTCCTGGAGCTGCAAACGTACTTTCCGTATCTGGTCCCGGCTCTGGTGACAGCCGCGACGCATGCACCGGCATCATGTCGCAAGGCCCATCAGCGCCGCAGATCTCGCTGCTTTCTCAGGCGATGCAGCAGCATCTTGCACGTCAACAGATGCAGGGCATGCCAGGTGGCGACTCGCAATCGGCGCATAGTGCGGCGCATACACCCTCAGGCTCAGCGCTGCCGTCGCCCTCCTTCCCTGGTTCCGCCTCGCCTTTCCAATTCAGCAATGCGGGTCCCTCTGGGTCCGACGCCGGTATGCGGGCACCGATGCCGCCTCACGGCAGTTTCGCATCTGCCGCCAACCACATGCAGCAGCCTTTTGGGTCGTATCAAAGTCACGCCCGTCGGCCGAGCGCCTACGCATCGAACCCGCACTCTGCGGCTCCCAGCGCCGGTCCCTCGCGATCCTCGTCGCCGTCTCGAGCCGCTCACGCAGACATCTCTTCCCATGCTATCGGCATCAATGCGCAAATGCCCGGACAAAGCCAACTCTCAAGCTCAGGTCAGATCGGCCCAGAATATGGGTCGACGTTTGGCAGCCAACGGACTCTGAACGGATTTGTTCCGCCGCCTCCTGGTGGCATGAACGCCTCCATGCCACCCACGCCTGGCTCGTACACAAGTCAGCCAGGAATGGCGTTTGGTTCCATGCCGCAGAATTCCTTCCTGCCTCAGCAGGGCGCGATGATGCCGCCCACCGGCTTTCAGCCCATGCCCAACGACCGTCATCTGCACCAGCAGCAGATCCAGCAATCGCAGCAACCGTTGCTTCATCTCTCGCAGCAGCCACCCCAATTCAGCACTTACCGTGGTGGACCCGACTCTTTGATATCGCCGCAGACAGCGTCGACCGACTTTGGCGGCTTTTTCCCTCCTCCTTCGACAGCAGCAGCACCCATGACCGCGTCCGGATCGCAAGCTTCGATGCAGCAGCGCGGCAGCATTAGTCGTCCATCTAACGCGGAGGCTCGATCTCGGCAGAGCACAGGATTCGCGGACGAAATGGACAGCATGGCAGCCATCCCCGGCGGTCTCAACATGAGTCGCCGCGGTTCTGCAGGAGCGGAGGACGACGAAGAAGACCAGAATTTGGATCCGGACGAGATGTCCAAGAAGGATCCGCTGGCTACCCAAGTCTGGAAGATGTACGCCAAGCAAAAGTCGCAGCTACCCAACGGCGCACGCATGGAGAACCTGACATGGAGGATGATGGCCATGACCTTGCGCAAGAAGAAGGAACAGGAGGCAGCAGAGGCCAAAGTGGCACTGGAAGCGCAGTCCAACGCCAGCAATGCGAGCCGAAGCCACGCATCCAGCGCCCGTCATTCGCCGACTCTTTCAACCAAGTCAGGTGCGGGCTCTCGAAGGAGCAGTGGCTCGTTCCCTGGCGACGCGTTCGCTGGTGGCTTCACTGCAATTCAGCCAGCAGGATTCGACGCTGCTGATTCACAATCTCGCGCCGCTAGCAGCGTGCTCAAGGGCAAGACTCGCTTCGCCGAAGTCATCCAGCAAGAAGAAGAGGAGCGTGGACGCCGAGGTCGCAGTCCCAGGACACCCGAAAGCACAGCAGCGCCGGCAGGAGCGGTGGACATCGTCGACTGGAGGATGAAGAGCAAGAGTCGGTCTCGTTCGCGTTCGGTCAGCGCCATGGACGTCGACTGGCGTGGCGTCAGCCGGTCCCGCTCCCGTGCACCGGCGCGTCTCGACACCATCGAAGACGAAGGAATTCTGGATGGAAGCAACCTGTTCAGTCGATCCGCTCCCAATGCTGGAGCTGCCTTCAACTTTGCCGATCTCGCCGCGTTCGACGACAGCGACGCATTCGGTGCCTTTGACAGCGCCCTCGACACGGACGACTTTGCCGAGCTGCTCAAGCCCAACGGCCCACTGGGCGATGCTTCTCAAATGCCCAGTGCCATGGGTCCTGCTTCCGGGGGTAGCTTTGACATCGGCTCCGCAGGACCCAGCGGCTCGCGAAGGACGGCGAGTGCCGTGCGCAAAGCTCAGATCCAGACGGCCTTCCGCCAAGCAGCGCACACCGATCTGTTCGGCGCGGACCTCGATGCCTGGTATGCTGCAGCAGAGGCCCAATCGAAAGCAGCAGAAGCCAAGAAGTCGAGTCTCGACATGGCTTCCATCGGAGCCGCCAACAGCTTCGGGGCGCCGTTCTCGACTCTCGACAGCATTCCTGGCATCGGCGACTTTGTCGGCATCGCGGCCAATCAGCATCCCGAGTACGGTTTCCTGCCCCGACTCGTCCGCAAGACCAGTTTCGACCACAAGGTCCGGGACAGGAGCATGTCGCGGGGGCCGCGTCGCGACCAGCTGGCGGCCGAAGCCATGAACAATCGCAAGCGTCCCTTCCGAGACGACCTGTCGCCCGCAAGGCCGGCCATTCAGATGCCCATCACCATGGATCAACGTATTGCCGCCGGTCTATCGCGCAACATTGCATCGCTCGGCATGCGCGGTCCCGGTCCCCTGCAGACGCTCAACCTACCTATGTCGACCTTCGACTTCGCAGTGCCTCCTCCTGGAGGTCTCAACCAACAGCAGATGGCTATGGGCACCATTCGAGCCCCCGGTAGCAATCTTCGTCCAGGCGAGGCGCCAACCGACTTTGACAGCTTGCTCGAAACCCTCGCATCCCAAGCTGGCACGCCCATGGCGAGCCCTTCCGGCAACATAATGGCAGGAGCCAGTGCATCCCCTCAGCAGACGATGGGCAGCGGCTCGGGAGCTTCGCCGGTCGCACACATGGCGGGACCTGGGCATGCGATGGTCGGCAGCTTGCCGCCTTCCGCTCAGAACTCGTCCGACCTGGAAGCCATCATGAACATGTTCTACAACTCGGACGCTGGCCTTGGTGGACCGCAGCCCTCGTTCACGCACGTCAACCCGAATCAGGTGTTTGGAGGAGGGGTCCCAGATGCCATGTCAGGTTCGATGGGCAACCTGACGGGATCCGGCGACGAAGGTTCTTCGACATGGACCTACAGTCCATCGAGCAGCGCAGCTTCGAACGGAGCAACGCCGCCTGGCCTGCACCATTCGCAGTATCAGTCCTCGCCGCTGGCTGGCGGCTACCGTCGCGACCTGCCTGTGGGTCAAGAGCCAGGTGCGCCCGGCTTCTCGCGCTCGAATGCCTCGCCGAGCATGCAGGCGATCCAGAAAGCGGCTGCGATGGGCGAATCTTCCGGATCAAAGAAGATGGGTTCGATGCCCGGTGGCCAAGGTTTCATCCCTGGTGCTCCCAATGGCATGCACTCACGAGCTGCGTCAGGACCATCGTCGGGTCATCCGGTCAACCTCAAGGATCTGCCGTCAGCAAGTTCGATGGCCACCGCCGATCCTCCCACCGTCTGCTCGAACTGCAACACCACCAAGACACCGCTGTGGCGACGTGATCCCGAGGGCCAGCCCTTGTGCAACGCATGCGGCCTGTTCCTCAAGCTGCACGGCGTCGTCAGGCCACTGTCGCTCAAGACGGACGTGATCAAGAAGCGAAACCGTGCCAGCGGAGCGCAAGCTGCGCGTGGTCGCAACTCGATCGGCGGTGGGAGCAGCAGCAATGCCCACATTGCACCAGCTGGTGGACATCTTGGTGGAGCAGGCGGACCCGCAGGCAAGAATGGATCTGGCAGCGGAGCACCGTCGAACGCGTCTGGCGGACCTGCCGGACGAAACAAGACCAGCACGAACGGGTCGGTTGCCGGGATTCGAACGGGCAACGTACCCATCGCTCCGGCGCCGACTCCGCCTGTCTCGTCGCCTGGCAGCACGGGCATGTCGTCAACCAAGGTCGAGATGAAGCGTCAGAAGAAGTAGGATGTCTCGCTTGGCTCGACCGAGTAGGAGGTTGCAGTCGTATCGCATAATATATCAGTCTTTCTTTTGCAATGGCTACTCTTACATTTTTTGTCATTCTCTCTCACCTATGATTGCATGGTCTCCTGGGTGGGCCCGGGTGAGTTCAAGTTTACAGACGAAGGGTGAGTGGAACATGATGATGAGACCACGAGTTGATTTTGGAGGTGAAGGTGCACGCGACCTGACACCACGAGAAATTCCGCCGCACGGTTCAATGCAGGTGTGCAGCTTTGGAAGCTCAGAAAGCTCCACACGATATGTATCCTGTGTTCTCTCTTCACCATCAACTTCCCCCCTCTGCTCCGCGCACTACGGACGACTCGGCACCGACGCGACCAGTCGCTCAGTGGATGCTCACAAGCAATCTCGAAGAGGCGGAGGGAAGCTCGTCTCGACAGCGGCTCTGCAGAAATTAGCTGCTGATCGCGAGGGCTCATTGCCATGGTCGCACATCACCCTGGCCAGCAGGTCGGCCATCATGCAGCGCCAACGCCTTCTCCTATCGGTGGACGAAGCTTCACCGACCATGCCAAGCTGCGCATCCTTCTCGCTCCAGTGGGCGGGACCTCGGAAGCTGACTTTGCGAGATGGTGCGACTACGTGAGGTCCTTCGAGACCATCCGGCTCGCCGACCTGCCCTCCAGCTGCACCGCCAGGCGTCGAGCTGCAGAGATAACGACCACCGGAAGAGCAGCAAACATTTCAAGCCCGGCACCATCGTCTTCGGCCTCAGCGTCAACATCGCCAATACTGCAGACAGGCGAGGTTCACCTCTCCTTCGTCACGAGCTACGATCCGGATCACTCTTTCCTCGCGCCCTTCAACATGCACAGGCAAGTGCTCGGTGCGCTCGGACTGGCGACGTACTCGAGCAACGTGGTCGACAAGCTGGAGCTGGAGACAGCGCCAGCAGCGCTCAGAGAGCTCCATCCGGGTGCATTGATACACAGGGTCTTCGGCTTTGACTCGGGAGCAAAGCGGCCAGAAACGGTGGATTTGAGCTCGATAAAGGACGCGTTAGCTGCCAAGATCAATGCCGCACAGCATGCTACGTCGCCGAGCTCAGATGCAGCAGCTGCGTCGACTGAGGCGGATCCAGCTGCGTCGCCGGACGCTCCAGGATTCGCAGCGCACAGAGACGGAGGGCTCATCATCTTTCCAGCCGTGCGCAAAGATGGCAAAGATGTGCGCTTCTACCTCAAAACGCTTCTCGCGGATCTTGTCGCCAACGTTCTAGATGGCTTAGACGACATTGTCACGGGGCTAGAAGGGACACCGCTAGAGACACCAAGGGAAACGCTGGAAGGCATGAATCCCCACAAGACCGCCTCATCGACAGCATCATCATCGGCCTCGACAAGTTCGTGGCTCAGTAAGACGAGTACAGCAGCGACAGAAGCAGCCACCCGAGCCTCGAGCCTGTTCAGTGGCTTCGGCAGCACCAGTAGCAACGACACTGGGAACAGCACGCCAACTGGATCGCGGCCTCAAAGTGCGATTGGCGGTGGCCATCAGCCCTTCGACTTATCCTCCTCTACGTCAAGCACTTCCTCGCCGACGTCCGAGAACAGCACACGAAGCAAGATTCTCGCTGCCAACGCAAACAAGAAGAGCGCGAAACGCATCATAAGCGGAACGAGCACTGGTCCGACCGGGTCCGGGAGATACGCCAAGGTCAAAGCGGATCTGCATCTACTTTCCGGTAATCTATGGGACGCACTGGAAGGATACACCAGCGCGCTCAATGCTCTTGGAAAGGAGCGGGCTCTAGCGGGCGGTCAAGATGCTGTGTGGTTTGCCAGCGCTCTCGAAGGCTTTTCCGTCGCCAGAGTGCTGGCATCTCGAATGGGTGGCATCGTGCTCGAAAGAGCGCCCTGCTTCGACCTGCCTTGGACCTCGGCTTCCGCCAAAGACAAAGACAAGGAGAAGGACAAGGACAAGGACGGCGTCCCTCGACCCTACGCAAAGCAGAGCTGGGGCGAGATCGCGGAAGCCTACACCATCGCCGTGATCATCTACTCCAAGTGCCTCGCTCCGCCGAGTGTGATGCTCGAATCGGTACGGTCGGTGTCGAGCGACTCGGCGAGAGACTACACGCATCCGCTTATACACGCAAGCGCCTGCACACAGTACGCGCGGTTCTTGCTGGCTGTCTGGGCGTCCGGCGGCTGGAATGGCGAGTGCTTCGATCAGCTCGTCTACGGAGGCGTGCCTCCGGCGTTGGCGGAGGACAAGCCGACGAACGCAACCTACCTCGGCTTGACCGCCATCTCGGGTGTCGAGAGGCACGACATCGCTGCGGCTGCGTCGACGGCGCTCTCGCACTCGATCGTGGCACTCAAAGCGACTGATCAGATCACGCTGCTCAGCACGTTGACCGCCATCTTTGGCTGCATCGGCTTCTCGAGAAGAGAGGCGCACCTGCTGCGCAATCTCCAATCGACGATTGTCAGCCTGCTGATCAAGGCGAAGCGGGCCAATGCACGACCGCCGACAACAGCATCGTTGCCGATCTTGCAGCATCAGCAGTTTGGTGATAAGGGCGAGGAGATCTTGGGGAACATCGTGGCTCAGACGACGTACGACTCGTTGGGGAGAGGCCCAGAAGCGGTGCTCGTGCTGGCGATGCAGATCTGTGAGACGTATGGGATTCATGTTGAGGTCGACCCGCTGCGCAACATCCCGTCGTACCACATCTTGGCCAAGGCGACGGAGGGGTTGCGCAGCGCCTATGCATCACCCAATCTGGGCGGTGCGGAAGAGTGGAAGCCGTCAGATCGACCCGCTGCACCGACTGCCGGTGCAGACAGCGAGGTACCACTCCTGACGCCGCTCGAAATCGCCAACGAAGCACCGTTCGGGTGGAAAGAGCAGCAAGTGGCACTCCTCAAAGAGACCATAGGCATCGCCGAGCTGCTCTCCGACTACGTGAGCATGGCGTTCTTCGGCGCGATCCTCCTGCGCGACTTCTACCCTCTGCTGGAAGCGCAAGAGCAGAAAGAGTTGATGATCGGCACCCAACGCTCGGTGCAAGCTGCTCGCTGGGCAGGGGCTCAAGACCTTGCAGTGAAGTATTGGGGTCCGCCCGAACCGCTTTGCAGTTTGGAAGTCCTACCGCTGGCGCCTGAGCGCATGCCCTACGAGAGGGACGCGAAGCAGGTTCTGGCGAACGGCAAAGGCGGTGCTGCCGCAGATCAGGGCGTGGCGGGGTTGAACAATCCATTCTTCTGGAATCCGTCCGGCGGGTCCGCTGCTGGCAAGGGCAAGGCCATCGCGGTGCAGAACGAGCCGATCGAAGTAATGGCGACGCTGCAGAACCCATTCTCGGTCGATCTGCACATCGATACGATCAAATTGGTCGGCGAAGGAGCAGGATTCCACGCGGACGAGGCAGAACGAGTCTCGATCCCACCTTGTTCTTTCCAGACCGTGCGGCTCTCGTGCACCGCCAAAGACGTCGGCAAGGTCACCATCAAGGGTCTCACCCTGACGCTCGCCGGTGGGTGTACAGAGGAGCAAACCTTTCTACTCCCCATCTACGACGAGGCGAACTCGAAACAGCGACGCAAACAAGCGGCTGAGACGGACGACCGCAAAACACGACTCAAAGTGTCCGGCCTCGACTCACGGAGCTCTGTGCTCAAGCAGAAATCCGTGGCCCCCGACACCAACACCGCGACGACCAAATGGCTCGAAGTATCCGTCGTACCCGCTCAACCCAGCCTCGCAGCCTACTGCCACGACCTCGTCCCGCTACACGGCCTCGACCTCTACGAAGGCGAACCGCGAACCATCCATCTCGAGCTGCACAACCTTTCCCCTTCGCTCGACATCAACCATGTCAACGTAACTTTCAGCAGTGATGCCGAGGATTTGGCCAGACGGACGCTGCTCGAATCGGCGCTTTTGCCGTCAGACGTGTACGAGGTGGAATGGGATCTGCTCCACCAACCGGTGCTGTCGTGTGCTGCAAGGGAAGCGGTTCGGATCGAACGGGGGGCGTCGACGATCCTCCCCATTCGGGTGACCGGCAAGATCGGGTGTACATGCGCGTCGATTCGGGTGGAATACGCGTCGGTGGCGGAGGGCAAGTTCTTCGTCCGAACGCTCGACCTGTCGTTCCGGGTGAGCGTACATCCGGTTCTGGTCTGTCGCAATTTGACGGTTGCCCCGTTGAGAGCGAGCGAGGCGGCGACCTTGACGAAAGAGTGTCTGCTCTCGGCCGATGCCGTGCCGGCCGCATTGCAGGTCTTCCCAGGTACCGATGCAGACATCCTCTTGGCGTCTGAGGAAGAGGCGAGCGCGGTAGCGGAAGAGCTAGCTACGGAAGAGGACGATGCCGAATACGCGCTGCTGAGTGTAGACGTATCGAACGTGCATCGCGAGGACGTGTTGTTGCGGCTGGCGTTGAATACGGGTGGTGTGTTGCCGCTGCAGCTGTTCCGCGTGGTCAGGGCGGGGTGTACGGTGCGACTGGTGTTGCCGCAACCGCGGTTGGAGTTGGATGCGAGGACGGGTAGGGCGGTTGTGGGGTCTGCGAGCGGGGAAGGAGGGGACGGGGGATTGTTTCCACCCATCCCATCGCGCAAGGACGACGGAAGGCAGTTCATCGTCTCCAAGATCCAGCTGGGCGAGGAGGAGGAGCGCGAGATGAGGCGTAACTTTTGGTATAGACAAGCGTTGTTGAAGCGATTGAGTGGCGGATGGCGAACACTAACTGGGAGCGGGTTGTGGGGTTCAATAGGAGAGGCGGAAGGGGAGGAAGGTGTGAGGGGTGGCAAAGTTCCCCTGCGCGGCATGATCTCGGGTGGAGGACTGGTGCTGGATGAAGCCGGACTGTTGCATTTGCAGAAAGACCCCGTCAAGGTCTCGCTCAGCTTCGACGATGAGGTGCGCGCCGAGAGCTTCGTCACCGTCACAGCAAGCATCACCAACAGGCTCAATCGGACCGTTCATCCGATCATACGCCTCGTGCCTACCTCACCCAGTGGAGGAACGGCACAAGACACGACGTTGTTGGATTCGGTGATCGTTTCAGATGGCACGTTCACCGCGTCGAAACAGCAAGGCGGGCTGCGAAGGGGAGAAGAGAGGTCGGTGCAGTGGGGCGTGACGTTCATGTCCCCTGGCAGGTACGGGATTTTGGTGCTGGTCGAAGAGGCGACCGCGGGGATGGGGGAGAGGCTGAGCTTTGTTAGTGCGGTCTTTACCGTCAACGTGCTCCCGGCTGTCTAAAGTTGTTGCGCTGCGATGCCAAATCAAGGAGATGCACAGGCTTGTTCAATGCGCGTGGCGTGGGAGAGGTGAAAAGTGGTGATGCTATGTGTGATTGCATGTGAGAGGTGTGTACGATCTCGACGGTCTGTGGACTTTTAGACGAGGCGGGCTTGCGGCGTGACTAGCGACGACGACAAAGTCTCCGCCGTCATCGCTTGCTCTCGCACCGCCCCATCATGTGCTTCTGGCCTTGTCTCGCCACCAAAGTACCCCTTGATGTCCCCCCACCAACCCCTCACATTCTCCGGCGTCGGCACCCATCCATGCCCCACCAGCGCCATGCCCGCCTCGAACGCAATCAACCCAATGATGATCAGCTCCATCCTGTGCGTCGTCTTCTCCGTCAGCAGCGCCCTCACTACTCCTAGCAGATTCTCGCAGTGGTCCAGCTTCTCGTTGAGCGTCTCGAAGCGCTGGCTGATATCCAAGTTGCCGCAAATGGAGCGGTAGTGGTCCTCCATCTTTGCGTTTTCCCAGTATACCTCGGGCTCGTCGTAAAAGTTGTCCCTGTCCAGATTGGCTGTTTGGCGCAGACGGAGCAGTGTGCCGGTGTGCTTGATGACCGAGGTGCGAGAGAGAGGTACGGAGCCGGTGGAAGAGAGGAGAGCCGGGATGGGAGACATGCTGGTGAGGAACGTGGAGAGGAGGGTTTCCTGGACCGAGAGACGGGCGGAACGGGCGAGGCCTTGGGAGAACGCGAGTCGGGCCAGCGTGGGCGTCCATTCCGTGCCGAAGGTCGTATATGGCGTCGTCTCGTTGGTGCTCGACGGAGCCGTTGAAGACGGTATCTCGCTCGAAGATGAAGTGGAAGCATCAAAGCTCAAATGCCCGTCTTCTCCGTCGTCAGAGGCAGCCTCCGCCTCGGCATCCAACGACCGCGGCGGCTGGCCTATGACAACAATATCGCCCTGGACGCGCGTCAGCTGGCTCGGGGCATACAGATAGTCCATGGCCTCATCTCCAATCTGGCTGTACCTTCCCACCTCGACCTGGTACTTGAGATCCCTACCCTGAATGACGTTCCTCAAGAACCGCCGACTCTGCTCCTCATCCAGACCCCAAGTGACGTACGACCCGGATCGAAAGATGAACACTTCGCCTCTGTTTGAGCTTGACGCACCACTACTGGAGGAAATGGGCCACTGCGGGATGTGAATCACCTCGTTGTCCTCGAACACCTGGTAATTGCCGGGCAGCCGACCGGAGCGGATGAGTTCGGAAAAGGAATACGAGTAGGCGGTGGCCCAGGCATACACTTCGCCCGTCGTCGGTTCGGGAAGTGTCTGTCGCAGCGCCTTGGATGCTTGTGCTTTGGCGCGCGCGGAAGAGGTCTTGGTGGGCGCAACGGGGTTCTTGCGCGACATGGCCTGGACGAGCTGCGGCGGGAGGTTGAGGGTGATGGACCCGCCGCCGGCGTTGGACTTGTTGGGCGGGTTGTAGGAGATCTGCACCGGCTTCGAGGTCGATGTCGACGGCTTGGATGACGAAGATGGGATGACTGATCCAGCTACAGAGGCACTTGCATCCGACGATGAGGGGGACTTGCCCTTCCGAGATACGTTGGCAGCGTCATCGCTGCGCTGTCGGAGGGATGTAGATGAAAGCAAACGAGTCGGGGCAGATGACACCAAGCGGTGTGACTGAGCCGCAGCTTTGACGGCGCAAGACGCTGAGCGCAGCATGATGCCGATAGGACCTGCAATGTAATCGGGCTGATGGGATAGTCGAGCGTGGGAAGAAAGGCTGAGTCCAAGCTTAGCAAGTCGGGAAGATCTTTCGGCTCGTTCCGGTCCAGGATGACTTTTTTATTGAGCGCGAGTGGAGGCAAAACCGAAAAAAGAGGGCTTCAAAAAGGGCGATAAAAAGAACAAGCAGCCCGATTCGTCAGCCGATCGTGTTTGCGACCCACCGGAAAGCTCAGCCCGAAGAAAGCACAGGACCCTTTCGCTTGGAGAGCTGCGTGTGACCCGCGTCGCTAAATTTGACGAGGCTCGGAGTTGGATCGGCACTGCAGGCTGTGTCGGTGTGGAGCTCTTGAACGTTGGCCTGAAACCTCAAACACCATCGTGTGCCTCTCTACAAACCATCATCACAACCACCAGCTAGTCGAGACTGCCAACGTTAAGGACGCGAACAGCGACAGGCGCCACCTTGAATCGCGACGCACAACGGAAAAGCATGCCGTTGTGATTGGTCGAGCACACTGCTCACCACATCGGATCACCTTCCGGCCCTCTCATTCAGCAGCCTCTCCTCAGAACGGAGGCACCGACACAGCAGCTATGGCCGCACCGGGGACGCCACTCAACTCATCGGCGACGCAGGCCGTGGCCACCTCGAGCGCCAACGGCCTGACCGACCCTCTGCATTCCTCCTCCAGATCGCCGCAGCCAACACAGCAGAATGGAAGCTCAGTCTTGGACACGCTGCCAAGCGGCAGCAATGGACTCGGCACACGCGCTCCCAGCCGGGCACATACCCCTGGCCAGGATCAGATGCCATTGACCATCCACACAGCAGCACAGCGCGGCGATCTCCCCGCCATCATGCGCCTCGTCGACTCGGGTCGAGCTACCGTCCACGATCGCGACGAGGACAGCATCACGCCCTTGCATTGGGCTGCCATCAACGCGCAGCTCGCCACCTGTCGCTACCTTCTGGATCACGGTGCGGAAGTCGACGCCCTCGGAGGCGACCTCGTAGCTAGCCCGTTGCAGTGGGCCGCGCGAAATGGACACGTCTACGTACAGGAGCTGCTCTGCTCGCGGGGCGCCGACCCCACCATCACCGACTCGCAAGGATTCAACGCGCTGCATCTCACCGTCCACTCGAGCGCTGTCATGCCGCTCGTCTTCATGCTTCAACAGCCGTCTCTCAGCTCGCCAGAAGGACTCGACTCGACCGACTCGCAAGGTCACACGGCTCTCATGTGGGCCGCTTACCAAGGCGACGCCATTTCGGTCGACATCTTGCTCAAGCACGGCTCAGATGTGCACAAGCGCGATGGTGCCGGCCTCACTGCTATGCACTGGGCCGTCGTCAAGGGCAATCGGCTCTGCATCCGACTGCTAGCCGATGCGAAGGCGGATCTCCTCGCGAAAGAAGATTCGGGCAAGACACCAAGAGACATGGCCATGGAGCTCAAGTCGATCGGTGCGTACCGCAAGGCAATGGCCGACATTGGCCTCGAGGAAGATGGTCGTCGCAAGCAGCGCACCTTTGGCGCGAGCACCGACACCAAGGCTCGACTGGCTATCATGGTGGTCCCCTTTGCCGCACTCGGATTCATCTTTGCCACATTTGCTTCATTGCCCTGGTACACTGCGACACCCTTTGCGGCGGCAGAGTTCTTTGGCATGCATCACATCGTTACGCGCGTCATCCTTGATCCGCAGGAGCACGACTTCCTACAGCGCTCCAACTATTTCCTCGCCATTGTTTCCGGATCCATCGTCTGGGTAGGCTGGGAGTGGCTGCACAAGCTCGCCTCCGGCACGCCTGGCTACGCTGCCAACAATCTCGTCTTTGCCCTCTCGATCCTCGTCTGCTCGTGGAAACTGTTCAGAGCTGCCTCGATCTCGCCCGGCTACGCGCCACTCGCCCCGTCTGCACTGCACCGCCGCGAAGTGGTCACTCAGCTCGCTCAGCAAGGACGACTCAACGGCCAAACCTACTGCGTCGCCTGCATGGCGCGCAAGCCTATGCGCTCGAAGCACTGCAAGCTGTGCAAACGCTGCGTCGCGCGGCACGACCACCACTGTCCCTGGGTGGCCAACTGCATCGGCATCGACAACCACCGTCAGTTCCTCCTTTTCGTTGGAGCGCTCGTCATGGGTATTCTGCAATTCATCTACCTTTCGGTGGTGTACTACTCGGTCAACGCGCCACCGTATACGCCGTTGCCCGATTCGACTTACGAAACGTGCCATCTGCCGGCGTTCCTGTGCACGGCGACGACGTACGATCCGTTCTTGCTGGGGGTGACGCTGTGGGCGGCACTGCAGCTGACTTGGACGGTGATTTTGTTGGTTGCGCAGGGCTGGCAGATCGCACGCCAGATGACGACGTTGGAAGTGTCCAACCTCGGCAGGTTTGGGTTCATGGGTGGAAAAGGGGGACAGAGCTATGCGGGGCAGACGAACTTTATTGCGCAGCATTCGGCGCAGGCCCGCGCGCAGCCGGGTAGCACGGTTGAAGGCGCAACGGACCGATTGCAGGGGATCCAAAAGGCGCAGTTGGCAGACAACGGGGAGGAGGGGAGCGGCTCGTCCAGTCGACCCCACGCGCACTCGAAGGTGGATTTCGTCAAACGCGTCTGCTCGAGCGGCGGCGGTTGGCTGCTGTCGATCGTAGGACTGGATCTGTATACTCGTGGGAAGGCGGGCGAGGGTCTCAAACGTGCCAGCGCAGCCGCGAATCCTTTCGACCACGGCCCCCTCGCCAACTGCAAAGACTTCTGGTCTAAGGGGCAGGATCTGAATGTGGACTATGCGACGCTGTACGATCTGCCCGCGGAGATCAGTCCCGGTCACTGCGAGGTGATGCCGTTCCTGGTGGATACGGTGACCGGCCGGGGGTGGGGTGGGTATGCGAGAGCGGGGAATGTGTATTCGTTGTTGAGGAGTGATGCTGAGGAGGGGGATGAGGAGGAGGAGGAGGGGAGGGAGCAGGGGATGGGGAGGAGGTGGAGTATGTGGGGGAGTGTCAAGGGGGCAGCGGGTGGGGGGTTGCTACCTACGACGAATGCGGGTCATGCTGCATAGGAAGACCTGCCGGACAATGCTACCACGCTAGACGCACGCAATGCGATCACTTTCATACAAGAGTCTCAGCCCGATTGTATGGCGAACGAATGCTGACCGCTTCAACTCACCGTCTGAGGAGCATGTGGGAGGATCTGAAGAGAGTACGAGCCATGCTCACACTGAGCGTCTCAGCACACTTGCGAGGCATCGACGTCTCTTGACTCGGGAACACGATCTGACCTCCTCAGCAGACACGTGTGTAGCGTCGTAACAGCAGACAACGTACGCACCGGGCAGCATGGAGAGAAAGTGCAACGGAAGTGGGTCCTCGGCACAAGCGCCTAGTAAAGTGGCAAAGGATCGCGTAACCTTGCCACCAACACCACGACGACGCGCGTCGACGCACTGTGATCCACTTTGACACACAGACACAGCGCGATCACATGCGATTCACGCCGATCAGCCGCACTCGAAGCAGCAGCGGAAAGGGTCGTGAGCGAGAGCCTCGCACCTTATCTAGGCGCAGTGACACACCATCTTGGCATGGAATGCCTCAACACACTTCTTGATTGTTAGGAATGAGCACGCACGGCAGCACGGAAAAGACGTTGCAAAAGAACTCGTAGCTTGCATAACCGACGTGGAGCTTTTAGTTTACTTGAACTGGGTCTCGGTGACGCCCTTGCCCATAGCGCTCGTACTCGCGGCCTTGAGCACCGTGTTGAGGCAAGCATCGACAAAGTTGGCACCGGACCACTTCTGGTGCGTGAGCACGTCACAACCGATCTCCCTCTCCTTCCTCTGGACGAGCTCGACGTAGGCCTTCATGCCTTCCTTCGCAAAACCGGCGGCGAAGAGGTCCGAGATGTAGGCGTTGGAGTGGAGACCGCCGAGGGTGATGAATTGCCAGACGAAGCCGAGCTTGCCGAGGTCCCAGACGTAGGACTTCATCTGTTCGGTGGAGAGTTTGGCGGCGTCCCAGTTGAAGGAGGGCGACAAGTTGTATGCGAGCCATTGCTTGGGCCGGGCTGCCTTGACGCCTTCGGAGAATTCCTTGGCCTGTTCGAGGATGGGCGACTTGGTCTCCATCCAGAGGAGGTCGGCGTAGGGGCCAAAGGCGATGGCGCGGTTGATGGCGCAGTCGGTGCCGCCCTGGTAGCGGTAGTAGCCCTCGCGGGTTCGGCAGGCATCCCAGTCGAAAGCAACCTCGACACCCAGGCTCTTGGCCTTGGCCTTGGCCTTGAGCAGCGACTGACCAATGACCTCCTTGCGGAACTTCTCAGCTTCCGCCTTCTTGCCCTTCTTCTCGAGCTCGGCGGCGACAGCGTCACCGTAGCGGATGGGCTGCGCCTTGGAGAGCCACTCGTCCTCGAGAGCAATGAGCTTGGGGCCATCGGCACCCTCGTTCTCGGCACGGTTGAGAATGTCGACCAGGGGCTCGAGGCTGGTGTTGGTGGTACCGAGGATAAAGGCATGGTCGCGCTCGTCGACGTTGGTGGTGATGAGGGTGGCAGCTTCCGAGTCGGTACGGGCGACGACGAGGTTCTCGACACCCATGATGTCGTACTGCAGACGGATGGCAACGAGACGGTTGATGTGCTCCTGGATGGGCACCAGCACCTTACCGGCCATGTGACCGCACTTCTTGGTACCGGGCGCCTGGTCCTCAATGTGGATGCCCGCGGCTCCCTTCTCGACAAAGAGCTTGGTGAGCTTCATGACAGCGGTAAGACCACCGTGACCAGTGTCGGCATCGGCGACAATGGGGCGAAGGTAGTCGATGACGGGCGTCTTGGCGCGCTGCTCGGCCGACATGTGGGTTCGCTCCTCGCGCTGCTTCCTGTCGTGGAAGAGCTGTGCCATGAAGAGGTGCTCGACCTTGAGGGGCACCGTGTTGTAGGGGTAATCCGCCAGATCCGGACCGGGCTCGTTGGTGGACGAGGCGGTAGAGGAGCATTGCCAGCCGGAGACGTAGACGGTCTCGAGGTGCTTGGCCATCTGGGTGACCTGGACGGGGTCGAGGGCACCGTAGGTGTGCGAGGTGGTGCCCTTGGAGGCGTGGGCCTCGAGGGTAGCATAGAGCTTCTTGGCCTGGATGTTGGAGGGGTAAGTCTGCTTGAGGGTGCCGCGCTTCGAGACGACCTGCTCGGCGGTGTAAGGGCGGGTGGTGTTGGCGAAACGGGGTGCCTTCCACCACTGCTTTACCTGCTCGACCTCTTCGGCGAACTGCTTGAGCTCCTGATCAGCCATGACTGCGTTTTGTACTATAGGTGTAGGGAGAGGGTGTAGGGGGAGACGTGATCGCAGGGGAAATGATCAAGTCTATCAGAAGGAACGGTTGGTGGAGGGCTAGGAAGAAGCACACACTGGCTGGATCGAGAGTATATACGAAGCGGCCTCTGTGAATCGAGAGCTGGGCTCAGTCATTTCAGCCCGAGGTCAGGCGGAGCGGAGCATACAGGGGATCGTCGGCTGTGATGCGCCAATGCATCTGGCTCTCGACTCGGGAAGGCAGGGCGAGCCAATGCCGGCTACTGAGAGCTCAGGGCGGCAGGGGGCCGTGGCAGCTGTTGAAACCGGTCGGAGCAAGCGGCTTGTGTGCTGAACCTGGCGGTAAGGGCGTTTGTCACTCGATGGCCAGGGTGCGAGACGAGTCGTGTGGAGCGGGCGTAGCGCCTCGATCCCCGCAAAGCCTCGCCTCGAGCAAAAGTAAAGGCGAGCGCCTCCTGACTCACTCACTTGCTCACGGCCTAGGAAGAAAGCATTTGTAACCGGTTAGGCGGTGTGCTGCCTCGAATCCGGCTTTTCCAAAATCGGCCATCCGCATCAGGGCGTGTGGAGAGAACGAGAGAGGGTCATGCGGCCTGATTTCCATTTCCAAAAAGTTGCAGTTGCAGATGGCTTTGCTGCTGTTTTCACAGTTGAGCTTGGATTCATCTCCGATCCGTCCGCGCATCCAGAGACTGCTGACTCTGAGAGCGTGAAAGCGCTTGCTTCAGCTGCACCCTTTGCGCTTGTTCCTTCGTCCTGCGACCATTCTGCGTCTTTCACTAGGTAGCCTCTGCTGGAGCAATACAGCCTCGAACACACGATTGACAGCATGGAGTCGATGCGATCATTCAGCGATGATCATACTGAGCCTGTCAGTCTCGTTGAACAAAGCGTGCTGAGGGTTAAAGCGCAGCCAATCAAGCCGGGTAGAAGCCGGGTGACTGAGTGACCAAAGGGTCTCGAACACCACTCTTCTGAAGTGCGGCCTCAAACGGAGTTGACAGCTTGGATCGCTCTTCGTCTCGCTGAGCCAGCTCACGTCCTTCCAAAGCCGTCTTTTTCTCATAGTGTCGAGTCGCTCAAATTGACAAATTAGGTTCTTCGCGCGAGAGTCACGCCGACTCCCGACTTCTTTAGTTTCAAAATTCTCCACATGCCCCCTCGCCGTTCTTCTCAGCATGCAAGGTGCGGCTGACCACACATCTGCTCATCTTCGACAACGGGCGACAACAGATCATGGGCAAGCCGTCAGCATCTGCAAGAGGTGGCAAGGGGGGACGAGGAGGTGCACCAGGCGGAAGAGGTCGAGGTCGCGGTGGTCGCGGTGGAGGACGCAACCTGGCTGATCGGTATGCATCGGCGTTCGACACGGATAGCTGGAGACCGGACAGCGCCATTGATGGACCACGGCGCGACGACAGCGACGAGGATGAGGTCGACTCCGAGGATCAGGGCAGCAGCGACGAAGAGTCCTCTGAAGCTGGTCCCTCCAGGCACAGATCCGATGACGACGAGCAGGACGCCACAAGCGATCTGGGTGACAGCGACGCCAACTCGATCGATGGGGGCGACGATGTCACCTCAATATCCGTCCCTGTCGCCATGTGGGACTTCAATCACTGCGACCCCAAGCGCTGTTCTGGCAAAAAGCTCTCTCGTCTTGGTCTCATCCAAGAGTTGCGAGTCGGTCAGAAATTCCGCGGCATCGTCCTCACCCCCAACGCAACCCAAACACTCTCTCCTGCCGATGCCCACATCGTGGCCGAGAACGGCGTAGCGGTGGTCGAATGTAGCTGGGCGCGACTCGACGAGGTCCCCTTCGGCAAGCTCAAGAGTCCCAACGAGCGCCTGCTGCCGCATATGATCGCCACCAACCCCGTCAACTATGGCAAGCCGATGAAGCTCAATTGCGTCGAAGCGCTAGCTGCCGCTTTCTATTTGGTCGACATGCCAGCTCAGGGCAGGCTGTTGCTGTCCAAGTTTGGCTGGGGAGAGCATTTCCCAAAAATCAATGCGAGGTGGATTAGAGCCTATCGAGATTGCAAAGATGCCGGCGAGGTTGATGAGCTCAGCCGCAAAATGGTGGAAGAGGACCGACTGGAGAAGCAGGAGCAGAAGAAGAGGTTTGACGAGTCGGGCGGGATACAGGGGACGCTGGATAGAATTGCTGATGAGGCTGCTGCGAGGGACGAGGATGATCCTTTCGGCAGTGAGGACGAGAAGGAGGCCGAGGAGAGAGCGCTCCAACAGGACTTTTCCAAGATTGTTCGCGTCACGGATCCATCAGCGGCCTCCTGAGAAGGAGATCTTGCTCTGTCTTTCATCTTTAGCAAATGCACGCTGACTCGCGCCACCTATTGCCATCGGCATTGCGTCCACATCCCGTCGAGATTCCTTCCTTGCCATTGAAGCACGCCCGATATCAACCTGGATCGACATTCGGCCCTCGATAAGAAGATGATAACGAGTCAGATTGGACCCTGAGAAAATTAAGCTTCTTGGCACCAATACGCTCGGCCTTCACCGCTGCCCTTCGTCTTCCATCTCATCTTATCGGCTCGCCACACCAAAGCATGAGCAGTTGGCGGGAGCGATGGCGGCCAAGTCGGCGGCCGACACTGCTGCTGCGCTGCATCCTGCTCATCTCGGCTGAGCTCGCTGTCAACGCGATCCTCTGGGTGGTAGCAGCCATCGTGTTTCGCCATCGCACACGCTTCCTCACGCTCTCATTGCTAGCATGGACGCTCGGGCTTCGGCACGCTCTCGATGCAGATCACATCTCGGTCATCGACAATGCCACGCGTCGTATTGTCTCGCTCCACTACACCGTCGTCACTGGCACGCGGCCACGGCGGCCCGTGACGTGCGGTTTGTGGTTCTCGCTGGGTCACTCGACGATTGTGGTCGCCGTCATCTGCGCCATTGCCATCAGCTTGGGCATCGTTGATCGACTGGGCAAGATCAGCTCCGTGGGAGGCATTGTTGGCGCTGCTGTTTCGGGGTCAACGCTGTTCCTGTTCGCCATTGTTAACTCGATACTGCTGTACAGCAGCGTCTCAGCTACGCGGAAGCATCGAGCTCAATCCGGATCACCGACGGAGGAGCAGGACAAAGCGACATCCGATGCGCGACTCGACGACGTAGAAGGCAAGCAGCCTCAGAACGAGGACCACCGCTTCCGAGGCATCTTCACACGTCTCGCCTATCCGCTCTTCCGACTGGTCGACCGGCCTTACAAGCTGTATCCCATCGGCGTGCTATTCGGGCTTGGCTTCGATACCGCGTCCTCGATCGCGCTGCTCGGCATTGCGGGCGCCACCAACTCGCAGGTGCAGGATACGTCTCTCGATACGAACCAGGCTATCTTGCCCGGTGATAGCGCCAATCGGTCGGATGCGAGCATCGTGTTGCTGGCGCTGCTGTTCACTGCGGGCATGACGCTGGTCGACAGCTTGGACTCGGTGCTCATGGTGAATGCTTATGCGCCTGGCGAGCTTCTTGCGCCGAGACGGCAGGACGAGGATGGTCAAGCGACATCGAGATTAGCGTGGCTCGGTCGACTGCGCTTTTTCGAGGATGCCTCGCCGCCTACTCCAACAAACATGAATCTTGATGCAACACCACACGAGAAGAAGGACGAGTTGCTCGAGCCGCATAATTCGTCTCTGCCCGAACACGATCCTACCAACGAGGAACATTTGACCGGACGAGGCACATCTTCGACCCTCTCTCACCTCCTGACGCTCCTCTCGATCCTGCTCGCGTTCGCCATCTCGATCATCACGCTGCTTGGGCTCATCGGGGAGAACTGCGATCGATGCGCACGAGCAGCCGCCAAGCAGGACGAGACGCGTAATGGCGGACTGGAAGGCAGATGGTGGCTGTTCTGGCAAAGGGCCAACGACGCCTCTGGTATCATTGGCGCGTGTATCGTGGGCGGCTTTGCGGCGTTGCTGGTGTTGTGGTACGGAGGAAGGGCGTTGCTCAGACGGTACGGTGCTTCGAAGTAGGAGGCGAGCATCAAGCATAGCGCATCGACAAAGAGCGACCAGCTCATGGAACTAAAATGATCGCCTGCAGTAGTTCTGATCGCCTGCGGTCCGTGTGATCCAAGCTCAACGGTGTGAGCAAACCCAAGCTGATGGCGAGCAGGGTCCCTCACCAACCGAGATTTGACCGGCGACCGCAGGCTCGCGGGAAATTCGGCGAAAACTTGGGAATCGAAAAAGACGACAGGCGAGCGAAAAGGAAGGCAACCGATGACTTCACCGTCCCGCAGGCATGGTTGTCATCGAGGCCTTGCTCTTCATGAAGACTTTGCATCGTGCTCGCAAGTCATCCTTCGTGTTCGAGCGCAACCGTCAAGCGCCAACGACGTGACCCTCGTCAAAAGGTTTTGAGGCTACCTAGAAGAGATGAGAAAAGCAAGGTCATGCAACGTGACATTGACGCTAGTGGGCAGATGGCCAAGGGTCCTTGATCACGGCGCGAAAGCAGGATGCCGATTCGATCCCCTTGGAAAAGCTTGTCACCGACGCCGCATCTCTTGGCTTTCCGACACGGACCTTGCTATTGCGTCAATGTCACCCTTGGCAGCATGGTCGGGTGGATGGATTCCTCTTGTTCCGAAAGCCAACGCCGCGGAAAGCGATCGGAACTGTAATGTGACGGCCATTCAGTCAATGAAAGGATGACTCTTCATCGATACACGCCCACAAGATGGTTGTCACGCGTTGCACTGCCCTAGGCTCCTATCTGATGAAGCGCTACGAAGTTGACTTATCTTTGATCATTCTCATGTAGGCTAATTGGCTATCGCTGCTCGTCCGAAGGCTTGTGTGATTGCGCTGGTGCTGGTTAGTGCAGCAAGAGTAGACACGGTTCGACGAGATGCTTCTGTTGCCGCTTGGCAAGGGTGTGGTGAACCCTTCTTTTGGTCGAGAGCAAGCTGCAGAGTGAACAAGCGAGGCCGAAATTTGCGATCTGCGTTGCGTGTTCTCTGCGTCAGAGCGGAGATTGACCAGAGGCTCGAGGCTGCATCAAACTGCACTCGTGCTGCTGCCACGGCTAACAAACCAAGCCAAATCGCACTCTCTTCGGCCAATTTGCATGCATCGAAATCACAGCACAGCACACCGCAGCACAACACACACACACACACACGCACACCGCTGCTCAGGGTCGACAAGGTGACAATCCATTCATTCTCATCTTCCATCCTCCCTCGGTCTCACCTTCACACTCAATCACATCCACCTCACCGTCGTCGCTGCGCATCCATCTCTTCTGCTGCTCTCCTGTGGACCTTGCAAGCATCCTCAATCGATACCCAGTCGCAGTCTCAGTCTCCATCCACTGAGCATTTGCGCATTCGCCTCACTCTGCATCAAGCTGCGCATCTCCGCCGTCTGCGCCATTTCATCTCGCCAACCTTGTCTAGCTCTTGGAACCAAACTTGTTCTCTTCTATCCCTCATCACCTTGCGCAATACTTTCACATTCCGCGGCCTTTTTCGGCGCAAGCTCGCACAACCTTGGCCTCTGCTTCAAGCGTACACTTCGTAACCGCGGCCTGCGCACTCATCACTCTTTGGCTCGGAAAACTCGAGATCCTTCTGCGCAGAGCTTCCTCTTCGTCTCTTGGCAGCTGCGCACGTTCAGCCTAGCCCAGCTGCACTGCAACACGGCTCGTGCGCTGCCACAAACCCATTCCAACTAGCGCACCTGCGAGCCTCTCCCTTATCTCAAGTGCGCAGATCCGCTAGCTCTGCCGCGCTCTCACTCGATCCCCGATCACACTTCTGTCAACGTCACTGCTTGCTTTAATCACAGCCTCGAGCTTAGCATCCGTTGCTGACTCGCAGATGGCGTCGGCCGATCTCGACTCGACTCGGCAGGCTGCGCAGCCGTCCAGTCCATCTCACTCTCAAGCTTCATCGCCACCCTCTTCCCCTTCACAACCGCGCTTCATCAACCTCAACCCCTTCCGTCGCTCCCCTGGCAGCAAAACTACTGGTGGGGGTGTGCTCGCCCATTTCACCAGCTCATCTACCAACAGCACGCCGTCTCACGCTGACGCCAACTCCGAATCCAAGCAGCCGAGACCATCGCTAGGACAGCGCATCACCTCGCGAATCCCTTCTCGCTCCTCGCGCAAGTCAATCGACGTTTCCGCTGCCAACATGACAGAACTCTCCCAGCCCAACCCCAAATTCAGCAATGGCGTCAACGCATATTCACATCAACCAGAGCCTGAGCCTTTTATGGAAGCTTCCGATTCTATCTCGGCAGAACGCGAGCTCGATCCCACCCTCGTACCCCGGTCCGGGCCGCTCGCTTCGGGCAGCACAGCCGCTGCCCAAGCTCATGCTTACTCTCGCGGTCTAGGGCAGCCAACCTTGCTTCCACGACGCTCGCGCACGGTCAGGTCTTCTGCCTCGCCCATTTCGGACGATTCTCAGCCGCTTCCCACCGTGTCGCAGACCATGACGGCCCTCGCCAGCAGCGGCGTCCACCCTGAAATCCTTGGCATCACCAACGATCCCTCAACCATGGAGCTGGCAACGGACACCACCGATATTGTCGCTGCTCCTGTTGCGGTCGCTGAATCGAGCGACGACGGCAACTTCAAGTCCAATAGTCTCGAGGTGGACACCATGAGCGGCGACGGCGCAACGCCTGCCATGACGCCCCCAAGTAAGAGCAGGCAGGCCTCTCACTCCGAGCAGGGTACCGCCGACAATCACATGCTAGCGCGTGCAGCCCAGATGGTCCTGGAAGCCGCCCGTCAGCAGGCTCGTGTCGAGACGAGGAAGAAAGGCAAATCGGCTCCCGCCTCGCCCAAGCGCAGCACCTTCAATCTGTCTCCTATCACCACCACGACCACCAACAGCAGCAACAGCAACGACGAGAGCGCCGTCCAAGCAGCCGGCGCCGACGATGCAAACGACACCTCCGAGCTTTCTCGCACGCCTTCGCAACGTTCTCGCTCCAAATCGGATGCCAGCGAACAAACACAGGCCAAGCAACGTAAAGGCTTCCTGCGCTCCATGAGTTCCAAAGCTCGCCGCAACCGCTCAGGGGCTTCCGAGTCTTCTTCGGCAAATGCATCCGAGACGCCAACGCCGGGCGCCAGCAGTCCTACCGCAGGATCCGGTGCTACATCGGGAACAGTGACACCCGGTGGCAGACGCCGAAGGTACGTCGACACTCGCGACCTCGACCTCTTGGCTCGCGAGCTTGCCGCCGAAGCCATCGCAGAGCAGGTGCCTCAGCCTCCCTTTGCGCGCCCCAGTCGCAGCGGCACTTCCTCACCTCATCGCATCAAGGGCGCCGGCGGTGCTTTCAACGATCCGCGTCGACGCTCCTTCCCTAGCATTCTCGAGGATTCGCCGCTTCAGGATGACAGCATCACCCCCGTCCCTCCACCGAGCAACGGTCTCAAACCCATGACGCCTCTCCACGCACCGCGAACTAACGCACGAGCCAGGGCGGCGGATGGTAGGATCATGCCAGGCGTCGGCTCTTCCGTCATCGCCTCGGCTTCCCACTCGGACCCCATCCACGGTCTGGTTCCCCGAGAGATGTTCTACGGGCTCGGCGGCTCCCCCTACTCGACCCTTCCTCCTCCCAGTGCGCTCTCTAACGGCACGATGCTCGAAGGCATGGATCCCTTTGGCATTCCCATGGCGCAAGACAGCTCTCCTTTTGACGCCACCTTGGCCTACGCCAACAACGCCAGCGTCTACCATTCCCCAGCCCAGATCGCTGCAGCTCGCAACCAGTCGAGTGTCTCGCAGGCGTCCGTTAACGGCAAGCGTCGTCCTGTCCTCACCATGACCATGAACGATCCCGAAGCCGAGATGCAGGGTCTCACCACGCCGCCGCCCAAGGAGTCGATCGGTAAGAGGCTGACGCCGTTTGGCAGTCGGGCGGGAAGCCGCGCAGGCAGCCATGCCGGTAGTCGAGCGGCCAGTCCCAACCCTTCCTTTGTCGATCTCAAGGAAGCCGCCGCACAGCAGCAGACGAACGGCGACCTCGCCGGGGCTGAGCCTGACAACACTGCAACCCAGGCAACAGTGCCCATCGTGGTGACCGACGACGCTGCTGATAGCAGCATTGCTGACGGCAGTCTGCGTCTCGAGGAGGCAAGCGTCTGTGGTACCAGCAGACGAAACTCGATCGCTCCGTCTGAGATCAGCACTCTGCCTGGACTGGCCCCCGCCAAGTCGAAGAAAGCCAACCGTTTCTCCACCATGTTCCGCCGCAAGTCCAAGACGCAGCTTGACACGCTATCGACTGCCACGACGCCATCCAACGATGCATCATCCACAAGATCCCTAGGTGCAACGGCTGCGGGCGAAACAGCTTCGCTCGTCTTGTCGCCCCACTCTGCTGCTGTCTCAGCCGAAAGCGATGCAGACGTGTCGCCCATGGCGTTCCGCACTCTCGATCTCGCGCCCACTCAAGAATCAGGTCGCTCGAGCAAGCCCGCGAGTACCAGGGCTAGCCGTCGCTCGAGTGTCGCTCTCGAGGCGAACGATCGACTAGCTGACAACAAGAAGCCGAAGCGCGGCCTCTTCCGTCGTCTCAGCAGCTTTTCCAGGAAGAAGGACAGCAAGGTCGAGAAGCTCGCCGTTCCGCACGTTAGCACTATGCCCGTGGTGGACATGGAGAAGCTGAGGCAGTTGAGCGAGGCGGAGGATGCCAAGGCTGAACTTGCTGCGAACGGGCTTAAAGAAGATTCTACCTCAAAGGCGAGCAACGGTGATGCGGTCGTTGCTGTCGACGCTTCTCAGAAGGCGGAGGAGCATGCCAAGGCTGATGCGGGACTCACTGCCGCCTTGCAGAAAATGGATCTTTCGAATGCGACCCCGGCCTTGGTGAACGAGGAGATGGCTCAGAATGGATTCGGCACACGATCTGCTTACAAGCTCGAAAGCGATGCTAGCAATGACGTCGATGCGGAGGAAGGCAGGAAGGTGGAGCAGGAGCTGGCGGTCAAACCTGCCAACGAGGAGAACACGGACATTCACAACATCCAAGCTGGACACGGCTCGCAGGACAGTACCGAGGAGAAACTCGGTGGCAACTCGGAGGTGATCGAAGGAAAAGAGGTCAACTGGGATCGAACTCGACTCGGTCAGATCACGCGGAGCGACTCGCAGACGCCCTCTTCGGAAGACTCGTTCTTCCTCAGCAGCGGTCCTAGCGCCACGAGTCGACCAGGAAGCGGAGCGCTGATGAAGCACGGTAGCGAGAGCGCCATGAGCGAGGAGCTGTACACTCCGGACCCATCCACGGCGTACCTCCCGGCGATAAAGGCGGAGGAGGACGCCGCGCTGACCAACGTCACCGCTGCCGCTGCGGCTGCTACAGCGGCCAAGGTCGTGACGGCTGCTCTGGAGGAGAAGCAAGGCCCGGTTGTGACCGCCCTGCCCGCGGATCAGAGTCCCACCGGTGCAGTGCTCTGAGGATGCGAATACACTTTCCTTTCGTCCTTGCGTGCGCGTGTGTGGTTGGATGATCACGAACAGGTGGTGTGCGATTGCACTTGAGTCTCAGGGTTGGCTTTGTTCGATGATGATCATTGCCGCCAACGTCCAAGGAGAAGCGCCCTCCCTCTCGGTCCGGCATTGCTCCAACTTGAGCAATGGTCCTTCCATCTTGCGCAACCGAATCCAGTTCTATCGTCAAGAGAGACAGCGAGGTCCGTGGAGCTGCCAGAGATTCGTGTGCAAGACGCTCAGTGGATGGCGTGAGTGGCCCGTTCGGGGTCCGTGCATTTCCGGCTATACACAGAGAGGGGACATCGGAAATACGGAAAATTCTTCTGGAGATGGCGAATTGCTCGGTGACGTTGTTGGACGTCCATGAGAGGGAAGCATGTGGAGCTCGCTGAGGCAGGTTCGGCGATTCAGCTGCTTGAAGGGAACGGGACGTGCTCAGCTAAGGGGGCCCAAGGGATGAAAGCGGGTGCTGAGGGTATATAACATGGGTTGGTGCGATGAATCAGGTCATCTCCGTGCCACTTGATCAGCAAACCTTGTCTGCTACGCTCGCACATCGGCCTTCAAGTCGATTCCGTCAAGCGTTCGTCTCAACAGAGATCATTCAGGAACACTCACTTGCACGCACCACCCCTCGTCGATTCTTCGTAAAGCATGTCCAACAGCAAAGTGTACCTCGTCACCGGCGCCAACGGCTTCATCGCCTCGTCGCTGGTCAAGCGACTGGTAGAGTCTGGAGCGACGGTGCACGCCACCGTCCGACGCTCATCTTCGGGTGACGACGTCAAGAAGTCCATCTCCTCCACTGCAACAGGCAAACTTCACATCTTCCTCACTCCCGACATTACCACCCCGGGCGCATTCCGTGACGCCCTCAAGGGGGTGACACACGTCTTCCACACGGCCTCCCCCCTACCCGGTGGAGAAGGCAAGACGGATGCCAAACGGGACTTTCTCGATCCTGCGCGAGCGGGGACGCTCACCCTACTTCAGGACGCAGCGGACGCAGAAAGTGTCAAGAAGGTCGTGTATACATCGAGTGCCGCAAGCGTCTTCGATCCGTCCAAGTTGACCACGGGCAACATGCACGATGAAAAGGATTGGAACCCTATCACGTACGAATACGCTCTCAAGGCCGGGGAGGGGTTGAAGAGCGATAAGAAGGACGAGGTGTTGCAGGCGTCCTTTGCGGTTTATACTGCGTCGAAGCGGGTTGCCGAAGAGGCCGCGTGGGACTTTGTCAAGGACAACAAGCCTGGGTTTGCACTGGCTGCTGTCAATCCGGTGCTTGTTATCGGCCCACCTACGTTGGGCGAGGGGCTGAGCGGAAGCAACGGCATCTTTTGGGAAAAGCTCGTCACCCGCCCGGTCAGGGGCGAGGACGCAACCAGTGCCTATGTGGATGTGGACGATACCGTCGAGGGTCACATCCAGGCCATGGAGCGCGCCCAAGCCGACGGCAAACGCTTCCTCCTCACCGCAGGCCAACCGCTCCACCACGAGGTGATCAACTGGGCCAAAGCCAAACAGCCCAGTGTGGACTTCGACAAGGTCGAGGTACCAGCAGATGCACAGGAGCAGGAGGAGAGGCAGACCAAGTTCGACAACGCTCTGTCGAGAGATGTGCTCGGGTTGAAGTATCGGAGTGTTAGGGAGAGCGTCGAGAGGTTGGTCGATTGGGCGGTGCAGAGCGGCGCTGCGAAGGCTTAGGGTTGCGGATTGGATCGAGTAGACCATGTCAGGTGATGTTGGGACCAAAGGATCTGTAGCTAGAGTTCTTGAAAACGTTTTGCGCTTCTCGCTGATTCGGATGTGGGACGCAGTCGAGCCTGAAGGCTCTTTCCGAAGGAGCATATCTCAACCATTAGAGTGTTGAGGGTGCCTTCGTAGATTTGCATGACGAATCGTCGTACGGAGAGGGCGAACACATCATCAAAGCTCTGCTTCAGGTGTAGACGATGCACCCATGCCCTTGTCTCCCTGTCATTGTCGTCGCGGTCCGCGAGGCCTTCATGCCTTTGAAGCAAAAGCCCTGATTGGCGCGCGGCTTGAGTGGGTCCCAACCATCCAGTGTTGTACCGCGCTTCCGTCTGCCTCTGTGCTGTGCTCAAGCCCGAAATGCGAGGACGATGGGGGTTGACCCTTGCATCGCGGCTCTGATTTGCCGGAACCTGCGCGCGTTCCCATTGTGCTCTCGTCGCGGCCGGTGTACCGCGTGAAGTGCCTTTGACGTGCGTCAAGCTTGGCATGCGGATGCACTGTCCTCCTGCGGCTTGTCCGACACGATGCTTGGGCCGCGATCGATCCCTCCTTTGACAACCTGCACTGTCTTTTGCTGAGGGGCCTCTTTGACGTGGGCGTACTAGTTCATGCGTGCACGGCGCCAGTGGGCCGTTTCGAGGTGCGTGCATCGGAAACGAGGCCGTTAGCGACGAAGATGAGGCCCAACTAAGCGGCTGCAAAAGTAGTCGGTGGTCAGGCTACACATCGACTGTGGGCCACTCCAACAGCGATCCGGCAAGCATCACCAGCGAAGGAACTCGCACAAGACTCACTTCGAAGTTTCACCACCATGTCCGACTCGAACGTGTACGTCGTCACGGGCGCCGATGGGTACATTGCGTCTGTGCTGGTCAAGCGGCTGGTGGAATCGGGTGCGCACGTCCGAGCTACTGTCGGACGCGAATCCTCGGGCCAAGAGATCAAAAAATACCTCTCACCCTCTGGCTCGGGCTCTGGCAAGCTCGAGATCTTTATCATCCCAGACATTACGATTCCTGGCGCATTCAAGGAGGTGCTCGAGGGAGCTACGCACATGTTCCACGTAGCTGGAGGTGGAAAGATGGATGCCGAGAAGGACGTTCTCGATCCAGCCCGAGCAGGGACCTTGACGCTACTCAAGGACGCAGTAGAGGCAAAGATCCAAAGGGTCGTCTATACCTCCTCCGTGGCTGCCATCAAAGTCGGAACGAGCAACACGTGCGACGAGACGCACTGGAACGCTCTCATTTCCGACGAAGCGATCCAAGGCCTGAAGAGCGACGATCCGACCGAGGCGATGAAGGCGAGCAGCGCCAGTAAAAGGGTGGCCGAGGAGGCAGTGTGGGACTTTGTACGCGAAACGAACGCTTTTCCGCTGGTGACACTCCAACCGGTGATGGTCATCGGCAAGGCGATGCCCGGTGAAAGCAACGCGCACCTCTGCAACACACTCCGTCCCGTTCAATCCGAGAACGGCACCAGCGGCTACGGGGACATCGAGCATCTTGTCGAAGCGCACATCCAGGCGATGAAGCGCGACGAGGCCAACGGCAAACGGTTCCTTCTTCTCCGCCGGCCACCCGCTGCGCTAGTAACTGATCATCTGGGGTCAAGATCATCGCATAGAACTCAAGTGGTACAAGACTGAGACGCCTCAGGACGTCGAGGAGCTTCAGAGGAAGCAGAGGGAGCAGATCAAGCTCGACAGTATTCGTTCGAAACAGGTGCTCGGCATCCAGTACAGGAGCGTCAAGGAGAGCCTCAAGAGGATGGTCGATTCGGCCGTCGAGAGTGGCGCTGCCAAGGATTCTCCGGCTGGGAGGAACTCCGCTTCCAAGTGGTCTGTAAGCATACACGATGTTTGCGAGCGAAAGGCATGTTCGGGAAGCTCCTCATCAACTCACTCGGACGGTGATTGACATCGAGTGTGGATGCCCGTCGTCAAGCCCGACGCTCGCTTCACGTCAACGATGGTTATTGGGAGACTGAGCGTGGACCTTCGTGATCGAATCAAAGCTTGCCTCTGATTTGCGACGTTGCCGCTTGTCATTGAGGCTGAATCTTGTTGCGCCAAAGGTCGTTCTTACTCGAGCTGAGGGAAGAGATCCTCCAAGGACATCAGTCCCAACCTTGCCCACGCTGCCAATCGTTCTGATGAACTCACCATGGCGGGACACGGCCAGCCGGCCGATCAAGACACGAGAGCACGTTCTTCTGACCAACTTGCAGCTCCGCCGGTGCGATTCTCACGCGGGTTGATTCCTCAGCACACGTTGTCGAGCCGGCGGCCCCACCGCTGCACATTGTGAGGAGGGACGGCGAGCACGTGTGCTGCTCCCACCCCTCTACGCTGCACAACCGATTCATCGGAACAACCAGGGCCACCATGCGCACATATGTTTGTTCAACAACAGTCTAGACAGTGCAGCCGGCGGCCTTTGTCTCGTCACCGTGCGCTATGGTATGGATGCACAAGTCTGCCGCGGTCCGCAGACTTGTCTCGTTTGGAGCGGCCTTTGTCCTGCCGAAAACTTTGTCCACGTTCTTGAGAAAATTGAGACTTTTTTCCCGCGTTTCTTGCCAGATCTGGCTGCAGATCATCGAGAAAAAATTCGCCGCACGGCACGTCAATCAGTGCGCACGCAGCAAAGAGGGTGCACAAGCGGCTTTCACATCGGCCGTTTTCGAGGTGGGGGGTTGCGAGTGGGGAGGCCGCCGGTCAAGGCCGTTGGTTACTGCTGCAGCAAAGACCTCGCTTAGACCATGATCTCGCAAACGAGATGGGAAGATTTCTTCCTGCATGGATGGGGAGTGGGTTGGCCGCTTGTGCACTGTCCGCTTCCAGTGGCTCGTGGATGTGGCGAGGGTGGGAGGACATATATAATCGAACAAAATAACGAGCCTACAGCCTGGATAGCCTCGATCTCCCTTGGGCCAACGCAACGATGCAGCTCGCACTCAACTTCCTAGCCCTCCAAGCCCTGGTGGCGAGCGCCGTCTCGGCGGCCTCGCTGCACACCCGTCAGACCAACCGCGTCGCCAACGACACCACCCCCGTAGCGTCCATCAGCCCGTCCGACCCGTTCCCGACCAACGTCGGCTACCCTGGCACGCGCAAGTACGGCCCGCCCCCCTTCCTCGCCGTCACCGATCGCAAGGAGGGTCAGCTTTCCACCTCGATCGACACACGCTGGACTCCCATTGACGCCGAGCCCAGCTGCGACTTCAACATCTTTGAGCATCTCGGGAACGAGTCGCCCTACTTTAGCTCGCCGATCTTCTCTTCGTTCCAGCAGTCTCACTCGGTTCTGCCGGAAGGCTGCACCGTTGAGCAGGTGCACATCCTGCACCGCCACGGATCGCGATACCCGACCTCGTCGACGACCGAAGGAGCGCCCTACTTCGGTGCGGTTATCGCCAACGTCTCGCGCCTCACCAACCCTTCGAGCAACTTCTCCGCCAGCGGTCCGCTGAGCTTCTTGAACAGCTGGAAGTACGAGCTGGGTGCCGAGGTGCTCAACGCGGTCGGTGCGCAGCAGCTCTTCGACTCGGGTGTCCACCACTACTACCAGTACGGCAAGCTGTACAACGAGACGCACAAGCCGGTGATCCGCACCACGAGCCAGCAGCGTATCCTCGACAGTGCGCGATACTGGACGCTCGGCTTCTTCGGCTGGGACGCTCCGTCCAAGTACAACCTCGAGATCATCCTCGAGGGCGGCGATGGACTGGGCACCGCAGGCGCGTTCAACAACACCTTGGCTAGCTACGATACGTGCAACAACAGCGATACGATCACGGTGGGTGACACCTACCTTCGACCTACGTGGGACGCCATCTACCTGCCCAAGCCGCGCGACCGCCTGCAGCAGTACGTCTCCGGGCTCGAGCTGACCAACGAGATGGTGTACGGCATGCAATCTCTCTGCGCCTACGAGACGGTTGCGTTGGGCTACTCGAACTTCTGTGGCCTGTTCACCAAGGACGAGTGGGAAGGCTTCGAGTACGATCTGGACCTGCAGTTCAACGGTGATTATGGCATCATGAGCCCTAACGGCAAGGCGCAGGGTATCGGATGGGTCAACGAGTTCCTCGACAGGCTCGAGAATGCCACCTGGAACGCAGCGACGATTACGACCGAGAACAGCACGCTGGATAGCAACCCGACCTACTTCCCGCTCAACCAGAGCATGTACGTCGATTTCACGCATGACGATATCATCGTCTCGGTGCTCACGGCGTTGAACTACACCCAGGTGGTCGGCGACTTTTTGGATCCCACCTACGCCGATCCCAGCCGAACGTTCGTGCTCAGCCACATCACGCCGTTTGCAGCGAGGCTCGTGTTCGAGGTGGTCAGCTGCAAGGGCAAGAGGTACGTCCGCACCAAGCTCAACGAGGCTGTCATTCCGTACAGCGGCGCCGAGGGTTGTCCGGCTGGAAAGGCGCTTTGCCCCATCGAGAGCTTTGTCGGCTTTCAAAAGGAAAACGCGTACAAGGACGCCAACTTCAACAAGGCCTGCTTTGGGGTCAACGGCACCGATTTCACTGTCACTGGACCTGTCCGCAACGGCACTGTCTACTAGAGACGTCACTTTCACCTCCAGAACCTTGAATCTAGGATGCTCACTTTGAAAAGATCACAAGTCGGTGCGTGTGCGCGAGAAACGTGAGCCCAATCTGCGTCCGTGAGTGTACGAGACGTGGGTGAAGAGGGCAGGCGGAAATATCTGACTTTTGAGCGCGAGTCAGGAATGCGGGGCAGACGGCGGGAAATATTCAGGGTCCAAGAAGCCACCCAAGATATTGCCGGCTTGCCGCAAATACGCTCAGTCCACCTTGATACCTTTCGCTGGTCACTTGCTCGTCGTGCGACCCCTTCAAGTGCACGACATTGGCATATGACCCGGCTGTACCCGCTACGATCGCTTGCCGAGCTCCAAACAATCAAGACGGGTGCGAGCAGAAGCGTTCTATCGACCGCAACAAGTACCTCGACCCTGACTTGCGTTTGCGCACGCCTTGCTCGACATCGCACGACCTCCACGACCCTCACGCCCTCCTACCATTCCAGACATCTGCACGTCAGTCCGAGGTCCAGCATGACGACCAAGAAAGACGATCCCAAAAGCAGCCCACGTCGCAATCGGACGGACCTGCTTACGCCCGAGTTCACGCCTCACCCTCCCGTGCAGCCGCTCGGGTTGGACCTTCTGCACGGCCCGCCTCTCGCCGAGCACATCGTGGTGATCCTCGGTGTGGGCCCTGGATTGGGGCTTGCCATTGCTCAAGTATTCGCATCGCGCGGATATACGACGGCCATCCTGTCGCGGTCGAAAGATCGGCTCTCTAAATGGGCTGATGAGCTGCATTCCACCGCGGCAGCGTTTCGCACCCAACACGGTATCGAGGTCAAGTCGGGTGAGAGGCTCTCGGGTGCCTTTGCGTGCGATGCGATGGATAACAGCGCCATCACCTCTGCCATTGACCAGGTGGCCCAATTCTGGCCGGACAAAACCATCGGTAGTGCATGCTACAACGCCTCCGTCCGAAAACGCGGTCCCTTTCTGGAGCAGTCCCTGGATCAGATCCAGCAGGGTGTCCAGGGATCCATCCTAGCTGGGTTTACCTTCGCCCAATCCGTCCTGCCCCACCTGACGCGCGTGGGGGGCAATCTCCTCGTCACGGGCGCCACCTCCTCCACCCGCGGCAGGGAAGGCTTTGCCGGCTTCGCAGCGTCCAAATCCGGCCTGAGGGCTATGTGTCAGTCCATAGCGCGTGAGTTCGGCCCCCAAAATGTCCATGTCACACATGTCATCGTCGATGGATTGATCGAGAGTGAAACGGCGCTCGAGTTTTTGGGAATGCCCAAGGGGAGTCGGTTCAAGGACGGCACCGTGTTGGTGCCCGCACAGATGGCCAAGAGCTGGTTGTTTTTGGCTCAACAGCATCGGTCTGGGTGGACGTTCGAGATGGATTTGCGACCCGCTAGGGAGCATTGGTAGTCAAAGGGAGGGTGAGGAAGGACATGTAGGAAGAGGAAAGGCTCAAACGGGACTGGCCTTCATGTCCGTGAATGGTCAAATTGATGTTCAAGACTGATGTGATGTATCGCAGAGATTCCCGTGAGATCGACGATCTTTATGACCTCGACGAGAGGAGAGTAGCATGCGAACGAGATCCGCACGAAGCAATCGAGGACTCCGCCATGGACCGGCAAGCTGCGAGATGCACGGGCAATCTGCACGATGAGAGGGCAACGAAGACCGACCTCCATGCGATGAAGAAGGAGACGAACATAATCTGTACTCGACGAGAACGCAGTGGATACTCAGCACACGACGTGAGCCTGACCAGGCCTGAGATGTAAAGGGTTGAAAACGCTTCATTATTTTATTGTGTACCGTGCCGACGCTGTCATAGACAAGGCAACGACGGCAGAACTTTGAGAGATTGTATTTGGGTTGGCCGATTGATTGGGTTGTCGACGAGGCTTTCGAAGCCGTATTGGAGCGTCCGGAGACTGTGTTGCAGCTTCAAGACGAGAGACATCGCTTGAATCTATGGAATGCAGGTAACCGAGACGTTGAGATCCCAAGCCGTTTCTAGGCGTTGTCGACGGGGCTGTAAACCAGCTACGCCGGGAAGGCGAGCCGTTTACTTGGATCGGGCGCGCATCTTTCTGCGCTTACGACGAAGTCGGCGCATACGCTTCTTCCTCCACTTGGCTCGCATCTTGACAAAGTCTGTTGATATCAATGGAAGGTGGTGGTGGATATGTAAGTGTGCTGTTCGAGCGAGGCTGGGGTGCGACTGTTGGCGGCTGCTGCTGGAGATCCTCCTCCTGTACACTGGCCGCCGACATTGTTCCACCTGCTCGGCCGACGATGACCACCAAAGTGCTGCTGACCCCAATGCCGCCTGCTGATAACCTGTGTCGTCGCCATTGTATCCGAGTGATCTCCAGCAAGTGTCGAACGTCTTTGATGAGAGATGTACCTACCTGACTTGTTAAAATGAGAGTTACTTGGTGGGAGAGAAGAGAGCAGCAATGGCGAGCGCTCAGACGAGCTTTGTACGCTCACTCCACCTCGCGCCCTGCCTGCGTGCGCATGGACTGAGAGACCTGGCTGTGACGTTGCGCCGCACTGCGGTCATTGCGCTAAATTCGTCATGAGACTGACCAGCTGACCCATTTTTGGATTCGGCAAGCGACACTGCTCTCAAGCCTTGCGATATTATGAGTCGAAAGTGGCTGGAAGTGAGTCAGGTGATTCGAGCTCGGCCGAAGTTGTGGACGTCAAAGCGGATCGGGCAGAATTAATTCGATCTGGTCATAATCAGTGCAGCAACATTTGATCAGGCTCTAACAGCACATCGAATTTTGAAAGGCAACCCGCATCTCGTCCCGGATCAGATCCGATCCGATCGAGGCACCGAGGACTGAACCTCGGAGTGGGCTATCCTCGATGACATTCTCGGACACCAACTTCGCAGTGACCGCATCTGCGAGGCAGGATCAGCCCTAGTCTCACTGAGAGGTGAAGTCACCCACTTGGTCGTATTCATGAGTCTGAGTTATGCTATATTTGAAGGGCAGTAAAGTACATTGACGGAACAGTGAACAGGAGTCAGGAAGCTCCTGAATGACAAGCAATAGAAACATGACGCGGCGGCATGCCTCGCGCGACGGCTACGCAGCGGCCATAAGTTAGCGTGGTGCGGGAAGGAAAGCAGGTATAGTTGGACAGGATTTGACAAGCGATTCTGCGAGCTCAGATGGTCGAAGTGATTGAGAATCGTCGTGCTCGCATCGTGATTTGACGCGGCCGCGACGCATCATTCGCTGACGATGAGCTCGCTGACGGTCCAGTCCTCGTAGCTTCCGTCCGGAAGGTATCGCCTGACAACAAGAGGGATCTTCTTGGCAGCGAGCTCCTTCATTGCGATCTCCAACGGGTCGGTCTCGCCTTCGGTCGGGACAAGCACCGGTGCGTTCATGCTGTGTTGATCAGGAAGACAAGACGTCGGAATCGGTGTCAGCAGGAGAAGCGGAGCAAAGTGCGCGGGACCGCGCCCTTCGGAGCATGGCTAAACTTACGAGATCTGCAGCGCACGAGTGCCGAGAATCCTGGCACGTTCGTACTTGGTCATGTATGGGGTAGTGATGCGCTCTGCATTGGCCTGTCCAGCCATCGAGGTCGAAGGATCCCCGCCTGCGGAAGAGTGGACGATGCCGTTGGCGCCATCAGCACCATCGTCGTACTGCTCCTCTCCGAGGTCATCGCCATCGTAGACTGGCTCCTCCTCCTCGTAGAAGCTGTGTGACGCATTTGGAGTATTGGGGAAACGTCAGTCTGCCTGTACGCTGTATCGCTACTGTCGCTCCTCCTCTAGCAATACTCACGTCTCTTCACCGCCGTCCTCGCGATCCGACATTGTGCAATGTATAGACTGGCTACTGTGGAGAGCTGGTCTCTTTGGTCGTTTCTTTGAGGCGCTGTGACAGTTGCGTCGGGCCTGATCGTCCGGCTTAAATGCGTTGCTTCGTCTTGTACCTGAGATTCGTGTGTGACGACAGGAGTATGCTGGTGCCTGCCGGATCAATCGCGTCGAGATTGTTGAAGGGCGTCCACATCAACGGTGATCTCGACGACGAAAGACGAAGAACTCAAAAAAGGGTGCGCAGCCGATAGCCGAAATTTTGACGTGTGGAGAACCGCGTCTGTTCTTATCGGGGCCTGCATGACAAATCGGCGATGAGCCTGGTCACGATCCTGTCGCAAGCTTCTTGGTTCACCTGCGAGAGCATGTCATCAGCATGGAGTCCTCGTTGAACTGTCCCATGATGATGAAGAGCAACGCAGTGATCCGGAGTGGCTCGCTCGCTTAGCGTCGGCCGGGTAGGAAGCGAGATCCTGCCTCGGACTACGGTGGATGGCTGTCACCGTCATTCGTCTCGTCGTTGAGGCAAGGGTCAAGATGGCAATCCGGCTAGATATGAAATGCAGCCAAGCGCAGCTGTGCAGCAAGCAAGGCAGCGGCTTTGTCTGCTGCGAGATGCTCCGTTGGAATGAGATGCGAATCTTTCGCCTAAGTGACATGCTCACAAGCCGGAATTCCGTCGACCAGACCTGGTTCGGCAGGGCTCAGCCAGTTTTAAGCTCGCTTTGGCAGTCCGAGTTTGTGGAAGACAGACAGGGGTCTATCGTGTCTCTGCTGGCTGTCTTGCCGTGGGTGTTGGTCTGTCAAAAACGCGAGGCCGAAGTGCATAAGGCGCGCTGGCATTGAATTTCGTGGATGAAAAGCTGTCGGAGTGCGCACAAAGTGACTTCTACGCGTTCTCCCTTGGGCTGCTGCAGGCACATCCTCGACGCCCTTTTGTTCTCGATGCAGGCTTGTCTTTGTGTGCAGTCAACCTCAGCGGCGGCAAGCCATGGCGCATGGTCGGCTCAGCAGGTGGGCGCCTTGCAGTCCTAGCACCCACATCAATGCCAAAGGGTCCCGCTCTGGATGAGTTGGCCTCTTTGTGCTCGTCCTGGCTCTTTTTAATACTAAAGGCCGCAACCCCTTTGTTCGAGTTCTTCCTTCCCCACACAATCTCCCCCTTGCTCCTCGTCTAAGCTATCTCTAAAGACGGGATCACTTCCTGACTGCCCAACTCGTCTCAAAGACATCGATCCGAGTCTCATTCATAAAGGTGGTCGCTTTCAAGAACGGTGCGCCAACCGCAATCCTCGGCCATGAGCCAGTACAACCGTCCAGGAGACAATGGTCGTGCCTACGACTCCTATAATTCCTCGCAGCACCAAGGCTACGCTGAACAGGAGTACCTCGCAGACTCATACCAGCACCACCAGCCACATGCGTACGCACAACACCAGCAGCAATCCTACTCTGCATACGACCAGCCACAGCCCGAATACTCGGCGGCGCCCGTCAAGCCCCAGAGGTAAGCTTTCGTCCCACCACCACCCGCTCTGCACGCATTTGCGCGACCTCATTTCGGTCGTGTCTCTGCGCAGCCTTTCTCCAACACAGCGGTCTGACCCCAATCTTCACTCCCCCTTTGCCCTCCCTGCGGTGACCGCGCTCATAGGCAACCCTCCAGAGTCAGATCCAACTCGTCTGGCAGCCGCTCTGGCGCTCACCCTCCTGCCACCTACCACCAGCAAGACATCCCTCCGGTCCCATCCAATGTTTCGGCCGCTAGACAGAGAACCGCTCCCAGCCAGCCGTATAACCAGGACAGCTTCTCCCGACCCTTGCAACCATCCACTTATAGCACCCATCCATCGCAGTGGGATCCCAACGCGTCTTACGACAGAGCCCCCTCGGGCCCTCTCTATGACCCTGCTCCGCTTCCTGCTTCTCGCGACTACGACCCGGACCACACGCAAAGCATCGATCTAGGCACGCGCGAACCAGTCTACGACGAGCGAGAGATGCAGCAAAACTACCCCTACGGCGGTGCAGCCGCTTTCCAGCGCTCCGAGAGCTATCAGTCGGGTAGGCCAGGCGGGAGTGGTTACCACGCCGTCGACGACGAAAAGAGTCTCTACTCCAAGCAGAGCCATCAGCCACCTGGCGCCTGGAACGCGAGCGCGCCCACGATGGCTTACAATGAGATGCCAGCCTCACACTCAATGATCCAGATGGGGCAGCCTGGCTACCCTCCCAACGCCTACGGCGAACACGCCATGCCTGAACCCTACATCGGCGGTCTTGGTGCTCCCGGTGTGGTCATCGCCTCCGCACCTGTGCCCACCCTCCAGCATCAAGACTCGAGCTTTCAGCGAGAGAACCGCGACCGCATCATGCGAAAGCGCACCGTCAAGCGCATCCCGCTCCAGGACGGCAATCTTGTGCTCGACATCCCCGTCGCCTCGAGCATCAGCAAGTCCAACACCAACAACCCCGAGTTCGCCGAGATGCGTTACCAGGCCTGCACCTCGGACCCTGACAAGTTCATCGAGGAAAAGTACACACTCCGTCCCTGGATGTACGGCCGACAGACCGAGATGGCCATCGTGCTCACGTGCTACAACGAAGACGACGTGCTCTTTGCGCGAACCATGGGTGGGGTCATCAAGAACATCGCGCACCTCTGCAGTCGCACGCGCTCCAAGACGTGGGGTCCCGAGGCGTGGAAGAAGGTGGTGGTCATCATTGTCGCCGACGGACGTAAGAAGGCCAACGAGCGCATGCTCAAGGCGCTCGGCTTGATGGGCTGCTACAACGAAGGCGTCATGAAGGACCACGTCCTCAAAAAACCCGTCGAGGCGCACATCTTCGAGTACACCACGCGCGTCCAAGTCACCGAGAAGGGCGAGGTGCAGGTCACCCCCTGTCCCATCCAGGTCGTCTTCTGTCTCAAGGAGCAGAACAAGAAGAAGCTCAACAGTCATCGATGGTACTTCAACGCCTTTTGCCAGATGCTCCAGCCCAACGTCTGCATCTTGTTGGACGTCGGCACCAAGCCCACCGGCACATCGATCTACGAGCTCTGGAAGAGTTTCGATAAGCACCCGCGCGTCGGTGGTGCTTGTGGCGAGATCTGCGTCGACACCGGTCGTGGCTGCACCGCGCTCTTCAACCCGCTCGTCGCTTCGCAGAACTTTGAGTACAAGATGTCCAACATCCTCGACAAGCCCACCGAGTCGGTGTTTGGTTTCATCTCGGTGCTCCCCGGTGCCTTTTCGGCGTATCGATACAAGGCGCTACAGGGAAGGCCGCTGGAGATGTACTTCAAGGGCGAGAAGCTGCACTCAGGCGAAGGCAGCAACTCGATCTTTGAGGGTAATATGTACCTCGCCGAGGACCGTATTCTGTGCTTCGAGCTGGTCACCAAGGAGCGCGAGGGTTGGCTCTTGCGATATGTCAAGTCGGCCAAGGCTTACACCGACGTCCCCGACCGTGTGCCCGAGTTCATCTCGCAGCGTCGACGATGGCTCAACGGCTCGCTCTTTGCTTCGTACTACGCCGTGTGGCATTGGTACCGCATCTTTACGTCGGGTCAGCCGTTCTTGCGCAAGATCTGGCTGCTCTTCCAGGTCATCTACAATCTGGTGCTGCTCGTCTTCAGCTGGTTTGCCATTGCCAACTTTTTCCTTGCCTTCTACTTCCTGCTAAACGCCTCCACTAGTGCTACGGGCAGCGATCCGTTCGGCGGTCAGGGTCCCGCCATCATCGAGGTCTTCCAAAATGTCTTTATTGCCATGGTCATCGTCGTACTCGTCTGTTCGCTGGGTAACCGACCCCAGGGCTCCAACTTTGCCTACACGTCGGCGATCATCATCTTTGCGCTCATCATGGGGCTGGTCCTCTACGCCGCGGGGTATACGACCTATCTGGCGCTGGACGCTGCTGGTCTCACCCACACGCAGGGTTGGTCCACGTCCAACTTTGAGACGCTCTTCAAGACGTCTGGGTTCCGCGATATCGTCATTTCGCTGGCGGCGACGTACGTCATGTGGCTCGTCTGCTCGATCTTGCACTTTGAGCCGTGGCACATGCTCACCTCGTTCGTCCAGTACCTCTTCCTCACGCCGACGTACATCATCATTCTGTCGATGTACTCCATGTGCAACACCAACGATCTTTCGTGGGGAACCAAGCAGTCGAATGGCCCTGCGACCGATCTTGGTGGGGCAACGGGTTCCGGCTCGAAGCAGGATGGCAAGGGTGAAATGGTCGAGGTCAAGATCCCCACTTCCGCCAACGACGCCGAGGAACTCTGGTCGCACTACCGCCAAACGCTCTCGCAACCCGTCAAGGAGGTCAAGCAGAAACGCGACAAGGCGACCAAGCAAGAGGACCACGCCAAAAACTTCCGCACCAACCTCGTGCTGCTTTGGATGTGCTCCAACGCCGTCGTCGTCATTGTCTTCACCAGTACGTGGTGGAACAGATACGTGCGAAACCATATTTACGGGGGTGCGGTCCGAAGAGGCGAACCGGTCATCAACCCGTATCAGTCGGTCATCTTTTGGTCCACCGCCGGGCTGTCGGCCGTGCGCTTCTTGGGTAGTATCGCTTTCCTCATCCTGCGCCTGTTTGGCCACTGAGTGAGGCCGACTTTTTAGAACCTTTCCATCCCTTGTTGTTGTACCATCTCAAGATATCCCGTAATACGAACACTGCCTCTCTCCTTTACCCACGATGACGAGTTTGCTGCTAGTCGGTGAGGGTAAGCGCCCTCAGTCGCCCTGGTGTGACCATATGTACATTTACAAAGCCTTCCGAGTCTGCGCCTTGATCGCCTGCATCTCGTCCACCTCGGCCTTGGCCAGGAACGAAAGCACCTCCAAGCGCGCCAGCACCTCGTCGCCATTGTTCTGTCTCTTGGCCTCGGCGAGCGTCTTGCGGTATCGAAGATTCGTCCCGTGGAGCGCATCCATCACTCCAATGGGACCGAAGTTCTCGGTGAAGGCGAAATGGTGGAAGTCGTGCTGGAGTGGACTGTGGAAGCCGGGGATGTAGTAGCCCGAATGGGCCTGGATGGTTCCAACTTCGAGAAAGACGAAGGTGAAGACGTACTGACTCCAGTGGTGAGGCACGATGAGGGCGCCTAGCACGTTGGGCAGCAGGTTGGAGAAGAGGTGCTCGGTCATGGTGCAGTACGTAGCAGCGAGAGCGACGGGGGCGGTGTACTCGTGGTGCTGCTTGTGGAAGCGGGCGTACATCGAGGGTGAGTGGAACCAGCGGTGGATGTAGAAAAAGCCCACCTCGGTGCACAGTACTGGGATTGCGAAGCGGCATGTCAGCGAAAGGACCAGGGCAAGAAGATACCATCGCGGAGAATGAAATGCGACTTACCATCAAAGAGAATCGTGGCAACAATGCGCAACGGACCGGGAAGCTGGTCGGACGTGGTCGGACTTGGCAGCAGAATCGCACCGGCCAGCGTGACGGGGGTCGAGACGAATACGAGATTGCGCAGAGCACCCAGGGCGATCTTCCTGTACTCGGCGCCGCTGACCCGCACAAACGGCTGCACCTTGTATTTCCACAGCCATTGCGGCCGACGAGTCAGATCCGCGTAGGCATACAACGCCGACAGTCCCCAAAGGACGGCAGTGGTGATGATCCAGGTACCGAAGAAGCGCAGCTGGAAGGAACCGAAGCGTGCGGTGAGGTCGTCGTAAAGGTCGTGGGCAAAGGCAGAGGTGTTGAACAGCGTGAAGCCTGCCACCAGCACAATGTTGACGAGGTCTGGTCGACGTCGGAGCAGCGTCAAGTCATAACCCCAATGTTTGGAGCGGGGGATTGGGTTCCCTTGCAGATCCTTGGGCAACTTTGAGGTGAGGTTGGCGCGCGCAAAGTCCGAGTCACTGGTGGCAGTGGAGTTCTGAACGGCTTCGCCTGCAGGCACAGTCCGCGTTTGCGTTGCGGTGGCCATATCGGATGAGGTGGCACGGTCTTTGATTTCAGGTTGATGACATTAAGGAAACGAGCGTTTCAGACAATCACTGGCATATATGGGCAACGGTAGCATGTGACATTCTCAGAGGTGTGGTTTTGCGGGCTACAGTTGGCGGGCACATGGCTTGCTCGGTGGCGACCTCGGCTTCCCCCCCGCAATTTTTCGGAGTTCACGCGCCCTTTTGCCGGTCCTCCATGTCCTGCCGCGCGAACCGCAATCCGGTCAGGAGCACTACTGTAGTCAACCTTAATTTTCCCTTTGGTGGATGATGCCTACAGGTTCGACTGCGAGTTCAGGTGGTCCGCCATGGTCGGTCCTTCGTACGGGATCGCCTTGTTGGCGGCCTTCCACTCCTTCTCGGCGTCTGTGCCGGGTGCTGGGTAGTCGTAGCCGCCAAGGTGCCACAGGTCTGCGGGGGGCTCCTCGATGTGGATCTGTTCGGGCGAATAAAGAATCGAGCGTCAGCATCAGCCAGTCTGGACATCATTGTCTCAGGGTGTGTGGTGTTACTCACCTCCCACTCGGCGTTCTTCGCCTCGAGCACGCCGCAGAAGCGGTCTTCCAGGCGCTTGATCATCGATGCTCTGTTCTCCTTGCCGATGGCAGTACGGGCAAGGTGTTGGCTCACAATTCGGACGAACGGCTTGCCCTGCTCCTTCTCCCTCTCGGCGTGAGACTGTCTGCCGATGAAAAAGTCTTCTTCGCCATCGATGGGGACGAAGAGCGTGATCACAAGAAAAGGCGGCAAACCAACGGCCGCTGTGTACATGTCCGTAAGGTCGTTGGCAAGCTGGCGCTTCTCTTGGGCGGAAAAGAGCCCAGCGGGCGCGTAGATGCGATGCAGCGGCATGAAGTGCTTAGGTAGATTGGGGGTCTATGCGTGATCAGAGCTGGTGGGGCGACTCGCGTTGGATCTTGTGGAAGTCGTCTTGATGGTGATGGTGGAGATAGACACTTCGAGGCTGCTTCACGAACGCAAAGGGATCCATCTTATACTCGTCCTAGTCCCATGCGACCCCGCAGCGGACATCCTCCAACAGAACGAGCCACGTCATAAGCGGCAGCACATGAATGACCGACGGCTTTTCCTCGCACTCGCCGTTGCGATGCGGCAATAAGTTCGCAAGCGACTCGCTCAAATTGCAGATTCAGGGTCCAGCTCCATCTGGCTCGGATTCCGAGCTGTCACAGAAATTCACGCTCGCTCTCTATCAGACTGCGAAGTGCTTCCTCCAATCTTGCTGTTAATTGTCCCCCAGTGAGACTATCTACTACATCTTGCGCTTTCGAGAAGACTTGCACGGTGTGGACATAGCGCTTGCATCTGCCTTCTGGCCAGCGGGTGTCTGAGGGCCGCCTTTGCTGCTGGAAACCGGCGTCGCTTTCGTTGCTGGTGTGGCGCCGTTGACCTGCGCCTTCTTGGCCGGCGTCGACGTCGACGTTGCCGTGGCGTTTCCGTTCCCTTTCCTCAACGAGTCCTCACCGCCTCCCTCGATCAAGATCTGACTCTTGAACAGCTCCACGAGATCATCTGTGTCCGTCAAAAGGATGTCCGAGATGCCTCGCTCTTGCACCGCTCCAGATGGCTGCTTTTCGCTCGTGACCGCAGCTGTCTTTTCGTTGTCAGCAACGAGTGGTGGTCGAGCCGACTCGATCGCAACGGCGGACGTGGTTTGAGCAGCCGGAAGGATCTTGGACAGGAACGCGTCGAAAAGCAGCGTAGCAGGGGGCAGCAAGTGCGGAGCGGTCGAGAACAGGGACGCGACGCCGGAGCCAACGCCGCCAGCAGTGTCAGCCGACACAGCCAGAAGCTCGTCGTCATCGTCCTGATCATCTGCACGCGCGTTAGAGAACGCTGAAGGCCCGAACAGATCGTCAAAGAGCGTCTTCTTGACGGTCGAGATGCCGCGGATGCTCTCAGCCGCGGCCCCGGCAGCGGCACCGCCAGATGCCGAAGGCGACGAAGAAAACGAGACCAAGTCCATGTCTCTGCTGATGGCGACAAATTCCTGTACTTGTTCGTGCGAGCCTGTGCGTAGCGGGATGGGCGCGACAGAGGAAACAGCGGTGCGGAACACTGCCTTTCCGGTCGTCAATCCTGCCTTGCCGACGTTGGCAGTAGATCCCAGAGCGGAGGAAGAGGCCTCCTCTCGATCCGAGACCAGCGAGATGGGCTCCACCACCGTTCTGATCTGCTGGGCATCCGAGGCTTCGAGCTCTCCGTCCTGAGCGTCGCTGGAAGAGACCAGCGAAAAGAAAACTCGCTCTTCCGCGTCGACCGAGCGGTCCCAGCTGGGGCAGGCCAACAGCAGTCTGGGCGTGAGACTGGCATCGATCGCCTTGCGAGACACCTGTCGCGACAGGATCAGATCCCAGATCAGCACCGTGGTAGAAGTGGCCAAGCCGAGGTATCGTCCCGAAAAGGCGAGGCTTCGCACCCCCTCAGCCAGCTCGGGGGCGGAGATGACCATCGACATGAGGTTGCTCTCGGGGCTCCAAAGCGTCACGGAGCCAGCTTGGCCGACAGCAAGGATCGAACCATCCGCCGAGAATGCGCTCGCCGTGGGAGTCTGTTCGCGGTAGCCAAACACGGAGCGGCAAGCCCAGTAGCTCTCGACCTTGCCCGACTTGAGCTTGCGCGAGGTCATGTACCAGCTGCGCACCTTGCCGTCGGCGGCTGTGGTGACGAGCAGTGCCGAGCTTGGTGAGAAGGTCATCGACGTCAGACGCTTGCCGTCGTGAGGGCGGTCGATGCGCGTGTTGAGCGTGTAGCGACGGTTGATCGGATTCCAGCGCCAGAACTTGAGACTTGACTCGGAGACGACCTCGACGTCGCCTCGAAAGTCGGACAGATTGCGACTGTCGAAGGTCACCATCCATTCACCTTGCTCAGCGGTCTTGGACGAGACGAAAGGCGAAAAGACGACGCGCTCGACACGTGTCGGCTCGATCTGTTCGTCTTCAACGCGCGAAACACGGTTGGAAGGAGCCACCTCGAGCTCCATCGTGTTGGCGTCCTTGATGGGATCGTAGAACTGCAGCGAGGAGGGATGACCGGCGAGGAGAACGATGTTGCGGCTGGCGGGGTGGACGGCGAGCGGTGCAGGCGTGTCGACGGGAACCGAGTTTCCGGGAAGGTGACGGGATGCATCGATCTTGATGCGGGTGAAGGTTCTTGTGGGCTTGAGTGTCATGGAAGAGACGAATGTGATGCTTCCGTCGGCGAGCGAGACGGCATACTCTTGCTCTCTGCCGTCGAGACCGTTGGCTACAGCAATGGCAGAGAGAGGCGCCCCGAGACGCGGCACAAACTCCTTGGAAGATGCGTTGCCAGACGCGCCCAGATGCCAGACGACCAGAACGCCCTCCTCGCCTCCCGACAGCAGGTGTCCACCGTTGGGAGAGAAACAGAGCGAAGAGACTGCGTGAGCGTGCCAGTGAAGCACCGCGGAAGGAGCATGCCTTTCCATGCCGTCGTCCGCCTCGCCCTTGGAAGGAGCCATGAACTTCTTCTGAAGACAGTACCAAACACGGATGCGGCCGGTCGAGTCTCCAGTGACGAGTCTGGTCGAGTCGGTGGGGTGGAAGGCCATGCAAGTCATGGACTCCTTTTGTGTATGCTGCACGCCAGGATGCGATGAGATAAATCTGGTGAAGCCTGAAGCTAGGTCGTTTGTCCTCGCCACCTGCACCTTGTCATTGCCGACCACAACGAGCCACTCGCCGTTGGGGGAAACGCCGATGGCGACCGCTTCTCGCGTCTTTCCGATTCGCGCCAGCTCGGGTCGCAGTGAGGCACCGCGCGAGAATCTGGGCATGTTGGATTGCGTTTGGGCATGGGTCGAAAGGTCGATGCTGAAATGGCCTATGATGCTGTTGAAGGGCGCGCCGTTGTCGAGAGCCGTCAAGATCTCGGACATGCTTTTGGGAGCCGTCTCGGCATCACGGTGACGGTACTTTTTCAGAAGCACGTAGACCGTGTTCGGACTGGAAGCATGAGCGGTCATGCCGGAGATGGGCAGCTGGAGGTCGAAGGAAGAGAGCAGCACGCCATCGAGAAAGTCCCATACTTTGACCCTTCCATCGAGTGACGCCGTGAGAAGCTGCAGCGGATTGGCCGGATTGATCATGATGGCTGTGATGGCGGCAAAGTGCGAACCTGGACCGCTTGAGAGAGTTGAGACGACCTGGCCAGTGGTACGCGAGTAGATGCGGACCGAAGTCTTGGAGACGGCAAAGAAGTAGTCGGCATCGCGTGTGAAGACGACGGGTAGTCTCGATACACGGCCTTCGCTGAGGGTTTGGAAAGGCGAGAACTCGGAAGAGCGTTCCTTGATACCGGCGATGCTCTTCTTGTTCCTGCGGTGACGGCTCTTGTTGGGGGCTGAGGTAGCATCGTTGCTTTGTGACGCCGTGGATGTTTCTGCGATGTCGGATTTGGATCGACGAGGATCGGGCTGGGCTGGCGCGGTTGCAGGCGAAGGGGCTGCTGCTGGCGTTGCAGATGCGGAAGCCACCTGTGCCGCCTTCTTGGCGGGCGTTGATGGGGCGGACCTCGCCATTCTTGCTCCGTGTCGTAAATGAAGACAATGGTTTAAGCTGGCAAGAGGAGGAGGAGTGAGTGAGCACAGCTGAGCTCTTCAGACGTTCTTCGCTTTCTCAACCAAAAAATTCTGGATTTGCCAGTCTAAAAAATGAGGGGAAAAGCTCGGGTGTCGGCCAAGTCTCGTCTGCCAGGAAGCGCAAAAGTGTAGGGCAGCAGACAGCGACTTGAATTCCTCTCTGTTTTTGCAGCCTCGATTTATTGGCCATTTTATAAAGCGCACACCATGAAGGAATACCGTATTTGCCAGTATGACAGCTCGATTCGCAGTCGAACTCATCATAAGCTTCCGTACAAGCTGGCTTGCTTCTCGACAGAATGCTTTCACTGTTGAGGCGGCTGCTGCACCAGTCGAAGCGATGCGAATACCATCTCAAGCGTGTGTGTGGAGCTTAAAGTGACGCTGCCCCTCCGCGGGGTTCCGCCCGGCAATAAGTTCGATATCCTCTTGACAGCCCGGAAATAAGTTGCCTCTCGCGGTGTGCTGCCTTCACCTGCCCGCTCGGCAGCTGAGCTGCACTCCCACTCTAATCTGAGCGCTGAAACCACACCATCACATTGATCAGCTGCATTCGGAACTGCATTGAGACCATCGACAGCTCCACGGCTTCGCTTCTGACGTGCTTGTGCCGTTCTGCTCGGGCCGGTCGTAGCCTCGATCCGGTCGGTTGTCGCAAGGCTTGACCCCCTTGCCGAGACGCCCGCTGCTCCTTTGAAAGCTGTCGTCGCTCGTCACCTTTGACAATATCACATTGACACCACCTTCTCTTCTTTCCACGGTCACCACTCCTGCAGTCCGAGCTTTATTCTCGGCAATCACACCTTTACCCTTGCGCGTGCGGACGTCTTCGCTTCCTACCATGGTCGTCCACGTCGCCTCGACCCCGTCGAGCGGCGACAAGCCTCGCTCGATGAATCGTTCCTGCATCCAATGCCGGGAGCGCAAGATCAAGTGCGATCGTCTCGATCCTTGCAATCAGTGCATCGCCAAAGGGTCCGCAGACGAGTGCAAGCACGAGCTGCGAAAGAAGAGGGCAAAGAACAAGCGCCCCTTTCCCAAACGAAAGAGCCGACTCAGCATCGCATCTTCGGCCACTGCCCGCGAATCCAGTCGACCCGTCTCATCATGGGCGGAGGGCTCTATGACAACCACGTCGCAGCACAGCGAAAGCGGCCGCACACCTTCCACCAGCTCGGGCCAGATCGTGACGCCCAACACGTCGTCTTCGGCCCACGATTTCGGCTACTTTGCCTCATCCGCCAAGGATGCTACGGCCCGTGTCGCCTCCCCTTCCCGTCTCGAGAATCAAAACAACGCGCTCGAAGAAACAGACGACGAGAGTGCTAGCGACGAGGACGACTCGGACCGCGAAAGCACGCTACAACCTGATGATCGACTTCACGTGCTCGAGGCCAGTCAGCTAGTGCCAATATACAGTGCACCTCACTATCGATGTCCATTTGCGCTCAAGGATGTCTATGCTGATTGGCGTGCCATGTCCGTCGACCAACGACGCTCGCTGATCACCGACGTCCGCGATGCTCTTCCGTCTTTGCCGCAAACCCTGCATCTGCTTCACGACGTCTATGTCAAGCGTCTCCATTCTCTGCACGGCAACGTCGTCCACATCCCCACAGTGCAAGTAGTGTTGACCGAACTTCTGGACGACTCGGCGTTCGAACAGCGCGAGCGATACGCATTTGGCTACATCACCACCGCTCTCATGGTCATCTTTTCAGCGCTCCGGTTCGCCCCCCTCGACCGCACCTACACCTGGGCCAGGTCTGGAACCGCCCACCCGCACGTGGAGCCGCTCGGGCAGAAGGAGATTCGTCAACGACAACGCAAGATCTTTGCGCTCGTCAAGCGCATCCAGCGCTTCGAATCCACCTACACCTTTGGCTCGATTCCAGAGTTGCAGACCGCCATCCTCATGCTCGAATCAGGCAAAGGCTCGCGTCCCTTCCTCGACTCGCTTGCGGATTGTGCGATCCGCTCAGCGATGCGGATGCGTATCCACCGACTCGGCTCCTTCGAAAGACTTCATCATCCGAGCGCTCGTCCGACGCAGGTCATGACAGGCGAAATGGCTGTACGCTGCTGGTGGGCGCTTGTGCGTCGCGACTGGAGTCAGAGCAGCAAACACCGTACCTATCGCATCTCTTCGCAGCAGTTCAACACTCGGCAGCCCTTGAACCTCTTTGACGACGAGCTGATGGCGATCCCTTGTCCGCGGTCACATCTACGGTCCACTAGGACGTACGTCAGCTACTCGTATGCCATGATCGATTTCGCGCTCTTGACGAGGACGCTGGTGGATCAGGTCAATGCCCAGTTGGATCTGGACGACGGGCCTGAATCCGCTACTGGCTGGGGGCTCGCCTCTGTTTATGGTCAGCGTCTCTCAGCACCGCAGCGACACTCGCTCGATCAAATGGTCCAATCCCTCATCGCCGCATTTCCCGCTCACTACTCGCTCGAAGCGCGATACGACGACATCAGTATGGTCGACATCGAACGGTGGCTGCTGCATCAACGCCTCTTCCATCACTTGCTGACGTTGCATCTGCCTCTCGTGTCAGAAGCCACCCGTCCGCACGGCAGCCTGATGTACATGGCCAGTCATATCCTCGACATTCAGGACAAGGTGACCGACATTTGCACGCGACTCGACAACTCGTATCTCAAAACACTGCAGACCTTACGCGCATGTCTGGTGCTGCTGTTGGACCTGTTCTTCGGCGAAGCGCCCGCAAGTATCAGCGGGCTGTCGCGACTGATGACGCGGAGGAAGATCACCGCTGCTCTGGACAAGATCCCGATCGACGTGTTGTCCAGCACTACAAAGCTCTGCGTTCAGCTTGTTAAGCTGTTGATGAGCTTGGAGGAGCGACGTTATCAAGGGCAGCTTGAGCCGGCAAGCCTGGGCGAGGAAGGGCTTTCGACACCCGATCAGTGCGGCGCGGTGAGCCCTGCGGCCGCGGATCTTGTCACCCTGGACGCCGCTGGGCTGCGCAATCGATGGCATTCCACTTGCCAGTTGCTCGACGTCCTCCTCAACGACGGCTACTGGCGATCTTTCCGCAAGAAACTGCTTCAGCTCGACCATCTCATTCCGGAATGGCTTCAGAAGCCGGTGCACGAAGAGGGTCTTTCGCTGCAGCCTGTCTCGCTGGATCCGCCGTCGCTACCCACGGTATTGTCACTGCCGACGGGCTCGTACGCGTCCGAGATCGAGCGTGCGTTCGCGGCAGACGCATCGCAAGACGCTCTCGAGCCGACAGCGAACAACGGCGCGCCGAACTTCTCGCTCGATCCAGAGCTATTTGGTGATTTTGATCTGGCCGGCTTCGATGCACAGCAGCCGCAGTTCGATATGGACCTGCTCGGTCATCAGGACTTCGAAGGCTACGGCAACGCAAGCCAGTCGATCGACTTTGCGAAGCTACTCATGGAGTGGCGGATTGACGTGCCGCTCAGCTAGCTGAACATCAACCACGATGCTATTGAGCCTCAAACTTTGCATCTGTCGAGAATGTCGACATCAGTGTTCCATGTGTCGCTCTAGACTGTGACCGAGGAGGCAGAGCGGCAGCGGCGAGGCAGAACAGGGTTCAAGTCTTAATCAATTGAATCTGAAGCAGTTAAAATCGAAAATGAATGCGCCTCCAGATAGGGCGGTCGCTTATCCGGCTCGAAAAGGCAGCAGCTTGAGCCGGACAAGAGCGATTTTAAGCGCGAGGCTGGGAAATTGGAGTGTGAAATTGCTTTTGAGCGCGGAAAGTTGGCTGTTCGCTCAGCGGCGGCATTTTCACAGAGCACCACAGCGACACACGAGCCAACCCCGGACTCTCGCTTCCACTATCGCTGCGCAACAGGTTATCCCGCCGAGCCTCCTCACCACCACCGTCCTCATCGACATCACCCCGTCTTCCGCATTCAGCAACGAAAAATGTCGGCACTTCAACAGGTGATTCTGCACCCGTACCTTTCGCAATTGCTGCGATTCTGGTCCACCACCGTCGGTCGCGACAAGACCTACCGAACCGTCCAGTACGCCGCGCGCTTCTTGGCGTGGTACGAATACCGCAAGGGCGCAACCAAGGAGACGGTCGCGCGACTCACCGCGTTGAAATCGCAGCTCGGGCTGAGCCGCAAGCTCATGCGCGTGGGCAAGTTCCTCGAGCACTTCCAGGCGGCGCTCAAGGCGACCACCATCCAAGACCCCGTCGTCTCCTACGCCGCCATCGGCCGACAGCTGGGCTACGGCTTCTACCTCGTCCTCGACACGCTTCAGTGGGTGCACGGCGCCAAGGTCTACACGTTCGAAAAGCCTACCATCGACCGCATCGCCAAAAACGCCGCTCGCTTCTGGCTCCTCGGTCTCACCTTCTCCCTCGCCAGCGGCAGCTACAAGACCTACGTCCTCCAACAACGCGCTTCGGGTGCCAAGAGGCCTCGCGCAACCGCAGAGAAGGAGGCAGAACGAAAGATCGAGTTGGCGCAAATTTCGACCGAACAGGCGGCAGTGCGATACCAGATGACCCAGGATGCGCTCGACTGGTTGATCCCCGCTACGGGAGCCGACATCTTGGGCCTCGACGAGGGCATTTTGGGTATCGCAGGTTGCGCATCGAGTGTCATGGGCGCCAGGACCCAGTGGCGTGCCGTCAATGGTGGTGCTGCCAAGTCGAAGTGATGCAAGAAGGAGGAGGGAAGAGGAGGAAGATTGGGCGAAGATGTACATAGCGCTGCACGCTCTTGGCGACTGCAATGATTCGAATGTTGCTTGACTTTTCGAGACAGACGGCACAGTAAGGAGAACGTGTGTGCATCGGAAGAATGATGACGGGGCGATTGAGTTGCTTTTTGCCCTATGTTGCGCTGAACTGACGGTTTGATCGGAACACGACATGAGCGGATGTTGACCTATTTGTTAGCGGGGTTGTGCTTCTTTTGGGCGATCGCACGCTCAGGTCCGCAGGAAGTGTAGTCGATCTCTGCGGCGGTCTTCTCTGAGCGTGCCTCGGGCACGACGAGCTTGGGGAGAGGCGCATCGGAGTCGTCGGACGGAGACGACATCAGAAGGGGACGGGCAGCAGATTCACCACCACGAATGCGCTGGACGCCGTGCTCGCTGTCGAAAGCGCCTCAATTGGCAGAGTTGCGCCCGACCCGTTCAAAGAACTTGTCGAAAGCCATCCTGATTGAGCCTTTGCCTTCTGTCTTCGGCTGCTCAGAGCTGCTCGAGCGAGCTTCATCCGCCTCTGCCATTTCTTGCTGTTCTGTTGACGGCTGTCGATGGGCGGACGAATCTTGCTCGTGCTCTGTGCTGTTGGATGCAGCCTTGCTGATCCCTCTGCAATTGATCAACATTTGCGAGGTGCTCATCTTCTACAACCTGTCCAATATCGATCCTGATTCTAACCGACACCAGCTGCACATGGCTCTTCTTGGGTTCAAGCTGCCAACGGTCTATTGCAGCGCATCTTTCCTGATCCGACCCCGGCCCCGGCAACGCAAGCACGACCATCACCCGTGCGTCCAGATCTCGACCGGCATGAAGGCTTCTGTCGACGCCTTCCAGCACAGAGTCATGGTTCTTCTGCCTCACGATGGAAGAGGTCCTGTGCACTGCAGCGGCATGCACACAGACCGGGGCTGCCACTACCACCACGCCGTCTTCACAGCTTCCTACGCTGACAGCAACGATGGATTCTTCAGGTGACGCTGGGAGAACCTCTCCGATGTCCGCGAGCCGATCGCCTCAGCACTACCTCCTCTGTCGCTGAGCGAGTTTCAGAACACCAGGCTGCCCTCGCATATTGGAACCGGTCCAGTGCTTGCCGACATAGAGCAGCGCGCCGAGATGTTTCGCTTTTGGCTGGAAGGCGGTACTCTTCTCGGCCAACTCGGCCGCAAATCCCAGCTGCACACCAGCCGCGGTGTCATTGACAACGTCTTCGACTGTCAGCACTTGTTGGACGACTTCGGTCTCATCGTCACGGACCTCAAGGACTTGTACGTCGCAGCTCCGCTTGTATGACACTGCATGTTCTATGCGCGTTTAACTCCGTGCAGTCGCGCTTCGATATGAAAGAAATGCCGGTTCATCGGAACAGCGAATGCCGACTCACAGGCCTGTATGCTTGCTCATCTGGACCCATGGACGTGTGAGTCTAGTCAAAGATACTCGAAACGATCAAGATTAAGGTTTGCTTCACGGCGACAATTCGGCAGGATAGAGTCACTGTGCTTTGGTGCGCCGTGTGGTGACGCCGATCTTACTGCGCTGCTGCATGGGTTTGCTGCATTTCTGCGCAGGGACGAGCAAGCCAGATCTGCTCCGCTCTGCTACCTGACTTGGAATCCAATCCTGCCCCCATGGTCTCCTTCTTGCTCGACTTTGATCTGCACTCGCCTCACGATCTACTACTGAGACCTCTCGACTGCCAGCGTCTACCACCATCATGCTCCGAGTCGCTACCCTGCAGACTAGCAGGACTTGTTCGTACGCCACCCCAAGCTTTGGTGATTGGTCCACCATCAACCCTGACGAAGATCGGCCGTCACTCTGTATGACGGGCCGTTATGGTGACGAGAAGTACCAGCAGCCGTGCGAACCGTGGGACATCCCCGCCTGGCCGCTCAAGGAGTCAACGTCATGGATGCGCTTCGACTTCATGTCAGACTGGGAGTACGAGGAAGAACTGTGGCACGAGCCAAACGTCAATGTCGAGACTGCCTATGACGGAGACGAGCTCATTTGTTTCATTCTTGCGGATCGGTCCCAGGAGCTCGAAAGACACGCTTTCGTTTGGGATCTACCGGACAAAGACGCGGTACGCGATCGACTTCTCGAGCAGCCTCGAGAGGTTCTGGCCAGGCAGGCCGTCGTCGGCGTCATTGAGAGGTCTCTCGCGGCTCCGGGCTCGCTGCGAGCATACTTGGCCGCTCTTGTGCTCAGACAGGCGCGTCTCGGTCGAGACAACGAATCGAGCACAGACGCCCCGTCTTGTGGAAGCCAGGCCTCGATAACCGACTCGTCGCGTCGCTCGCTGCCTCGTAGAGTCACTGGTACGCAAGGAAGAGGCGACTTGCTCCGGGTCCACAAGGACGGTACCTTTGTCGTCGGCTGGAGCAATGAGCAAGGTGCGTGCTTCGAGATCGAGCAGCTTTACGACGTCCGGCCTCTTCTTGTCGCCCTTTCCAACGCGTCTGGCTCGTCTCGTCGCATCAGATCGGTCATCTCTGCCATTTTCGGCAGCTTCTCGGCACATCCGGCCAAGCCCCTTCTCGAGGAAAAGGTTGCGGCTTTCATCTTCGGTCAAGAGGATGCTAGGCTAGACGTCCACAGCATGGGTGCTTTCTTCTGCCGGCTCGCCGCTGAGCATCGAAACCACTTCCCGACAAAGCGAAACCCCCGAGCTCTCGTTGTCGGCCTGGACTCGTTTCACGTCCTCCCGAAGCCGAAGAAAAAGGACAGCATCATCTACGTCCGAATCACTGGGGGTTATCTTGTGTCCGAGACCAGGGGTCCCTCAGGGGAGCGTTACGAGGATTTGACAGTCGCCATCGATCGGTATGACTCATTCTTCTGCAAGCCCTTGCCGAAGCTCGGCGACATTCTCGCGTCTCTCGGTATGACGCTGTTCGTCTATTACGACAAGGACCAGGACGACGACTTTCTCGTCAACGTGTACGAAGAGGTCTCAAAGGGGCGTGCGATCCGCGCCTTGCTCTACTATCCCATCGCCCAGCAGCTGGCCGCGAGGACGTACGAAGAGTCACTGCGCATCGCAGAGGCCTGGAAAGGTGTGCAGAGTCTGCGCCATCCGCACCGAACTCGACCTCACGTCACAACCTCCCCACAGGGAGAACACGCAGTCGTCCTTGACACAGGCCGCAAGATCGAGGGAACGCCGCAAGTGCGATTCATTCCGTACTCGAGCAAGGAAGAGGCCGAGCGGGCCAACCGGCGGTTGCAAAACTACCTGAACGACAAACGGCTAGGCGCGTTGGATCCGCACGACATCTTCTGCGTCTGGAATCTGTTCGACGGGCCGGGGAGCGTCGGTGACGCCCTCTCTCCCAGTTCCTACGACAGCGAATTTCTCAAGGCCTTGCTGGAATCTCTTCGTTTCTTCAACGCTCGAACCCTCTGGCCCCCTCCTGTTCACCAACATGTAGAGACGTAGATGGAGAAATCAATTGTTCCGATGTCTACGAGCTCGACTACGAGTTCAGCTTGCTGTCCGATACTGATGTCTTTGAGAGTGCGTCGGCAAGGTCATCGGTCTCGTCGTGCTTTGCCTCGGTTGCTTTTGGCCCGCTCTCCTCTTCCTCATCGGCGTCCTCTTCCTCATCCTCCTCATCCTCGTCCTCACTGACTTCGCCGTCAGGATCCATCTCGTCCAGCTCCTCCAGGGCATCCTCGTGTCCATGCTTCGCTAGTGCGCTCTTGATCTTCTCGATGCAGTCATCCTCCTCGTCTGCCCAGTTGCCGTTGATGTCGAGCTTGGTGAGCTTGGTCAGGTGCACCTCGATCGCACTTCCGAGCTGGTCGAGCACCTTTCGGTCGAGGTCACAGTACTGGACCTGGATCGTCTCGAGCGCGGGGTTGCTGCCGTTGGCAAGGGCGCCGAAGACGAGCGCACCACCCTTGGGCTTGAGCAGGCAGTCGGAAAGGTTCAAAGTCTTGAGCTTGGGCCACTTGGGAAGGCAGGCGGCGATAGCGCGGGAGCCTCGTAGTGTTGCAGTATTGTCTTGAAGGTCGAGAACCTCGAGGTTGGGACATGATGCGAGACCTTTGCTGATGGCTTCGATGCCTTCCATGCGAATGCCGTTCTGGAACATGCGGACTTCTACCAATCCACCGTGTGCTGCATATGCCTTGGCCCAGACTGGCGCCGAGCCGTTTTCGAGTCGGTTGCGTCCGCAGATGACTGTGCGGAGCTTTGATTCCAGTCCCTTTGTCTTCAAGTTCTGCGCAGCCTCGAAAAGAGCTTCCGCTACAATGGTACCGCCCGTGATGCCCAGTCCGTTGTTGTTAAGCTTGAGCACCGAGAAGCTGTGGTTGTTCTTGAGAAAGTTGACCATGGGCTCGGCCGATCGCCCACCGAAGGCATTGTCCGAGAGATTGAGCTCCACGAGGCTGGTATGATCTATGAGAGCATCGCAAAGGGCCCTGAGCGCATCTGGAATTTCGGTGATGAGCCTCCCTGTGAAGATGTCGGCGAAGTCAGCAACCTGTCGAAAGTAAGGCAGAGTGCAAGTCAGCATGCGTGCGAGCTTAGGCGATGGATGGCGGGGCAGTGGTAGCTTACCTTGAGTGACTTCTTGCTCTTGAGGACATCGGCGAGCGCTTGACATGCTTCGACGCCGAGTGTGTTGCCTCCAAGGTGGACCTCTTCAAGGTCGGCAACCTTTTCGAGCTCATCGAGGTGAGGTTGGATGTCGGCTTTGCTATCGAGCTTGAGACCCTTGCCGACCAAGGAGAAGACCTTAGCGTTGTCCGTCATGGTGTGTGAGCGGAATTGATGGGAGAGAGTGGCTGTTTCGATATGAGGAAGAGAAAGCTGAGTCGAACAAAGCAATCAAAGTAACACTTTTTGCTTGACCTCTCTCACACGCGTGCATGCTAAGCTGTTGACAGTTCTTCTATATCGGGCCGATCTACACAGATCTGACAGATCTGATTAAGCCCGACTCGCGCGACATGGCCGTTCAAATTCCAACGTTTTACTCGCGATCCGCTGCGGCAAAGGCTCCCAAATCAGTCTTGCATCTTCAAGCTTCGGATACGTTTGGTCGATCGCTGCAGATAATTGCGTTCGTAACGGCAGCAATGGCTCAGACGCTGAAATGAATACTTGGAGGGGTCTGAACAACGACCTGCGATGACCAACGGCAGGCGATGGATGGTCCCTGCTGTTATTCGAAAGCAGGGTCTGCGTGGTCAGTTGTCTGCCAGGATATGAATCAACCTTTTTGGGATCCATGCGCGCAAGGGCCGTCATGAGTGTTGTTCGCCGACGGCACTTGAACAGCATAGAGTCTGAATGGTGTGTGCGCAGTTCTTCTTGAAAATCAAAGGGCAAGGGTCGAATAGGACGAGTTGTATTCAAGCCAGGTCTTCACCAGGCAGGTTGAGCACTTCGGCAGAGGCTTGGTTTCGCTTCTGAGTCTAGCTTGTATTCGAATCCTTCACATCGCGCTGAGCAAGCCCGAGAATTTCCAAAAGATCTGCGAGCTGCCATTCGCCGGGCTGCTGCTTGCCTCTTCCCTCAAATTTTTTCTTCTTCTGAAGCCAGAGCGGCTCAGTTGCCTGCCACACTCAGGCGGCCGCCCTCTTGTCAAATTCTGCATTGCCTTGTGCAACCACAGAATTTCATCTGCCACGGTGGCCCTGCCCGCTCAGCCTGGCGCCCGCCGCTGTCGCCGCCCTGAGATAGAGATCACCATCTCCGTCGCCTTTCCGATCTACTCCCACCACCCATCCCCCCTACCCTATCCATCTCCCCCGTACTCCAGCGCATCGACGCTAGTGTTCAGTCAAGATGGTTAAGTGAGTATCGTCAATCGCAGCAATTGCCATCATCAAGTCAGAGAAAGCCTATTCGCATTTCGAGAGGTCTTTGAGGTCGATCTTGGCCCGAGACAGACCACCTTTCAGCACGGCTTCTTGCATGGACTTGCTGCCAGTCCACATCCAGTAGTCTTGTCTTACATCATGAGCTGACCATCGTCGAACCCCCGCACTCTTTGCCTGACCTTTACCCACCCCACAGCTTCACCGTCGACGAGATCCGTGGCCTCATGGACAAGCCCACCAACATTCGTAACATGTCGGTCATTGCCCACGTCGACCACGGCAAGTCCACCCTTACCGACTCGCTCGTTTCCAAGGCCGGTATCATCGCCGGTGCCAAGGCCGGTGACACCCGTTTCATGGACACCCGTGATGATGAGAAGGAGCGTGGTATCACTATCAAGTCCACCGCCATCTCCATGTACTTCCCCATGGAGAAGGACGCTCTCGACTCCATCGCCCAGAAGAAGGATGGTGCCGAGTTCTTGATCAACCTCATCGACTCGCCCGGTCACGTCGACTTCTCCTCCGAAGTCACCGCCGCCCTCCGTGTCACTGACGGTGCCCTCGTCGTCGTCGACTGTATCGAGGGTGTCTGTGTCCAGACCGAGACCGTGCTCCGACAGGCCCTTACCGAGCGTATCAAGCCCGTCGTCTGCTTGAACAAGGTCGACCGTGCTCTTCTCGAGCTCCAGGTCGGCAAGGAGGACCTCTACCAGTCCTTCATGCGAACCATCGAGTCTGTCAACGTCGTTATCGCCACCTACAACGACCCCGTTCTCGGTGAGAGCCAGGTCTACCCCGAGAAGGGTACCGTCGCCTTCGCCTCCGGTCTTCACGGCTGGGCCTTCACCCTCCGCCAGTTCGCCAACCGTTACGCCAAGAAGTTCGGTGTCGACAAGGATAAGATGATGGTCAAGCTCTGGGGCGACAACTTCTTCAACCCCAAGACCAAGAAGTGGACCTCCAAGGACACCGACGCCGACGGCAAGCCCCTCGAGCGTGCCTTCAACATGTTCGTCCTCGACCCCATCTTCCGTGTCTTCGACGCCATCATGAACTTCAAGAAGGACGAGATCCCCAAGATTCTCGAGAAGCTCGATGTCAAGCTCACCCAGGACGAGCAGGATCTCGAGGGCAAGCAGCTCCTCAAGGTCGCCATGCGCAAGTTCCTTCCCGCCGGTGACGCCCTCCTCGAGATGATTGTCATCCACCTCCCCTCGCCCGTCACCGCCCAGCGCTACCGTGTCGAGACCCTGTACGAGGGCCCCCTCGACGACGAGTCGGCCATCGGTATCCGTGACTGTGACCCCAAGGGCCCCCTCATGCTCTACGTCTCCAAGATGGTGCCCACCTCGGACAAGGGTCGTTTCTACGCCTTCGGCCGTATCTTCTCCGGTACCGTCAAGTCGGGCCCCAAGATCCGCATCCAGGGTCCCAACTACACCCCCGGCAAGAAGGAGGACCTCTTCATCAAGTCGGTTCAGCGTACCGTGCTCATGATGGGTCGTTACGTCGAGCCCATCGAGGACTGCCCCGCCGGTAACATTCTCGGTCTCGTCGGTGTCGACCAGTTCTTGCTCAAGTCGGGTACCCTTACCAGCTCCGAGACTGCCCACAACTTGAAGGTTATGAAGTTCTCCGTCTCGCCCGTCGTGCAGGTCGCCGTCGAGGTCAAGAACGCCAACGACTTGCCCAAGCTCGTCGAGGGTCTCAAGCGTCTCTCCAAGTCCGACCCCTGTGTGCAGGCTTGGATCGCCGAGACTGGTGAGCACATTGTTGCCGGTGCCGGTGAGCTCCACCTCGAGATTGTCCTCAAGGATCTCGAGGAGGACCACGCCCAGATCCCCCTCAAGATCTCGGACCCCGTCGTTGGTTACCGTGAGACCGTCCAGGCTGAGTCCTCCATGGTCGCTCTCTCCAAGTCGCAGAACAAGCACAACCGTCTCTTCGTTAAGGCTGCCCCCATCGAGGAGGAGCTCTCCAAGCTCATCGAGGCCGGCAAGATGACCCCTCGTGACGACTTCAAGGCTCGTGCCCGTATCCTCGCCGACGAGTACGGATGGGATGTTACTGACGCCCGTAAGATTTGGTGCTTCGGTCCCGAGACCACCGGCCCCAACCTGCTGGTCGATGTCACCAAGGGTGTTCAGTACCTCAACGAGATCAAGGATTCGTGTGTCGCCGCCTTCCAGTGGGCTACCAAGGAGGGTGTCTGCGCTGAGGAGCCTATGCGTGGTACCCGCTTCAACATCCTCGATGTTACCCTCCACACCGATGCCATCCACCGTGGTGGTGGACAGCTGATCCCCACGTGCCGACGTGTGTGCTACGCCGCCGCTCTGCTCGCCCAGCCCGGTATCCAGGAGCCCGTCTACCTGGTCGAGATCCAGTGCCCCGACTCTGGTCTTGGTGGTATCTACTCGTGCCTCAACAGGCGTCGTGGCCACGTCTTCTCCGAGGAGCCCCGTGTCGGTACCCCCATGGTCACCGTCAAGGCTTACCTGCCCGTCAACGAGTCGTTCGGTTTCAACGCCGATCTCCGACAGGCCACCTCCGGTCAGGCTTTCCCTCAGTCCGTCTTCGACCACTGGCAGCTCCTCCCCGGTACCCCTCTGGAGGCCGGCAAGACCCTCGACATTGTCACCGGCATCCGCAAGCGCAAGGGTCTTAAGCTCGAGGTACCAACGCTTGATTACTACAACGACAAGCTCTAGAGCGTTGCACGTCATCGTAGCATGCTTTGGACGCGATCCGGTCGATATGAGCGACGTGCCCCCGGCATCTCCCGCAATTTCTGGCTGTTTGTGTCGTTCCCCAAAATTTGATTCGTTTCCTCTCTTTGTCCGGGTGTGCGAGTGTCTTGGAAACCGTTCTGTACCCTGAGAAGGGTGATGTACTACAACGACAAGCTCTAGAGCGTTGCACGTCATCGTAGCATGCTTTGGACGCGATCCGGTCGATATGAGCGACGTGCCCCCGGCGTCCGAAAATTTTGGTGCCACTTCGTGGCACCAAAATCCGACAAAGTATTCCTCTTCTTCCTCGGCGTGACGGTGTTTCGATCCTTGCAGCGTCCTTGGACGGTGCTGCTAGCTTGCGATCATCTCGACGTCAGTCGAAGGCGGAGGACGACGAGCACGATGAGGAGGAGCACCGAATCGCATAATTTTGAATCGTGTTAAATTTGGCTCTACACGGTGCTGGCTCGAATTTTTCTCGCTGGAATCGATACGCGAGGTTCGAATTCGCGACTCCCGCGGAAGGGTTGGTCTCACGAGGTGAGTGGAAAACGCTTTCCGGTCCCTTCCAGCCCTCAGATCACCTTCACCTCGATCATACACCAGCCATCTCGCAGTCGGCAAGATCCTACTCAGCATCAACGGCTGACACTGCTCTTGCAAAGATGGCGGTCTTCTCGCTATCAACACTCCTCCAGAATGTTCCGCCAGGAACAAGGATCTTAACATCAGCTCTTCTCGCATTCACAACGCTGCTCTTCTTCCTGCGATTGCGGACTGGTCTTGGCTTCGGCACCGTCAGCGCAGTGCAGTTCCCATGGTTGGTGATTGTGCCCGGCGCAAGCTTCTTCTACCCATGGACGCTCGTCACGGCAGCTTTCTGCGAGTCTTCCACGCTCGAATTCCTGGTCTCGATCATCTCTCTTCCACTCGCCGCAAGGTATCTCGAACGACAATGGGGTGCCGTCGAGCTGATCAAGTTTGCGCTCGTCATTGTGACCGTCAGCAACGTCATCGCATGGGGAGTTCAGCTCCTGCTTTTTGGTGTCTTTCGCAAGGAGGCGCTTATCTGGGGCATCCAATATCACGGTCTCCAAGCGCTGCAGACCGCCTTCCTCGTCGCCTTCACGCAACTCATCCCGGAGCATCAGGTGCAAGTCCTTTCCGGCGCCCTCAAACTCCGTGTCAAAGACCTGCCAATGCTCTACGTCACGGTTAGCAACGTCATGTGCCTGATCGGCTACAACTCGCCGTGGATCCTGATCCAGTTCGGCTGGCTCGTTTCGTGGGCCTATCTGCGCTTCTTCAAGCTCAACGAGTCCGGGTATCGGGGCGACCGCAGCGAGGCTTTCGCGTTCATCAACTGGTTCCCGCCCTTCGCTCACAAGCCGGTGCAGTTTATCTCGACGACGCTCTTCACCATCTTTGTTAAGATTGGCATCGTACAGCCGTGGACCGGCGGGGACTATGCCGATTTGGAAAGCGCGAGTCTGAACGGGCAGCCGCAGCAGCATGGCAGCGCACGAGCGGAGGCGGAGAGGAGAAGAGCAATGGCGCTCAAGGCCTTGGATCAGAGGCTGTCGGCGAACAAGAGCTCGGTCAGCCGGTCCAACAGCCGGTCTAGTGGTTTGCAAGGAGCCGCGGCGAAGGAGGGCGCATCCTCGTCGACTGGTGCGGATGCGGCCGCATCGGGATCCGCTTCGACAGCACAATCGCTTCCAACGGTCGTGTTCGAGGCTCCACCGGAGGATCTGCCAGGCGAGAAGGAGAAGGAGTCCAAGTAGATCGCTGCTGCACGCAGCCCAGGCATGCAACGTCAGTCACACACCGTCATATGTAGGCCACACGCACGGATGAATTCAAATGATATCGAACATTTTTATATGAGCATGGTGTACAAGTGTTGACGCGCAAGTAGAGCGTGGGGAAGAACGCTGATCATCGCGGGCCGTGATGCTTGGCCAGTCTGGGGCCTCTTCGAGTGCGCGGCAGAAGATCCATGACCCGGTGTCGGAGGGCGGTGACAAACGCTTTCGTGTGAAATATTGGCTGTCTTGTCGCCGCCTACCCGGGAGAAGGACGTGCTGAGAGCACTCCCTCAGTTCGTCTTGCCGGTGAAGGGCTTAACGGGACCCATTTGCTGCTGGAGACTGCTGATCAGACTAGAGAGACTCGCGACCTCGATGCGAAGCGCGGCATTCTCATCTACGAGCGACGTCATCTTGGTGTGAAGCTATTGAGTGCGTGCCCTGGCGGAACGAAGCTGCTTGTTGAGCTGCTCGATGCTGTCGAGCGAGGCAGTTGTCGAGCGGATGTCGACTTGACGCCTTTCCATCATGCGTCGCAGCTTCGCAAAGTGCTGTCGTTGAGTGATGGAGTCGGCTTCCACGACGCTGAGCGACGCTGTACTGTGCGCTCGGTCGCTCGAGACGGCATCATTTCTGGTCTCGACGGCATCACCGCTCTCAAGATGCCCATCTTCTACAACCCTTTCGACATCAATCCCGATCAATGTCCGACACCAGCTGCGCATTGCTGGAAAACCTGGACGGAACCATTCCTGGCAGCCAGTCCTGCAGTGGTCGCTTCCAGTCTGGTCCGCGAAGGACGAGACCACGCCGATCTTCTTCCCAGCATCTGACGGTCTCGGTCTGCCAGCAGAGATCAGCGAAGATGGCGGTGACGCGCTGAGCGTACCATCTTCGTCAACGTTTTCAGAGACAGATTGGCGCACAAGTCTTCACAGACGAGGAAGCGGGGCGAGCAAACACAATGGCGTCGGCTCAGAGGCAAGACGATTCTTCCGAGATGCATCGCCCTCGACTTTGCGACATCCTCTACTCGCTCAACAAGATGCTGCATCTCACGCACGAGGCCATCGACAGCACCAGAAAGGTGTTCGACAAAGATGGGAAGCCGGTCTTGGACGACAACGGGAAGCCGGTTCTGGTTCCCATCGAAGAGAACAAGAGGCCAATCGCCGAAGGCTTCCAGAGAGTCATCAACAGCCGTGCTCTTCGCGCCCTACTGTACTACCCCGCGGCACAGCGTCTGGCGGCCAGGTCGTACGACGAAAGGCACGCGATCTACGGCGAATGGGCCGAAGTGCAGAGCATGCGCACTCCTCAGCGGCCTGAGCCTGCGGCGTACATCCGGGCCGAAAGGTTCGTCATGAACTTGGACGCTGGCCACGACATAGACCACACGACGAATCGGACGAAGCTCACATGCGCCTATCCGTCGATGCAGGACGCAACTTCGGCAGCAGAGCGTCTCAAGGACTACCTGCAGGACGTCCGTCTCTCTGCGCTGGGTCCCTACGACATCTCCGGGGTCTGGTATCATCTCGAGGGCCAGGGAAACCTCGCCAAGCGGTACTGGGATGTCAACACAGGTCTCGAGAGGGAGGAAGATGACGACAATGTCAGGCTGCTCAATATCGTCGATCTTCGTGGTGTTGCTCTTGATCGCTGTCCGCTCTCTGGTCTTAAGCAAGACATCGACGAGTGTCCCAAGTACGACCGACTTCCGTGCGTCCAGATCTCGACTGGCATGAAGGCTTCTCTCGTCGCTTTCCAGCACCGAGTCATGGCTCTTCTGCCCCACGATTACTGCACGTGAAACAAATGTGCGAGATGAATGCATTGATAGGAACGTGGTGTACAAAAAATGATGCGCGGACAGAATTGAAGACATGGTCCATTGAACCCTTTGATCATCGTGGACCATAACCCTTGGCGACTCTTGGCTTGTTGTTCGACGAGCCCAACTTCTTGCCATCGCGCTTGGCCTTCCTCTTGAACGCGCGCAACTCCTTCTTCATCCTCGGGTCGACCATCTTGTAACGACCCTTGGTGCCCTTGGGACGACCCTTGAGACCCCTGTTAACACCCTTGGCCACGACGAGCTGCACCTCCTTCTTCTTCTGGCCACCCTTGACCGACTTGGCGAGGATCTTGTTGATGGTGGACGACTTTTCCTTCTCGGTGATGTCCTCGTTCTCGTTGATGGTCTCGGCCTTCTTCTGGGCCTTTTCGAGTCGACGCAGCGTGCGCATCTTCTTTCGCGCCTTGGCTTCGGCAACCTTCTTGATGGGTCGGACGTCGAGGGCGCGCTGGCGGTCGCGAAGCGCCTGCATGGCCTCCTTGGTGATTGGGATGTTGGCCTTGTAGTGCTTGGTCTCGTCGTCGAGGAACCATGTGGGGAGGCCGTCCTTGTCGACAAAGTTGTGCTTGGAGAACCCTTGATCCATCAGATCCTCCTTGGTGATCTGGCGGTTGACGAGTGCTTGAGCGAGGGCGACGGCTTCGGCGGTGGCGAGACCGTGGTCTCTGATACGCTTCTGCTTGCCTGCCTCTTCGTCTTCTCCGTCCAAGTCCCACTCCTCGTCTGGGATGGCGTCCTCCTGCTGGTCTTGTGGAACGACCTCAAAGTCATCCTCCTCCTGTTCGCTTCCAGATGCGGAGACATACTCTTCGTCGCTGTCGACTTCCTCTTCGCCCTCCTCGCTGTCATCTTCTTCCTCCTCCCAAGCGTCCTCGTCGTCTTCGTCGCCCTCCAGCTGCTCTTCAGCATCTTGCTGGTCGAGCTCGAGATCCTTGAAGAGCGGGTTGTCGAACCAGATGGATGCTTCGCGGCTCTGCTGTGCGCTGATTTCGCTGTCGCTGACGAGGCTGTTGACGAGCGAGCGTTTTGACGGCTTGGCTTCAGGAATCTCTGGGTCGGCAACGACGATGTCACGCTTCCTCTTTTTGGTCTGCTGCATGGCTTCTCGCTCGAGACGCTCGTCCTCCTCGTCCTCCTCGTCGTCAGAGTCGAAAGTCTCCTCCTGCTCCTTGCGTCTCTGCACGACATGGTAGCCGCCTTCGCTCTCGTCGCTCATGTTGGCCTCATCGTCTTCATCTTCCTCGTCGTCATCCTTGATGCCGTGCCAGGAGTCGTTCTTGGCATCCTTGAGACGTGCCTCTTTTGCGCGGAACTTGGCGTCGCGCTCGGACTGCTTTTGCTTGAACTCGTCGTATAGCGCATCCATTTCGGCGTCCAGGCGTTTCGCTCGTGCTTCCGGATCATCGTCATCAGCGCTGTGAGAGGCTGAAATAGTATCGCTCTCGTCGTCGGAGATATTGGCCTCTTGGATGGCTGCCTTCCGCGAGACTCGTTCGCCCGAGTTGATGTCGAACATGTCGTCGTTGCCAGCACCCAATTGGTCATCCATGACATCCATGCCGATATCCATGGGTGTGGTCATCTGAAGCTGCATCTTGAGGATCTTCTTCTGGCGAATCTCGTTCTTGCGACGTCGCTCTTTGCGTGCTTTGCGGGCGGCTTCCTCATTGAGCCTCGCAATCTCGTCGTCGATCTGGTCGTCTTCGTCCATCTCTTCGACTTCGACGGTCTCGATCTGTTCTGCGAGCTCCTTCTGCTTCGATTTCGGCAGATCGATGCCAAGGGCGAGACGCACCTCCTTGCGCCAGTCCATGAGGTTGCGGAAATCCTTCTTGCCGAGCACCTTGAGATCGGAGCAGTTCTCGCGCATCTCGTCAGTGGTCTGTGCAAGTTCGAGCAGCTTCTTGCTCTCATCCGACTTGAACGAGATCTCGTTGTATGAACCGAGCATGCCGATAACGTCCTGGCCCTTGATAAAGTCAGCGGCGTCGAGGGAGTGGAAAAGGGTATAGTCTCCGTCGGCGTAACCTTCACGGTGCTTGCGAACTTTCTTGGGGGCAAAGACATTGGCGTGCGCATTGCCTGCAGATGTGCCTTTCAAGGTGAGAGGCACGCCAGAGTCTGGGTCTTCGCTGGCGAGGGCGGCGGGGTCGAGCTCCTTGAAGACGTGCATAGGGTCGAGGAACTTGGGATCGATGCGGGCCGGGTTCTTGTATCCTTGGCAGACGACGAAGATCTCGGCGGAGACGTTACGTGATGAGGACGGCTTGGTAGCCTCGACCTTCTTGAAGAGCTGATTGAACACCCAGAGCAGGTTGTTGTAGTCTTTGGAACGGAAGACCTTGGTGACGAATGTGCCGCCTGCATTGAGGAACTCGACGGCGAGACGCAGTGATTGGAGCGTCAACTCGGACTGGGCATAAGCATCTTGCACCCAGGCGGTACCGACGTTGGGCGCACCGTCGTGAATGACAATGTCGGCCTTCCAGTCCTTGAGGATCTGACGGAGCTGGTCTCTGCATTTGTATGAGTTGATATCTTCGGCAAACGTGATAGTGCGTGGAATGGGCTTGATGGGGACGAGATCGACACCGACGATGAGCGAGTTGGCGGGCATGAACTTGGAAGCGACCTGGAGCCAACCACCGGGAGCGGCGCAGAGATCGATACAGCATCTGGCCTTTTCGAGGAAGTTGTACTTCTTGTTGAGCTGGACCAGCTTAAAGGCGGCACGGGATCGGTAGCCCTGTTCCTTGGCAAGCCAGTAGAACTTGTCGAGACGACCCTTGGCCGTCTTCTTCTGCTGCTTCTTCGCCATCTTGAAGGGCGAGCGAAGTGATTGACAAGCCTTTGGTGGTGGTGGATGGCAGCGAGTGGCATCTCGAAGCTGCTGATAACTAGCAGGCTCAGCCTTCAGCCGCTGCCAGCTTCCCAAATTCTCAAAAAAAATAAGGCCTCAAGGCTAGAGAGCTGCAGCTCCCGCCGCCATGCTCGCTCGACCTGGAAGCTTTTTCAAAATTTCAGAGTCGAGGACCCTGAATGGAGAAAATTCAATCGCACGAGTGGAAGAGCTGCGGTCAAGCGTCTCTTGGCCTAGGGAAGGAGCACAAAGGGAAGCGCGCTCGCAGACTGAGGGCGCGTTGATTTTCACTGGCTTGTAGTCGCGCAGAGCAAGCCAATTCAGATTCTCGAGAAGAAGCTCGAGAAGACTTTGAATTCAAGGCAGCGAAGAAGAAGCGAAGAAGAAAAGAAAAATCACGCTCAGCAGCAGTTGAGAAGCCTGCCCGGCGCTTTCGAGTGCAGCTCAGTCTTCATCATCATCCGAGGTCACGACTCGCTCTCCTCCTTTATCCTCAACGATCGCTTACTCTGTCTTCACCACAAAAAGGTCGTATAGACCCATTTCACACCCAGCTACATTGGCCGGCTCTTTCGTTCAGCCTTCGCCGATCAACGCCCGGTCCGACACAGACACCATCGATTCTTCAGCTTCGGTCCCGGTGCTCTTACGACCCTACCCGCACATTCATACCAGTTGCATACCAACACCCAGCTATAGCACAAGATGCCTAGCGTCGACGACATTACAAACGGCGTCGATGAGCTCGACTTCATCGACGATGCCGACATTGACTTTTCCGACATCGAACAAAAGTACTCGGTCAAATTCGACGAGGGTCTCGACGATGTGATCGTCATCGAGGGCGTCCCTGCCATTACCGAGTCGCGCCAGCAGAAGCTCTTCGAGACCGTTCAGAAGCGTTTCAAGACCCACGCCGGCATCGACATCGCTGTCGAGGGCATGCACATCCCTTACGGCGACAATGGTGAATCCAAGGGCTACATTTTCGTCGAGATGGCTTCCGCCGAGGATGCCGCTCAGGCCATTCGGCAGATGGATGGCTACGCCTTTGACAAGAAGCACCGCTTCTCCGTCCACCGCTTCACCGACGTTGAGAAATTCGCCAGCCTTTCAGAAGAGTACGCAGAGCCCGAAGAGGAGGAGTTCAAGCCCCGCGAGCACCTTCGCTCCTGGCTCGCAGACGCCTCGGGTCGCGACCAGCTCGTCATCTGCCGTGGTGACGACGTCGAGATTGCGTGGCACAACCGCTCCTCGGATCCTCAGGTCGAACACAGCCGTCCTCGTTGGACAGAGAGCTACGTGCAATGGTCGCCCCTCGGAACCTTCCTCACCACCTTCCACCGACAAGGTATCCAGATCTGGGGTGGTCCTTCGTGCGAGCGCTTCATGCGTTTCCCTCACCCTGGCGCCCGTCTTGTCGACTTCTCTCCAAGCGAGCGCTACATGGTCACATGGTCGCACGACCCTATCCAGGTGCCCGACAATGCCCCCATCGGTCCTCAATTCTTCGGCCCCGAAGATGAGGGCAACCGCATCGCAGTCTGGGAGGTCCGAACCGGTCACCTTTTGCGATCCTTCCCCGTGCCTCAGGATGAGAATGGACAGCCAGGCCAGCTCAAGGGCTTCTCGTGGCCCTTCCTCAAGTGGAGTCCCGATGACAAGTACTGCGCACGTCTCAACCCCGGCCAGGCGATCAGCGTCTACGAGACTCCCTCCATGGGTCTGCTCGACAAGAAGTCGATCAAGGTCGAGGGCGTCGTCGACTTTGAATGGTGCCCAATGGGCGAGAAGGAGCGCGAGGCTGCCGAGTCGGGCAAGCCTAACAAGAAGGTCAGGGACAACATGATCGTCTACTGGCAGCCCGAAGTGGCCAACCAGCCCGCACGTGTCACCGTCATGGCCGTGCCAACAAGAACCATCCTCCGTTCCAAGAACCTCTTCAACGTTTCGGATTGCAAGCTTCACTGGCACCCGCAGGGCGACTACCTCTGCGTCAAGGTCGACCGACACACCAAGACAAAGAAGTCCATGTTCTGCAACCTCGAGATCTTCCGCGTGCGAGAAAAAGAGTTCCCCGTCGAGGTCGTCGAGCTCAAGGACGCCGTCACCGCCTTCGCATGGGAACCACACGGAACCCACTTTGCCCTCATCTCGAGCAACGACCCGCAGCTCGGCACACCGGCGCCGGGTATCACCATCAAGACTCAGCTCAACTTCTACCACCTTCACCCCAAGGGCGACTTCCGTCCGCTCAAGTCGTTTGACAACAAGACGCTCAACGCGCTCTTCTGGTCCCCACGCGGTCGTCACATGGTCGCTGCTACGCTTGGCAGCTCGCAAAAGTTCGACCTCGAGTGGTACGACGTCGATTTCATGCACGAGGTGCGACAGGGCAACCCTTCTGCCGACCCAGCGGACGATGTCAAGCTGATCGGCACCGGCGAGCACTACGGCATCACCGATCTTGAGTGGGACCCATCGGGACGCTACGTTGCGACCTCGGCCTCGGTCTGGCGCCACTCGCTTGAGAACGGTTTCGCCGTCTGGGATTTCAAGGGGCAAGAGCTGCAGAAGCACATCCAGGACCGCTTCAAGCAGATTCTCTGGCGTCCACGACCGCGATCGCTGCTGAGCAAGGAGGACAAGTACAAGGTGCGCAAGAACTTGCGAGAGTACTCCAAGCAGTTCGAGGAGGACGATGCCGCCGAGGAGTCCAACCTGGCTACCGCCGAGCGCGAACTGTACCAGCGCATTCTCGAGGAGTGGAAGGCATGGCGTGGCCGTGCTCGCCGCGATCTCGAGCAGCTGCGCGAGGATCTCGGCCGCGAGGAGGTCGGACAGAGCGTCGACCATGCCAAGAAGCTGGCCGAGGAGGCTACCGAGGAGGTGCAGGAGTGGAAAGAGGAGATCATCGAGGAGACCGAGGAGGTACTTTCTTAAGCATTATCCTGACGTTTGCAACCTCGTCGGCTAGCCGGGTTACGCTCACCGCATTGAATCTGGGAGCTGTTGTCTCGTGTCACACATTCGATATGTATACATTAGGCGTGCGTCTTGTACAATGGTGATACTCTGAACCCACAGAGCCTGCCTGCCATTGCGTCGAGTCTCCGCACCTTGAAATGCCTGTTGAGCCGTGACGAGGCATTCGTCACGCATTGTGGTGACCGGTGTGCGAGAGGGCCTGTTGCGAGGTAGCTGCGTCATTGCTATGGAGGTATTGAGGATGAAGAGGTTGTTGCTGTGGAAGACGAGCTTGAGCTAGCGTCACGGAACGCTCGTCTCCAGTGCGCTTGCCCTAGCTCCTGCATATCCTTCTCGATGTCCTTCGGGAGATTGATGTGCTTGACCGACTTGGGCTCGAAAGTGGTGTCTAGCAATCTCGACGTCTTGCGGTGCATGTACTCGATTTGGGCAAAGTCGCGTCGCTTCAGACCGCCTCCCCACGATGGATGCTTGAAGAAGTAGCGAAGGTAGATGGTAAAGTCTCGTCGATGTTCCTGTCAATTGATAGAGGCAGGGGGTGTTTGTCAGTGTCAAGTGAGACCTTCGGTATAGACTCCTTTCGAGCGCCTGTACGTACCTGCTCTTTGGTTTTGATGATGCGAAGTCCTCGTCGATAGAGCGCTAGAATTTCCTTCTGCGCCTGTGTCAGCTTCTTTGCAGGTGGCATGGTGGAAACAGCTACGACTCGAGATGTCTGCCAGAGCTTTCGAGAGGAAGAAGGATTAGGTCGAAGAAGGTGCAACCGAGTTAGCTAAAGCTTAAATCTCCACATGCAGCCGAGAAGGGCTCGGAAGTCGGATCACCCTGCGAGCCTCGAGCCAAAATTTTGGAATTGCCGAGAAGAAGACTTGTCCTTGCTTCTTCTTACTTCTTCTTCCACCACACCTCGTCATCGCTCTTGACGCGGCACCCATCTTCTAGCTCTCAGGAGCAGCCGCAGCCATGCCGAAAGCATCCAAAAGGCAGAAGGAGAAGAAAGCCGACTTTCAGAAAACCAAGCTCAAGCTCGGCAAGGGAAAGCAAGCTGCCAACAATGCTACCGACGTCTCGTTCAAGGCCAAGACCATTGCTCTTCCGCAGCAGTCGATCAATGTCGACAAGTCGGGCAAACTTGTCAACTCTCGCAATCTCACCATCACCGACTTGGCTCTCCAGCTTCGACACTACTCGGCAGGCGTTCGTCGCGATGCTGTCAGCGGCATCAAGGAGATCCTCACGTTGCATCCCAGCTTGATCCTGACGGACGCAGCTTCCCTCATCCCAGAGCTCGCCCGTTGCATCGGCGACGAAGACGCGGCTGTACGAAAGCAGCTACACGTTCTGCTCAGCTGGATGCTGCCGCAAATCCCTGCTCAGCTGCTAGGCCCGTATCACGGCACACTGCTTCTCTTCACGACCTCAGCTCTCAGCCACATCTATCCCGAGGTACGAATCGGCGCTGTCAAGATCCTTGACGTGTGTCTCAGCATCCTGCCGCAAGTAGCAACAGCAGGCTGGGAGAACGCTGTGTACAATATGGCAAGTGCTGTCTCTTCTGCACAGAGTTCGACCGGCAGCTCGGATGCGGCAGGCCCCAGCAAGGCCTCGCACCAACCGCATGGCGAGCGAATCATGAACTGCTACCTCAATCTTCTTGGCATCACGCATCGGTCAAGCGCTGCAGCTTCCATCACCTCTATCGACCTTGCGCCGGGTGCGAAGCTGCTCATCCTTCAGTCTCTCAGGACCTTCCTCTCGCACGCTCTTCCATCTACATCAGGCGACATCGAAGATACTGGCAACGAGCAGTCTTGCCCGACTTGGTTCTTCCGTTCCGCTTTTGCATCATCGGCTGAATTCGAGTACTTTCAGCGGATTCTCGGTCGTCACTCAAGGTCGTCACGGTCGCGTAGCGTCTCGATACAGCAAATGCGAACGCACAAAACTCAGGAGCTATCAGCGTCTCAGCACGGCATCCAAGCATCGTACGCGGACTGGCCGGCAGCCGATCGGGCGACATTATCACTCATGGACTTGGATTCGACTTCAGGCAAGTCATTGAATCAGACCGATCTTTACAGCTCGCTTCAAGCAGCCGTCACCTGGCAATCTACCCTCGGGAGGGACTCCCCGACGACAGGATCGGGGAAATTGGCAAAGTCAGCAGCACTGTCACTGTACGCCCTACTCGATCCAGTCTTGCTCGCCTCTTTCCTAGATACTGCACCTTCAGCATTTCAGCCGGATCTGGACCTCTCGCAGCAAACTCACGGCCAGAATGCCGGACTCTCAACTCCCGCACAGCTCGTGTTTGAGATTGTCAGTCTCATGCTAGCTCTGTGGCGCGGCTCGTCGTCTCCCAGCTCAAAAGCGCGGACGTCGCTCGCAGATACCCTCGGCCACATCTCGGTCTACTTTCCCTTCAGCCACCACACCGGCTCGAGCGGTCTCTCGGCGAAAGCAAAATCGGCGGTGGTACAGATGGACCTTGCATACGCCGAGCTTGCCGCCCTTCTGGCTCTGAACGAGGCGGCCTCTCAAAAGATCAAGTCAAAGTTCAACGTCGAGGTGCAGATTGCTTCGGTCTCTTCTTTCATCGCAGAGCTACTGTCCACGCCCGTGACAGAGAGTGGCACCGTCTCTCTCGCATCCACCGGGGCATCTGCCGGTAGTGTCCTCGATCCGGACACCTTTCGTGCGCTGCTACCCACATTGTGGTTCTTACTCGGCACGGAACACGAGTCACTTCTCGATAGCTTGCTGGCGACGTATCACAGTCAAGCATCCACACACAAGGTGAAGGCTGTACTCTTCGAGTTCCTCGCGCGTGCGTTCCTGCTGTCAAAGGTCCGGGCCGCATCGCCCTTCACCGCGTCAGAGAGCGAGCGCATCCTGGAGAGCTTGTTGACGGCATTCCCACGCACTTTGTGGGAAGCCGCCAATTCGAGCAGCGGGCAAGCGTTCGCCGGAGTGCAGCTGGAGTTCCTGCATTTCCTTCTGTTGCTGCCATCGCCACCGGCCAAACTGGCGTACGAGAAACTCGGTCCGCTGTACTGGATCCGACACCCGACCAAGAACGTATCGGTGCCAGGTCCGTGGAACAAGCTGCCGCCGTCGCTGCGCAAGCTCGCCCTCGACAACATCACGTTGTTACAAGGACGAGACGCCAAGCTGGACAAGGCGCTGTCTCAGGCGTTAGAGTTTGCTCAGGCTCGTTCGTGATCGAGGCTTGCATAGCTCGCATCGTCCGAAGTGGAACGCCAGTCACTCAGCCACGGGGTCTACAAAGTCACGTCTTGTTGAGGATCTTCTATGCACTTGCTTTCGCATAATGACTCGTCTATGCATCCGCCTCCTTGGACTCGCCCAACTTCTTTTCGAGCTTCTCGTACATGGCCTGCGCCTGCGGGATTAGACCGTTGAACTGGCTATTGGACCACTGACCCTTTTGAGATGGCAATGACGGCAGGTTGCCGGACGTCTTCAGAATCGCCAACAACTTTGCGAGCAGCGCATATGACAGCTGATCCGCCTGATCCTTGTCGATGGGTCGCAGTCCCTTGTCGGCCTGCGCTCCTGGATCGAGCGCTCGATGTTGACCCAGAAGCGTAGCGAGCTGAAGAATGCTCGGCGGGTAGTCGGACTGCGCCGACTGTTCGAGCCAGAATCTCGCCTCGACGTCGTTTGCGTCGACTCCAAAAGTATCCCTGTGCGCCTGCTTCATGGTCTTGTCGCCACCGGTGACGTCCGGGTGATGTGCCATGCGGTCTCGATCGAGAAAGTAGAAGGAGCCCACCTGAAACATGCTCTGCGCATCACCTTGATCCGCAGCCTGTTTGAAGTACTGGAACGCGTCCGCTTTGTTGCCTGCGTCATTGTCGAGCAGATGATCCATGCCGAGGGCAAAGAGACAGCCGGAGTGGCCAAGCTCTGCTCCCTTTTGCAGATATCCGCGTGCGCGCTGTTGGTCTGGCGGGTTGAAGCGCGATTCTTGGAAGAGCGTGGCGAGATCGTACCACGCTTCTGGAAGGCCCTTTTCGCCTGCTCGTTCATACAGCTTGACGGCTTCTTCGATCAAGGAAGGCCACTGTGCCTTCTCCACCTGCCCTCGCTGCACGCGCTGAAGCAAGAGTCTGGCCACACCTACGGAGCCTCGCGCGTTGCCTGCAGCCGAGAGCTCCTGGTAGAGCGTCACAGCCTGCTGCGCTCGACCCTTCTGATCACCCGAGGGCGACGGAGGGGCCGTGTTTTGTAGAACCATGCTCGCCCAGTAGTAGCCGGCATCGTCGGAACCTGCCTGATGCGCCACCTCGAACAGACGATACGCCAGCGGGTGGCGGCGAGGATCGGCCGAAGCGGAGAGAAGCACATTGGCGAGCTGAGTCAGGTTTTCTGCGCTATAGCCCCACTCTTGGATCGATGAAAGGATGTCGGCGTCTATCGAGGCTTGGTAAGCTTGTCGGTCTGCGACAGTGGGAAGGTCGGCGGCGGTGCGTAGCTGGACTAGCAATTTTGAGAGGAGTGAGCAGGCTCGGTTGTAGGTGATGGCGGACGGTGATGCCTCTTCATAGCGTGCGGGCGATAGGATGCGGCTGACTGAAGCGTCGACTTCGGTCTGATCTGGGATGTTGATGTTGGTCGGCACGGCGTAGTGTCGAATCGCTGCGGGAGTTCGGGTGAGTCCGCTGCTAGAAAAGCTGATTGAAGCAGTCAGTCGAGACGAGGGTGCAACGCGAGCGTGGGAAGTTAGCGTCCTGATTGCGCTTTGGCGCAGCAATCGTCGTGAAGCAATCATATCGGTATCTTCCGGAGTGTGGTCTGTGATGGTGACTGTGATGGTGAGAAGAGAAGGGCGTGAGAAGGTTTGATTGAATGCGCTTTCAACAGCTTCGGCGAATTCCCGCTCAGACGTCGGCGTCTCTGATAACCAAGCCTTGGCCCAAAAAAATCCTCCACATCCTTCTCGTCGGTGATGCCGTTCGCGTTTTCCGAAGGGGGCTTGAACACAAACCTTGAGGAATCTTGTCGGGTCGGAACATCCAGCTGTCGTTCGACATCCTCACACGGCTCCCGACATCACGGCAATGGCGACAAGCGGATCATTAGACGAGCAGGGAGATTGGCCGGTCCCTTCATCAACGTGGATCGACAAGGTGCTCTTCCTCGGCACAGGCACCAGCGGTCAGGTACCGGCGATTCACTGCGTCACCAAACCCGACTTTGGCGACTGCGCGGCTTGCAAGGACGCTACCCTCAATCCGACCGGCAAGAATCGTAGAGGCTGTACTGCTGCAGCTATCGTAGGACGCGATGCCGCCGACAAGCAGGACAGCACCATCTTGATCGACTGTGGCAAGACTTTCTACTCGAACGCCGTCGTCCACTTCCCGCGCAACGGCATCCGCTCCATTAGAGCTGTGCTGCTCACACATGCCCACGCTGATGCGATCCTCGGCCTGGACGATCTAAGAGCATGGACTATGGGCGGAGTCATCCAGCGACATGTAGACATCTACCTCACCCAAGAATGCATGACCGTCGTAGAGGGCATGTTTCCGTACCTCGTCGACCGATCCAAATCGACAGGTGGCGGTGATGTGCCCACGCTTCGATGGCATATCATCCACCAGGACGCGCCTTTCACCATCCCAGCTTCCGAGGGCCGCAAGGAGGTCCGCGTACAGCCACTTCCTGTACTTCACGGCTACGTTGGCCGATCATCGCCATTCTGGTGCCTCGGCTTCCGCATCGACACCTTCAGCTACATCAGCGACTGCCATGAGATCCCCTCCGCCACTCTCGAGCACATGCGGGGCAGTCAAGCCATCGTCATGGACGCCCTCAAGATGGACCGGCATCTCTCTCACTTTTCTTTCGCGCAGGCGCTTTCCTTCTTCGCATCCTTCTCGCCACCACCCGCGCTCGGTCTTCTCACCGACTTTACACATCGCATAGAGCACTGCGACACGCAAGAGCTTGTTGACGACTGGAGATATGGCATGATGGCTGCGCAGCTGGAAGGCAAGGCGAGGCAGACCAAGGACGTCGGTGAAGGTGGCGAGAATAAGTGGTGGGCCGACATCTGGGACGAGCAGAGCAACGAACGGAACATGACAATACGTCTCAAGCATGCCACGGACTCTTCAATGAGGAAAAGGACGCAAGTGGGGTGCAGCACTATGTGCCGCCCATCAAGCTCAGCTGGGATGGTCTTGTTGTTCGTTTCAATCCTAGGCGGCAGTAGAGCTGTGCAACAGGCATAGACGTTTTGGGCATCTAAGCCCGGTTCGGCAGCTTCTGCAACGTGTGTGACAACAGGAGCTGAAAGCGAGCCAAGCGGTCTTCCTGAGTACTCGAGGGGCCTTTACCTGGCCAGGACCTCGTCTGGCAAGACTCCTTTGATGTCGGAAAAGTCCGGCTGCTGAACGAGCTTGTGGGGGGCAAGACAGCCTCAGTGCCGACGCGAGGCCATTGCGAGAGCTCTGAGCGTCGATCGACGAACCGTGCCGAGCAGTTACATGCACCTGCATCGACACTCCTAACACCTCCAAAGGAAAGATGAAGCACGCAGCAAGAAACCACACGCGGTATCAAAGTGCAGCATGGTTCGCGTGCTGAGCGTGCTAAGCTTTGGGTCTGAGAGCTGGTGCACAGATCTCCGCGGCAGTTTGAGAACTTGAGCGCTGCTGCAGACGGACCGACTGGCGCTGCCTCCGCGATCAAGACAGAATGGCAGTGCTCAGATCGTACCGTCGCTTTCAGGCACGGTATCAAGACCACTCGGGCTGTCGAAAGGCAGGTGGTGGTGTAATGACTGATTCCAAAACGAACGTGAAAAGCAAGACAAAAGAGTGTGATGGGATGACGACAGAGCGAAGGAGCGGAAGCAGTACTCATGACCTAGAATTCAGCCTTCGTGGGACTGCTCGGAACACGAGAAGGGTAAGCGAGTGTGATGGCACTGAGGTGACGCAGCGATTCGATGTCGTCCTGATCTCGCCGCTGCTCCTTGGCGTAGTCTGAGTCCGCCTTCGTGCTTCTGAACGACGCTGTCGATGGCTGCCGGAGCATGTTTCTGTCTTGATTGGCAGACGCGAGTTGGGACTCCAGGCGCGAGTCCACGTGTTCGCTGCGATGCTGAACGACTTTGATGTCGATAGCAGCTGGGGTCCGAGCGACATTGAGACCGATAGCTGCTCGGAATAGCGGATCCAGGCTGGCGACCGTACAGAAAAAGGTGATAGCAGTGCACGCCGCAAGCGTGATTACGCTGACGGAGATCGTCGCGACGACGATGGACGCCGAAACGTCACTTTTCGATACTTGACCGGGGAACGACTTCGCGACAACGTACACAGGGACGAAGGCGAACGCCGGCGCGGCGACGACGACGATCACGACATAGACCAGGGTGAGCACCGTCATCTTCCACGCAACGTGATGTCCCGTGTTCAGGTCGCTTGCCCTGGCCCTGCCTTCCGTCAGAAGCCAAATTAGCTTACCAACAAAGCCTTGATGCGAGGGAGGAATGGGCTTGGGATGGTGAAAGCAGGCGTGATTGACCAAGTTGACCAGGTTAGGCACGCCGTACAGCACGAAGGGGATCCACATGGCAAAGGCGAACGCCGCGTAGATGGCGAGATGGATGCAGACGTATCGATGGCAGTCCATGTAAGCAGCGGCAACGCGTCGTGCTGCCCAGACGAGCTCATCGGATGCGAGCACATGTTCATCCGGAAACGTGAATGTTTCTTTTGCAGCGCGATGAATCAGCGACATGATCTCGTCGGAGAGGAGGTTGTTCGCGAGTGATCTTGCTCGGAATATCGCATGACCGGCCATTGCTGCCATGCAAATCGAAACCGTCACGAGGAGAGCGCACGGTAGAACCAGCAAGGTATTGAGCGTGGTCGGACTTCGAGGCATCGGTAGATAGATCCAGCGTCTACGGGTGTCGCTTGCAATGTTGTTGGGCGATAAGGGCGATCTCGGACTGCAACTGACGATAAAGCCATGTATACTGCAATAGGCGCCCAAGATCAGCGGACACCAAGGCAGAGGAATGATCCACCACCATAGCATCGTACTGCCGTTGGCAAACGACCAAATGGCCGCAAAGATCGCGATTGTGTCCCACAGCACCAAGTAGATACCGCAACCGCTACTAAGGATCAGTACTGCATTGGCGACGTAGTAGCTCCCAAACGAAGTTTCTTTCTTTCGAAAGAACCAGATGTCTCCGAGGCTCTTTTTCTTGTGGATCAGCCAGAAGCATATCAGATACGTGAGGATGCATTCGAACTCGCTTGCGAGGAGCCAGATGCGGGTCCGGTGCGACTCGGGCGCGTACATTGTCCGGCTCAGAGCATGGACGAGCTGCTGTAGTGTCTGGCCGGATTGAAAGCGGTGCATGCTTTGAGGGTCGATCGGATATGATAAGGAGATAGCCCTGCCCATGGCATTCAAGTCTGGTACGTTCTCGATCTGCATTCTGGCGAGACGGAAGAAGCGTTGACTTGAAGATGTTGCGAGGTGCCTCGATGACGTTGAATCGGTGCTGAAGGTCGAAGAAGCCGAGTTGTGAGCGAACGATGATCCTGTTGAAAGGGCGGAGACAGACTCGATCGATGCGGCATGCCAGGGTACTTATACAGTACTCTGCGAGGAGCTGTTTTTGCGATGATGACAGCCTCGTCTGTGCGTGAAGGGCACTGCGACTCAAAGTTGTTCGAAGCAGAAGTGAGCGAGTTTGCACATTGAGCAGCCATACCGAGTCGAGCCAAGCCAGACGGCTCGAGCATCATCGACCATGGCTTACACAAGGCCTTTCCGCCTGCTCGGATCGTCTCGACTAGCGAGAGCGCGGTGTCGTGTCTACAACGCGCTGCAAGAAGCGGGGACAAAGCGGACATCAGCTGATCGAGCCGTCGGCTGGCAGCTGACGTATGAACAGGATGCATAGAGATAGCTCACTCAGTTCATCTGGCCAAGGAGAACGCAGTGCTGCCGTTGTACAATCAAATTGACAGCTCAATGCTCGCCTGAAGCTGTTCATAGCGATAAGCATGCAAAAGTCATGTCGCAACGCCATTGCTCATCGTGCACGTACGCCGCATTAACAAGCTCATCTAGTAATCGAAGCGACGCCGCTCGTGTTCCAGAAACGACGCATCGAAGCTTGACGAAGCGTCAGAATCGATCGCCCGGCGAAAGCGATGTCATGTCTCAGAAGGCTCTGTGCGCCTCAATTTGGCGGTCGTGTCAAGGACAGGCTCGTGCACAAGACACTCCGTCCTATGAGCACAGGGCACCGAACTTTCAGCGAGTCACACTGACCCAGGGCCCGCGCAGATCTTTGACTGGATCTGTGCTCATCGCGAGCATGTTCCATCGCTAGCATGCGCTGAGCTTCCAGTACGCCGTGCCACTCTGCAACATGCGGACGAAACACCTTGCATTGATTTGTTATCCGCACTCACACATTCGGGACTTCAAAGCCGCTACTACCTCGGCGCAGATTCGCGTTTCAGATGGACACTGCGTCGAACTTCAGTTGTATATGTGCTCACTTATCGGAGCCGATCTTAGCCGATAATGAGTCAAGGGACATCACGAGCTCGCGCACTTACATCATGTAATGCAAGCGACGAGACAATACCATACGAAAGAGCTGCAGCTCGCCCGACCGCTGCTCAAAAGGTGTTTCCCTACGTCGCAACTGTCCATTGCGTGCACGATTGCTCTTTACGGCACTGTGTTGTCGTGCACAAGCTATTCTGTTTCGGTGCTTCTGAGAAGGGATCTCAGACCGTCACACCGGGTCCTATCGTTTTGCCACTGAATGCCGGTCGTTTACTAGGGCTCCTTACCGCGTCGGACGTAGCGCAGACTCCCGCCGTCGCTCGGCGCATTCTGCGCGAGGCCAGAATTGACCACTCGCTCGCAACGAAGCGTTCTATCGACAGCAATGCCAGCTCTGGCTTCGACAGCTGGACGGTTGATCGCAGGCTCTTGAGACCAGCATCAACGATTCTCGCCGTGCGCACTCTTCGACACATCGCCCGCAAAGCCGCGATGGCCTCAGCGGGCTTGCGATAATCGCTACATAATAAAAAGCCTCCTTTTTCATTTCGAATTTTTTTCTTGTGAATTTTTATTCCCTGTTTGGCATGTTAATATTAGATTTTCAATTGATACGCTAGCTTGCCATAATGTCACTATGTTGTTGTATGCTACCTTGAGTGATAACACTGCCTCCAGTCCCACAACATTGCCACTGAGATGATGTTAGCGCTACAAGTATAATGAAATAACGTCACTCCACACACACACACACACACGGCCTGTGCACAGCAAATCAAGCTAGTATTGAGTGAACCAACAATGCAGGCCTACTCTCTGTGACATTGTCTCCTGCAAGACCTCCTTGTTGCTCTCCTGCTTGTAGTTGATGAACGGAGCGGTGAGGTCAGCAGGCGCAAGGTTGTACTGTCTAAGGGCATCATCAGCGTCATGATCCTGGTTGAGAGGATAGCCAGCCCTGACAACGCAAGCCCACTTCTTCGTCTTGCAAATCCAACCTTTAGCATGCTCCCGCATGATCCTGGCGAGTTGGTTGTGTATCACCTTCTCAAGCGTTTGGCTATCCTTGAGGTTCTCTCGACCCACTGCTGGCCGGATGAAGCCAAACACCCGCTCCATTGGATTGAGCCACAGCAAGTATGGTGGGATGAAGCAAATTTGATGCCCCTTGTGAGCCACAGCCACCTTGATGTTGGCAGTGTGATGGCATTTTGCATTATCAAACAGGAGGAGGCCGTTCTGACCCACAATCTCCAGGAACAGGTACTGCTGGAGGAAGTGTACAACGTACTCACCGGTCCAGGAGCCAAGAATGCAGTAGCTATTGGAAATTGGCCCCGCAATAGCAGCTCACTGTTACAAATCAGTCCATGGGCGAAGGATTTGGGTTAGGGTTTGATGGGCGGAACAGAATGAGGTTGGCGCGTCAATGACCTGGCAAGACGGTCCATTTGAAATTTGAAGTGAAAAAATTGAAATGGTGGGAAGACGGTCAGCTACAAAATTGGAGACGCGTTGTATTCAGTTTGAATTTCCTGGCAATTTCCACTTGGCGGGCAGCCAACACCATCTTGAAGACGGTCTGATACAAGCAGCAAGACAGTCTGATACAAAGGCAAGACGGTCTGCTACAGATCAGCAAGACAGTCAGCTTCAAGTTGGAAGACGGTCTGATACAAACTGAAGCTGGCTGTACGGTTGCTCATCACCTGTCCACCACACAGACATTCCAATCTCAAGATGACCACCGTCAACTGTCCTGTGTGCGCCTTCAGCTACTCCATCACCAACATCACTAACCACATCCGTAAGGCTTAGGGTTAGGGTTAGGGTTAGGGTTAGGGTTAGGGTTAGGGTTAGGGTTAGGGTTAGGGTTAGGGTTAGGGTTAGGGTTAGGGTTAGGG